TACTACAACAGAGTAGGTACAAATCGTACCGTGTTCAACAACCGGATTGCACCCGAAAAAATTATTCAACATTTTTAATCAAAATTGTTTCTTTTGAAACAAAATTTTAAATTAGTACATAAATTAACCTCAGAAGTAATTATGTTAGATTTTTCATTTTGACGTCCAAGGCAATATTGTCGAACATTAAGGACACTCTTGAAAGATGTCTTAAAATATATGAAACAACTTGGTACAGAATTATAACTCGTTTGTGTAGATGTAGGGATCTGCTATCCGGATCTTCCTAAGCCAGTATATTATTCGTTATTGTGAGTACCTTAGCTTAAATGATGTGGACTATAAATTAATAGGCTGCTAATACTCCACAAGGGAAGATGAGTTTATAGCACTAAAGTGAATCCTTGTTTTGCAGAAACCTCTCTTAAACGCCGTGTAGGTCCACTAATACATAACATACTGTAATAATAATATAAGCAATCATAAGTATTATTTTGGGGATTTAAAGACTTATCGTATTGAACGTAGGAGATATTAAAATATTATTTAATGATAAATTCCGTTATGTATTGTGTCTNATAAGTATTATTTTGGGGATTTAAAGACTTATCGATTATCAATTGCGTTCTCTTCGACTAAAATATTTTCAGATTTCTAGCACTTCCGGTTATATCAGAACCTTCTACTGACCGGTCTCGCTGAGACACCTGTATAACCCATGTAAAGTCGATACGAAGTAATTTTAAAGACCCTTTGACAGATAGATAACCTCAATTTGATTTTTTTCTCAGTTTCTTATTCAAATCCTTATTTATCCGGTTGAAGCTATTAAAAATGATAAGCTTAACATAGTAAAAATGGAAAACAGCCGTCCGTTGTGATTAATGAAATTTTAGATGAAAATTCATAATCTCAAGATTTGAGCATTTTGGGAATTTTGCCGTTGAGTATAGAAGAAAATGATCAGATATCTGAAAATCAATTTAAAAAAGCTTTAAAACCACGAGATTTCATACATAAATTTAGTTATTAAAAAAAATTAAAATAATATTTAATCAAATTAAATTAGTGATATTTCAAATGTTAATGTTGGTAATATCAGAAAATTTTTAAAACGAATTTCAAGTTAATGGAATTTTAGGAAAGGAAACACTATTTTTCAAATTTCCACATTACACAAACGAAAATTAAAAATTTTAGTGTGATTTTGAACTTGAGAGAGAATTTTATCTCAACGAACATCATCACCAACGTTTTAGGTTATGTAAAAAGATAAATGTTGACATAACCTCAAAAAAAGTAATCAAGAATTTGTCGGATTCAAAGAAAAAAGAAAAGAAATAATAACCCTAATGAAGAAATGTCATTTTGGTTCCCGTTCCTGATAATCTTGGAATTCCGTACCGTGGACTTCTTTATCCTACAACTTTGGTGAAGAAACATCAATTTGGTTCCCGTTCCTGACAATCTAAGAATCCCGTACTGTGGACTTTTTTATCCTACAACCAACAAAGTAAGCTAAGTGTTGTTATTTTCGTTAGATTTATTCGTATTAATTTAGTTAACTATTCACTTACCTTCAATACGAAAGATAATTCTGAGATATGTTATGGGGTTATGTTGTTACTATTTAAACAAGTTATTTTCCTCAATTTGATAGAGTAATAAAACCATTAATCTTACCTCGTATTAACTAAAATTTAGGAAATTTGTTATCGTTTAATCACGGTTAATTCGTTGAATTTTACTTTAAAGATTGTTTACGAGTTTACTCAACCGTATGAACCGGTATTACTCTGACCTGAACAGTCTTTCCCGCTAGATTAGACTTGACAACGTCGCTAGTTCCGTAATTAAAATTTCATATTATTGTTTATTTCATTGAGTTTTCAAATTTTATAGATTAAATTTAATAAAATTATGAATTTTCATTTTAAATAAACCCATAAAAAACATTACAATACTTCCATAACATTATGTCTGTTCAAGAAACGATTTAGGATACAATCAAGTATGACAAAGAGGAGGATCGTAGACCAAGTACGATGTAAAATGATCATAAATAAAATTGTTTTTATTCCTTATACTTAATAAATTACATATAAACCCATATTAGTACAAATAACACTTTATAAATTGGTATTGTTTCAAAGAAGCTCGCGGTTCCTGCAAGCCGGGATTAAAATCTATAAGGAGGGCCACAATAAGAAACTCGTATACGCTTTTATAAAGTAAAAAAAAAAAAAAACTTAAAGGCGACTTCTTAAAATCCCGTAACGGCGCGGTCGCTTTCCCGACGGAGGACAATAAATACGTCACGGGCATTACAAATCGCGGCATTAAGAAGGAGCAGGATCGTCCTTTGAGAGGTCGACCCGCCTCGGTCGCGTCCCGCCGGCGTTTTTGATTTAGGAGCACGCCTTCGCGCCGCGAAGATTAACCGGAGTATATAAATTTCGATATTAAAAAAATCGTGCGCTCCGCCGCCGCAGCAACCCGACCCCGGACTCTCTCTATGCTCCTTGAGACCGCGCTTCCGAAGCACAAAGGATCTGGAATCCACCACGTGGAATTTTCGGAGTCCATTTATCATCTCATCCTTTTCGTGGACGATTATGTACCGCTTAAAAACGATAGTGTCTGGTAAAATCTTTTCGTAGTCCAACCATTAAGTAATCACAAACAATATTATTTAACAAAAAATTTGATTAACCTAAGTCAAAACTGTTCATTATCTTTTTTTTCAGTTTTGCTTACAACCATTGCAGAAGCGTCTCTTAGAAGATTATAAAGAGTCACTTATGAATGGTAGAAGCGTGGCAGAAGTTTTTGAAAAGTTATGTATGAAATTAGTTTCCGGGAGTTTTAGGATATTTTCTGGACATAGTAGAATTATGTTTGGGTACAAGCAAGATAGAAGCTTCTAGTAAAGTTAGAACTGAAGCTTCTTAAAAATGTATGCTAGAAATTCCTGATAGAAGCATGAGTGTAACTTTGTGACATTTTCTAGTTACTACCAAGCTGTTGAGAAAATACAAACTTCTGCTAGAAGCATTGCAGATGTTGTTGGTAGATGATAGTAACATGGCAGAAGTTTTTGATCTTCTTATGGGTGCTAAAAAAACTAGGTAACTAGTTACAAATTAACTTTGGCAATGGAATAAAATAATCGGTGACTTTGTTTGGCAAGTCACTATAACTGCGTTCAATGTATTGTAATTTCCTCTACTATTAAGTAATTATTCATTATAAACCAAGAACTAATGAATTATCTCCATAATGCTAAGGCAAAAATTGTTAGCCTCTTACATCATAACCACAAATAATACTGATTACTAAGTTAATTATGGGAGATTTTTCGCTCGGTGTACAATAATTTCAATTTCTGAAATTGAAAAAGTAAACATTTAAAATCACACTAACTCCAGGTAACACCTTTAAGCTGCTCAGCCGAGAGGGTCATTCGTCCGGTGAAAAATACCAAATAAACTGCGGTATTATTCCGGGCGATTTACAACCATTCGACCCGGAGAGATTAATACGTTTTCGCCATTCATCTCCGCGATACGCCGTGCGGGGGGCGTGGGGCTCCACTTGAAAAGCCATTGTGGCCGTATTCGGAAAACACGCAAAACCGTCCCGTTCCTATCTTTTGTCACCTACACGTTGTCATGAAGTGCCCTTTTTCACCCCAAAAATGTGTTTGCGAGCGAAAAAAAGGCCCATTGTCGTGCTCGTGCCCTCTCGCCTATTGTCATAATCGGATTTTAAGTGACTCCCATAGTAAAAGCTTTAAAGTCCGGCGATATTTTTCGGTCAGTTGAAATTTGTATTCGGTGATGTTAAGATGGGGGTTTCTTTGGTTCTTGTGGTGAGTATGGTGTTAAAAAAATGATAATTATAAGACATAGGGATCCCTGAGAACACTTAATCATTATTTTGTATTAATTTCTTTTTGCGTTAAGGTGTCGAACGCGAGAGATGCAAAAGGCGTCCCAACAGGCGGTTTTTGTTTAAAGTCGAAGGGGCTTCTCCCCGATCCCGTATTGTGGGCCCCCCGCTTAGTCGATAATTATATTATGGCGTTAATTAAAACCGTGCCCGGCTGGGTCGGGCGATTATTAACAGTTTATTGGCTGTTAACAGCTCGGGCGGACATCGATACATCGTGCTAAATGATTCTTCTTGCAAAAGGTGGAGATTCTTTTTTTTGTTTAGAAATTGGATAGATTTATATTGAGAATTCAACCGTCACCTTCCGAACGATTTCACACTGAGAGTGAATTCAGGGAGTGTGCCCGATAATCCGATTAGGAGACGGACTTTAGCTTAGCGACAGATTACAGACGTCAGCCGGTCGAGAGGAAGAGTTCTTACGCTGCGGGATGTTCTTCGTTCGAAATCGTGTGTTGGTCTCTTATCTGCGGTGTACGGTTTTACCATGTTACACGTCAAAAGCTCGATTAATTTATATGTCTTAAGAAGGAAAAGGTTTTATTTATATCTATTTATATCGAGATATAATTAAAATATTAACTAGTTTTTTTGTATAAGACTTTTTTTAAAAAACATGAAGGTTAGGTCTTGCAAAATTTCTTCAATTGGCGATGAAGAGGTACAAAACGCGTTTGTATGGAACCTCAAATGGATCTTTACGCGCGTTGAATCGGTGACAAATCGCTGAAATCTGTCCCTTTCAGCGACGCGCCGTAATCGACTCCATAAGTCACCTTGTCGAAGAGTTTCAGCGAAAGGTTTCGGTGCGGCCACCTACGGCCGCGACCCTCGTGAGAAATGCCTGTTTTGACCCTGACGGCAGTCAATAATGGGGGGCCCGAGACGATGGGACCCGAAAGACTGACAGGTGCCGGATTCCCGGACTTTATTATTATATTTGTACACGCGGTCAAATAGTCGATGATCGATGATATACGGAGGCCGTTAATCTGTGAATACCATTTCCAAAAAATATATTAAATTATTTTCTCTTTGTGTTTCAGACTGAATTTCGGATTTGCTCAGCTTGCGGAGATCCAATCAGCGATAAATTTTTGCTGGAAGTATCTGGAAGAAGTTGGCACGCTCGGTGTCTTAGGTGTTGCGTTTGCCAGTTACAACTTGATCGGCAACCATCTTGCTTTATACGAGATAGAGCTGTTTATTGCAAAGCTGATTATGCAAAGTAAGTAATGTACTGAATCATCTATAAAATAATTTCTTAATCCATACGATGTTATTTAACTGTCTGAAGAGTAATATTAAATAAATATTTATTTAAATGGTAAGAATCGAGACACAAGAAGAAACGCGATGACGAGATGGATGGTGCATACGTTCCACGGTATGTTTTCAATCACAACAGAGCCCCGAGCATATAAAAAATGGTTAAAAGTCCATCGTTTATTATCTTACGCGATCCCCGTACCGCGCAACGCATACAAACACACTCGAGGTTTTTCGTCTCGTGGCCGCGGCCGAGACGTTGAGGAATCTACCACACACACACGTACCTTTAGGGTGCACCAACGCACATCACGTTGGTCCACAATGGCCGGTGTGAGCACATTGTGTCGCGGTGACTCGCACTTCTTTACCTTTCATTTGTCATCCGTCGGAGACGCGCCAGTGACATCTGACCGACTCATCTCGCGTATTATTCCCAGACGAACTCCTCCGGAATCATCAACTTAAAAAAAAATCTCTAGTGTCTAACAGTCGTGACTTTTCATAAGATTGTTTAAATATTATTCGGAGAATTCAATGCACACCTTTTCTTTTCAAAATTTCTTTTTTTATGCTATTCCTGAAGATGACTTCGAAACCGGTGTTATCAGATTTTTGCTATTTCTGTAAATAATTATGATATTATAAAACGGTTACAAATCGAGGAGGATGAGTCGTTGGCGATATTAGCAGCAGAAGAAAAAGTTTGAATAAAGGAACTATTAATTCGCCAGGCTGCAATTCATTACAATGTTCCGTGATATACCTTATAAAGAAGAGTGGTTGAGAAGAACAAGATATTGTGGCAGAAAAGTGATAAATATCTTGGTCATTTGATTTCAGTCATGGTAATAATTTAGATCGATTTAGATTGATGGGTTTTTGCAAAAACACAAAATATAGATAATATTATAACCTCAAATCAACTTTAGCCACAAGGTGCACGACACAATAATGCTTCATAAAATTTAATCCTCTCTAATCGTAATTTTGTAAGATTCTCAGTGTAATTTAAGGATGAAAATACATAAAGAAATGCCCAGTAACTTCTATTATAGGATGCTTTTGTAATCATTGACGTATTCTCCTGAAGATGCTATAATTATGTGGCGAAACCGGTGGAGAAATAAAAATAAAATATTCATTTAAAGTGCAAAAACGAATTTTATTTACATAAAAATATTGGCCTTAGAAAATAGGAGGCAACATATTCTGCTAAAGAGTATAATCGTGATGCCATTCAGAGTTTTTGCAACAACCTTTATTATTATTATTATTATTGCTGCCGGGCTGAGGAGGGCGGCCCCTCTCGTTACCGCGACCTATAAGATCTATTGTAACTTTAGCCCTCCAAAGGTTTAGGGCAAATGTAGGTCCTTAATGAACCTTAGTATTGTCCTGAGGTCTTGAACCTTTATGTCGGTAGGTAACAGGGGAGTTTTACCGAAGACGTTGTGCCTTAGACGTCGTCTGGCGACGCAATTGCACAGTATATGTTCAGCAGTTTCTGACTCGTCGTTGCATAGTCGACAAGTTTGATCCTCAGCTTGTCCAATGTGGAAGAGGTGGTATTTTAGGGGCACATGGCCGGTTAGGCAGCCTGAGAGCGTTCTTAGATTCCCTTTGCTGAGGCATAAAACCTCTTTGGTTTTGTTTTGCGACGGAGTTATCATACTCTTCGCTTGTCTGTGACCTGGAAGTTCTTTCCAGCGTAAGGCTATCTTTGAAGCCTCCCAGTTGTTGATTATTTGTTTTAGGTGGCTTTTTTGTAGTCCACATCCAGGTTGGGGTCCAATGAAGGGCGTGTTTGCTGCCTCTTTGGCCAGCTTGTCGGCCTTCTCATTGCCCTCAATGTTGCTGTGACCTGGAACCCACCATAGGGTAACATCATTGCCCCTAGCGAGTTCTCTCAGGTTGTTGGTGCACTCTCTGATCAGTGCGGAGCCACACGTGTAGGCCTGAATTGCCTTTAAGGCGGCCCGACTGTCTGTGAAAATGTTTATGGATGCACCTTTTTGTCCCTTCTGTAGGTTCAAAGCGGTGCAGAAGTTTATAGCAAGAACTTCTGCTTGGAAAATTGTTAAGTCCGAGCTGAGGGGCAATTTGATGTGGCTATTTGGTCCACTGATGCCCATGCCTACTCCAGATCTTACTGTCTTTGAAGCATCGGTGTACCAGGCTAGGGCTCCTCTTTTTAGTTGAGGCCCTCCTTTCGCCCAATCATCCCTGCTACTAAATATGACCTTATACGGTTGGTTGAAATTGTATTCCGTCGGTATAAGGTCCGTTTTAATTTCAATCAGGTGATTTAGACATGGGTCTTTGAGGATCTCGAGGTGTCCTCTGAGGTTACCCTGCATCAACTTGAGTGAAGAAACTGTTTTCAGTGATAAGGCACTTAAGGCTGCCTCCTTTTGTATATATATGTGGAGCGGTGTGAGACCGAGTAGGGCTTCCAAAGCAGCCGTCGGACAGGATCTCATTGTACCCGTTATGTTAAGACATGCTAACCGCTGGATTTGTGCCAGCTGTTGTTGAGCTGTCTTATGTTTTGTTTTTGGCCACCAAACCAATGAGGCGTAGGCGACCATGGGTCTGATTATTGCTACGTAGGCCCAATTCGTGGTTTGAGACCCCAGTTCCTTCCTAGGAGCCTGCGGCAGATCTGGTTTGCAACAACCTTGCACTCTCTGCTACATCCTGCATTTCGCCATTCTTCTGCATTCTTTCATCCCTCTTCCGGTAAGGCTTGATCAATCATAGTTTATTTAATCCAGAATATATTTGATACCTACTTCTATGTTGAGGTACATATCGAAGAGGTCTTTTTGGCCATCGGTTTTTTAGCATCCTCATCACATGCTCATACCACTGCAACTGTTTGGTTTTGCACCCCATCAATTGTTCAGTCTTGATAGTGGAAGAACAACTATCATAACTGGATGCCGAAAAGACTGGGATACAACGACATCTTCTACATTATCTCATCGCATTCCACTATTAACAAAGAAAGTTCAAGAGAAGAAATGATTAAAACGACCAAAAAGAAATTATTGAAAATAATGGAGAGAAATAGAAAAGAATCTTGGCAATAAATAAACGTTGACTTTTGTGTTGTAAAGGTGTTTTGAAAAGTGATGGTGTACTGAATGAGGAATTAAAAATTTTTGTCGCATAAACGATGATATCAATGAAACCGCGTATCGATATCTGTCGACGTAAGCACCAAAACCGTGTCGAAACGAGCGGTTTTAACGACATCGCAGCGGCAAGCGTCTCCGTATATTATGCGGCCGTCGACGCCGCCAACAAGAAACGCGTGACGGCTCCGAATTTATACGGCGCGCCTTTTACGGTGACTTCGGCAAAATGAATATTTATAAGGCGATGTGGGCCGGGATCGAATCCCCTCTTTTCACTCTTTCCTCCCCGTATCACAATCCTTCTCCCCAGTCCCGTCGTTATATACCCTTTGAATCAAATTAAATTGTCACCGGAAATCGCGAACTCAGTTTGACTCGATAGGGTTAAAATTATAGTCTTCGCTTGCAGGCGAAGATAGACGTAGAGATAATTTCGTGTTACCTGTAATTAAGTGAAAGTGAAGTTTTGTTATTAAGAAATAACGTTTTATGCAAAAAACAATAACGTGTCGGAAAAAGTAGGTTTCTCGTGTACGCCCCTTTGATATATTATTATTTTTTCTTGTGTTGGTTACGAAGCAAACGGAAAAATAATGGCGGTAATGAGGTGGTATTGAATGAAACGGCGGCCAATGGGTCGGTCGACGAAATTCCGACAAACGGAACAATGCCCCCGGCTCCAGGGTATCGATATCGTGGATCGAATCTGGGACCTGTGTTTGTACACAGCGCCTTACCGGATCATGACTGGCGGGTTTATTAGAAGAGTAGACCTCCGCGAAGAAGTGTTCCTCAAGAGTACAACGTGCGTGTTTCTGCTCGATCGTGTGGAATGAATAATGATCCCAACATTTAACTATCAGACCTCGACTTATAATAAAAACCTTACTTTACTAAAAATATATTTCTGTTTCTTTTTTATAATATTATACCTGTCAAATTATTGTAAAGTTGATTAACAGATAATTTTGTTGTGTCACTTTGACATTTAGTGTTTCCATATTCAAGCAAACACAATAAAAGCACTAATTAATTATTACATCACAATTAACAACTAAGAAACTGTAAAATAAAATAAAATAATAAAAAATAATAATAAACCAAGAACGAAGTAAAATCTTAAATGACTCACCCGTGTTAAGTTGGCGTCAAATGAAATGTCAAGTTATACCAACGCAGATTTGGGGGAATTAAAAAAACACTAAATAAGTAAGAAACGATTCTTTTTCATATAACGACAAAAATGATCTTCAACAATAATTATTGTTGATATTGTTCCACCTTTAGAAGCTTACTAAGCGATACATCGAGATTTTTTTTAAATTCCCATTTAGATAAAACTATAACAATTCCAGCAGTCTTGTCGATGTCGTTTCCTTTTTTCCATCGTACATCCTTTTTTTTGTCCACCGTTGGTCAAAGTCTTTTTGTCCTTTAGCCGGCGAGAAATATACGTTTATGTAAATCGGTCCCGTTTTAAAACACATCCGCGGCCGAATGCACAAACCGTGTTCGGTGGCGTAGCGCCTTTGAATATTCATTCGGGCAAGAAGGACCCCATTGCGGTTCATCGGGTACGAAGAATCGTCGGGCTCATTCCAGATCCCGGTGGTAGAGTGTCAATTTCGACCCACACGCTATTTTCGGCTCCGCAATCGGCCCGTGTATCGGTTAATGAGGGCCCTAATTCCCCTAATTTAGTGGTCTACGTTATCTGGGGGCCAAACGGCGAGGGCGCGCGAGAAATCGAAGGTGGCCGTTGCGCGGTAATCGATTAATTAAAAGAAAACCCGGCGACCGTTAAAACGTGTTAAAAAGGATTTCGGCTTCCTTTTTCTTTATCCGAACTCAGTCACTTTTATCCGAACTCTCACCGACTCAAGAGTTCGAAATATTTATGATTCTGTTGGAATTGAATCTCAACAAAGATTTTAGATGATTTTTTTTCTAATGATTTAACTTTGTTCCAGAAGTTTCGGTGCCAAATGTTCAGTTTGCTCGAGAGGAATATCATCAAGTGATTGGGTAAGAAAAGCGAGAGATCACGTTTATCATTTAGCGTGTTTCGCTTGCGCCGCTTGTCATCGACAATTATCAACCGGTGAAGAATTCGCCCTCCACGAAGACCGAGTCCTTTGCAAAGCGCATTATTTGGAAACGCTTGACGGTGGAACGACTTCTTCCGATGGTAAAATTAAATAAGTAATAAAAAAAAATAAACAACCTCACCCAATTCATTTTCTCCATATAGTTTTATTTTCGATTATAATTAACCCCTTAAATTAAGTCTTAAACACGAAGGTCTCTGCCGTCAGATTGACATCTAGATATGCTAAGTAGACGCCGACGCCACCACACTTTTTTAACAGTCCTTCCGAAACAATCGGTGTTGAGTCTTTTTTGTGGGGCGTAGTTCTAACATGTTAATTATTATTTCTGAAGCCTGTTGTTTGTTTTGCACTCACACGTTTTCTGTTAGCCATTTTGTTGTAATTCAATTAATAATTTTACCCTCGAGGAAACTTTTGACTCGTCTCCTCGTAATTTATTCGCATGAACTAGTACGTGTACGTTTCGTGAGAATTTTAATTGGATCAGTAACCGCCGACGAAACCTGAAAGGGGCTGAACGTTTATTGTTTTCAGACTTTATGGTGTACGTGTTTTAAGACGTTTTATCATTCACGCACTGACATGAGAGTGTGTATGAATAATAATAAAGTAATAATGTTAGTGTGCGGTTTCGTGGAAAGATAATGAAATTGATTATATACACAATAATATCTATGACAGATAAATTCATTTTAATTAATATCTTTATGAATTATTTTTATTTATTTTTATTGTTTTTTTAGACGGTTGTGACGCAGAAGGTTACCACAAGAATAAAGCAAAAAGAGTCCGAACAACATTTACAGAAGAACAACTCCAGGTGCTCCAAGCAAACTTCCAATTAGATTCAAATCCCGACGGTCAAGACTTAGAAAGGATCGCTCAAATAACAGGGTTAAGCAAACGAGTAACGCAAGTTTGGTTTCAAAATTCGAGGGCGCGTCAAAAGAAACACATGCACACTGGAAAAGTGAAAACGCAAAGTAAGGAAATTTTTTTTCTTTAAATTTAAAACTTTGAATTAATTTGTTGTTTAGTGCACAATGGGAGAGACGACAGTAGCAACTTTAGTAGGCACATAAACCTCCATTTAACGTACTCGTTCCAACAGAACAGCAACAAGAGCTCGCCTCTCTTCAATCCAGCTGGTAAGCCGTCGTCGGAATCGGAGGCGACGCCACTTAAATGGTTGTGTCTTGCAGATTCCTCGCTGGACGAGCTCTCTCAAGAGTCCACCATGCACTGTATGCAAGGGGAAGTGTAAAAAAGACTATCGTCAGATTACAAGCTACGAAAAAAAAAACTTATTTAGGATAAGAAACTAAATGTATTGGTAACCCTCCAATATATATCGTGATTCTTCAGTGTACTATTTACTATTATTATTTCTTTTTGTTATTTAGTCGTATTTATTTATTTTTTTTATCATAAGCATAGACAACAATTTATAGATAAATAGAATGTAAAAAAATAATGTGAAGAGGCAGGAATTGTATTATATAGAAGTATTGTATATGTTAAAAAAGGTTAATTATTACTGTTTTAAGTGTAATATAAACGAATTTAATAAAAATATTTACTTGAATATCAAATATTAAATTTTTTTGTTACATTTACTTTTCCTGTTATCATAATTTACCTGCATGGCTTAATAATATGTATCATGTTTCTTTGTATTGCATAAAAATGTCCAAAAGCACAGCAACAGTACCTTTGATTATTAGTATTGATTAAAGTTATCTCCAAAATTCAAAATGAAACTATCAACTTCTAGCAAAAAGACTATAATAAATATAAGAGATGTTGTAGAAAATAATTTAGAATATTGCAAACTAGAGAGGCAAGAAATTGGGAAGCCTAATGTTCCATGAGATTCAAGCCCTAATGAGTTCTAATATCTTGGCAGTTGCTACAAATTATTGGAGAAGCAGACCAGGAAGAATTGTGCGAGCACGAATTTAAAACCTTTACGAAAAAGAGAGTAGGAGAGGTTCTGGTGAAGAAGAGTAGAAATAATACGGAATCAAGACGGAGTCAAGACTTAGAAAGGATCGCTCAAATAACAGGGTTTAGCACTATCATTAGAAATAACTCTAGAAGTAGAAACAAACGGGTTTAGCCGTGTGTCTCTTAAGACGGCTTTTTCTTCACCTTGTCTATGTGGGAGATCCAGATTAATTTACTAGGTCCAGTAAGTAGTATTAGTCCTAGGTCTAGTGATAAAAATATATAATCTAGCGTTGAATAATAAATAAAACTAGAACTAACACTAGACCTAAAACTAGAATCATGCGTGTTTAGCCGTCTTGAGAGACGTGCGGCCAAATCCGAATGTTTCTAGTTTTCGGTCTAGTGTTAGTTCTAGTTGTACACTAGCACTATTACAAGAACTTTCGGGTTAAGCCAGTGTTAGTTTGTCTTTGACCGTCGGATGAGCGTTTTGTATTTTGCTGACCGTACCGTATCGTACCACGGTATCATTCTTCTTCAGACACCTCACAATTTGCTCCGTCACACCTGAAATATAAGGAAGGCAGATAAAACCGGCTGGTGTAGTACTTACCGAGTCTTCCCTCTGTTTGCGTAGTTTGGTTCCTTGTTGGTCTGCAGTACTTTTCCTTGTTGCCAGATCACGAAAGTGTCATTGACGTAACGAAGCCATAGCTTCGGACCCACGGACTCTTCTTTAATGTTTCCTCTTCAAACATCTCCATGTAGGAGTTGGTGATCACAGATGACAGAGATGATCCCTTGCATTGCTTGTAGAATTTTCCTTTCCAGCTAAAATATGTCGATGATAGGCAATTCTCCACCAGTCCTGGGACATCCTTCGGCAAACCCTTCGTTTCAGTTTCAGGCGAAGACCATCCTCGTCATCTTTTTCCACGTCGAAACTTACCAAGATATCCTGGGGTCTAACTTCATACTCCTGATTAATTCTAAAAAATGAGTGGAATCTCTCACATATGATTCTGTTTTACCTGTAAAAGGAATCTTAACAGAATCTTTCATTTATTTATTCTTGAAAATATGTAGATGAATTCAAATATTGCGAAACACATCGAAAACACAAAGACATTCATTCCAATCAGAATGTGCTATTACTCTTTGATTGGCACACATGCCATATTAGTCTTAACAATAAACAATGCATTGCATGATTGTATTTGGTCCAATAAAGACGGTGTTGGTTGATTACCAAAAAACAAATTTGAGGATCTATATAATCTAAAGAAACACACGTAGGAATGTGCTAGTTATAGCAAATTTCTTACAATAAAGTTATACAACAAGTTAAAGAAGCCGCTAGCCGTAGAATGACAATTTCACGAAATGTCATATTCACTGAACGAAGCAAAAATCGACTCTAAACATTTTAATTTTTTTTTACTTTTTTAATAACTTGATAATTATTAAAAAATTTATTAATTAAAATACGTTTAAGATCTTGAATTATCTCCCTTTTAACTTAATTATTTCTTTTTAATTAAATCCTTTAAAATAACATTTTAAACTCCAACCCTTTCGATTGCTTTGATTTGATATTCATAGATGTCACCACTATACAGCGGACAAAATACGATCGCAGTGTCCTTCCCCTGTTTTAATCTACAGGACGCGTGCGCACATCGTCTCCCCAGAATGCCCGGTAATTCGACCGGCGGCCTCTCCAGCGGCCCTACTTCATTTTGTCGTCTCGTCAAGTGGATACTGCATCCGTTTAAAAACGTGAATTAACCCAAGTAAGTACATTTCCAATCCTAATATGTATCATAAACGCGACGTTTTTAACGAACCACTCGCTGTCAATCGGTTTATTTACATCAAACTCAATTTGCGTTTCCACGGTTACGTGTGGCGTTGCAAAAAATACGGCATCGTTTACGTTTCTATTATTGATTTGTAACGGTTATTATTTTTAATTAACCTTATTGTTATCGTTTATATTGTTTTGAATTGAGTGATTCGGGTTATTAGGGGTTTTTATTTCGGGTATGTTTTCGTAAAAAATAATTAAATTTAGATAAAACGTTTTATAAAAGTATTTTTGGACACCTGTATAAGTAAAAAGTAGTTGGAACTGATTCAAAATTGCATAGTGCAACGGTTTAAGATATATAAATAGAAATTAAATAGCTTTTTCGCCTCCCATACCTGAAAGTAAATCATATCAGCCCTAAAAAAATAACTGAAAGTTAGATTTTTGGCCCTTGGGATTCTAAACTTTGAACGTCCCTACTTTATAGTTTTTCATCACAATCTAGTTAGTCTTCATTGACATTTAAACTGCAAACTGTAAACGTCAGTTGAAATTAAAACTGCGACAAAATGAACGAAGAAGCGGTATTGGAATTTGGTATACCAAATTCTAGTATTGCTATTCACAACTGTGCGGAAGGAATAATTAATATTAATAATAATTACTACAATAAGTAAGTTGTTCCTAGTGTTTTTGTTAAATTCTGTCATACTAATAAAATTAAGTGATTTATAAAATTAGTTTTATTCTATATTTTTGCAATTTTGTTTGGTTTAATGGGAGGCGAAAAACATTTGTGTGTCACACGTGCAGAAATGCATTAGCAGCCCTTATCTATTAGCGCCTCGGGCTGCTAATGCTAATTTTCTGCCCTTGAGACACAATATACTATAGAGACCTAAAACTATATAAATTTCCAGGACAAAATGAAGTTTAATATATCTTATCCGGCGACTGGTTGTCAAAAACTGTTTGAAATTGTGGATGACCACAAAGTAAGAATATTCTTTGATAAGCGCATGGGTTCTGAAGTACAAGCAGATCCATTGGGTGATGATTGGAAGGGTTACATCTTTAAAATTACGGGTGGCAATGATAAACAAGGCTTCCCAATGAAACAAGGTGTTTTAACCAACGGTCGTGTTCGACTACTTCTTTCCAATGATCATTCTTGTTTTCGTACTCGACGTGATGGCGAACGTCGCAGAAAATCCGTTCGTGGTTGTATTGTTGATGGAAATTTAAGCGTCCTATCGTTGGTTATTGTTCGTAAAGGATTAAAAGATATCCCTGGATTGACCGATTCAAATATACCGAGACGTTTGGGCCCGAAACGAGCCAATAACATTCGTAAACTTTTCAATTTAACTAAACAAGATGATGTTCGTCAATATGTTGTTAAGAGACCGTTACCTCAAAAGGAAGGTAAAAAACAGCGGTTTAAAGCGCCTAAAGTTCAGCGTTTAATCACACCGGAATCTTTGCAAAAGAAACGTCATCGTTTGGCTTTGAAAAAGAAACGTTGTTTGAAACGTAAGGAGCAGGTGAATGTTTATAAGAAGTTGTTGGCTCAAAGACATAAGGAGTCGAAGCAGCGCAGGCAAGAATTGAAGCGGCGTAGATCTGCCAGTTTACAGGAGAGCAAAACTAGTTTGGACAGTGCTTAAAAAAAATTATATTAAAACCAAGGACCTATTTTGTTTTGTTTAAGTACTTCTTAGTAAATCAAACGAGTACTTAAAATGTCTGTTTCAAAAATGGGTCCGTATTTATAGACTGACTATTATGGTGGTAAATCCACCATTTTTTTTCGTGTTTTTGAATAATTTTTGTTTTTGAAGTAAATGGTCATTTCTTTAGTGTCGTAGAAAACATGGCACTCAACTATAAACGTTTTTCTGCACTTATACTTTTAATATAATACTCCGTTTAGAATCTGAAGATATATATTTTTTTTTGTCTCAAACCAAAGAAAAAAGTAATGATGTGATGGAAATTATTTTTGTGATGTTTTTGTTTTGTTTATAAAAGAAAATTATAAATGGAACAAATTATATATTTATAATCCAATTAATGTTCGGATGTTTGTTATATTGTATATTTTTGTAATATGTAAAAAAATCCCAGTACAAATGAACGAAAAACTTTCGACTATTATAATATAACCATATCGTTCGTTTTGAATTCGATTTTTCTACGTTTGAAATCAAAGAAGATAGATATTTTTGTGCCCATTTATTTGTAATATATTATTTGTTATTGTTTGATTTTGTGTTTTTTAAAGCTGGTATATTTGTTCAATAAAGTTGCGAAAGCGTACATTTAGCTGATTTTTTTAACTTTGTTATATATACATAATAATCCAATCTCAAAATTTTCTCTCATCTACAGGGTGATTCCAAAAACCGCTAACAGACTTCTAGAGTAGATAATACATGAAAAATTAAGATACATGGGGCCGCAAATGCCTCCTTGGCGAGATATAGCGGATCAAAGTTTCGTTAATCTTAAACATTATCTGCAATAAAAAGCACTTTTTTAAAAATATTGTCTTGTAGTAGCCGTGCGTAACCATGGCAACCAATTGTTTTGATTTAAAATTTCCTAGTGTCAAAATTCGATTTGAAAGAGTTTATTGTGCGTTAATGAGATTATTTTGAGTAGTATTGTGGAGTTTCTTGTGTTGATTGTTGTTATTCATTGTTATTTGTTGCTAATAAGTCGGATTGAGAGTAAATTTCGCGAACTTGGTCATGTACGAGATAAACCTAAGACCGGACGTCCGTTGGCCTTAAATGAAGACCGTCAATTGTATGTCCTGTTAAGTGTAGAGGAAAATCCGCATTCAAACATCTCCAATATTGTCAATATTGTAAGGTCAAGGTGTGGGCTGGAATAGTGGAGAACAGAATTATTATTTCTTTATTGGAGCAATTAGAATTAATTCCAAGTTTAGTTACAATTTTTCCAAATGCAGAAGATCCAAATTCACTACATCCCAGAATTTGGCTACAGCAAGATGGCGCGCCTCCTCATTATGCACTAGTTGTACGAGAATACCTCAACCAAACATTTCCCAATCGGTGGATTGGCAGACGCGGACATATGAATGAAAGATCGCCTGACTTAACCCCTTTAGATTATTTTCTTTGGGGTTATTTAAAATCTAAAGTTTATGTTAGTAAGCCTGTAATCTAGAAGATCTGAAGCAAAATATTAGAGAAGAAATTCAATTAATCAGCCCGGATATGATTCAAAACATTCAAGAAGCGTTTGTCTCCCGATTAAGATATTGCCTTGCCGCAAACGGGCAGCAATTTGAACATTTGAATTAATGATGTTGTTTTCTATCTTTCATGTTGTTGTTTGATGCAACAAACTATTGCTACTTTTGTATCTCAAATACAATAGTTATAATAATTAATTTAAATAAATAATTCAATTCAAATTGAATTTTGACACTTGGAAATGTCAAATCAAAACAATTGGTTCATCTTTCATTATCCTCTTTCAAATTCAGATACGAGAGATACGCATTTTGGTTCATTATACTGGTCCAGCAGCTGAAAATAATCCTCACACCATCACAGATCCCCTATCATATGTCATAGTTGGTCTTAGGTTTTTTAAATGCACCTTCTCATTTTTTGATCGCCTTTCTACCATGCAATTTAGCATTATGGAGCATGTTGATGCTCTAGCTTTTTCCCTAGTTCATTCTCAGCAATAATAGCCACCTTTGCTGCGCTAAGAAATGGATCCATTTTTTTTACGGCGCTTTATTATATCGTGCACCATAAAATGGCTTCTGTCTACAATTTTTGCAATTTCTCATACCGATTTTTCTTGCTAAGAATGTTTAAGCACTAATTTTCTAATTTCAATAGTCGTTTGGCTCTTCTTCTAGACATTTCGAATAAAAAACTAGATTTCCGCTAATCAACTGTTAAAGCTTCTACATGAAATTGTTTATAATTTTTGCTTGATTGACTTTTTGTACTGTTTTCGTTTATTTTTATATTTTTTTGTTACAGTGAATTAATTTTTGTATTTCGTAAAAGTATTATTACTCTACTGTTAAAGTTTGGCTTAAAGCCATCCTATGTCTTCATTCTCAATCCAAGTTATTATGCTTTAAATAACCTTGGAATGATTAAAATAAGTTAATATCATGAATAAACACACAGTGCTACTTTAAAAGTGATTTTATTTTTCAATTGAATTAAATGAATTATTGCACTTAATACATAAAACTGGCTACAACATATAGGAATCATAAAATTAATCAATTTAAGAAAATAAAACTATTATAAAATCGGCATATGAGAATTAGTTAATATATGTCATCACAAGTAATAATACCAATACTGAAGATAAAGATAAAAATGTAAATCAAGAAAAGTATCGATTGTAATAGTGGGGTGTGTAATTTTAAGATGATATGAGACTCTTTTAAACCAGTTAAGATAATAATTTTTCTAACATTCAGAATATAACTTTTCATTAAAGATTTAAAACCTCAAATTGATATGGTTTTTAACCATTATTGAAATTTAAATTTACTTGTACAAGGATATACATTTTTTTGTCAAACATTATATTTAATTACATCAAAAATCTTCGTGTTTTTTTCTAGACATTTAAAATAATACTTTCAGAAAAAAAAAAAATTATATATTCGGTTTACTGCTCCAACAACGTGGAGATCTCGGCCTAGATAGTTTTTTGCCAATAGTCTGGACATGAAATCCAATCTCAATCAATTCTTCATGGTTTAATATTTTTCGACCATCAAATATAAAAGCAGGTTTCATCATACCTTTGTAAATGCGGTTATAATCATAAGTCTGAAATAATAATAAAAAATTTATAAATTAAACTAGCATTAACACTTTAGGGTTTAGCCACACGTCTCTCAAGACGGCTAAACCCAAATGATTCTAGTTCTAGGTCTTGTATTAGTTCTAGTGATAGTGCTGGTGTAAAACTAGAACTAACACTAAACTGAGAACTAGAAACTTTCGGGTTTAGCTGCACATACTTAAACAATCTATAGATTTGTTGTACCACTTACAATAAATTCATCCCATTCTGTACATAAAACTATAGCATGAGTTCCAGCTGTAGCACTATAAGCATCTTCAAATATTTTCACGCGACTTTTAACTTGTTCTGGGAACTCACAAATACTTGGGTTAGTTAAATCATCAATAATTTGAGACTTTTCAACCTTAAAAGACAATAAAATTATTTCAGCAAAATCTCTATACAGGTGTTTCTGTAAGTTGTGGCATAATTTTAATCACAAATATTAGAGTGAAAATGATTTTGAAAAATTTTTTGATCTAAATCCATAAATGGCTATGACATGAGCCTTCATAGTTTCGAAAATTGTCAAAAACCTTAAAATTTGGTTTTATTTTTGGGTGAGTTGGTACTACTGATCGATGGATTAAAAGAAATTTTTAAACATTTCCTTAAATATTGCATTTTCTATTATTAATTAGGGTTAAAGTCCCTAGATTTACAAAGTACCGCGGTTTGCCGCCATTTTGGCTCGAAAGTCAAGCGGGAAATTTAAAACTATGTCGTTCTATTGATAACATTACGTCAAAACTCCATTCTTTTTTCTCGTGATACTCTTAAGAGTCGAAAGCCCTTCTTACTGCTATTTTGCAACTCCAAAGGCAACAAGACGGTAAATTTATGTAAATAAGTGGTGAGATGCAGTGACAAGTTGTCAAACCGCCATTTTGGCTCGAAAACAGGCGTCATGAACCGCGGTACTTTGTAAATCTAGGGACTTTAATTAGGGTTTGAACATCGCCACATCTTTATATCAAAGTAGGAATAAGTAGTAGTATGAAGTTAGATACGTAAAATTAATCTGAAGTTGTAACACAATCTAAGACAGTCCCAGGGATCGTTCATAGTATTATCACCGTAAGATGGCATTAGCGTCTATAGTGAAATAATTTAATTAAACTAACAATTATTATTAATAGTGGGAACGATGAGAGACAGCAATAACAATTATTACCAGTATTATTCTTTTAATTTAAAAAGTATAGATTCCAATTCGTGTTATATTTTTAAATTTGCCGCTAAGAATTTTAAAAGTTGAAGTTTGTTCAGAATGGCAGATGAAAATGTCATTTTAAAGTGATTTTTCAGTAAGAGTATAATAAAGTAATAATGGTATGATTAAATAATTAGATTAAATTGTTATTATAGCTTTGTTTCAGCTAACGTTATAACTGGTTGGAAGCTCGTCAGATGCAATTTCACATGTCATATGATGCAGTGATATTCAAATGTGGCGCCATTATTTGACAGGTGTAATAGACTGCCTAAGTCTGACGTCACAGAGGTGGGCGGAGCTTATACTGACTCCAAACAATTTCGTTGCTAACCACAGTTGCTAAGATAAATCGCCAAAAAATGTCATTTGAAATGTCATCACTTAGTTTATTTTATTTTAACACTAATGGAAAATTGCATATGATGATTTACCGTTAGCAACACAGTTAGGAATTCCCAGTCGGAACGTTAATTCCAAACAGTTATTCTGTGGTTGGAACTTTTATATATAAACCCAATCGAACCTGTATTCTAATGGTTCGGTTCTTAGCTGAATAATACAAAAATTTCCCCCAACAGATGGCGCCACATGCATTCAATTTTTTTTTAGTGATTAAAATTATACCACGACTTACAGAAACAGGTTGTATACTAATTATTAATTATAATTACTTACTTTTGGGTCATAAATATTAATAGAAGCTCCTTCATCCAATAAAGTTTTAGCAACATGAATAGCAGGACTTTCTCTAGTATCCCCTGTATTTTTCTTAAAAGCAAACCCCAATAAAGCGACTTGTTTTCCACTAACAGTATTAAAAAGTGACTCAATCACTTTCGCTGTAAATCGGGATTTTTGATACTCATTCATATCGATAACCTGTTGCCAATATGCGGCCACTTCAAGTAAATTTAAACTCTCGCAAATGTAGATCAAGTTTAAAATGTCCTTTTGGAAACAGCTCCCACCAAAACCAATAAGTTAATGGCAATAAATTTATTATTTTTATGTTCTATCTTATGTTTGCTTTATCATTACAAATAAGCTTTTTTTATAAACTTACCAATTGAGGCTTGAAGAAATTTCGATCCAATTCTTGAATCTAACCCAACCGCTCTTGCTACTTCTGATACATCGGCTCCTGTTGATTCACAAACAGCCGATAACGAATTTATGCTGGATATTCTTTGAGCTAACATTGCATTTGCAGCCTAAAAGCAAAAAAAAAGATATGATTTATTTCTATATTGTTTTTCTAGATTAAAGTTTTCAATTAAATTTTGGGATTAAATGTTTTAAAACAATAATTTAATCTAAAAAAAAATGTTTTATCTTTATTAGAAAGTGATTTCTATCAAGTTTATCTATCATTTTTGGGATTTTTTGGTTAAAAACAAATAATTTTACCAATTTTGATAATTCTGAAGACCAAGTATTTGTAGTTAAAATATTTTTTCGCGGAATCCAATGTTCATAAACAGAGCAAAGTTCTTCAATAGCAGCTCTTCCTTCGGGGCTATCTTCCCCTCCAATAAGCACTCGATCGGCGTGTAATAAATCATCAATAGCAGTACCTTCACAAAAATTTCAAATAAAATATCCTTATTGTATTTTTAATAAAAAATTACCTTCTGCTAAAAACTCTGGATTAGAAAGGATTTGATAAGAAACACCCGGACGTTGATTAGCACTCAAAATGTTTAAAATACTTTCAGCAGCTCGTACCGGAACTGTACTTTTCTCAACAACTATTTTATTGCTTTGTGCAATATCTGCAATCATTCGAGCAGCCCCTTCAACATATTTTAAATCTGGGGCTCTTCCCTAAAATTAAACCAGAATTATTTATAAAAAAAATTATTATTGAAACAGGATATAAAAAAAATAGAAGCTAATTTGTTGAATCAACTAACTATAAATAGAATTTAATTACCTTCCCATTTCCAAACGTTTTAGTTGGTGTATTCACAGAAATAAAAATTAAATCTGCATCTAAAATAGCTGTTTTAATATCATTGGAGAAAAATAAATTCTTTCCTCTACAAGCTTTAACAACATCATCAAGTCCAGGCTAAAAATAATTAATTTTTATTCAAAATTAACTTAATTCTCTTATTTTACCTCATAAATGGGTAATTTTTCGCTATTCCATTGTGCGATTCTTTCTTTGCTTAAATCAACAACCGTAACCTTAATTTCGGGACATTTCCAAGCGATAACACTGCATGTTGGCCCCCCAACGTATCCGGCACCCAAACAACAAATATTTTTTACCACCATTTTTAAAAGAGTATTTTTTATTTAGTCGAATTAATAAAAAGTTAAAATGCCGATCAATTTTGAGGTTATGCTCGAACCGCCTCAAAACACCTACTGAATTGTACTGATACTAGAAATTGAAAGTTGGGTGATTAAAACGCGTGGAAAAAATACATCCTGTGTAAAGACGTAAAAGATAAGGAAGATTTGAGTACAAAAGCTACAAATTTACGCCTTTGTATGAACCATAAAATAATTAATAAAAGTAATTACTCACCTTTGTATTTTAATATTTATTGGTATAGTAAAAAAGTTAAACTTTTTCGATTGAAATAACTAAAGATTTTAAATATTTATTTTTTATTATCCTTGAACCACTACGGTGGAAACGATGGGTAAAGGACCTTGCCTCATGTTTTTATATCATCACAATGGTGTCATTGACGTCTTTCCGAAGACGTCGTAACCAAGCCTTGGTATTGAATACTTAAAGATTTGTGAAGTTTTCTTTTTAAATATAGTATTGAAGGCCATAGGATTACCCTCATTCCTTGTAGAATAAATATTTGGTTTAAATAAGTTTATTTTGAGTTTGTAATTAGTGCAAGGACTATTTAAAAATTATTTTTAGTTTTTTGATGAAATTACATTTCAAAAAAGTTAGGTTATTAATTTGATGATTGATTGTCATCCGGTTCGGTTTTAGAGTTTGAAATCTTCGTTCATATCATGCTCTAGCTATGTATGTATATTTAAAAAAAATGCGAGATAATCGTAAAGAATTCGAATTGTTTAAAAATTAATAAAAATTAGGTTAGAATTGATAAAAAATCGATTCTAAAATTTATTATTTTAAAGTTATCCAACTTGACTCGGTTACCATGGTGATTAAGATCCAAATATTGCAGTTGCTTGTCAAAATTGACGTTGAATTTAAGTTTTTTTAATGAAAAATACATAATTAATTGGATTTAAAGGTTGTATTTAATTCAAAATGGGTAAATGGATGAAATTATAAGCAAGGTAAGTGGATTAAATCAAAAAAAAATATTTTTAAATCAATTAAAATGTACAAGAATTTAGGGTTAAATAACAATTAAAACTAGAACTAACACTAGACGCTAGGTACCAATAACTTTTATCAAAGTCAACCTATTTTTCTACTTACGATTAAACGGTGTAATAAAAACTGTAGCATTCCATTTAAAATAACGAAGTTATGGTTTACTTCCGGTAGACCGGAAGTGGCGGCCATCTTGAAAATATTTTAGATCGAAAGTTCCGAATGAACAACCCATGCTACCAAAATTTCAAAGCTCTACGAATAGTGGAACCTGAAAAAGTTCTAACGAACCAGTTACGTGACATTTTAAATTTGAAGTTAGTTATCATATAATAGACAAATGGACAACTTCATGGTGTTCTTTCATGATGTATTCGTTATTAAAAAACCTTTAAAATGAGTTCAAACATGCATTTATCTCGAAAAACAACAAAGTTGTAATAAAAAATATTAAAGTTGGCAACATTGAAATTAGCAACATAATTTTAAATATTAATACCAACCTTAATTTTTCATTCACGACGATTACAAATATGTCAAAATTGACGTTGACATTTGTAACCGAAAATTGATCATAACTTCATTAGTATTGAATTGTTGACATTTTAAACCTGAAGTCAGTTATCATATAATAGACAAATGGACAACTTTATGGTTTTCTTTCATGATGTATTCTTTATTAAAAAAATCTTTAAAATAAGTCCAAACATGACTTATCTCAAAAAAGTTTGAATAAAAAAACGTTAAACCCGAAGTTAGCAACAATTTAATTATTAAATATTAATACCAACCTTAATTTTTAATTTTTTTTATTGCATTTTTGTTTTTGTGATAAATTTTAAGACATTTTATAAAAATTAATAATTTGTCAAAATGACATTGACATTTCAAACCGCAGGTTGCTTATATCTCGACTACTATTGGAATTAAACGTATCATGTTTGTGCTCATTTTAAAGGATTTTTCACGACAATTACAAATATGTCAAAATTGACGTTGAACTTTCTAACCGGAAGTTGACTATAACTTCATTAATATTGAAGATAAATATGTCGTGTTTGTACTTATTTTAAAGGATTTTTAATGAAGATTACAAGAAACTTCTTGATGTTTCACCTGCTTCAATCGTTAAAGCATTTGTTGGAGAAGATATCAGGGCACCCAGTATAGCTCTATAGACTTCATAGCACGTTACCTGAAGTTTATTCATCATAATTTTAGGAATAGGCATTAGTATCCATAAACCATATTCAATTCTGGATCTGACTATTGCTCTATTATAGAGTACTTAATGTTATAGGATCCCATTTCGAGTTGGCCGAGGATTTAATTAAGTTAATACCCCCTTTACAAGGCTTAACTATTGTATTGACTTGTTCTTTCCAACTTAGTTTCCCGTTGAAAGTTAGGTTATAATCAAATTGAAGTATTTAATTTTATTTTAAATATTAATAAAGCTAAGAAAGTAAATATATTTTATTTAATTCTTAATAAATTAAAAAAAAATCAAATTAAGATGATAATTGCATTTATTTTAACTTAATTAATACAAAAATGTTATTATTGTCGGTTTCAAATAATGTTTGTTTAATCTTCACTACACCAATCGATACTGAAAATCACATAAGCTGCAATACTATTAGCAATTAAAAGAATAGAAGCGGCAAAAAGAGTCCACAGTAAACATTTTTCCTGTTTACTCATCTCTTTAAACAAATTTGTAATTTCTTCTGTCAAAATTGCCATTATGACATTCTTATCTACGATAATCTTTTAAATCGTTCAAGTTAATTAATTAATTTCCCAAATTTCTTTTGCGAAGCAATAAAATTCGTAAAAATTCTTGATTTTTCGTTATCTTCATTTCGTGCTTGTATAATACTCGGACTTCTCATTCGATCCAAAACAATCATGACACTAATTACGATTACGATGCCGATGAAGACAATGGGCGTCATTGGATGGTAATAATCTTTCTTACCGTAATCGATTTGAATTGGCACAGGGACGATATTTTGAGTCACGTGACTACAATGTTCGTATTTACCGCAAGACATTTCGAATTAAACGAGTTAAGTTTTGGACAGGATTTTTACATATATACGTTTTTAAAAGATATGCTCTGGTAATTTTTTAGCATTCTTTTGAATTATTTGAGTAAGGTGCATAATATAACCTATTGTTTCCGCGTTTTTATTAGTATTAGTAGATTAGCGAGTTTATCAGAGCTTATTATTATCATTGTTTGATCTAACAATGACAAAGAAATTATATAGATATAATAAGGTTTTAACGGTTTTTTTGCGTTTAGATTTTAAGTAATTTTTTTTGTTTGATGTGTTGAGATTAGAAAAAAAGCATGTTACTCTTAAAAAGATATTGTTTAACGATAATGTTTTTTTTTTTTTAGGTTTGTAACATAAAAAGGAACCTAACCTATCTTATTAATTATAGAAATTTTATGTCATTCAAAAAATTAACATTAAAGATAATGATATCTTATGTTACAAATAAAACTTCCAAAACGTTCAAAGATATTCAAAGCTGGGAATGTACGGATGAATTTTTATTAACAGCAATTAATATTTCTGGAATAATAATTTTTGGATTCTTTCTCATTTTGATTTATTACATTATTGATTTGTCAAGTAATTGGTTAGATGACTAAACTGGCAGAAATGTTGTGAAAATCGTGGTGCTGAAAAAAAATTGTGAATATTAAAATAGTGCTATGTTTAAATACAAATAAATGATTTCAATAACATAATTGGAGTTTAATTCTTAATCACATAGTAATTGTCAAATTAGCTGTCAAAATCTGTTATTTGGGTTGCCTATATATTGATAACAAATTATTTTGGTTATAACATTTTAAAATAATTTATTACAAACAATTATTTCAATTAAAATAGAATTCTCATTACAAATTGAGCAAATTAAAGATTATATAAGTATTTTATTATAATCGAATTTAAAATAAAAGATGTTATAGATATTGTTATATTCTCCATGATATGCTCATAACTAAGCACAATTTAATTTATTTAATTTCCAAACGATTATTTCTACAATTTCCAAAATAAGAAAAACTCTCAATAATTAATAATTATAACAAAAACAATTAATTAATAATTTTGATTATTACATTTCCTTTCTATTAATTTTTCAAACCACTTTATAGATGGTTAAAAGGTCTATGACCAGAAACGTTTTTTTCTGATTAGGTTATGTTTACAGAGAAGTGACGTGTGCTTTCGTTTCGTTAAAATAAACATAAATTCCTTTTATTTGAACGTTTATGGTGACTCAAGAATGAATACTTCCGCATGTTAAGACACAAATCATAAGTTTGCAACCGTGAATTGTAAAAAAAACGATAACGATGCGTTTAAATATTGATTTGAATGAGTGTCTTCGTGATTCGCCCAAATTTAGGTCGGTTTTTTCTATACATTTTTGCTTGATTTAATTAAATTGGGTGTTTTCGGGTTTTAGAAGCATATTGGAACAGGAAGAGGCTAATGTGGATCAATTAGAACAAAAATTAGATAAGATAATTAAGTTATGTGGGAATGTTGTTGATTCTGGTAAAGCTTATGTTGCACAACAAAGGTTTTAATTTTTAATCAATTTATTTAATACCAAATTTATTAATGAATCTTTTTAGTTTATTCGCTAACGGGTTATGGGATCTTAGTGCTCACTTTAAAGAAGACACCTTGGTGTTGTCTTCGCTTAGCAAATTAATACATAATTTGCAGGAAATGAACAAATTCCATACAATCTTATTGGATCAAGCTTCACGAACAATTTTGCGCAACTTAACATCATTTTGTAAAAGCGATATCAAACATGTACGCGATTGTAAACAACACTTTGAAAAGATATCTCAAGATTTAGATACGGTGTTGGTTCGTAACTCTCAAACAGCGCGAAATAAATCGCCAGAAATTGAAGAGATTGGTAATCTTTTGGTTGCAACGCGGTCATGTTTTGGTCATCAGGCTATGGATTACGTGTACAGTATAGAAATTTTACAAAATCGTAAACGACATGAAGTATTAAGTACTGTAAGTTGCAAAAAATTTTCATTTGCTTTTTGATTTTGGGTGTTTTTGATTTGATTTTTTTAGCTATTGAGTTATATGCATGCTTGTACTACTTATTATCATCAAGGATCGGATTTGTGTGAAGATTTAGAACCTTTCTTAAAGAAATTAGCAGAAGAGGTAATTAATTAAGGAATTTCTTGTTTTTTTTGTTCCAGGTTTATTTATAACTATGCAAGTACTGGGATTTAAACAGTAAATCATGTTAAGGGCAAGTTGTACATATCATGCCAGTTTGTCTTTTACATCTATGATGCCTTATTTAAATTTTTTTGCAAAATCTTATGCTGCTCTCATTGCAGCTTTGCTTTTGCAATTCTGCTCATTGGTCAGTTGTCAACGTTTTTGTAAATCATTAATTAAGGGACTATACCAGTGTTATTACTTGTTACTAAAGAATTTAGGTGATGTTTTTTTTAAGTATTTATCATAGTATTTATCATCATTTACAATAATTTTTTCATAGAAAAATAGTAACATTTGAGCGATTTATGCGCTATGTCCCAAAACTAGGAGTGTTTTGGCAAAAAGGTTCCTCTACAGCTGCAGTGATAACAGTCAATTCAGTACCTAAAATGAAAAAACAAATATTGATGTTAAACTAGAAGATATTGTAGTTAGGATTTTAGAGAAATATTGAAATTTTACAAAATGGCGGGGTTTTGAAAAAAACTTTAATTTTTCTCTAAAAAAGTCGCCGTTTTTTTATGTCAAATCGACAGTGTTCATCCAATCAAAAATATCTTAGATCATGTACTTTGTCCACAACTACTATTGAAATTGATTCGATAAATTTATTTCGTTAAATAAATTTTTGAATAAAGGTTAAACGTCAACTTGACACAAATTCAATGTTACCAACTGTAACCAACTTCACAACAATTTGATTAAATGTCAATTTTATGAAACGTCATGTTTTTTTTGTACGAAAATTAATTAATTTATGCTTAAATCATATGAAAATAGTTATTTTTGATACAAGATAGCGAAATGACAAACGAATTTCGCTGGATTCTAAAGTTTATATATTAATAAAACGACCAAATTCAGTATAATGACATTTAGAATTCATTTCATGTCATGTCAAAAACTTAACGTCACATCGACTTAACCTCATATATTAAACAAATGTACTATTATAAATTTGCATTTAAACATAAAATGAACTGATAAAACAATTAAATGTTGATTATTTTGTGTTTATAATTTGTTCATAAGAATGAATTAACAATTAATAGTATCAAATTCTTTGATTCTGGACGTATTCACTTGACAGGCTAATAATAACTATTTGAAACGTTAAAACTTCAAAAAACGTCAATTTAATTCAATTTTTTAGGAGTTTCTAAAGATTTGATATTAAAAAACCAAACAAATACCTTTTTTCGTATGATTTAAGCATAAATAAATTAATTTTCGTAAAAAAACGACGTAAAAAAACTGACATTTTATTTTGACAAATAATTGTTGTGAAGTTGGTTACAGTTAGTGACATTGAATTTGTGGCACATTGACGTTTAAACTTTATTCAAAAATTTATTTAAAAACTTGCTACGCTCGTGACATAAACTTAAGCTTAGTGAATAATAGCCCTCATATAATAATATAATACTATTTTGTAATTCGCGACGGTACTCAAACAGGTGCTGTAATGAGATTTTAGTAACATTTTATGGAACCAGTTCAAATTGTTCTAGTTGTCAATGTGACAATTTGCATTGGAATTTATATCTAGTAAAATTGAAAATTATTAATAAATTGAGGAAGTAGTGGTTTAATAGAAACATTTTTTTCAGGTGAATACATTTTGTGTTTTGACATTTTCTAATTGTCATTTCAAATTTCTATTTCCAAATGTTACGGTGTTACCAACTGCTACATACTTATTTCCCTACATTGTCAAAATTTATTTTATTTTTGTTAAAAAAAGGATAAAAACGCGAATTACAAAAAATAGCATAAAAAACACATTTCATAAGACTTAAAGCACTCATTCATTAAAAACTTCGTGGCTTCGCCACTCGTTTTTGAACTTGAATTCGTGCATTTCAAGCGTGTCTTACAAAACTAGTTTTTTAATATACTATTATAATACTCTGTTAAAATTTAAATTTGATCATTGTCTTTGAGGATAATTTGTCTTTGAGTTAGAATTGCAGCAAATTTAAAAAATACCGTTTTGAGAAAAACGTGTTTAAAGTTTTAACTATCGATAAAACGATATTTACCATAAGAAATGTCACTCGAAAAAATAGCCCCTTAACTTTTATTTCAATTAAAATAGGTAGCAACAATGCAAGAAGAAACAATAACGATCGAAAAGAAATTAGAAAATAGGCATAGTTTCGTTACAAATAAAGAAATAATTCCGAATTTAGCTAAAAGTAAAGGAGGTCCGATTTTAGAAGGATACCTCTTTAAGAGAACTTCAAACGCATTTAAAACGTGGAATAGACGTTGGTTTTGCCTTAGAGATAACCAATTAGTTTATAGGTAAATATCAAAAAAAAATCTGTTGAGTCATACTAATTAAATAAAAAAATCAATGTAGAAAACGATCAGGGGATGATAATTACACAGTAATGGAAGAAGATCTTCGTTTATGCACCGTAAAACCAGTAGTAGATACAGAAAGAAGATTCTGTTTCGAAGTCGTATCCCCGTTAAAATGTCACATGTTACAAGCAGATTCAGAGGAGATGTTAACCGCTTGGATCTTAGCTGTACAAAGAGCTGTTGGGGTTGCATTTCAAAATCATCCAATATCATCCGATACCGACACTAATAAACCCCTCGAAACGGCTTTTAATAAAATCGCCAACGAAAAGAAACGAAAAAAAGGTAGAATTTGGGAACAATTGCTTCGAATACCCGGAAATGATAAATGTTGCGATTGCGGCGAATCCAATCCGAGTTGGGCAAGTATTAATTTAGGAGTTACGTTGTGTATAGAATGTTCGGGTGTTCATCGAAGTCTTGGGGTGCATTATAGCAAAGTTAGATCGTTAACTTTAGATGATTGGGAACCGGAATGTATTAAAGTTATGGCCGAATTGGGAAATACTGTCGTTAATAAAGTTTACGAGGCGAATGTTCCCGAAAATTACATCAGGGCAACACCAATGTGTACAAAGTACGTCTATTGAATAAATTGAATTTAAAAGATTTTTAATTTTTTTGTTTAGTTCAATACGAGAAAATTGGATTAAATCTAAATATGTTGAACGCAAATTTGTGTACAAACTCCCAGATATCACGGAGAGGGCTTCGAGAAATTTAATGAATATAAGAAAATGGAGTGTGCGGAGATTGCGAAGAAGACCAAGAAGTTGCGATAACTCAAGAAAAAATGTTGTGTCAAAACAACAACGCGATAGTGTGTTAATGTTTGGGAACGATCTAGATAAACCTATTAATGAAACGTTTGATATTAGTAGTGATCAAGACTCTACAGGTGGTGAAGATAATGATACACCAGGTTAATACATATATAATAATGCATAAAAATGATTATTTTTAAAATTTTTTAATAAAATCGTTTTAGATGAAGAAGATATAAGCAAATTACATCCAGATCGACTTTTATATAAAGCCGCTTTAGCTCATAATTTACCAGTTATGTGCGAGGCTTTAGCTTTGGGGGCGAATCAACAATGGAAAAATGAGGATGATCATAATAGAAGTGCTATTCATGAAGCAGTACTCAGTGTATTTATCTAATAATAAATAATACAATAAGAACAGATAAAAATGTTTTAATAATTTTAGGGTTCAGTAATGTCTTGTGCATATTTGTTATTGAATGGTGCAAAAATTGATTTACAAGATGATCGAGGTCAAACTCCTTTACATTTAGCAACTCAAGGTGGTCATACCGCTCAAGTTTGTCTCTTATTGAAACACAGAGCGGATCAGCATTTAAATGATAACGAGGGACTTTTGCCATTAATGATAGCCGAACAAAAAAAGGACGCCGATATCGTGACTTTGTAAGAAATCCTAATTTGATAAGAATTTCATTTTATTAAAAATTTTTTAGATTAAGATTAGGTCGACTTAATGAAGAAATGAAAGGATCTGATATGGGTGTTTGTGGTGATGATACTTTTAACGACGTTGTTAGAGATTTCTCCCAAATGGCTTGTAGTCACCCAGAGCGGTTACAACGAACTAAAAATTCTGAATAGAGAAATAAGTGAAATATTCTTCTTTTTTTTTTTAATAATTGTGCTTTAAATCTCTTTTAACAAATGTCTTTTTAACGTTATTTGTTACCAAAATACTCTTTTTTTAAAAGATGTGCCTTTGTATATTAATTGAATCTAAACCATTTTATGTTTTTACAGTATGTATATTTATATATTTAATCTATGTATAATTAAAATTTAAAAAGACAATTCTTTATAGTAGTTTTTTTAATCACGTCGTTTTTAACCTTCTCACACTGGAGTTCAAAAGATCTGAGCAAGTTTTGTGTTATAAACTCAATTCCGTGTTGTTTGAGTGAGACCTACATGATCACGTCAATTATAGACTATTTTGATGAAATATAGTATTTTAGTACATCAGAAGCCCGAGATGATCATGGACCTTAACATAACAAAGACGTGTTAATTCGGAAAACACGTGTTAGTTCTAGTTTTGCACTATCACTAACAAACAACATCTCGTTATGTAAGATGTTCCAATGCAATTTTCACCAACTTTGTGCGCACTGAACACGTTGACTGTAGCGCCTCGGCCTCAAGGGATCTCCCTGAATAGAGTAAATTAAGATTGTTGCTAATTTAAGGTGTAAAATAGTAGTGTAAAAAAGTAATCCCGGTATGTAACAATCCCTTAGTTTAAGTGTCTTGTAACTAGAACATATATGCAAGGTGCAAAGGTGAAAGGAATAAAGTTTAGTTATAGTAAATAAAATAAATAAAGATAATATTAAAGTAGCTTTCTTTTTATTGAAATAGAGCAGTGCTAGAATTAATCTAATATATCATACTTATTTACCAATACATATCAATTAAATTTAAATAGTCACCGTCTAAGAGTAAATATATTAAACTATTATACTAATTATATCATTTTTTTCTTTAAATAAGCTTCCATTTATATTATATATTATTATATATAAAACCATAACGTCAACACAAGAACCTCAAAAATCATAATGAAGCAAGATAGTTTTTTTTATACTCAATAAATTATATAGTAACTGTTTTAAAAATAAAATATACACCATTTTAATCGTAACTAGTACTTCACTATCTACATTTCTTTTTTTTTAATTATTTTTATTTCATTTCTGACTCGACTAGTAGCCCCAAAAAGCACAAAAGAAAACAAAAAAAAAACGTTATCGACGTTTTTAATTAAAAATCGACCATTTTTTCAAAATGCCTATCGATTTAACTTACAGCTTTACTCTTAAACACTAAGAACAAAAATGTGTATATTATGTATTATATTTTTATATATTAGTAGTCGTAGTTATAGACGTTTAAAAGTCAAAAAATTATCCAAAACCAAATATTAAATGCAAGTAGTGCTAAAGAACGTAAGCTGTTATTTAAACAATTTTTGTAGATCAAAGATTCACTAGGCAAGGATATTAATTGTGATGTAGTAGCATCCTAATTTTATTTTTTTTAGGATTTTTTTAGAATAAACGAGCTCGCTTTTTAAGCTCGTTGCGACGCCACTGGGGTAACCTATAAAAATCCGCCCGTACACATTGGAATATTGCTTCAAATTCCGTATCAGATAGATGCCTCTAAAGTAATAAATAAAACATATTAATTAAAAATAAGTTATTTTAAAGATGTAGTTAGTGTCACCTCTAGGTTTACTCTATCAACATCTGCGGGCAGTCGATAATTATTCGTTAACAGTAAATGGTAAGGGTAAATCTTCGCTGGTTCGTTTATTAACATTGTGTGAGCCATGTTTGGCAGGGATCGTCTTACTTGAGACGTGTACCCTCCTGGGGATCTTCCCAGTGCTGAGTAAGTCGTGGGTACGATCATTTCGGAATTCTGAGTAAAAATAACAAAATCAAAATAAATAAAATTAATATTAGTTAGATAACTTTAAAAGTTTAAGCTAAGTAAAAATAGATATAGTAATAAGATAAAAGAAATTGTAGATTTAGAATTCGGAAGATTTTTCTATGTTAGAAAAAGTCATAGTAAAATTAAAATTATTATAGTTATACTATAATTATTACGTACCAAAGCTCTTCTATCAACATCCGTCATTGACCCGATGGAAACTAGAGAAACAGTTTTCGATAAGTCAGTAACAATTCAACAAATTCAAAATTCATATCATAAGTTATTATTGATTAATTCTTATTCATGTTTATCGTCGTTTAAAAGCAAGTTAAGTCGTGCACAAGTTTAAGCAAGTTAAAATAATAAAATCAACTCAAATTTATCAAAAAATAATAATAATAACAACCATAAACAGCAATCATACGAACTATCACAACCACATCTTTCACCCAACAATCCATAATGAAGCCAACAAACGTATAAAGATAAAAGTGTTAATTACTTACTGTCCGATTTGCCGCTACTAAAATCCGTGCTATGCGTTTTTACTCCCATACCGCTAAACGAATAATCTCCCTGCGAAGTACACACACATGATGATTGTTAACAAAAAGACCAAAAAAAATTAAATCAAAGCGAATTCATTTTTTTGTTTTATACTACTTTTACTTTAAGGGAAAATAAAATCTATTTGAGTAAAAATTAAAAAGGGAATTTTTAACATTATTTAATTTTTCACACAAAACAATCACTTTCTTAATTAAAAAAAAATGCAGCTAAAATTGGTTAAATCATTCTAATTTATGTTTTTGTTATAAAAATATGTTCTTAGTAAATTAATATTTTCTAAGTAATAATCAAATCATATATAGTTCGTTTTTTTTCTATAATACTTGTCAATGTAAATTTTTTAGGGTTTCTGTTGGTATTATTTAGGGGTTTTCCTGATTTTTAGTAACATTTTCAGTAACTAAATAGTTGAGGTTAAAATACTAATACATTTTTAGATAAATACGATTTTAACGAATTACATATTTGTTGTAAAAACGTGCTAGAAAGTACTTAAATAAAACAAAACACCTTTTCTAGGTAAATAAATGGCAAATAAACATCCCACAACATTTTTATGCACCTTTTCTTTTTAAATTACGAAAGCTCAAACGTCAATGTGACATATTTATTTTAAAAGATGATAAAACAAAACTCCCTATTAATTTTGCCAACTTTACAACAATTTGGCAGGTATTATAGAAAAAAAATGAACTATAATTAAGTTGGCAAATATAATTTGACTTTAAAATAGAGTCTTAATAAAACAGGAAATGAAGCAAATTAACTTAGAACAAGAAATGGTTGATATAAATATAAAGGTTTTCACGGTCGGTGTTAATTGAACTAGAATTAACACTAGCATTATCACTAGAAATAACTCTAGAACTAGAAACACACGGAATAACGGCTAAACCTGAATGTTTTTAGTTCTAGGTTTAGTGTTAGATCTAGTTTTACACCAGCACTATCACTAGAACTAACACAAGACCTAGAACCTGAATCATTCGGGTATAGCAGTATTGAGAGACGTGCGGTTAAAGTCGAAACTTCTCGGTCTAGTGTTAGTTCTAGTTTTACACTAGCAGTAGCTGAATAACTATTAAAACTAGAACTAACACTAGACCTAGAATTAGAAAGATTCGGGTTTAGCTAGTTTTACACTAGCACTATCACAAGACCTAGAACTAGAATCATTCGGGTTTAGCCGTCTTAAGAGACGTGCGGCTAAACCCGAAAGTTTCTAGTTCTTAGTCTACTGTTAGTTGTAGTTTTACATTAGCACTAGCTGAATAACTATTAAAACTAAAACTAACACTAGACCTAGAACTAGAAAGTTTCGGGTCTGCATTATTAATTTAATAATAACTATAGCTTAATTTAATTTATTATTATTAAAATCCAACTTCAGTTTCTCGCGTTTATTTTAAATTTCCTCGGTACCGGTTTCGACACTATATTAGGCATCATCAGCTGAATCCACAATTTAATTTAACCCAACCCAACCCAACCCAACTATCCCAAAACTGTATGCCTTACCTAAGCTTCATAAACAAAATATACCAATAAGTTCATGTTAAAAATTTTCAAAGAAATGTATTTTAAACCAAATTATTCTACAGGGTGCCCATTATGTATGGAACATCGTATACAGGGTGCCCATTATGTATGGAACATCGTATACAGGTAGACCATTATGTATGTAATGTAGTATACAGGTGTCTCAGCGAGACCGGTCATTAGACGTTTTTTGGGGTTCTGGCGAAAATAAAAATTTGAGAATTCAGACTTAAGTATTATCAATTACGATCTCTTCGACTAAAATATTTTCAGATTTCTTGCACTTCCGGTTATACCGGAAGTCGCCACCTACTTTATTTTTTTAAATGGAACACCCTGTATATTTTTACATATTTGGATTTGTCTGTTTTGAAGGTTTATAAATAACTTTACTTTTTGCAATTTGAACCAGCAATTCTCGAGTTATTCGAATTTTTCTAGAAAAATTTGCTCCAGCGGACATTTGTTCAAAAAATCATAGAACACTCAATTTTTGAGATATCAATTTAGGATTCAGAACATGCTTAAACAACATGATGGAGTATGTTTTGGTGCCGAGAACGGCTGTCTAGATCGTTTGGTCACTTTACTATGATACGTTAACTTTTCGAAATTTGGAAGCACCATAACTTCATTTTTTTAAATGGCACCCCCCATATTTTATTACTTAGTCGTCTTCGGCGTCTCATTTTACATCTTTTATATTCCATATGTCCTATGCCTAACATTAATAGTTTGAGAAATAATTAGGGTTTTTTGAAAAATGCTCACATATCATATGGATATTAACCTAGTGTGCCATGGAAAACAAATGTTTAATGACTTATTGATAAACGTCAAAGTCTAATTTAGGTTGTTTGATGCTTGTGAGTCTAAAACCAGTTAAAATGGATATTAATAACGTAAATAATGTTTATACAAATGAAGAAATCCATAATTTATTTTTTGTGCACGAAAAGTGCGACAAAGTTCTTAGTAGAACTTGCAGAATGTTTAATGAAAATTATCCACATTTATCTCCGATGACAAAAGGTAAATTTAGAGGAATAGAAGCAAATTTTTTGCATTTTGGACGAATTAATCACGTGTTAAACTGACCAAAAAATGTAGTAGATAATGCAACGGAAGAGGTGAATACCTTGGCTTATTTCGAGCCCAGTCCCAACACCTCAATTCGAGCTGCCAAAGAAGATCTGGGAATCATACTACGAACTTTGTCGCGCTTTTCATGCAAAAAAAATAAATTAAGAATTTCTTGATTTGTGTAAATATTACTTTCGTTATTGTTATCGATTTTAACTCGTTTCAGTACTAATATTAAGGGACATAACAGATAATTATTAGCTCACATGCATCAAGTGACGTAAACAAGTGAGTCTTTGACAAGAACTCATTGAGAAGGCTTGTTTTTCATGGCACACTAGGCTAAATATCCATATGATATGTGTGCATTTTTCAAAAAACCCTAATTATCTCCCAAACTATTAATGTTAGGTATGGGACATATGGGATATAAAAGATGTAGAATGAGACGCCGAAGACGACTAAGTAATAAAATATGGGGGGTGCCATTTAAAAAAATGAAGTTATGGTACTTCCAAATTTTGAAAAGTTAACGTGCCATAGTAAAGTGACCAAACGTTCTAGACAGCCGTTCTCGGCACCAAAACATACTCCATCATGTTGCTTAAGCATGTTCTGAATCCTAAATTGATATCCCAAAAATCGAGTGTTCTCTGATTTTTTGAACAAATGTCTGCTGGAGCAGATTTTTCTAGAAAAATTCGAATAACTCGAGAACGGCCGAATCAAATTGCAAAAAGTAAAGTTATTTATAAACCTTCAAAACAGACAAATCCAAATATGTAAAAATATACAGGGTGTTCCATTTAAAAAAATAAAGTAGGTGGCGACTTCCGGTATAACCAGAAGTGCTAGGAAACTGAAAATATTTTAGACGAAGAGAACGTAATTGATAATACTTAAGTTTGAATTCTCAATTTTTTACTTTGGCCAGAACCACAGAAACGTCTAATGACCGGTCTCGCTGAGACACCCTGTATATCTTCGTAGGTATCAACTTTATAAAAAAACATTTTATACAAAAGTTGTTTAATATTTTATTTGTCATAATAAGATAACATTCAATTGTTTTTATTTCAAAAAACAAATGAACAACGAATAACACTTGAAGTTGTTCAAATGACAATGTACCTTTTCGTTAGGTTCATTTGATAGAGATTGTTTTTCTCTTTACGATGACGTAAAATTTTAGTACCCTTATATCAGAAAATAAAAATTGTTTATTATGATTTTTGATTTATGACTAGTTTTAATTATTCTCATTTAAACAGAATTTTTTGTAATTCAATTAAATTGTAGATTTGGCTGATGATGACCTAATATAGTGTCGAAACCGGTACCGAGGAAATTTAAAATAAACGCGAGAAACTGAAGTTTAAAAAAAACATTATTGTTTTATTGTATCTAATTCTTAATTTAATTTGTTTCACTAATATGAGTTTACTTAGAAAAAATCAATTTACCAAGATTAAACTTCATATATTTTGCCTTTCTTAAAAAAAAAAATAAAATAAAAACAACGACAAAGAAACAAAATTTCATGCATAATAACTTTTTTGTTTGATATTTGAAGACCACGTAAGTCTCAAAAAACTTACGGGAATGTGCGTATAGCTACCGGCTGATGAGCTGAACGTGTGCGATCGAGGGGCAAGGCCGTAACCCGGTTTTGGAACGTGCCTCAATGCGCTGACGACTACCAAGGAGGAGGAGGAGCGTTTAAAATACAATTTTTTTTTAATCTTTTACTAAAATTTCGGTCAAAAATCGATTAAAAGTGATTGCCAGCATTAAAAATACTACTGTAACCTTGATAAATAAATGCAAGATGGAAGGCGAACCTTAACTTTCCTATGAAAAGGGCTAGAAATAGGAAGATTGATCTTAAATACTTACGTAACCGTTTCTGGTGGGTAAAGTTGACGATTTGAGACCGTAACCTGGCCTAGGAACGTGACGTAACGAGGAAACTACTGTTTGTGCGTGTACAGGCGACACAAAAACGATAAAAAAAAATAAATAAATACAACAAATAAACTAAAAGTGAAAATAAACGAAGTTAAACACATCATCTAATACTTATCAACTTGATTAGGTTACATTGTTATTTTCAAAACTTAACTATTTATATATTTTTGAAAATCAAAATATAATTCTCAATAATAAAAATTTGTGCTTTAAAGAGTGTTAAAACAATTAAATTTCAAATTAATTATTAACAATAAATAAAAATCGCCATGCAATCAAATTAATTAATAAATTTGGTTCCAAATTTCACAAAAAACACAATTAATTATAGTCTCACCTGTCAAAACCCCTGCGGGTTTATAAAATGCCAATGTGGCTAAGATTTCAAAGCATTTTTAAAAATAAATAAATCAAATTAAAATCAACGGAAATTTAATTTAAATTTAACCAAGCCGATTGACCAATTAGAAAAATCAAAAATTTTTTTAATTAATAGAAATAATAAAACAATCTTACCGTTATAACTAGGAATTTGTCCGATTGATCTTCCCATTGATGATCTACAACTATTTGAACGATCGAATTCTTCATCATCAAACGGTTTTGGGTGGTCTAAGTTTCTTGATGGGCTCGCACCGATTGGCGATTCGTATCTTAATCTATAAGTTGGTTCTTTTGCAGCACTGGGGGTTCTAAAAATAATAAATTATAAAAACAAAATTAGCAAAAGTAAACAATAATGAGATATGAATGAGAGAAAGATTGTTTATTGAGGAAAATGAATGAAAATAGAATGTATCAAAATTTATACAACAGCCAGTAATGAGTTAGGAAAATGCTGCAGAAGCAAAATAAGAGCATCAATGAATACGCTCAAATCAATCGCATAAATTAAAGAGAAACAGAAATAAGCATAAGGGGAGAGGAGGGTTCTGTCCAATCGGAACAGATGGTGCGTCCCAGACAGTACGTCGCGCCTTTATTTTACCTACATAAAGAAATAAGGCGCGACGTTTTGTCTGGGACGCACCATATGTTCCGATTGGATGGAACCTCCGTTACCCCGTAGAGCTTATTTCTGTTTCTCTTTAATTTGTAATTCCATTAAATCGCTTAAAAAATTTGGGAGCTCTAATTTTGAAAAACTGATAACGGAATCCAACAACCGACATTATTTGACATATTTTGATCAAATCCGCGACGAAATCCACCCAGCCGTTTTTGACATAACGGCGTCTTACTAAACCGCGATTTTCTGCGAAACTGTATGGAATATCGAAAAAAATAAAATATGCCACTCATTAAGAACACATCAGGCTACCACCTGTTCAAAATTCAAATTTTTTAGTACGATAGTTTTCGAGAAAAAAAAATCGCAAAGTTGACAAAGCCGGTACCGTAAAAAATCTGGTACTTTTTTCATTTAACTCGCGATAAAAAGAAAACCGTGGATCCGAAATTTTTCAAATTAACATATGTTACGTAGAAATGTTCAGTGATTACAACAAACTTTGTCGCAATTCTTTTTATCGAGCGGTTGCGAAGATATCGATCTCTAAAGTGAGGGGCCTTGACTTTTTGCACGGATAGTAGAAGACAATAAAGCCAAAACTCAAACAAATTAAGTAGGAATAACCTGGATCACAGAAATTACAAGTACTAAAAGAACAGTGTGATGGCGGCGATGGAAGGAAGAGAAGAAGATTCAAGTAAGAATCTGAGAATCGAAATTGAGAACAAAGTGTTAGAGCAGGGTGGACACTAAAAATATTTAGGAGTTACAACAGTATTATAGTTAGTTAGTTATACAGGTGTATCTGAATGACTGCAACAAACTTCAAGGGGTGATTCTTTAGTGAATTTTAAGGGTACTTTCATATATGAACCATGGGCGACTTCGGCTCCCCTAAGGAGCTACACCCCTCCAAAAATGGCGGAAAATTTTGCTTTAATTTCTTTTTCTCAAAAACCGTAAACGCTAGGAAAATGAAATTTGGTGAATATGTTTAACTCATAATAGGGCACGTTTTGACCCTATTTGTACTTTCAACCTACGCTTCTAAACTACTAAACGTAACCACCCCCGTTCAATTTTTGCCTAGTTTTTTTTATGATGATGATAAATACATTGGAAAAATTTCAGTTAGATAGATAAAACTATCCTAAAACTTTTTTGTCTCTCTAATGTTCTTCGAAAATTTAATAATTTCTGAGAAAAAAAATAATTAAGCAAACACTAACTGTTAAGCTGTAGGGTTGTTAATCGAAAGTTGGAATGAATTTTTAATGAAAAAATCTTAGTAGGCTTTGCAATCTTTGTCATAAATATTTTTGACGTTTAAATGTCAGTGGTTTTCGTACGATTATTATTGTTTTATTTAAAAGTTTAAAACGTCGAGTGAACGAGCGTAAATGCGAAAGACCTTTATTTAAAAATTAATTTGAAAAACAATAATAATAATAAGAAAAACGCTGACATTTAAACGTCAAAAATATTTCTGCCTACTAAGATTTTTTCATTAAAAATTCATTCCAACTTTTGATCGACAACCCCGTTGTTTAACGTGCAGTGTTTGCTTTATTATTTTTTTTCTCAAAAATTAGTCGTTTTTGGAAAAATTTTAAAGAAACAAAAAAGTTTTAGGATACTTTCATCTACCTAGATAAAATTTTTTTAATGTATTTATCATCTGCATAAAATATTAGCAAAAATGTAAAGGGGGTGGTTACGTTTAGTAGTTTAGAGGGGTAGGTTGAAAGTACAAATAGGGTCAAAACATGCCCTATTATGAGTTAAACATATTCCCCAAATTTCATTTTCCTAGCGTTTATGGTTTTTGAGAAAAAAAAATTAAACCAAAATTTTCCGCCATTTTTGGAGGGGTGTAGCTCCTTAGGGGAGCCGAAGTCGCCCATGGTTCATATACCAAAGTACCCTTAAAATTCACTGAAGAATCACCCCTTGAAGTTTGTTGCAGTCATTCAGATACACCCTGTATAGTTATAGAGTTGGTGGCGACATCTAGTCAGACTAAAAAAAGAACGACAAGAAAAATAAGTTTGGGACATTCATGGATGCAGATGAGAATGAGACAAAGGAGAATTAAACAGATTTGTTCATTTGTATTGAAATAATTAATTAGAATCAAAAAATTATTTTTGTAAACTAAAACTTTGAAGTCTCTATATTGAGATAATTAAAGATAATTTAATTCTAAACTGTAAGATTACATAAGAACTTAACGAATTGAGATGCCAATTTTCACCATAACGATAATAAACGTTACCTTGAAGCGTTTCTTGGATCCAAATGAGCAGCCTTCCACAATTTAACCTTCTCCCGTTCCTTAACTTCCTTCAAAAACACCTTCCCCATTCCACTATCAATCTTAGCCAATTCCTCTTGTTCCTTTCTCAATTGCACATCTTTAATCTCGCCAGACGAATTTTCAATTCCACCTCCTCCATCGACACCGTCTTCATCATCCGAGTTTGAAACGCCCTTATACGAATCAGACCACCGTTTACGCCGTTCTGGATCCGTGTATGGATAAGGTGGCGCTGGAAAATCATCCCGCTCAATTTTCGGTTTTTCACCGGGTTTCGGAGGTTTCGCCCCTGGGTAATGCGATAATTCTATTGGTTCCTCGTTATTCATGTGCGGCGATTTCGGGCGAGGTGTTTCTGAACGGATTGAATCAACGAGAACTTTCATTGCGGATTTAGAACCATGCCGAGATTTTCCTGTGCTACTTCTCAAAGAATTTTGCGCTTTAAATAAAAAATTTATTAATTATTTTTTAATATAAATCATTAAAAGTGTATCTTACAGGTTGGTCGATGGAAATGTGGTGATGTGGGTGCTTTATCATAAGGTTCTATCGGTCTGCGTAGGTACCCCAAGGTGGGTTCTTCCGTTAGATAGCTGTACGTGTATATTCGTGAGATATCATCGTTTAACGTCGCTGATTTGCTGTAATCGCGAAGCATTAAACCAGGAGATGGCGTGCGGTAGCTAAATTGCTGTTTAATAATTATAAAAATTATTAATTTTGGGTAACACAAATAAAAATCTCTAATAAACCTTTAACGCACTAATAATATAATAAAATAGTTCTTTGTGATTCAAATGTGAGGCAATACTCGGAAATGTGTATAAAAAGTGTGCGTTAAGGGGTTAATAAAAAGTTTTTTTTAATTTAATTTTAAAAAAGAAAAACGAAAAAATAAACAAACAAACCTTTCTAGACATGCTGGTTGGGCTATACAAAGAACCGGTCAAGCTTGGGGTTCTAGAGCGCATCGAAAACTGTTTTACGTGCAAAAAATAAATCAAAAAATAAAATAAAATCACAAACATTAGCATACAAAAATGAAAAATAAAACGTCGTAATAATAAATCGAGCAAAAATGAAAATAATAAAAACTTCTTGGTTTTATTACTAAAGAATTAATCAAAATAATCGATTTGGAGAAAATTTTTGAGTAAACCTAGAAGTTTTAGGGCTATGAAAACCTACTTAAACAAGCTAAAGTTGTTTAAAAAACTTACCTGCATCTCACTAGCAGCTGAACAACTTATCCTATCAAAATCTCTAGCTGAGGTATCTGTATCGGTGCAATGTCCATTTTCAGCAGTACCATTCAAAATTTGCCCGTTCTCAGTAGGTCCAGGTCCACATCTAGGATGCCAAATAGCCCCCCCTTGCAAATACATCTCTTCGCCATCGCCAAAGGGGTCGCCGCATTTCGTACAACGCGCGCACGTCGGGTGAAAATGATGGTTATCACCAGCCTAATAATAATAATAAAAATAATAAAAAAAACTCGTAACAAAATTATTTTTTTAACCTGTAAAACTTTTCCGCTTATGTATCGTTCGCAATAAGCGCATTTAACTCCAAACTGTTTATGATAATCTTTCTCGCAATATGGAACGCCTTCTTTCCCCATATATTCACCGTGAAGAACCATTCCGCACTTTCCGCACTTGAAACACCAAATGTGCCATTGTCTTTCCAACGCGACCAGAGCTTGCCCTTCTTTTAATTCTTGACGGCAGCCGGCGCATTCTGAATCAAAACATTCGAAGTATAAAGAAAAAAAAAGGGAAAAAACGTCAATTTCTATTTTCAGTTCCCCAAACGAATTTATATCTTTACACGGTTACAAATCGTCCCCTTACGACGTCAAAAATAGAAAGAACGCAGACGTTATGGCGCTTTCAACGTATGCGCCGCGTGTTTATTTAGTCAAAACAAGGGGGCGAACAAAAATAGAATTTTCCAAAAATACGTTTCCAAAAAAAAAATTATATATATTATATTTATACGAAATTTATTCCATGAAATTCTCACCGTTTGGATTTTGCGACGTCGGGCTTGTTGCTTGAGGAGTTACCGTTTGTTTTATAGGAATTTGAACGCATTTTTGGCATAAAACCTCTTTTCCAGTATAAGTGACTTTTTCTCCGGAAGGAAACGCCTGGCGACATCTGGCACATGTAAAACACCTTTGATGGTATGTTTTACCTAAAGCAGTTACGACCTAAACACAAAGATTAAAAAATTTTAAATTAAAAAATACATTTAATTAAAATTTTTATGTCAATACTGGATGTTTCGCAAAATTAACTTTTCGCTAATAAATGTAGTTTTTTTTTATTTTTTCGTTATCTTTATTACACAACCGCAAGAAAACATGATATTGAGATTATTAGTGCACGAGTGTTAATTAAATAAAATCTGGAATAATATAAATAGCGATAAAGAAGGGACGTTAAATTAGAATTAAATTGAATATTTTCAGTATTTATGATTTGTACGTCATAATTACTTTATTGGCTATTAATAACAGGAAGAAACATTCAAAATTTAGTATTAAGAACCTATATCGACGACAATGAGCAAGGTCCAAAGAATTATCGGATATACAAGACTTGTGTCCGACCTGTACTTATGAGGCCGAGACTAGAATAAAAGTGGCACCTCATAAAATATATGATAGCAGGACTGGTCTATATTTTAGATATAAAGGTTACAAGAAAAACATGACTACATTGCATAAAAAGCATAGTTGTTTAAATGTGGCTTTAAAGAATTTAAAAATCCTAATTTTTGTTACACAAGGTTAGAATTGTGTTTGCTGAAATTTGAATGTGGTCGTATCTCACACAAAAACGTACCCGACCTCTAACTCTTCATATGGAATGGATCAACATATATCGACATTTCGAGAAACGTGCTCGAATACAAACCGGTTGGAGTTAAAAGTCCCATGTATGTTTGATGATGCTTAATATTTATCTTTCGATCACGTAACTTTTCTTTAAACTCTAACCTGCAAATTTTGTCGAATAAAAAGATGAAGGTCAAATTTTAGTCAATATTCCAGTAATTTTATTAATACTGAAAATTCTTCAATACGTAAGGTTAAGATTATTATAATTATTTTGAATTTTGTTATCTTTTGTACTTGTTTCTGAAGGTAATTAGACAATAATATAAAATAAAGTATCAATGAGGCAGCATTGTATAGCCTCGCCCTCAAGCGACCTCGGCTTAATTACATCATAAATTTTTGAAAACTATGTAGTTTTATATCAAAATGGCATCAATAAATAGCAAAACCTCCACTACGAGATGGTACCATTGATGAAGATTCAAAACAAATAAATTTAAAAAAGATCACATGGTGACCAAGGACGTGTTGGCCCATGATCATATTTTACTGCTCATGTTATTCATACTGCACACCCGCCTATAGCCTTATCTTTGATAAACTTATAGATTAGATGAATCTAGAACATTTAAACAGCAACCTTTGGCAACGACATCCTTCACTACGATATGCACAAAAGATAACAATTTAAACTAGAACCAACACTAGACCGGGAACTAGAAACATTCGGGTTAAGCCGCACGTCTTTCAAGACGGCTAAACCCGAATGATTCTAGTTTTAATAGTTATTCAGCTAGTGCTAGTGTAAAACTAGAACTAACACAAGACCTAGAACTAGAAACTTTCGGGTCTAGCCGCACGTCTCTCAAGACGGCTAAACCCGAATGATTCTAGTTCTAGGTCTTGTGTTAGTTCTAGTGATAGTGCTAGTGTAAAACTAGAACTAACACTAGACTAAAAACTAGACTCATTCGGATTTAGCCGCACGTCTTTCAAGACGGCTAAACCCGAATGATTCTAGTTTTAATAGTTATTCAGCTAATGCTAGTGTAAAACTAGAACTAACACAAGACCTAGAACTAGAAACTTTCGGGTCTAGCCGCACGTCTCTCAAGACGGCTAAACCCGAATGATTCTAGTTCTAGGTCTTATGTTAGTTCTAGTAATAGTGCAATACTAGAACTAACACTAGACCGAGAACTAGAAACAGTCGAATTTCACTTTTTGTAGAAAAAACTTAGCGTAACTTCGCCATATCAATTTCTCAATCCCTTTTGAGTTCCTACTGTTGTGTAAACTGCACTTCCAAGACATTTTTCCAAATGTCTTTACGTTTCCCCCTATTTTTTAAGTAACAAATTCACTATTCAATTTTGCAGAATTTTGTTAATTGGCTTAATTGTGAATACTCCTTTAACAGTGTCAATGGGAGGTTAAAAAAAACTAGCCACAGTGCTAGCATATTGATCTAACCAAGACTAATTAAACTTCCTGTGCAAATAGCCCAGGGTTTTTGCACCAACTTCAACAGCTGGATGACTAACTATATTCATTGTCACTTCCAATGAAGTTGCAGCGATTTTTTTTAGCTGTCTGTCGCTAAATGGATACAAAATTGAATTAAAGTTTAATTGGCATATAATTCAAGAAGCATTCTTTTCTAATAAACTGAAAAATGTTAATTTTAAACTTACCTTTTTGATAAAATTTTGATATTGAGAATACACATAAAATAAATAATACTTTATCAACAAAATTTTAACTGTACATACGCGGCTAACATTAAAGAAATATTTTAGAGTCTTTTTCACATAAATAATTAATCATAACGCTTGATCTAAAATAGCTAGAATAATAATTTAATCTATCATTTGTTGTTGAAGCTAATATTCGAAGAAAAACTTATAAATCATCCAGCATACAACATAAATTTTTTTAATTTTATTTAAATTTAATATAAAAAAAATTACCTCTCCCTCAACATAATCTTGACATGCCGCACATTTTGTTCCAAAATTTTTCTGGTAATCACTGGTACAATAATAGTCACCATTTTTAGCAAAAAACCCACCCTGAGCTAGGGAATTCTGACAAACTTTACACTTAAAGCACTGGGTGTGAAAATATTTATCTTGTACTCGTAGCACCTCACCGGAACACTTTTTCTTGCACACTTGACAAAGTGTTTTACCTGAAAATAAATTAACCACATCTTTATAAAGTAAAAAAAAAGTGAAGTTGCGATTCAAGCAAATGAATGATGTCACTTTGACCCAGTGAGTTGGGTTAAATGTAAAAAATGCGGTCATCTCATGAATAAATGACTCACATAATTCGATTTAAACCGTTTGGTTATTCAAATCGCAAGATTACTTAATCGTTAATGACCTGAAAATAAATATAAAAATTCTTGATTTTGAGAAAGTAAAATTGTTTTATTATACAACATCCGCAAAAAACCCGCTTTTTTTATTCTGTCGTAATAGCTAATTTAAGAACATTATTTGTGAACGTAACTGGTTCGTATTTACACAGAAAATTTAATGTTTGCTTTGAAAATAATCAGACTATTTATCACCTAATCATTAATACATATAGGTCAAATAATGTAATCTAACCTCAAACGAAGTTTTATTTGTAAGTTAATTTTTTTTATTGCGTTTTATTTTTACATTACACAGAATTGTTTTAATTAGACTTTTATATTTATTGCATAAATATGAGTAACTGGAGCATAATGAAGCCGCAAAACCGGCCTTAGAACGGCGACCCGTGATGCAAATCCCAGAACGTTTTGCATACTAATCAGATCACGTGAAAGGAAAAATGTACTTGTTTACAGGTCACTGGGGCGAAATACTTTACAAAAACCAATTTTCTCCATTTACTACTTTATTATTTTTAAACTATCTTAATCTATAATTATTAGATAATTGGATGTAACACAAAATAAAAAAACTTGGTGTTTTTTTTTTTGTGTAGTTTGATATCAAACTTAATTAAAATTAACTTTTACCAAGAATAATTGAATATAATTTTTTTTATTCACCTTTACAAAAGATTTTTATCAATTCATCATTTTAAAATTATCTTGAGATAAGATAAACTTTGTACTTATTACCCACCGATAAATAAAAAAAAATTAAAAAGACTTGAAAGGTTGCATAATTCCCATTTCAAAGGATCTCACCTTTTTTAGATTTCTTTTCGTTTTCGTTATTATCCAATTTCCTTTTATCAAGTTCTTGATCGTTCTGTTCGTTAAGAATTAACTGTTTTGAGGCCGCTTTGGTATCAACTTTGAGTTTATTCTTTTTCTTAAACATTTTCCCCCAAAAACTTTTTAAACACTAATCAAAAATAAAAAAGGTGCGCTTCACCCACAACTCTTAAAAGTTAGACTGACTAAAATTCCAGCCGTTAACGGACACTTTCGGCTCGGTATTAAACACAATTGTCTATAAATAGGCTTTACGTCAGATGGTCGAACCGCAAAACACCTCTATCTAGACACATACATACATACATGCAAGTTTTTTTTAAATAACACACAGTTTTCTTTTTAATTAACCTTCTTTTATAAGTTTAATCACAGAATACGCCTTCTTTCCACGGTAATTTTCGATATTACGTAATTTAAAAAAATAAAAAATAACAGTAAACCGTCGAGATTTCTATTTATATACAAAGATTAAAACGAAAGCGACCGATCTCAGCGAGCCACAAAGACGAACTGAAATGATTCTAAAACGTTGTATACTGGTTGGTAAGGAATAAATCGGGCGCTGACTTTGAAATCGTATTCGGCGCCTTTATCTTTTAAAAAACACCCAATAGGAAACGCTCCTCAATAATAAAAAATATCCAAATTGTTTTAATCATTCCCGTTAATAAACCGGAAATTCGATTAACGGTAAAAACGTTCGGTTTTTTAAACGTGCCTTTGTTTCTATTCCTTCCGCCCTTCTTTCATCGGATGGATAAGTTCTTTGACCCAGGAAACTGTTTAAAAACGTAGAAAGTCGAGCGAAAGTGATGTTTTAAAAGCGAGCGTTAACCTTAAAAAGAAAATATAAACACCTGCTCTTCAAATATAGTATTTCTGTTGTTATGTAATTAGAGATGTTTATTATATTTACTTGCAAATAACAGCTTAAAATTAAACATGACTTTAAAATTAACATTATTTAAACATACATAATATATAAAAAGGTTTAAAATAATAAATAACATTAAAAATGACAATACTCATCGAACATAACCTCAAAACACCACCCTGTCATATTGATTATTTTATGACAGGCAAAACCAATTAAAACGATTTAAATCAATTTAAAAATAAATAATTATCTTATTTTTATTATTAAATGGAGAATTACCCGTGATAATGAAGAAATTAACCTCTAAATTGCCGATTAATTGTGAAGAATGAACCGGTTAAACTTACCCATTGCTTTTCTATGCCGATTTTCAATTAAATTACGACCTGACAGAACACTAAAACACTAAACACTTAATCGGTACGAACACTAGCCGCTAATTTCGCGGAAAAATCGCGACAATTTTGCGATAATTAATAATTATCAGTACGCAATGTCAACAAAAAAACTAGAACAAAATGGTTGACGGCACTTTACTTTATAAGTTTGCCGTTGACGTTAGTGGCGCCACTATTTAACGTGAAGTTTACTATAAAATTGTTGTGTTATACAGAGTGGTCTTATTACACAACTGATATCTAATATTTAAGTATTAAATAGAGTAGCAGTCGTTTTACATTCTACCGTCTTTTGTAATAGTGGCTAAAATTAACGTTTTAATACACGCAATTTAAAATTTTAACTTCGCACTAGCGCCATCTGTGGTTGGCTAGATGCTTTGAATGACAACATTTAAATGACAATATATTTGAAGGCACAGAGCTAAACACGAATGTTTCTAATTCTAGTGCGTAGAAAATAAAATTTCGAGCACTACTAAGCATACAGAGAGTCTGATATTGTTGCCTTTATAAAAATCAGTCAACAAGGTATAGGGGGCCACAAAGACAAGATATAGATGACACCCAAGGCATCATCACTTGGAAAAGGATATCTTATAACAAATCAGAACGGTGAAATAAGCTGCAATAAGCCAAGACCCACAGAGAGTTGTTGGGTTATTAATGATAGTGTACAAAAACTGCAAAGCAAACAGAAATCATAAGATCAACTGCTTTGGTAAAATTAGAAATATAGTTCAGAAATTATTTGGATAATTTTAAATGGGTGTAAATAATACTGTTGAAGTAACACAATTTTTATTTATGGATTTATTTATTTAAAGTGTTTTGTGTGTATTTAAGTACAACGAACGCTTTTGTATTAATTGTAACCTGATAATTATTTTAATAAAAACACGACGTTAAAAATACTAAGTAGTCTTGAAATGTCTTAAAGATTTTTTTTTAGAATTTATTTTCGTCAGTGTAACATCGGTTCACTTTTTACCAATTCTTTTAACCAACTAGCTTTATCTTTAAAGGTATTTTTTAAACTTTGAATTATTTTTGAAAGCGTCCGACAGAAAATAAATAAATAACAACAATAACGTTATATTATTGCGTATTATAATTAAGTTAATAATATTATTATGTAAAAGTAATTTAATTAATATTTTAATTAATTAAAAAAAAAAGAAAATATACAACATCCCTTATTCTTTTCTTGTATTAAATAACTCCATCTCCTGTTGTCTAATTCATCATTTTTTGTCTCTTTTGTACACTTATTATTTATATTATCTACATTATGTATATCACATTCTACACATTGGGTGTTAAACCCATTCATTTTTTTTGTAACTTAAACTTGAAGCAAAACCATTTCCCAACAAAACAAAAAATAGATTTAAAACTTTTAACGTTTGTACTTGCTCTATTTTTAGCTATTTTTAGACGGATTTTCAATAAGTTTTTGTAAGCTTTTGATGAAAATTTACTTGCTAAATGTGTGTGTCAATATATTTACCTATATACAGGGTGACGCATTTTATTTTGAATTATTGCACTCACATCTTTTTTCCTAAGACTATTCAAAAACCAACTAAAACCAAATTTTATAATTATAACAGTTTATAATTTTTCAATGAAAACAACAAAAAGAAAAATGCAAAATTGCAAGCAAAATAATAATAATTAAACAACAAAATACCTATTAAATCAACTATCAAAACATGAAAAAACTCGAGTAAAGATAATTGTTGTTGTATTATGAGTAAAATAATCGATTCCAAACAGATTCTTTCGTAAATCACCCTGTATTAAGCTACCGATTATTACTCCTTAAACCCCGTTTTAAAAACTCATTTTTTATATACCAGAACATCTGTAAGTAGTTTGTAACATTCTTTGAGAAATGAAATGTATAATAAAATAATAATAAATGAGACTATTTCGGGTGGCCTCCACCAAGCCTAAGAGGGTTGAGTCTGCGTTATTCATCATCTGTATCCCCTTCACTAGAATAATCTTGAATTGGTATCGGACGTACAAAAGGTGCTGTAGTCATTTGCCTATTTAAAACGAAATGTTTTAATTCATTTGAAATAACATTAATAAATCTTACATTAACCGCCTATAATGGTTCAACCACTCTTCCACCATTTGAGCCACTAAAAGCGGCCTTTTATGCAAAAACTGTTGAGCTACCAAAATTCCACCTTCAGTTTCACATACATCCAACCATTGTCTTAAGATGGTTTCTTCTCTACCAAGCTACATACACAAATAAGTCTCAATTTTGCTAAAAAAATAGAAATTAGAAATACCTCAGATTCAACTAGAAAATGAATAGGTAACAATTTTCTGTCTCTATCAACTAAAGGAAGATAGGTACTGTGTAGCTGATCACTTCCAATGTTATTCGAATGTTGCGTGTTCTGTCGCGAATTGAGCACAGATGAAGAACATGGCTCGATTGAAACAAGGGCAGAAAAGTGTCCCCGAGTGTAACCTAAAGCTATTGGCGTTCGAATGCAGAAGGTTTGATCCCATAATAAAGGCAGATAAACACCTAAAAAATCGATTATATTACAAAAATAAATAAAGAAAAATAAATTAACCTTCAAATCTTGCATAACCCAAAGCTTCACCCCTAAAACTCTTCACATATTTTACCCCATACACAATAATGGGACGTCTCAGAATATGCGCCAACGCAAAAACGTGTAATTGCTCTAAACTTGTACCTGGTTGACTCGCCAGAGACAATAAACTTGTCCAGTCTTCTTCCCATTGTCCCTCTTCTAATGAGTATTGTAGAAATGAGGCTTGAGAGGCTTCATATTCCTTCCATCGGGGATAAAACCTAACAGTTAGGAATTGTTTGTTAGATCAGAAAACAAAAGGGACAAAAAAAAAGTTTTATTTCATTTACATGTGTCCACCTTGACTCAAACTTTCGGCCAACGCCCGTCGTAAGGTATTGTCACGATCGAAAACACCCCAAGTGGCCTGCATCACTGAATCTAAAAGACAATCGCCGGCCGAACGATTCCATAACGCATATAATCTCGAACCCAATCTAACTGTTAATTCTAGGGACCAATTTATAACCGCTGGTTCAGATTCTAATTGTTCCTGGGCGTCTTTGTCCAAGAGTTCAGTGAAAAGTTGTTCTTGAACTGGTGTTGGCAATAATTCGATTTCTAAATAAAAAAAAAATTGTTATTAAATTAAATTACTTTCGAATATAAACGGATTTACCTGCTGGTAATGAAAATGTAGTTAATTCTGTAACAAAATTACAAGCAAAGCTGCCTTTACGTTGTCGAATCGTCGACGTAACATGTCTTCGTATATCCGCGGCTAAATCAGGTGCTACATAACTAGGTACTCGTTTTACCCCCGAACCGGAACCTTCAATTTGCGAGAGAAGAATAGCGAGCATATCTTCACGTTGAAACCTTATCGCCAGATGAACTAACGTGTGTCCCACATCAAAGGCTGATGATCTGTTTAATATAGCGACTTCGGAAGCGGTTAAAGTCCTCGCGGGATCTCCCCCGGAGGATAAGTATGCCTCAACGGGATTTGGATCGCCTTCAATGATCCCTATACAAGCGTTTAACCAATTCCAATCGGCTTTACGACGCAAGTTTCGTATTTTACGTTCATAATCACAATTATTGGGATTATTAATGGGACTTGGTGATGTGTCTAAAATATTTGGGGAAGCTCGAAAACGATCATCCTCATTTTCTGATGGTTCTATTATAGGTTCTTTTTCTGGTTGATGATTGTTGGTAATAGTTCCGCACATTGCGCATTTTGAAGATTTTGGCCAATTCTCATAGGTACAAGTAGGACAGCTCCATTTGGAATTTGGAGGGGCTTTTTTTGAGTTTTCTATGTTGATTATACTTGCTGGGGGACTGTTATTACGAGATCTAAAATGTAAACTTTAATTCAAATTTATTGATTTATTGATTATAAGTGTTGTTTACCTTGATAGTGACTGAGCCACATCAGAATGTTGACTTATTTTTAATGGTTGAACGTGTTCTTGGATGTTGTTGGTGGAAATGGGCGCTTGAGACCCACATTGTATACAAACACTGTCCCTGGAGTGATTGATGTAAGTACAGGTTTCGCAGGACCACGAATTTCTTAACGCAAGACGTTCACAACTACTTGCAGACGTCCCTGTATGCGTATTTGATGATGAATGATGCGTCTTTTCATCATTTAATTTGTAAATATTTTCGCTAAGGAAAGGTTTGGGGCCTCGACACATGGTACATTTAAGGGATGATGGATAATTTGCGTAGGTACAATATTCACAGATCCATTTTTGTTCGGAGTTGTCATTCATTGTTAGCATTTTTTATAAGCAATTAAAGTTTGTATTATTTGCTTTTGAAAAGGAGCACTTTACGTCTTGTTAAAGTTTTAGTTTAACTTTTGTTTGTCATGAATTTTTAAACATTTTTTTTTTATTTTTTTGGTGGTGGATTTTTATATTTCAAGTAAGATTTTTTTTAAAGCAAAGACATCCTTTTGTGTTTCATACCTAAAAACCAACAAATGCGAAATTAAAAAATTAATAAATAAATAAAGATGGAAAATGAGGTTGAAGGTTTTTTTGTTGAGGGTAAAAGTGTCAAGGGTCTTACCTTCGTTTCTAAGATCGTGGACAAAGTTACGTAGATAAAGGCACAAGTTAGTGCTTGTTAAATCGCATAAAACAAACAATTTAGATACCATTGATACGCAAAAATCGATAATCTAGACGTCAAGACGGTTTCTATTTTCGTTGGGAACGTCAAAAATCCTATTTTGACGAAAATGTCAATTATAACCTCAGTCGCTAACTTCATACGTAACACTGATTACCAACAATACATAATTATCTCCCTAACCAATATTTATTTTTTAAATATAATTTAAATTCTTATTAAAAAAATAATTTATATGATTTAAATAAGTTTCTTGACATCAGAACTTTACTTAATAATATTTTTAAAAACAAGTAAATAATTTTTAGAGTCTTTCATGCCAGCTTCTTTAAAACGTCAATGTCAAAGTAAACTGTCATTGTGATAACATAAATACGATATAATTATTATTACAGCAATTTATTAAAAATTCATCGGAAATACAGCCGTAAGTTCTATCAATAACCCAAAAATAATCCTAGAATTCCGAAATCTAACATAATTTTAAAGAATACCCCCGCTAATAATGGAAAAGGCCGAATTAGTAGAGGATATTGGTCACCCCTTTTTGTCAGAACAGGCATATATGGTACAAGCAGATGATATCGATGGTAAATAACAAATTACAAACAAAATAAGTTTAATAACAAATTTTTTTTTGTATCTCAGAAGATGGTGAGCAAATAACTGCAGAAAATACAGATGATTCTAACCATGATGGAGGTGATAAAATTGGAATCCCTTTGAGAGAACAAGATCGATTTCTACCCATTGCAAATGTTGCCAAAATAATGAAAAGGGCAATACCAGAATCTGGAAAAGTAAAAAAAAAATAATTAAGCTACTCATATTTTTGGTTTTATATCATTTTAGATAGCTAAAGATGCCAGAGAATGTGTTCAAGAATGTGTATCTGAATTTATCAGCTTTATAACGAGTGAAGCAAGTGAACGTTGCCACTTAGAAAAACGCAAAACAATAAACGGCGAAGATATTTTATTTGCAATGAGTTCTTTAGGGTTTGATCATTACGTGGAGCCGTTAAAATTATATTTACAAAAATACAGAGATGTATTTTATTTCAAATTAATTTACAAGAATTATTTAAATTAATAAAATTTTATTTTAGGCCACTAAAAGTGATAAGAATCTGCATACAAATGAAGTTTTATATGAAGAATTACCTGATGATAATTACAGTAAGTTTCAGATTGTTATCAATTAATAATGATTAATCTTTAAATGTAAAAGTTTTAGTGAAATAAATTATCTTTTTATAAATTTTTCTTTCTTTTTAGACTCTTCTATGAGCGGTAACATTATATCAACTGAAACTACAACACCTGATACTGTTATATTTACTTATCAACCTGAAAATGTACAACAATTTCAATTAAATCACATTTAATCCTAGTTATCACAAATTTTCCTTTAATTTTATATTATTTAAAAAGTGAGGTTAAGTCGCTTTTGATATATTTACTTTATTTAGGAATTTATGAGTAATAATGAAAGGCAAAAATATTTTTTAAAACGTTTATTATTTAAATACAAACAGTTTTATGTGGTAGTTTTACGGGGGGTTGGTTTTCCGCCTTCACGAAAACCGTTACGGAAACGTCTACGAACAATTTTCAAGTAACGGCAACGACCTGTTCCGGTGGTCTTCCTCCTTTTAGCCTTGATCGACCAATTGTCTACAAAATAATTAATAAATCAATACAAAACGTTAGATATTTTTAAAAATCTACTTACAAGACCTCATTTTTGCAGAAGGATACCCGCATTGCGCACATTGACTTTTCTGGATATGATATGAGGATCTACCACATCTTCTGCACAAAGTGTGGGTTTTATTCCTACGTTTACCAAAACTTGAAGTACCTTTCGTCTAAAAAATAATAAAATAAATTGACAACATAACCTCACATAACCTAAAATAATATTTAATAGATTAGCTTCAATGAGAAAAGTGGAACTAATATGTTGATTTGAAGCATAAACGTGTCGCTGATTAATTTTAGATGGATTTCATCGTTTAAAATAAAGGATGATGAAAATAATTAAAGAAATATAATCGAAAAATAACTTTGACATACCATGTTTGTTGAATACTTCGCTGAAAGAGAATGTTGGTATTGGTCAATCGGTAAAGTAGATGACGTTTATTCAGAAAAATTGTGAATAAACGCCATCTATTGATTGGAGAGTTGATTTTGTTGATATTTGAAATTCAAAAACCAAAAATATTTTTTAAATATCACTAAAAATTGGTTTTAATGCTAATATCAATAAATATGATAAATTAGAAATTGGTTAAATATTGAGTTAAATCAGTTTTTTCTTATTTAAATGAAATAAAATCATTTTTTTCGTTAATTTCTTCGTTGTGGTGTCTAAAAATAATAAAAAGCCGTCGTCGAGAGTACCACCACCACCGTTTTCTCTCCTCCGTAATAAACACACTCGGCATAGTTTCGGTCAAAATAGAATTCGGTCGAATGGGGAGCAGTAGATGGCAGAATTCGGTCGAAAAACGGATCGAACAGGCGAGGACGCGTTCGCGGCACCCCGCATTAATAAATTTTTCTCGCAACGATGGACGAGAAAGAACCAGTAAACGCGCCGCGTTTCATGCCCTTTAAATCACCCACCACCCACAAGAAATCTTAATACTCAACACACAAAGTACAAAAAATACCGGGCAAAAGTAATTAGGTGTTGTGCGTGCGAATTGTCTTAAAAGTATAAAAGAAAAAATGATGTTCACCGGATCTCATATTATTAAGAAGAGGAATAGTTCTCAAAGCAGCGGCGGCGGCGGGGGCGGTAGTAATGGTCAAAGGAAGTACGAAAGGGTTCGCGCCACTTTAGGGGAGGTGAGCGAAACTAACTCAAAAGTTTAAACCGGAACGAAAATAATTATTATTTTGTTAAAAAGTAAAGGAAAAAAGAAGAAGAATAAAACGGCACAGCGTGCTGCGTGCGTTTCTGTTTAATCACGCTTCTATTTTCGTCTCGACACATGTATGTATGTTTGTACGTAAGGGATGCGTAACTACGGTTATTCAGGAATCGGCGTCGTGGCGCTTTTTACGCGCCAAATTTTGAAAATTATTTCAAAATTATCTGAATAGTTTGGGATTTAACAAGTAATAGATAAATAGCATTTTCATTGAAGTTTTTCTAGTTTATTTTTTCTATAATATCTGTCAAATTTTTGTAAAGTTGGTAAAATAAACGGGGAATTTTTGTTATATTATGTTTTGAAATCAATTTGTCTCAAATTGACGTTATTTAAAAAAATAAAATTCAGAATTTCATATAACTCGCAATATATGAATGCAGTAATCATAGTTACGAAATTATTATGAACTTGCACTGTCCCACATAAAATGCAACATAGCTTAATAGTACAGGCATTGGGTAGTTTTGCAAATATGTATGATGATGCCGAATGTTTCTGGTTATAAACGAAGTTTGAAGTCTGAAGACGCACGGCTAAACCCGAATATTTCTAGTTCTAGGTCTTGTGTTAGTTCTAGTTTTACACCAGCACTGTTACTATATAAAACTAACACTATACCTAGAACTAGAATCATTTGGGTTTAGCCGTCTTTAGAGACGTGCGGCTAAACCCAAATGATTCTAGTTCTACGTCTAGTGTTAGTTCAAGTTTTACACTTTCTTGGTCTAGTGCTACATAACAATTAAAACTAGAACTAACACTAGACCTAGAACTAGAAACATTCGGGTTTAGCCGTGCGTCTCTAAAGACGGCTGACATGTTGCATTTTATGTGGGACAAAGTAGGTACGCCCTTGTTTCTATGGAACTATATTTTTGTATATTGCATTTTAAGTGAAATTCACTGTATACCAATAAATGAAATAAAATAAAAATTTTTTAATTTCAACTACTAATTAATATTTAACTACGAAAAATGTCACTAGAAATCAAAAAAATGACATAAATTGTTTATGGATTCAAGGTAATACCAACAGAAACAAAAACAAAACAAAAAATAAGCTTAAATTGTTGATACTATTTCGAAAACTCATGGTGGGTTTACATGTAAATAATACGCATCCGTGTTTTACTTAAGGAGCTATGCCTCTTTAAATTAAGTGGAAAATTTTAGTATTATTTTTACTTTCTCGCATACTTACGTAAGTGTAAAATCTTGAAAAATGCCCAACCGTAGGTAAAAACTAAAAGAATCGATGGTGATAATGCAATAATGAAATCTTTTTATCACTTAAATTGTGGCTTTAATATCAAAATGATTAACTTTATCAAACTTTTCGTTTTAACGCCAATTATTAAGACAGTAAATGTCAAATTCAATGTCAAATTTGATTTTCAAATTCCCGTTTTGATGGTTAAGACATAATATTTTATGAATTCCATTTGTGACGTTTAACTGTGAATGTTCAAGATACATGGGTAAATTTCATGTTTACAATATTAATTTAAGTTGAACTGTCAATTTTGACATTTGTCATTAATCATCAGAATGTTTTCAATTAGCTACAGATATACAGTGACGGGCAAAAGTCTACCTACAGCATTATACTATAAGGTGAAGTTATATTATATTTAGGTTGAAGCAACGAAAATTGCTTCAATATACTTATTTTTATTTACTGTGTTTTGTCGCTGTACTAACTGGTTGAATTATGTTTATTGATCTTCATATTACAAATTTGCCGCAAAAATACGCACCAATATGTGTCTATATTAATCGAAAAGAGAATTAGGTAGAAGTTGGTTATTTCAGTATTTAAATAATGGTAGAAGTATTTGATAGTTTCCTCCCCAAATAGTGAAATAGGTTTTTCTCGCCTTCCTCATGTCTTTGTGAGAGTTCGCCATAAAAGTTTCGACCGATTTTTTGTTCGATTTCTTTCTCTAATCTATAACACTTGAGTATAACACAGAGCAATAAAGCGGGTTGTTAGATGATCATTACTATCATTACAACTTCCAGAATTATTGTGATTATTGAATTTAGAAAGCTCGTTTTAATCTTATTTCAACTGAATAATTGGTTAGCTGCATCTGATTATTGCTTGACAATCGATAATTTATAGTTTACAACAACCTGTCCATCTAGTTTTGCTCGAATTATTACTGAACAAGTTTGAATGTATATCTATAAACAAGGGTAAAAACTAAGTATACATCTTTAAAACACTTTTTAATATTTTGATCTATTAAGTTGTATTATTATTATTATGTACACTTATTTTGTCTTTTAATTAAATTTTATTTAACAACATTTTATGATATTTACCTTTGTTTCGTGGTCTCGAGATAAAATAGATAAAAATCAAGACACACGCTGTGTCTTAGTTTAATTATGTTGATTAATATTAGACTAGACTACTAAATTAATGTATTATCAAATTTTAATCTAACTATCTAAAGAAGTTCCAATTTCTTCTAGTTTAATACCCTTATTAATCGGTGAGTTATTATTAAGTTTTAGTTTACATTTTAAAGGTACAAGTTTATTTCCGGCAGATTTGCCACTAAATTTAGTCCGGTAGCGTGTAATAGTTTGAGTCAAGTGGCAGGAATGTCGAACTCGACTCTATTTTTAGTTTACGTTACGAATCTTTACTTATTACGAAATACAACCAATTTTTATTGACTTTTTTTTGCAGAGTAAACCAAGACTTCCTAGGCAACCACAAATGTTGAGAAGTGAGGGTTCAACTAATTCCACAACTTCATTGCTAACCGTTTCAACGATAGACTCGGATCAAAGCGATTTTAGTGACGGTTTACAACGATCTAGAGGAAAACAGATAACAAGGAGAAGAGGAGCTGTTAAACATCAAAAGTAATTGCAATTCTTAAACCTCTAAACATACATTCTTATTTAGAGTAGGTGGTGATTTATATTATTATGTTAAGTGTTGCAAAACAATTAACATTTCAAATTGAATTGTTAGTGTCAAACTGTTAACAACAAATGTTAGAATTAAAATTGTAATTATACAAACGGTTTATATAGAAAATTTGCATTGATAATATTTTCAATATGATGACTCATTCCGAGAAAATGTATTTAAATTGACTTATGGCATCATGCTTATACAGGGACTGCAAAAATTAGGGTTTTGAGTCATGTTCTACTTACATAGTAGAGATTAATAAAAAAAAATGATTGATAATGTAATAATAAAGTTTAAAACTTGTTTTAAATTAAAATATATCTTAAACCGTTTTCCTTTTTATTATAAATTTAATTCTTATTTTTTTAGAGTACATGACGTCAAAGGTCACCAATTTTTAGCAAAATTTTTTCGTCAACCAACGTTTTGCGCTTTTTGCAAAGACTTCTTATGGGGGTTTGGTAAACAAGGTTACCAATGTCAATGTACGTTTAACTTCCTCATGTTTGTGATAATCTAACATACAACAGGCTTGTTTTCTTTTAATTTCTAGGTTGCCAAACTGCCGTGCACAAAAAATGCCACGACAAACTTTTAGGGAAGTGCCCCGGTTCTGGGCGCGATTCGGAAAGCACAATAGTAAGACCTTTTTAATTCCTTTTCATTTCAGATTTATTTTTAATCTTTTCTTTTGTAGTATTTAAGAGAACGATTTAAAATCGATATACCGCATCGTTTCAAATTACACACGTTCATGTCGCCGACGTTTTGCGATCATTGCGGCTCATTATTGTATGGCATTTACAAACAAGGTCTGAAATGTGAAGGTAAGTATTGTTTCATATTATTATTATTCGTTCCGTTAAAGAGCAAATATTTAAAAAAAAAATTAATAAAACGCAACTTTATTTACTTATTTGTATGTTGGGTTGCCTATGCTATGAAATTTAAAGTAATATTTGTTAGTTTAACTTTTTATTAGCACATTTATGTAAAATGGGAATCCGAATAACGAGTTTTTAAATAATAAAAATTAAAATTTCTTTTTTTATATATAAACAAAAAGTTATTTTTGATTTTATTAAAAGTTTAAACGGTTTAGTTATTTAGTGGGACGTGACTTAAAATCTTAAAACGCAAGAGTTCTATTAATTAAATTTACTCTTTAAACTCACGAACAATTAAATTAACGTATACATTCGTAATTTACATTTGCTTTAAGGAATTACGTTTTAGTTTCGTTTGTTTATGTTTAAACCATAGAGTGTAATTAACTATTCTAATTAGTACAGTGTCACGAGTAATGTCTTATTATTTATTGTCCACGTCCATATTTATATAATTTGGTGAAGATTTATAATCATCAGGTACGCTAATAAATTAAACCATAAATCGATTGACAATTAAAAATGTACCTAAACCGTAAACTGTTGTGGTTTAATGTCATATTAATTTCGAAGCGAGTGTTTTTAATTAACGATCGAAAATTTGGCACAGAATTTATTTCGAATACCACATGCGGGTTTAAATTTAGTCCTTGACACGTTCGAAAAGTCAAAATAATGGTTTGTTTTCGTGCTATTCTCAGTTTAAATTCTCGCACGCTTAAAACACGAACAAAACCGCTTCCAAGTCTTTCTTCTTTATTTTCGACCATTTAAAAAATTAAACCTACCATTTCCAAACCCCCATTAAACAAATCGATACCAATTAAACTTTTTAATTAACTTAATTCACAATTTGGCACCAGTTTAGAATACTTTCAAAACGATTATCAGAATTAATCGAATTTTTTTTTAACAAAATAAATTTTATACTTTATAACGTCGTCATGAAATTTTCGATTGTAATCTTAGCGAAGTTAGAACCAATATTTCATTATATTTTTGCTAGCGTGTGTATTTTTACGTGTGCTGCAGTTTAATTCCTACAAAGACAACTACAGTGTGTTAATTAAGTATCGCACCCGACGTCATCATTGCAAATATGCAACCAATATCACAATTTTGGTATTGCAATACGCGATTTGCGATATTGGTTGCATACTTTTAATGATGACGTCGGGTACGATAATTAATTAACACTCTGTACATATGTCCCCTATGTGTCTAGATCGTAGGTAGATTTCCATTTACTTCTTGTTGGCCTGCTCGGTTTTCGACCGGACCAAACAGATCTGATTGGATGGGTTGAAGATATCGGCGTAATGACAGAGTGTTTTGCCAATAGTGTCCTTTTTTTTGTAGTTTAGTTTCTGTGCCGACATCGTGGTTAGTTCTGGCTTGGTGGTTTAGGAGGTATGATTTCTAACGTAGGGTTTGCGATATCGTCGTTTAGGAATCGCCGAATGATTAACGAGACTAGCACTACTTGTTTTCTGATGGGACGAGGTCAACTAGAGAGTAGGCAGTTCATCGTAGTAAGTGTCAATACAATCTGCAGTAGTTTCTTCTCCATGACCTCGTAGGGAAATTTTATGGCATTTGATTTGTTCGTGATCTTTGCAAGTACTCGATGGTTGTCAAAGGAAACTCATACACTAATCACTTCGATGGCAGTGGTTAATGTTTGAGCAAGTAACACGCTTGCTGGATTGCTAAGTCAGTTTCTGGTAGTCCCTACCAGAACATCTTTTCTCCTGGCATCTGAATGTCGATTCCCAAGATTTCTACAATGAAAGAAAAGTTTAAAGCCACAAAATTGTTGCTGGGTGTTAGGTTGAGTAGGCTATACTGTTCTAGAGGCTCGAATTCAACTGGTTCGGCAATTTAAAAAAAATAAAAAAGTAAAAATAGGAATGATGGGCCAAAAATAACAAAAATTACAGAGGGTGCTGATGGCCAAAATAAAAAAAACAAAAAAAACCATCACCAAAAATAATCCATCTACACGAATGCACCACGTAAACACAAACAAAACGAAACAGTAAAGACAGCGAAAGACCATTTCCAGCGACAAGCAAATACGATCAAAAAGCAGATAAGAACGCAGGAAGAAATGAAAAGAACTGAAGAAGACAACCAAAAATACAAAAAACTGAAAATAAACACGAAAACTGAAAAAAAGAAAGAATAGATGGACAAACTTAAAAAAGCAGAACGACAAACCCAAAAAAAAAAAGAAGGAATAAAAGAACAAAAAAAACAAGAAACAAAAAAAAACAACGAACCATAAAAAAAAAACAAAAACAAGGGTCTCAAAAGGAAACATAACCAAGAAACCATATGGCAAAACTAAGCAATAAAGCATAAAAAAACAAAAACAATAACTAACAAAAAAAAAAAAAAAAAGAACTAACAGATAAAAAAAAAAACACGTCGTGGCACTCGCAAAAAACACTAAAAAAGACCTGCAAAGGTTTGTAAAAAAGCGCCTAAAAACTGTCACAACATATTATATTAATACTTTTTTCTGGTTATTTAATAACTATTAATTGTTTGATTAATATTTCTATGCTAAATACAATAACGTAGGTGAAAATATGGATGAAAATAGAGCGCAGGTGCGTTTCGGACGACTTAAAAATAGTATTGTTTGGCACAGAGAGTACGGGTTAGAGTTAACCATCGCTTCTCTCAGTTGATTCGCGATCCTTGACTCGAAACCCGCTACTCGGTTATACCACGTGCCTGGACGTTTTACCTTTCGTTTTGGTATTCTCACGGTTTGCCAAAAATCGTCAAAAATGCCTCTCTACGGCGACACGAGTCTGTACTCCTCCTCCACATCCCAATCGCCATTAGTTCCGTCCTACGCCCTTTATTTGAGCAGTCCATACTCAGGGCACTCCTCTCTAATCGGTTCGTACACGAGACCGCCGAGTTTCTCAAAACCATCTTCATTGACAAGGTTTCATAGGAATTTTGCGCCACATTTGGCTACGATTTCTGAAAATCCAGTGACTAGTCTCAGGCGGAAATATTCACCGCAATTGAGAGTGCTCAATTCGAGTAAAATTATAGTACCAAGACCCATTAAAATTAACACAGCGGATATTGACGTTTCCGCAAATAAATATCGACACCAACCACCGAGGACAACTCCGATTACTACGGTTAAAAAGGAACCAGAGGAACAAAGTAACGAGGTAAAAAAGGAATCTATTAATAAGCCGATTCGGAGGGATAGAGCAACCGTTCGCATTCACACAATTCATAAGGATAAAAAAGATAAAAAATGGAGACAAAATTTTAATTCGTATGAGTTAAATACAGACAAAGAAAAAAATGCTAAAGAATTAACAGACAAACAGGAAATCGATGAAAACGAAGAAGAAGAAGATAAACTTCAAGACGAAGTAATAAACGTTGAAGCCCCTTCATTGCCAAAATCGCCAAGTTTTCACGATATTTGTACGGCGATTTCAACTGACTCAATTAACGAAGAGTTAAACCCTGGTCAACCTTTGGATGTAGTCCGGAAGCAAAGCAGAACATTTTCGAGTGATGATCTTTTAAAACATTTGCGACGAAACTCCACCGAAATCCATAAAGAAGACGTTAAAAATATCAATACAGAGGAAATCAACAATAATAAGGAAGAGTTTGAGTCGAGGGGAAGTGTTCGTAAAAAAAGAAAAGTGATAAAAAAGAAAAGTAACCAAAAACTAAGCGATGAAAATAATACAAATTTATTTCCAGAAAAATTAAATCAAGAACATCCGTTGCAACGGCGGCAAAGTCGAAAACTTCCGGTAAGAGATATATCTAAAGTTGAAGTGGAAGAGATTCGTATTGCAAAACCGAAACCGAAAACTTTATTTACGGCAACGGTGGACATCGAGGAAACGAAACCGAGCTTAAAACTGATCGTCGACGACGTAAAAGTTGAAGAAAAGGTGAAACCTAAAAAGTTTAAATTAGACGTAACAGTCGAAGTTGAGGAAAAACCGAATAAAAAGGAGTTAAAAACGAAAGTCGATGATAAAGGTAAGATGTACATTCCTAATTCAAAACCGGCTATAATTACCGATATTAAAAAGAAGGAGCAAAGAGGAAGCTTAGGAGATATTTGCGAAGGAATTGCAGAAATGCCCAAAAAAAGGAATATAGACACAAAGAAAAAAGATGAAACGAAAAATGAAATTAAAAAGAATAATAAAGAATTAATAAAGTATGAAAAAATAAGTAATGTTCCAAAGAAATTCACAGAAATAAATCAACTTAATAAGAGTAATGAAGAAAACAAAGAATCAAATTTAAATTTGAAACAACCTTTACAAACAAAAAATAGTAATCAAATTAACGAGGAAGAAAAGAAAGTTTCAAACGAAACCAAATGGTCATCGAAATTAAGAAATTTATCGACTTCCGGTTCAGAATCAAACCTTAAAACCCCCATTTCACAGGAGACGAACTTGAAAACATCCAAATCAGATTCAAAACTAAAACAAGACGTAAAAGTTGGTAACGATAAATCTTTAAAAGAAAACAAAGAAGTTAATTCAATTCCAAAGTGGAAATTGGATTTGAAAAAATCAAAAGAAGCCAAAGATTTAAAACAACCTCAGCAGAAAGAGATTAAGTCGATTATTAAAAGTTCTTCGGACGAAAACCAAGAGAAAAAAATTGGATTTAAAAAAAGTGTTTCTATTGAAGAAAAGAAAAATGATGATAATGTTGAAACGGAAAAAGTTGGTGAGGATAATGAGTCAACAATGGATTTTTGGGGGATTATTGGTTCAAAATCTTCGGTTTATGAAAAAAAACCGGTTAAATTAAAAAATGTTTCGTTAAAAAGTAGCTTAAAGAATGACGAAAAAGCTGGAGAAAATCAAAATAATGTAGTAAATCAAAACAATGATGTAAATCAAGATAACGAAGTAAATCAAAATGATGAAGTAAACCAAAATAATGAAATAAATCAAAATGAAGAGTTAAAATCCGAAGATAACGCATCCGCAGAAGATTCCCCATTAAAATTAGTGAGTAAACGTTCTTTGGTAAATAGAGTTTTAGCAAATCAAGATCAACTTGATCTTGAGGAATTTGTTCAACCTCCAAAACCTCCCACACCTGAACCTCAACCTGAACAATTCGTTCCTTTACAGTCCAACAGACTCTCGCATTGGATGCATCCGTTTAAAAAACCGGAACAGTTTGATGAGTGCCCCGTTGAGATCTACGCGACGCCGAAAAATATTCGTAGAAGGCATTTTCCAAAACCTAGGCAAGTACAAGAAGAAAGCGAAGAAAGCACAAGTGACGACGATGAAAGTAGTGAGGACGAAGAAGGAGATGTTGGTAAAAGTACGTCTTCAAACGATTCGGGTTTCAACTCATCTCACGGCCAAAAACGAACGAAAGAACGAAATTTAGGTTAGAATATTACCTAACCTAAACAATGTTAGTTTTAATTAACACGAGAATTAATCAATTTTAACGTTTTTTAGAGAATTTATAACTGTTTTAATAACCTGTTTGGTGTTTCGTGACGTTTTTTGACATTTAAAATTTGACAACTAAATAATACCAACATAAAATTTTAAAACTCATTTACGTTAAATTTTGTTTTCATTTAATAAATAAAAATTATTAATTTATTGTGTTAAGAACGTAAGATTAATTTTATTTATAACATTTTGTTTAAAATTATTCATCAAAGGATTTAGGTTCTAACTCATCTCACGGCCGTGATCAAAACTTGAATTAAATCCCGTTGGATAAATTTAGGCTAAAATATTAATTAATTTATTTTAAAAGAAAAGTTAATATTTTTTATTTAACTATATAAAAAGATTTCTTTTATTTAAAATTTATTAAATTGATTTGATTGATGAATAATTTTGAATGTTTAAGTTGGTAATAAATACGTCAATAATAAAAAGGTTGACAAAAAGGTTAAAAATGTCAAATTAAATTAGGTTTAGTGAATAACTTTTTCTTTTTCAACTCTTTGAAATAATAAAAAGGGTTTAAGGAAGTTAAATGAAGAGTTCGTCGGTAAGATTAACCACCGTACGTCAATCGTCGGTTAAAAAATAAATATTAAAAGAGAAAAATAGATTTTAGATGGCGAAAAATAAACCGTTAAAACCCCGGGAATTGCTTCGTTGGTTCACGAATTTTTAATAAACTCTCGGTAGAAAGAACTATTTTCGGAAAGACTTTTACCTACGTAAGCATCGATCCGACACGTTCACACTGCGACTATTATTAACTTCGAATTATTATTAGCAAAACGTTTAGGTCCTTTTAAGAGACCAATAATAAAATCAGTTAATCAATTTATTTAAATTTAAATGATTTATAATGCTAATAAATTCGATGGTTATTTTTAAATAAATGACATTAATTGCTGTAATTGGTAATTTTATCAAATGAAATTGGTAATAATAATATAAATATTTAATTGGAAATTACCACAAATCGTAGATTTAAATCAAAAAATAAACCAGTTTTAATTAAATCGTCGTCCCCACAACGATTGGAATCAGTAGTGATGAATTACAAAATAGCTTTTATTCGTTACATCCCTTTTTTCGATAAAATCACCCAAAATAAATTTAAATTTCTATCAATTTTATAAATTTAACTCATAAATATTTATTTACCTCACTAATATTTATTACCGTTTAACAAATAAATTTCTTAATAACAAAAACCCTATTTCTGTAAAGTATACATTCTTTCTTAAATACAAGTCAGTAAATATTCATTCTATACTCTGCTTATTCGGGAATGTATCCGCTTCGGAATCGATTTGACTATCGTTCGATCGCTCCATACATTTGGAACATGTACTCGTCTTTATTGGTCTCTCATTTTCAGTTATTTTTACGATAATAAATCTATGTTTTTTACAATTGTTATTGATTCATTCATAAAACACACGATTATAAAAGAGAATCAAAATACAACTGATTACAGTTCTAGCTCTACATATTAACAGTGCTAGTGTATAATTAGAACTAACACTAGACCTAGAACTAAAAACAATTCGGATACCCGTGCGTCTTCAGAGGACGAAACTTCGTATATTGTGAGTTATATGAAATTCCAGTATATGATTCAATTAGAATAACATTTCAAATTGTTTTAAATTCTCTGGCTATTATGTTTCTACCTCGTATCTCTCTTGCTTATGTCCAAATCATCATTTGTGGTTATGCATTTCTACCACACTCAAATTTACCAAGTATTACTTTGTTGTTATTTGGCTCTTTAACTGTCTTCGTCTTAGAAGATCAAGAAATTGAAGCTTTAGAGGGATTTCTGCAGCAGAAGGGTTATGGAACTAGATTGAATGGATATTCTTTGGGAAAAGAAATTTCCCTCAATTTTGCTTGTAAGCGATTAATTTACTTGGAAGATTAACTTGCACACCAATCGAGTAATTCGTGTCTTGAACGATGTTCACGTACTTCCATCATTATCTCCATTAGGATCTTAGATACTGACTTTCTATCCGTTGGAACGATAGTGTATTGGCAGAAATTTTTCATGTCCTCTTGCGTGTGTTTCTCTTCTTGGAAGAGGTTATCCGGACTTACCTACCTCCGGAAAAATTAAACGAAACTAGCTTCCGCAATGCGCCGATCAATTCGTCGTGTAAAAAATGGGTTGGTTTCGGATTGGGTTTCATTCTCTTTCGAGTCTTGTTTACTTTGGGTTGGGTTGGTTTGGTTTGGGGTTGAGTTATTTTCTTTGAAAAAAATGGATCTATCACGTCTCCATGATTTATCAGTACAGTACCTCAATCTTTCTATGTTTTGCCTAATAGTTATATGACAAATTTCTTTATTTAACATATGTGAGTGTTTTCCTCACTGACTGATCAGTATAGTCTCATATATCTTGCTTTGCAAAATCATCTCCTCTTTGTTGAGTTGCATCGGTTGGATCTTCTCGATGCACTTCTCCGATGTTTGTAAGTCTGAAGCTATTGATGTTCATTTTCGTGGTTAAATAGTAGGCGATAATTGCTTTCTCTTTTCTAGTAAGGGCAACCACAGATAAGATAGCATAGAGATGAATTGCTATGAACATCAAGATTTCTATACGAAGATTAGATATATAGATTATCAACTGAAAGTTTTCTTTCTTACTTCTATTTCCTTACTTCAGCACAGAAAGCGTTTGGAAACTTGGTGGCAAGTCGTTCTGGATCCTCATTTGCTAGGTTCGTCATTGTCAATCGAGCGAATTTTGCAGGTATTCCCAATTCCAGCATTATGTTTAAGGGCCGCTTTACAGTATCGTTTCATCATTACTGTCGTAGGTCTGCTTAAAATCTACAAATATCTTGTATTTGTCCAGGTTATATTGCCAATATGTTTCCCAGTTTATTCCAAGACTCTAGGATCTTAGTCAAGACTTTGTAAAACATGCACAACATTGAATGCTGATTTCAAACCGTTACAGCGCGTCCAGAGCCTCGTTCTCAACACTCATCATTAAATTTTCGTTCCTGTTTGGTTAGGTGTTATAACCTATGACTTTTGCTGCAGCAACCTCAATCCCATTTTTGATGGAGAGCCATAAATATAAGCTAAAATCTCTCTAAAAGTCTAAGTGTATGCTGCTTCGACTCTTAACAGGTCTCGAACTTAAGTATGGATTGGTGTTTTGAAGAACAAGGTTTATTTCGTAACGCCCAAATTCTTTTGTGGATGTCCCAATGTGAGAAGCACGTTGAGCATCATCATGATTGTTGTCGTTGTCGTTGCAAATAGTGTGAAGACTGTATTTTTCGGTTGATATCTCTCTCTTCAACCATCGGTTGTCCACTCTTGGATGAAAGCGTCTTTCATATGTGGCCACCTCAAACCATCTGCTTCCCTCGTAGTCTGCTCGTACTGCACTTTGTTATTTTTGGTCGTCACGTCACCTTCGCTGTCTATCTAGCTCTGTCTTGTCTGGCAACATGACCCACTCATTGCCATTTTAGCTACTCGTGCTATTATGATATTTTCATACAAACTGGAACTGTAATTTGAGATAAGTTATTCTAATGTTGTATAAGTTTTAATAATCATGATATATAAAAGATTATAGAATAGAATATTGTTGGTCCATGACTCTAATTAATTAAAAGGTATTAAGTTATAACGTTATAAATAACGTTAAAAATAAATCTTTTAGTTCTTTTCGCGTTTATGAATTTTTTATCATGGATTTTAGATGAGTTAAGATCTAAACTATTTAAGAAGTGATTAGCAAAATTTACCTCAAACTAGTTTCCTTACTTCTACTAATAATCATGAATAATAAATATCTGAAGTTTACAATTTTGGTGGTTTCAAATATTAATCTTTAAATTCAACAGAAATGCATTCGACTATGTGTGACATGACATCCTGAATGGATCCTGCGTATTATTGCCTGTCAATCAATAATTTTAATTCTACTATTACCAAGTTGTGATGTGTTTTGTACGATTAGTAGAAATCGGGTTATTGTAAATGTTGATAAAAAAGGAATTGATTTTTAAATCAACTTGGTTAAATAAAAACTTTTTTAGATCTACCCAAATATTTATCCAGATTGAACTTAGTTTAAGCAACCAAAATCTCTCCCATTTTGTGCTTTATTTCGGTTATAAATCTTCACAGAAGACTACTCATTTCGTGGTAGAGTGTATAAGATAAATATTTGTTCGGCCGTGTCTAAAATTGGAAAACTTTTTCGGCTGTCTGTTTGCTCTTTAAATCGGAACGAATTGTTTTAACTTTTTAAAATTCTTAATTAATTTCGTTTCTGTTAGACTGTGACGTTAACATTCATAGAAAATGCGAAAAGTTGACCGCAAACTTATGCGGAATCAACCAGAAGTTGATTGTTGAAGCGATCGAGTCGGTGAAAAAAGGTAAGATCTATATCATTTATTCTCTCTAATTTCATCACCTCAAATGGATTGTCACGCGTATTTAAAACGTGTATTTAAAAATGACCATGCTGTAGTTTTAAAACGTAAATCGTTTGGCACCTGAGCAAAAATGTTTGTTTAAGCAAAACGTTGGCTTGCGGTGCACTCTCTCAACGTGTGATAATTGTGAGAGTTGAGATAATTTTAGCATTTTAGTTCCCACGCATTTATCTTGTTACAATTTTTAACAGAAAAATATTTTTGAAATGCCAAAACAAACATAAATACATGTGATATCTGCTTTAATGTTGAAAATTTAATAAATATAAACTACAAAAAATCTAAAAAAAAATCTATGTTTATCTTATAAAAAAAGATTTGATATTCTAATCCAAATTTAACTTTCTAAAACTCCCTTGAACACCAAATTCAGTTTCGACGTCACCACTAACTTTTTTAAATTCATGCGGAACGGGTCCGTTCAATCGCATTTCTCCTCCCATCTGTAGGTACTTTTCCCGAAACCCTACTACTTTGCCTTTCCAATCCTCATTAATCTCCTTTAGAGGCCTTTGAGGTCCGCCGTAATCACCGGGCAAACATTTCAAAGGCACAAAGTCGCACAACTTATCCACAGACTTGTGAAAATAAAACTAAAAAATATACGAACCAAAAATGAAACGAATCCCAGATTTAAAACTTTTAACGATTACGAATTATTAAACTTACCCTTTTAATTAATTTATCCTTTATCACGGTTTTTAACACGATTAGTATATTTTGAATGAAGGGAATACTTGAAATAACGTGAATCGATTTTATACGAACCGGATACATATCCAAAGCTAAACTAATCGCTTTTTTTGTAGTGTTCGATAAAAATTTTGCTAAAATTTCGGTTGTTGCTAAAGAAGCATCAATTACAAACACTTCTCCCGCTATTAACGTATCTTCATGAACTTTTATATCGGCTAAAACGAAATAATTAAGTACGAAGGCTTTCATGGTTGGGTGTTAATTAAACTAAAACTAGAATTAATAGTAGCACTATCACTAGAATTAACACTAGATCTAGAACTAGAAAGTTTCGGGTTATGCCGTGCTTGTTTTGAAAAAGTGTTTGATGTTACGAATGTCATGTTGCAACCTTCTTCAGTAACAAGTTCGAAGTTGTTGCAAGTGTAAAACTAGAACTAACACTATATCTAGAACTAGAATCATTCGTGTTTAGCCGTCTTTAGAGACGTGCGGCTAAACCCAAATGATTCTAGTTCTAGGTATAGTGTTAGTTCTAGTTTTACACTAGCACTGTTACTTTGGGTTTAGCCGTCTTTAGAGACGTGCGGCTAAACCCAAATGATTCTAGTTCTAGGTATAGTGTTAGTTTTATATGGTAATAGTGCTAGTTTTAATTGTTATGTAGCACTAGACCAAGAACTAGAATCATTTGGGTTTAGCCGTCTTAAGAGACGTGCGGCTAAACCCAAATGACTCTACTTCTAGGTCTAATGTTAGTTCTTGTGACAGTGCTAGTGTAAAACTAGAATTAACACTAGACCTAGAAATAGAATCATTCGGGGTTAGCCGTCTTTAGAGACGTGCGGCTAAACCCAAATGACTCTAGTTCTAGGTCAAATGTTAGTTCTTGTGACAGTGCTAGTGTAAAACTAGAACTAACACTAGACCTAGAAATAGAATCATTTGGGTTTAGCCGTCTTTAGAGACGTGCGGCTAAACCCAAATGTTTCTAGTTCTAGGTCTAATGTTAGTTCTAGTGACAGTGCAAGTGTAAAACTAAAACTAACACTATACCTAGAACTAGAATCATTTGGGTTTAGCCGTCTTTAGAGACGTGAGGCTAAACCGAAATGATTCTAGTTCTAGGTATAGTGTTAGTTCTACATAGTAACAGTCTTAGTGTAAAATTAGAACTAACACTAGACCTAGAACTATAAACTTTCTAGTTTTAGGTCTAGTGTTACTTCTAGTGATAGTGCCACTATTAGTTCTAGTTTTAGTTTAACAAAGTAATTAATTTTTAAATTTTAATAATTAACATTTTTATACCAATTCTGCTTATATATCGGTACGTTTTGACCAGATCAAACCGATCAACGTTCGAATCAGTTAATTTAATTATAATCACTCTATATCCTTCAGGTGTTAATCTGGGCATCATCACAGCTGAACTGTAAATTAAATGAAAATTAAATTGGATTCAAAAAGTGTAAAATTATTTAATTATAATAAATTAATTACATGAACTCGGTCGCTTTCATATCGTCATTTAACGAACCGATTCGATTTCCCAAAAACTCCGAATTAGTACAACATGCGATGAAATACGTTTGAATTTTCTTTTTCGTCTTTTCCAAATCATGTTTGCAACCCCTTAAGAATGTTGTTAAGATGGTTTCATCTAAAATAATTATTGTGTAACAACATTTATTTCTTAACTTTCTAAAGCAATCTTACCATATCCTTGAGGTAAATAACTGTTAAATTGAATCCATTCTTTTAATAACTTTAACTTATTAATTAATCTATCCTTATCTTCGCCTAATTCTTCGCGTATTTTGCCTTCTTGAAAAATATCGGGGGGACATAACAATTCCATCCTAATAAACGATTTAAACCGCACCAAAGATCTTTTTCAGTCAACTTACGGCTGGCTACTGAGTGTCCGGTTACTTTCACCAAGTGTTACGTTTAGTTTTTTTTTTGATTGAATAACCACTTTTAAATGTGGCCGGGTTATTAAGTAACTTGAGGATGTAAAATTATATATTTCGCGTGCGAAGAATTCCGAAATGATATAACAGTTATATAATTATTAGTTTTAAATTTAAATTAAGGGAAAACAATAATAAATAAGAAATGTTATTAATAAATTAAGTAATAAAGTTTTATTTAATTTTTGCGTTGCAGCTCCGTCGGATACAAGAGATTCGCCGACTTCGAATCCGGCCCATAACCCTGCGTTTGCTTTGGACGCTTTCGATGGTGGTAGCGAAGATTTTCAAATGTCGAGCACTTTCGCTAGTTTTCAAAAAAGTGGTCGAATTACACCGCCGGCTACCACTATACCAAGGTTTAGAAAGTACACAATAGATGATTTTAATTTCCTTAAGGTTTTAGGGAAAGGAAGTTTTGGAAAAGTAAGTTGCAAAAAAATAAATTTAATATAATAAAAAATCTAGATATAACATTTTTGCATTGCTACAAATAGAACTTAACCTTTATTCCACTTTTTCTCAATAAATGGTACACTTTGTGTAGTTATATGCAGAGATTTTATCTCAAACAGTCTTGGGATTGTATTGCCTTGGTTTTAAGTGGCCTTTCTCTTGATACGTTAAGGATAAACCTTTCGGTCGTGATTTTCCAAGTAATTAGTAATAATTAATGGTTAATATATGAAATTAAAACGAAAAATACAAGATGTAGGGGCATGTTTATGTTATGCAATCAGTTTTGAAGTGTAACGGTTGATAATCACCAGCGGAAATTAGCAGAAAAATAATCAGAAAGATTACGAGATAAAGTAATTTATGCAAACTCACATGGTTGTAAGGTTCCAACCAACGACATAGTGAATATTCTAAACGTTTTCCGTTTAGTATTTAGCTCCATAGAAAGATAGGGGTAGACACGGAGGTAATTTAGATGAGGATGTAGAAGTGTAACACTTTCTGCATTTGACATAAAGTGATGGAGAAGAATCCAACTTGCTCCAACGCAACCTAAATCCTCCGTCATATATGGACACCAAATCAGAACATAATTTAGAATGATATCTGAGATACAAAGTATGATGAGATAATCTAAAATGAAGGACAAATTGATTTGCACCTCAATCATTGGAAAATTCTTGCCAGATTACCATTGAGGAACTTGATGGTACTACACAAATCTACTTAATAAAGTACAAGCAAAAGAACACATAATGTTCAGATATGACATAAATCAGGAAATAATATCAAGGTCGTAATAAACTACCATAATGGCTCAGGAAGCAAATTTAGTTGCTTACATTGAGAATGTGGAACATTTATGGTTTATGAAATAAAAGAATACATGTTGGACATTGATTAATTTTATCAACGAGAGATAATATTTTTGAAATCTTTCGTTTTTGATAATTTGTAGCTGCAGAAATCTGTAGGAATGTTTTCCCGTAATTGTGGATTTCTCCTCAGTTTGTTTGCAAACACTCCTGAAATAAAAGGTGTCCCCATAAGAAGTTGAAATTTGCAGTGCAAATTTAGTTCTATGAAAAATCATCTATGAAAATGTGGCAAAACACCCAATCATATCTTGATACATCTCAACATAACCGAGCAACTCTTCAACCGAGATAAACTCATCTGGTTTCTTTTAGATTTTTTGAGAGAGAGTGAAATTGTAGAATTTGGTTTTTCCAATATGTTCATAAAGACACACAGCAACATACAAATCTGACCGATAATAAAAGTAATAATCTTCTAGATTTTTTATTATTTATAAAATTAATGAATTAATAATTAATTTAATAATTCTTTTTATTATTAGGTGTTATTAGCTGAATTAAAGGACACAGAATATTATTACGCAATAAAATGTTTAAAGAAAGACGTGGTCCTGGAAGACGACGACGTCGAATGCACATTAATCGAAAGGAAAGTGTTGGCGTTGGGCACTAAACATCCATATTTGTGTCATTTGCTCTGTACGTTCCAAACCGAGGTAAGATAACAGACTTCAATGTCTGTCGTGAAATTACAAAAGCTTCAAAAATAACTCGAATTTCGCATACATTACGCATAAAAATGGGCACTCACCCAAAAACGTTCGCAATATTGTGTGTGCGTAAAACGTTTCTATGTATTATTTTTTTTTTAAACGGGCATTAAAAAAAACCAGTTACAAAGTTTTCAAGTATCGTAAAAATAACTTTTATTTTCAATGAATTAATTTAATTTTCAGTCACATCTCTTCTTCGTAATGGAATATTTAAACGGAGGCGATTTAATGTTTCACATTCAACAATCGGGACGATTTTCGGAACCCCGAGCACGATTTTACGGCGCCGAAATCGTTTCCGGACTAAAATTCTTACACACTAAAGGAATCGTTTATCGAGATTTAAAACTTGATAATGTGTTGTTAGATTTTGATGGGCACGTTAGAATTGCTGATTTTGGGATGTGTAAGTTGCAAATATTTTTGGATAGGATGGCTGATACATTTTGTGGTACACCAGATTATATGGCACCAGAAGTAAGTTTATGTATTAATTTTTTTATTATTTAAGTTTTAATTTAATAAAAATATATAACAACCTAAAATATACTATAATGCTGAATAATAACTAAAACTAGAACTAATACTAGCACTAGAACTAATACTAGACCTAGAATTAGAAGAAACATTCGCGATTAGCCGTACATCTCTCAAGATGGCTAAACCTGAATGTTTCTACATAGTTAGTTTTACATAGTAATAGTGCTAGTGTAAAACTAGAATTAATACTATACCTAGAACTAGAATCATTTGGATTTAGCCGCACGTCTCTAAAGACGGCTAAACCCGAATGATTTAGTTCTAGGTATAGTGTTAGTTCTACATAGTAACAGTGCTAGTGTAAAACTAGAACCAACACTAGACCTAGAACTAGAAAGCTTCGGAAACTGGAAAACTGTAACTAATATTAGACCTAGAACTAGAATCATTTGGGTTTAGCCGTCTTTAGAGACGTGTGGCTAAACCCAAATGATTCTAGTTCTAGGTCTAATGTTAGTTCTAGTGACAGTGCAAGTGTAAAACTAAAACTAACACTATACCTAGAACTAGAATCATTTGGGTTTAGCCGTCTTTAGAGACGTGNAGTTTGTAGTTGTTTGTTAACACTATCTAGTCTTCTCCAAACAGATTGTAATCCTTTCCATCAGTATCAAGCATTTTGGAAGCAGTAGGTACCTTTTTTGGAGAGCATCTCTTCTTTTCAAGTAGTTGTAAGTCTTTTCTGGTAGTATTTAGCATTCTAGCAGCATTAGGTAGCTTTTTGGGAAGCATATCTCTTCTTTCCAAGCAGTTATTAGTCCTTTCCAGCAGTATTTAATATTCTGGAAGCAGTAGGTAGCTATTTGGAAAGCATATCTCTTTTCCAAACAATTATTAAAGTCTTTGGAAGCAATATTCCGTCTATCCAAGTAGGTCAAAACCTTTAACAGCAGTGTTTAGCGTTCTGGGAGCAATAGGTATCATTTTGAAAACAGTATCTAGTCTTTTCCAAGTAATATTATTTAATGATTTTCTTTCCATTTTATACTCAATGTAAATAAAATTCGATTTTTGCACTTCAAATGGATTACTTTATTTATTTCTTTTTCTCTACCGGTTTCGCCACATATTATAGCATCATCAGGAGAATACGTCAATTGGTTACAAAAAATTCTTTGGATAAATGTTGTTGAGTAATTAAATACTGTTCAACTTCTGCGGCAAGGTGCACGACGTCATAACGTTTTATAATTTCTTAATCCTCTCCAATCTCAATTCTCTAAGTTTCTCAGTGTAATTTGAAAATGAAAACATATAAAGAAACACTCAACAACATTTATACTAAGAATCTTAGATCTAATCAGAAAATTAAATACTGCTTGTAGGAGACGATTTACTACTCGCAGAATTTAATGCTGCATACAGGAGACTAAAAACTGCTTATAGGAGATTAAATATTGTTTGTAGGCGATTAGACAATGCCTTGAGAAGAAGAAAACTGTTTGGAAAGAACTAAATACTAATTTAGAAGACAATATACTGTTAGCAGGAGACCAGATACTGCAGACAGAACACTAAAATATATTATTAACTTAAACCTACGTTCCCTACTACAACATGAAAAGAAGTATAGAATCTGTCTTAAGAGACCTGCGGCTAAACCCCAATGTTTCTAGTTCTAGGTCTAATGTTAATTCTAGTGACAGTGCAAGTGTAAAACTAAAACTAACACTATATCTAGAACTAGAATCATTTGGGTTTAGCCGTCTTTAGAGACGTGCGGCTAAACCCGAATGTTTCTAGTTCTAGGTCTAGTGTTAGTTCTAGTTTTACACTATTACTAGAACTAATACAAGACCTAGAATTAGAATCATTCGGGTTTAGCCCTATTTAGAGACGTGCTGCTAACCCCGAATGTTTCTAGTTCTAGGTCTAGTGTTACTTCTAGTTTTAGTCCAATGAAAAATATACAGCAATCTAACGATAAATAACAACTAAAACTGGAACTAACACTAGCATTAGAACTTTCACTAAACCTAGAACTAGAAACATGTAGTTCTTCCTCTAATGTAGTCTTGAAAGACGTACGACTAAACCCAAATGAACTTCTAAATCATGCAAATGAGTTAATTATTATTTTTTTAGATAATAAAAGGTCAACATTATAATCAATGTGTGGATTGGTGGTCCTTTGGCGTTTTATTATACGAAATGTTAATAGGACAATCACCGTTTAGTGGTTGTGATGAAGACGAACTTTTTTGGTCAATTTGTAATGAAAAACCGGTTTTACCACGGTTTCTTTCTACAGAAGCTAACTCCATTTTAAGCCAAGTAAATCAATCAATTAATTTAAATCATTATATTAACCATTATATTTTAGCTTTTAGAAAAAGATTGGAATAAACGATTAGGTTATAAACTAAGTCTACACGGTGATATTCAAAGTCATCCATTCTTTGGACCTATTAGTTGGGACCTGCTAGAGTTAAGGCATTTAGAAGCACCTTTTAAACCCAATTTGGTAACGACACAAATTAAATTTTATTATATTTTTAATATATATTTTTTTTTTCAGCAACATCCACTAGATACACAATACTTCGATAAGACTTTTACGGTTGAAAAGGCGAAATTAACGCCGATAGAAAACAACATATTACAATCAATGGATCAAACTCAATTTCAAGGTTTTAGTTACACGAATCCGAACGCTACTGATAGATAAATATCTAGGTAAAAACGGTCGTAACGTTCCTATTTATTAACTTTATATAAAGAGTATTCTGTACCTGAACTTGAAACACATCAAAGAACTTTGCTAAAACTACTAATTAAAAAAGCGAGACCGTTTAAAGCTTTGTTTAAAGCTTTGTCGAAAGTTTAAAATGCTTCGTTTAAAAAAATTTTAATATTAATTTTAATATTTAGAGTCTAGTCAATATATTTTAGTTTGTAAAATATAAGTTTTAATATAAGCAATACCTAATGATTATTTATATTTGTATGGTCATTATTGTAAGTTGGAATATGAATAAAATAAGGAATATTCAAGAGAACTAATTTCGTTATTGATCTCATTTTGATAAGTGCAAAACTCCAATTTTTTTTAGCCGAACAAAATTACGAGTTAAAACCTGTCAAACTTTCAAGCCATTAATTTGTAACAATTTTTTTTAGTTTAAATATTCAATCCCAAATGGCGAAACAATCAATTCTCTATTTTTCTGTTGTTCCATCGGGGTTATCTAAAAATAAAACTTTTATAAACAACAACACTTTTTAAAACATTAAAATTAAAAAGTTACTCTGTTAGATGAAACAAAATTAATATTTCTTCTGTAAACCGTTCGATTTTTATCAAAACACTTCGGAACCAAGCTCATATCGTGCCCACCCCTCTTCCGTTTTAAATTCGCATCCCTTTGCACCCGTTTAAGCTCCTCCTTTTCCATTCTCAACATACACCAAGCTCGTATTACAAAGTAGTAAACGATTTCAACGGCTGAAAGTAAACTAAATCCGAGGAAAAGACCGGCTATCCCACCAAAAGATACCAAGAGATCCACCCAACCAAAAAGAACCTCTCTTTTGTATCTAACCATCGGCCATGAAACAAACTCGGTTTCTAATGAAGTCGATTCCCTAAACAATAACTATATATAAAGTTCGCCAAGAAGTCAGAAATACCTGTTTATCTTTTTGGTTTCTGAAATTTTGTTCATCCCGATTTTTTGTTGTAAGATAAAAATTAGTTTATGTTTAATAAATCTAGAATCTTTAAGCTTCAAATTAACATACATATCACATCATAATTCTTAAAAATACAGCTAGTTAAATCGAACGATCGGGATGAACATCAGAAACGTAAGTTCCATAGAGCCAAAAACAACAAGGTTTGCTGACTTGTTTCAGACACTGTATAATAAATATTATTAATACTTAATTAACATACAAATTTTCGTTAAATTTCTCCACTTCATAAACGGTATTTGAACACCCCAACAAACATAAACATTTATCAACGTTTTGGATATCGTCCGAATTTTCTTCAACGCATTTAAGTTGTTTTAATGTGCAATGTTTAAAGTGATCATCAATTCTCGGATAAAAATGAGGAACGCAATCGCAGAATTTCATCGAATTTCTCATTCTACACTCCCTCGTACATGCGCTAAACGTGTAAATATGATCAATAAGTAATTTTTGTTCATCTTCAAACACGCAATGACGCTGTTTTGTTGTTAATTGCCTCGCGTCTTCTGTTGTGTAGGTTTGTTTAACTGAAAAAGAAATTTTGTCTACTTTTCCCGTCCATAAATGTTGCGGTTTAATTTCTAATCCGGGAACTTCATCCGAATTATGAATAAAAATTGGGATACTTGATGAATTCGTTGGTGGTTCTAAATTAAATTTTAATGACCATTTAATATCGGTTTCTTTAATGTATTTTTTGTCGAAATTAATAATTTTAGATCCATTTCTTAATATTAAAAAGAAAAGAAAAGTGCCAATTAATTGTGACGCAATATATTTTAAATGGCATTCGAAAAGTATTTACCGTTGAACATTCATTTCGTAGTGACGAGAGTTAAAGGTGTAGCAAAATCCAATTTCCGTAAAAATTGGAAAAAAACCATCGCAACAAACGTAACTTTCTGACTTCCAGATGCACTCTGTGAACACGTTCTCGCACGACTTCACGAACTAAACACTCAAAGAGGCGAGAAATTAAATTTACAACCTTTCATCGATTTATTTCCAATTGTAAGGTACATACTTGCATTGCAAAGTCTCTTAAATCCATCGAATCAGAAATAAAGATGTCACCCGTATAAAATTCATCATCAAACATTTTCAACTCGCTGTACGACGTTTTAATAAAGTTCGTAACAAAGTTAATAAATTTATCTTGATTTTCTTTCACTATTTCGTTACTGAAACGGTTTTTTTTGTTTTAGAAAAAAAATATAATGAAACTTTTGCTGTTTCGTACGTTTTAATGTAGTTCGTTATCGCTTCAATGTCGATTGGGGCACTTGGACAGACTGTTATAGCCGGAAAAGCTACTTCCCAATCATGAAAATCCGTATCTAGACCTGTTATAGTTGGATTCGTTTGAAATTTTTCCCACAAACTTACTATTATTATCGTTGCTGTTACCGCTGCAATTGCAACGCATAAAAACCATATTATCCTTAAATAAAATTATATATTAAAATTATATCCTAGAAAAGTAAACTACATTGTTGTGTTGTATTGATGAAAAACCATCGAATGTTACGTCTGGATGAAGAATTTAGTGACTTAAAGCGTATTTAGGACAGATTAGCACCCATACTCATTGATCTAAACACAACCTTGATAAAATCTGTCTCAATGATGAGATATGCAGATAACCTTAACATTTTTGGCAGATCAACGTAGTTGGTGAAGTGTCACAATTGGTGGATAACTTCGGCTACCTGGGTAGCAATGTATAACGCATGTCAGAGACACGTGCCGTAAAGAAAGTGTTTCGACAACCAGAAGAAAATATTTTCAAGATGTTAATGGTAACATTCGGGAATCGGAGCATGTTACAAAAAAACTTTTGGAACGAAAGTTGTAGCTAATTTTATTCTTAGCAATATTGTTCTCTTGGGTTTTTGCACTCAGATGCGTCAATATTGAGAAAAATACAAAAATATGAAACTTGGATGAATTTGTTGCTTTTTGAACTTGTTAATGATAACATTCAAGAAACGGAGCATATTACAAAAAGACTTTTGGAACGAAAGTTATAGCTAATTTTATTCTTAGCAATATTGTTCTCTTTGGTTTTTGCACTCAGATGCATCAATATTGAGAAAAATACAAAAATATGAAAATTGGATAAATTAGTTCCTTTTTTAAGTAGTTAATGATAAATGATAACATTCGGGAAACGGAGCATGTTACAAAAAAACTTTTGGAACGAAAGTTGTAGCTAATTTTATTCTTAGCAATATTGTTCTCTTTGGCTTTTGCACTCAGATGCGTCAATATTGAGAAAAATACAAAAATATGAAAATTGGATAAATTTGTTCCTTTTTTAAGTAGTTAATGATAAATGATAACATTCGGGAAACGGAGCATGTTACAAAAAAACTTTTGGAATCAAAGTTGTAGCTAATTTTATTCTTAGTAATATTGTTCTCTTGGGTTTTTGAACTCAGATGCGTCAATATTGAGAAAAATACAAAAATATGAAACTTGGATGAATTTGTTGCTTTTTGAACTTGTTAATGATAACATTCAGGAAACGGAGCATAATACAAAAAAACTTTTGGAACGAANCAGAGCATGTTAGAAAAAAACTTTTGGAACGATAGTTATAGCTAATTTTAATCTTATCAATATTGCTCTCTTGCAAAGTAAAATAAAAGTAAAGAATGTATGTATATAACGTTGAACTGAAAATGAATTTTTATCATTTTGAGCACGTCATAGTCATAACTGAGTTACTTTTAGCCATTACAACGAACCTAAACGAAGTAAAAACCGCAACTTTATTACTTTAAATTCATTAATTTTAAACGAACCAACTCGCAATCTCTCATTTCCATAAACTTGTATTACCTTTCTGAAAGAGGCCGTCCTTTTTCTGTTAAATACTTAACGCCGTGCAACGTGCAATTCTGAAAGAATAACTTGGCCTGAACCGTCCAACTAGTCTCAAGTAATTTCATCGTCTTGCAAACACTCTTCGTTTTCTTTTTATTTCTTTTAACGGTTCCTGCTAGAACAGTATCCATTGTACTTTAGTTTAATTTTCTATTTCTCACTTTCACGGTGGTATAACTTGAGATTATCGCCTCTAAAACTCTCGACCCATCGTCCCCGGACTCTCAGATAAATTGTGTTACATAATCTTTTGAAATTTAACTACAGTGGACGTCCGAAATAAAAAGATAATTAAAAATTAATTCAAGGGTTTTTCTAGATTATTATTCAGTTACGCAACTTGTTAGTTTTTTTATTAGCGTTGTAATAACCGGGGTTAATTCGATTTTTCGCTTATGCCTCTGTTGTTGGGAAAACACAAAGGAATCAAATGTGTGAGCGCGAAGAGCTTATCGAATGGTGGGTGCGGTTATCGGCCCCTTTCCTTAGACTATTTTTGGGGTACTTTTCCTCGTTTAATCCCGAGTTCCAGTGAACCCACAAAGCTCAGCCAACTCTCTCACAGAGTCACGACCGATTATTTCTCCACGCGTCGTTCCAAGCTCAAGATTAATCTTGGTTTTAGTGGTCGTAAAGGCTCCTAAAAAATTTTAAAAAAATATATTGTGTGCTGATATAAAATTTATTAAGGAAATTAATCACCAATTAATTTTGTCAAAGTTTCCCCCATAAACTCTTTTCTAAACAAACGCAATTAGATTCGTGGCAATAACCGTCACGGACACCGTTCAAAAGCGTCGAAACTCAAGAATATATGGGAATTTAATTAACGCCCTCGGACGTTCCAACTTTAATCTCACGCTTCGTACTACTTTTTACAACACATTTTTTCCCCATTTTATGCAAGAACTCACAATCTAATTCGAACCTCACACAAAAAGAGTAATAAATGTTTCAAATAATGATATTTCAAACGCATCAATCCTATTGTAGGTTTTGTATAGAAATGAGGACGATAAAAAGACCATCGTGAGGGATGCTTTTATTCCACCCTTTAATGAAGCAATATGTAAACGAACGACTACAAAAGCACTATTATGTGGTATTACCTTGGACTGTATCAGTTACAATCTATTTTTTATGTTTTTTTTATCATTATAATCCCGTGGATAGTTAAATGTACAAAGAAAATTTTAAAAAGTTTATTACTCCAAAGAGTTATCCCTTTGCATCTTTGTAAACTGAACAGTTGCTTTGTTAACTTTGTAGCTCCAAGTTAGAAATCGTACGCATTTACACATTTGCGTTTAATTAACCGCGTAATAAAACGTTTCCTCGAGCGTAATTCGCATCATCAAAGCTTCCCAACAAAGCACGACAAAGCTTTCAACTACCATCCTATTAATTTGCAAAAAAAATTAAAAATGGAACAACAATTCACGGTCGTTGTAGACATGAAAATACAACCGTAGTTGTCGATAACAGAGTTTTATTTTATCTTTGATTGAAAGCGAAAAATTTCAATTTTTCTCATCACAATGCACCTATTTACACTTCACCGGGTACAAAATTTAATATAAAAATGATTCGAGGGAACGACAGCAACCTGAGGGTTTAGGAGCCTCTCGTATACCCTCGCCAACGATCGAACTCCAGCGAAAGAGTTCGCACCAATTTTCAATTCAAAATAATTGCGTTGGTAAGGTGAAGTTGAGTTTAAAGTCCGGAATGGTACATTCTAGTTAACAATAACTATTTTATTTATCTACTAATTAGCTTCATTCTTATTTTGATTCAAATCTAATAAAGTAGACTTTGCAGAATAGTAACTCTATGAAGAACTAAAAGTTATAGATTGATCAGAACCAATCGTAGATTTCGATGATGTCATTTCCATCCTTTAAAATATCGTATTTCAAGAACCATTAGAAATGTAATGACGAAATTAATACCATTTTAAAGCAAATTTAATACAGATTCAATGTGCCATAAATAATTTCTTAATTATCATAAACATCGTTGTTATGACTTTTTAAATCCAACACTGCATGTTTAATTGTTGTAAATATGAAATATAAATTTTAAAAAGTTGTATCTCAAAAACTAATTGAGATATCATCATGAAATAAAGAACATTTTAAAGCAAATTTGATGAAGATTTAATGTGCCATAAATAATTTCTTAATTACTATAAACATCGTTGTTATGATTTTTTACACCTAACTTGGTCCGACGAATTTGTACTGTAAAATAAACTTAATGATAATTCCGTCTTAAGTTGAGTTGTAATTATGGTTTAACCATTTATGTTTTAATTTTAATAATAAATTAACTAGTAGGAAACGTTGGTAACAGTGCCGTTTTACGACTTTACGACTCGGATAAGTCATAACAAAAAGGGAACCCCGAGCAGGAAGGAACAATTTTGCACCGGAACAAGAAGTAATTTTGCTCAAATAAATTTTCTTAAGGTAGACAAAGGATATTACGCGAATTTTCGTACCTAGTGGAAACGACAGAGGCGGAGACAATTCGTTTGGCTCTTAGTTTTAAGAAAACTAAAAGAGGAAATATTAGAGCGAGATAGAAAAAAAAAGTTTTTAGTTCAGAAGGAAAATTTAGAGATGTATTTTCCGTTCGCGGAAAAGTACGCTCGTAAAAATTTTCGTGTTCGCCGGAAGTGTGTGCTTAACCTACTAATGTGTCGTCGTCGTCGCTTCTTTAAACGTTCAAACCGCACCGGAAGTTTTTAAATTGCTCCATAAAAGGGCGAGGTAAGCGATTATCAATTGGCGAAGGGCTTAAAACTCAGTTAAATCGAGAACAACATTTTTCAAGGGAATTTCCCCCACATCGAAACAACTTAATATAAACTATAAAATGTCGAATTGGCCGCGTTTAAAACGCGGCTATTGTACCCGAGGTAATTGTAAATATTAAAATCGAACTCTATTTTTGAAAAATCCATTAGATAACATTTTTGTGTATTACTGTTTGCGCAAAACAAATAAAAGCTTCGTTCATTTAGTAATTTAAAAAAATGGGCAAACATAAAAATATCCAGTGTTTAACTAGTAAATTCATATCAACAATTAAAAAAATTTTAATTACAACGTACAGATTTGGTTATGAAACTTTGTGTGCTATATATCATCAAAAACTGTCAATACTTAAAAAAACTAATAATATCAAAAGGCGCCAAACAATGTGGGAGCGTGACAAAATGTGTCATTAAGTGCAAATGTCGTAGTAAGTGTGAATAGAGATTAATGTCAAAAGTGAGAAAAAGCTCAACCTTCGTCCCCAAATTTCCCTGGGTCTATCCACTCTCTCATCCACTTCGAAAAGTATTTCCAATTTCTGCCGAATTCTGCATCAACGTCTATGATTCACAACACTAGGTCAAATAGGTCAATGTCAAAAAGTGTGAAAATGTGCTTAGAAGTATTTAAATGTGTCAAATAGTGTCTAAAACTGTCAACAACAAAAGCCTATCAATAATGCATACCAAACGATGTCAGTAAGCGGCAAAATGTGTTAAAAAGTATTCTAAGGTGTCAAAATCTACCAAAAGTTTTCCATAAAAGAGTTTCAAATAGATCAATTTCAAAAATAATTTAATGAAAAAAGAAAAATTTTCCCTCTAGATAAATCTCGCCGGAGTAATTTTTTTAATTGGTCTATAAGATCATAATTCTCTGCTAGATTTTGTGTATGAAATTTCACATGACTGAGGTGTTTGGCAAAACCACTCCTTATAGAAAAGCAGCACTCTACTTTTATTTTTTAATCAAGTATTACTATAAATATAAGCAACACACAATACATTAATCTGAGTCCAGTGAGAAGTTAGATGTGTTCTTATTCGCGCAGATTGAGCTACTGCGCAATGACAATTCTTTTTTAAAGATTAATTTCGTTACAACACTAAAGAGCTATTATTAAAACATAAAATATAAAACTAAAATTTGGCGAATTTAACACAAGGTGTTTCAAAAGATTGTAAGACGTCTGTTGGGAACGTCACAAAGCCTCGAATAACTCAGTTTCTATTTTAATATCGTTGACTAAGCGCCTTTATGAATAAGGGAACGCGTGCGAAGTAATTCTATTTCATCTGATTCAATCGAAAAATCTGCGGATTTCCGACCGGAATTCTTCACGTGACGCCTTTCTCGCGTTTTTCGTTGAATTTTTTATAAGCTCCACCCTTTGCAGGAATTTGAACGAAAGAAATTTCACCAACCATAAAACCCCGGTGAAATATAATAAGAGAAATTTTTAAAAGTTTTTGGAGTGAACTTTTTATTTTCTAAATTATTACCGTCATATTTACTCGAAAAAAGAAGAAATAATAAAAAGAAGTAACATAATAATAAAAGGGTTATATTGTCATAGTTGAATTAACATTATTTAATGCTAATAATAAATTATGCAACGCCACCTATGGGGTTACTATGTGTTCGCCGAACTATAACCGTAAGGCGCGCATCAAGCTCTTTGGATGGATTTCAGTTCAGTTGCTTTCAGACCGCCGAGTGCTAGAGATGTCCTGAAACAAGCCGTTTTATCGGGTTTTAACGGTGAAATTTGTAATGAATAAACAATAAATTAAATAAAAAGTGGTTTTTCTTTGTTTCATAATAATGTTTCATTTATAGTTTTATTAATTAAAAAGAAACTTTCAAAATTGACTTCATCAAATGGTATTATTTAAGTTGAGTTTGCAAGTTAGGTAAGTTATGTTTTAGATTGTTAAAAATTAATTTTTAATATTATCGAATGAAATCAAAACAAGTGTATTGTTAGTGTAAATTCAATTCCATTTATTGGTATCGAGTTACGTTTGAAATTAATCGTTGATTTCATTTAACTAAAACATGAATAAACTTTCAATAAACAATGCCACAAACAGGGTGAAATTTGTTCATCAATTTAAAATAAAATTATTGTACGTTTATACCATCCAAGTTTACCGAAGCTTCACCAAAACCAAATGTTTACATTCTATAGATATAACAATTAGACCGTATCCTAACGTTTCTATCGATCGTTAACATTGTTAACCAACGTGTTAGTTTTCAAATATTATAATTTAGATGCCCCTTTATAACAATGAAATAAAATAAAACGTTTCAATCATTCTTCAAAACTTTTATAGTACCTAAGGAAGTCTGGGTGAAGTAACAGATGTCTTTCATATGGTTCCCATCCGTCTACTTAGAACAGATTGAGTGTCCAGACTGATTCAACTAATGGTTAAAAATATTTTTTATTTGATTACTTAGAGAAAATTAATTAACTGTGATAATAAATTTAATAAAATTACATTTTACCTTTGACGAATATCAATAGTTCAAAGAATATAATGACAATTAGCAGTTGAATTACAGAATCAGGAAAAAGGGAGTTTGAAATGTTGGAGTCGCGTCACCCCAAAGACTAAATTTATCGCCGGAGAAAGACATTGATTCACCGTTCGCGAACGGAAATAGCTCACTCACAAAGACAACGACGAGACCACGCTGTAAAGCTTTCCAGTTAGCCATATTCTATAACTCTTGAAAATCTTTTAGTTTTCATCATTATTATTTTCCCATTATATCATTCTCTTTACGTCTTTTCAAAGAAAATTTCTTTTATTATTTAAAATATTGGCATCTCCTATATTTTTATTATGTATTTCCCCCGAGACATAAAATATGTATAGATTCAATTTTATTTCACATGCAGAGATCATCTATTTTCAATATATGTTTTAATATCGAAATAGATAATTCAAAAACATGTAAAATAAACATCTCTATTAAAGTTTATTTTATAAAGCCTAATTGATAATAAAGAACTACTTTAAACACCAGCTTGATGTCCGGTTTCATCTGATTATAAACAACAGTATTACTTTATAAACGTAATAAGATCTAGTTGTATATTACGAAATTACTTTTTTCCGTTTCACTCACAGTTTGGTTAAAATTAAATATCTTTTATATTTAATTTTTATTTAAATACAGGATAATTTAAAAAGTCGGTGGAAAAAATATTTTTGTTTGTACTACTTCAATCGTTTGGATTTAGGTATTTATACAGTCCGTAACTGTTGATATTTAAATAGATTTAATTAAATGGTAAATACGGGATTTACGATATGACACCGACCTACATGGTCGTTTATCAATCACAAAATTAGCATCAAATTCGAATTTCTCATTTTAGACAACCTAAAATTATAAACTATCAGTTAAAAATTTTAAAAATATTAACATAGTCTGTTTAAATCACCATAATTTAATAAGTAATATTTATAGTTTTGGGATTTTTATTTCTACCGGTTTCGGAATCTTAGCACCATATCATATATATATTAAACTAGATTTTACGCAACTTTTAATGTTCCTCTCGATTGAAAAATTTACTTCACCTAGAATATGTAACGTAGAATATGTAGAATACGTCATTTTTAGATATTTAGATTGACCAAGACTGTTAATGAACAATTAGACACTTCTAATAGAAGTCTAAATACTGCTAGCAGAAGACTAGATGATGAAGGTAGAACACTATATCCTTCTGCCAGAGAAGTACGCCAGGATGGTTTCGACAACCATAAGGTAAACTTGTTTTGATGAATACAATCCGTCAGGAAGCACATTTGTTTGATTTTAATGCTTCCGCTCATAAGACTTTGATCAGTAAGTCTAACCGAGCTACTCGGCTAATGTTTTGTAAGAAACATCGATAAGCTTGGGGGGGTCTTCAATTCATAGTAAGCTCAACGCTGAGTCATACTGCACAATTTTAAATGACAATGTGCTTCCTACGCCCATCATTAGAACCTTTCTGTTTCTTCAGAAAAAAGACTAATTAAATTTAAGAAATTTTGTATTATGGATTAGGCTAAGTAGTTACGTTTTGTTATGATTTTTGTTTAGATTTAAGAAAAATTAGGGCGGTGTACAAGAAAAAGGTAATTCATTGAAGTCCATGACCTTCAAATTTGACCTTGTCATTTACATTTTTGACAGGTATTAAATTTTAGCAACTTTTCAGACGATTTTAGACTTTAAAAACATGCGAGATCGATAGATTGTATCGATTTAACCCATAGGCCGCAATTCCATCCATTTCGGTATCATTCTTTATATCTAAATTCCAATTTTTCATTTCCAAACTTCAACATCAAATTACGACTTTCTCGAAGGAAATTGACATCCGAAAGCGCGTTTATCTAAAAAAACGAAAAATTAGCAACAAAATTACAAAATCTTAATCAAATTTAAAGTTTATTAATAATTTCGAATATTTTCAAAATTGATAGTTATTTTCTTTAAAAAAATCAATTATTTTGGCCAACCTGTGTAATTTATAATTCCCGCCACTTAATCAACCAATCAGAGAGCCCAGATTCAAACTGAGACGATCAAATTTGGATATCCAAGATGCCTTTGTCCAAAAAGGGTATATAAGGCCGCGCAAATTGACATCGAAGCACACCGAAGAGAGTTCAAATTTTGCTAGAGCCAAGCGTTGTCGAATCTACGTAAAATTAACCTTAAATTTTCTAACCTAAGCCTTGAACTACGAAGTAGTATAAGAAGATAAAACGTTGTGGCTCTGACGACAGCGCTCCGGTGGCAAAACTGTAAACTAACAAAAATTAATCTGTTTAGGTTAGGTCGGTTATTTTTTAGCATTAGGCAAGTCTAATAGAAGACCAAATACTGGCAGTAAAAGACTACTTACTGCTGGCAGAAGTGTAGATATTGCTAATAGAAGACTAGGCACTCCTAATAGAAGACTAGATACTGAGAAAAAAATACTTCCACTGTAAGACAATATTCTTCTTATAATAAAACTAGATACTACTAAAAAATATTGCTAATAGAAGACATTTTCAGGCAATTAGGCACTCCTGGTAGAAGACAAGATTTGAAAAATAGACGACTTGATCCTCCTTATAATAGACCAACTACTTACTAATGACAAAAAACTAGATATTATCGTGGTATAGATTCGAAAACCTTGATTTAATTTGTTCATTTGTTGTCGGTAGCGTTTAGAATTAACGGTTTCGAAAGGTTTTAATTAATCATAATACATCTTTGGTTCAATTTGAATTTTTTAAACTACTCAAAGTGATTTATCAAGACCACGGATTACGGTGAGAAACCTTCGACAAGCATTTGATACGAATCTGCAACAGTTTTTTTTCAAAGGATAACAGAAAATCAATACTCTCCACAATTCGTAACTTCAAAGCTCAAAATCGACGTAATTATAAATTATGCTATTGTATAAACCTTACCGTTGTGACTTGTAAGTCTTTGTCAAATGTTAATAAATGGAAATACCGCCAATAACGCGGTTTGACAGTAATTACATTGACAACTAGGACCATCTCTGAGCAAATTTCATATTTACACGTTTCGTAGATTGTTAGATACTGCTTACACAAGATAAGATTTATCCAATGGAAGACTAAATCACGTTTCTTATTTCCATATAATCTGACCATCTTTATCTAGATTTTGGATGTTATTGATTTATGAGTAAAGTTATTTTCGAAAATATACATAACTCAATATTAAAACAAAATATTAATAGCAACTAACAACACAATTTAAAACGATAACACTTTTTCAATTTATATTCTTATTTTTAACATTTTTTAAACAAAAATCCCTTTGATGCTAAAATACTCGAACAAACATGAACGCGTAAATCGGTTTAAAATAGTTAATGTGTAAACAAGAAAATAACAAAACGATTAAAACGAACTAATCTCAGTTGAATGGTATGTGGCTTTATGCGACGTTTCCACTTTTGATACGAAATCGGTTTATTTCGCCCTATCCAGGTAGTAGCTACATTTTATAGCGAGCCGAGAGTGTTTTCCGTATTTCAACCTGCCATGCCCGAGTCCGCTTTGTTTTGGCGCCTTCGTGTCCGTGTTATCTGAGCTGGAATAGCGCCTCTGTGCTTCTAAAAACAGTAATTCAGATGCTATCCAATCTTGTGGAATAACATTGTCGAATGAAAAAATTAAAAAAAAATAATAATACGTTTTTAATTTTATCCCTGTTAATTAGTAGTGTTACAACTTAGTGTTTCAATTTTAAATTTAATCAGAATTCTGTGATTTGCACATTCTATTTATTCGCGTTTACCTTGGTCGAATTATTATTTGTAGCTTTTTAATTAAATTATTTTTCGTTTTTGTAATGAGAAAATTTGAATAATGGTACATAACGTAGTTTTGTGTTGGTTAAAGTTTTAATTGCCGCTCGACGCCGATTATAATTTGTAATTTAAACGTGATTGTACGCGCTGCGAAACGCTTCCGAAATGGAGCTAAAACAACGAGTGTAACAAGTTTGACGCAACAGAAAACACAAAGCAGACGTCCGTCGTTGCTTGAGTTCTTAATTACTCTCGCTTGAGAACAAAATTAGCGAGCGAGCTCAGCTAATCCGCCTGAAATGAGACCAAATCGAACGAGAATCGACTGATGAGAAACGTCGTTTTAATGTTGGAAATAGCATCAATACCAAAGAAGACAGTGTTATTGAACCCTTTCAACTTGACTTTAATATGATCCAGACGCGGAAATTTAACAACAATTTTGCAGCACTTTCTCAAGTTTTAATATGTTTTAATGGGATTAAATTGATACCAAACTCACATCAAGTAAAATTTTCAATTAACGACTTTAGTTAATGAAAATCAGTTTAATTATCAAACTAATACAACATTTAGATAGACTGAACTAGTTGAGATACTTGCCGCTTGCTTTTCATGTTGCAACATGATTGATATCTTTTTCAATACCTAAACTAAAAACTTTTTAAAGTGTGCTCTAATATTTATAAAGGGAAACGGTGAATATTTAATTCCTCAAAGTTTGAATCTAACGTCTCGTTGAATAGAGTCAACATCGCGAGCTAATATTTTAAAATCGATTTTCTGAGGATCCTTAATTAATTTTAATTTCGTTTTCTTTAAGATGTGCTATTAAAATAAATATTTCGAACATGTTTCCGTTTGTTTACAAAGAAAGGTTGAGTTTGAATTTTTTTTTATATAAGAAAGCTTCTTTTTTTGTTGTCCGTTTATTCGTTATCCCTCTTTACTTCGGTGCTTTTAAAAAGAACCCAAAAGCTTCTATCCGCTCACTCACTCAGTCGGACGCTTTTAGACACAATAAGAAAGGAAAATAACTGTGGACGAATGTTCGAATACTCAAACAAACACTCATCCAAAGGCAAAATATTTAAGAAATTCAACTTGAAATGTGATTTATTGTGTAATGGAATTTTTCTTTTACAGAAATCCCAAAATGAATGGAAATGTCTTTACAAAATTGGTTTAAATTTATAAATACTAGAAAAAGATGAAACTTTGGAAGGTTTTAGCAAGAAACAGTCATGTTTATACGAATCATATCACTCAAAGTAATGGAATGGAATTATATGGTAAGTTAATTGAAATAAAATAAGATATATTATTCAAATAATACATTAACATCTCTGAGTATCTTATTTTAAGACAACTCAAACACGAAAATTATCCTATTCCCTTTCATCAATTCTTCCTTTTCATTTTTTCGAATACACTTCACGATGTGTATTGCATCAATTATGGATTTTCCTAATTAAAAACTCGCTAGGTTTGGAATTCGCTTTCCTGATGATAATTAATAAGCGATTTTAATCATTTAATCTCAGATTAGTATTATTTTTAATTCACATCATTCAGTGCTTATATTCTTCAAAAAAGTAAGAGTTGTTCATTGCCACGACATTACAACTTTGGCAAATGTAGATGTAGATATGCACATTACATTAACACACATGGAATAATGCAGAAGTCATGTCACTCTTCTCAACAGAGGTGATGAACGCAACATTGAAAACTATCATCAGTCTCTTATCAGATCTATACGAACTGTTGGCCAAGATTGTTACAAACAGAATACAACCTACTTATATACCTGATATTCCTAGACTTCCACAAAGCATTTGATAACAGCAAAACCTGAGTATTCCTGCAAGGATTGACTCACGATACACAAACTTATTTCATATTTTTAACGCAACACATTAATATAACAATCCAGGTTATCTACCTCTAGGCATCTTGTAATAGAGGTTGTTGATGATCAACCATAGTATAGGTCAACTAATTTCTTCATCCCAGCAATATAATTTCCTTTAGAACTTAGAAAATCTTAGCCATAAAGTCAAAAGTGTGACCAACATAACACAGAGGAACACAACGTCCTTTAATAAATATATATACGTATATATCACGTATATGTAAAAGTAGAATAATAACTTTCTTAAGTTTTTATTTAATCAAACATGATATTACGTATACCGGTTAAGTAGACGACGTTGAGGTTTAAGTTTAAAGTTGAAGAGGTTGTTGGCACCTCTAGCGCATCTGTGCAGGTCCCAAAATAGACGTCTAGATGTCGCGGGGTTTGCTCCTCGCTTCGCCCGACTGCTGTAATTAGTGAGAAATTTGCGAAATTAACGTCGGTTTCTGTTATTAATGTCAGAAGCCACTTTTGGTGATTTACAACGGATTTGTGTACCACTATATGCTCGTGCATATGACGAAGCAAAATAGGAAATAAAACAATAACTTCAAAAATGAGAGTCTCACTATACTGAAAATGGTGTATTAATTGATGGTGGGTAATTTAAACCAATTACGATCTTAATTGAAATGAAACGAACCAATATAAGTGGAGACACTCGAAATTGAGTTATCGGCAACAATGAACGATATCTTTTGGCAATAAAATAATCGATAACTTGAATCATTTATTCACCATGTTGATACAGTGAAGTAGTTATTTCGTTATTTTATCGTTGGTCAATCTTAAATTTTTAATTTATCAATTTACCACCAATTTAATGTCACAAACGTAACTTTAAATTATATTTTTTGTTCGAAAACTATAATTAAGCTAACTATTTTAGTTTGCAAAATGTTTTTTTTAGATACTTAGAGTTTATGTGTCATAACTTTAGCTCTAAATTCGGTTCTAATTCGGATGCGCGATGTCTCTTAATTTATGAGCGCTTTTAAGAGCTATCTGGGGAGAGAGTCTCTATTTCCAACTTCTAAGTGGCCCGGTCACGGTGGCTAACAACAATAATAAGCAGCGAGAAGACAACTAAATTACCGTGAAACGACAAATATAACTGTCGTCATAACGTGCAAAAAGTAAAAAATAATTACGTAAAATAGAAAATAACTATTTGGTAAGTTTTAAATGAAAACGACCCGGTACTACCAACTTCTTAGTTCGAAAACTCTCCCCAAACACTTGAATTTCAGACTAAACTTTCCGACTAATGTCTTTCGAAAGTTCTTCAGTTTTCAACACAGTATACTATTTTCTATTATTATTACTATCGTAGAGAATATTAAACAGTTATTTTCTAAAACATTTTTTTATTGTAAAGAATCTGTAATGAAGATAGCTATTATTTCAAACTGTCAAATGAAATGTCAAATATTTAGAGTATAACCTCAAAATGATTTCAGCAAGATATTAATCAATGTTGATGACACCTTGTGTTTATTTGTTGTTTTTACGCATGTAAGAAATAAAATCCACGGGACAGAAAGTTTTAAGAACAAGGAGCCGAAGAAAAAATACAATACAACAAGAGTCAGTGGAAACTCAATAATCTCAAAATGTTCATATTACTGAAATGATTCAAACGTTTTTATTTAATCCTTATTAGTAACAAAGAACAACAATACCATTTTATCTAAGCGATCTTTCAGTTGCAACAAGTTTATGTTGCAGGTTTGTTTTGTATTTTTATGTATACTATGGTATGCATGTAATAAATGCCAAATAAGAGTTTGATATGACCTGCGAGGATAGCTGAGCAAATTAAAGTTAATTGCGTTTTTCCCAAAAGCATAATTATGTTATTAATAACTCCCAAAGCACTTTGCTTCTTAGGATGTAACGAGACAATTCAAGTCTGAGTTTTATTATCTTTTTGATAAAATGTTTCACCTCTATGCGATGTTAATGAAGGTTGATTTGAATAAAAAATTTAATTGAAGTATATAAGTTAAAGTTCAAATTGGATATTACTTATCAAGTTATTAAGTAAATACTCTTGCAGCTGCATTTCAAAACATGGAGTTGCTTTTTCCAGTTTCATCAATTTTACCATTTTCTCCTAGGAATACCTCAATAAGAAGGCAAACTTCATTTTTCAAACGAGGTTGTGTTTAAAAAATAATATCCCAACGGAGATTTTTTTTTAGAGTTGATTTTCTCGTTCAGGAATTGGTCTCGTTCAAAATCGGATGTAATTCCGTTTAACAAAAAAAATACTTCACATCGATCATTAATTTTTTTTATTAAATTTATACTTTCTGGTTTTGTAATTTTTTCTAAAAACACATGATCCAAGAACATATGTTAAACGATTATAAAATTTTATGTCCAAAACATCTGTTGGTTGAGTTAGTTTCTAAGCGATCGTACTTAGTCCAACATCTTATAAATCTTTTTTAAGAGCTTAAAAGATAAGAGAAAAATACAACGTACCAAACACTTGGGTTCTTACCGTTATCCATCGAGACACTTTTTTCACACTGTCTTTTCTAACAAAATTCGGACACGTATCATGAGCATGGCAGTCATAAAACCGCCAACGTTATACGAAAACGGGCCGGGGATTTATTCAAAATTTACTAACCGCGTCTGCAACGGCGAACTTGGTCGAGAAAGCGGCGGGTTTTAAATTTTTATCGCCTCCACAGCAACGGCATAAAGACACCCTTAAATTTATAACTAAAATCCAATGCCTTCAGGATTTTCATAACTTAAATGACTTATATGTCAATTTTCGATTGATCTGGAACTACTATATATTTATGAAAGATTATATTTATGAGAAGATAATATTTTTTTAACAATTCAAATAAAAAATTTAGAACACATCGATTTTCACTTCTCTTATCATTTATTTATCTTCTAATTGCTTAAAAGACTCCAATATTGGATTACGAAACGGCTTTAAATTTCAAACATTTGTTAAAAGACAAAAAAGGTTTAGGGTAGGTCTACTAAAAACATTCAAAACCGTTCAAATACGACCTAAAAAAACTTGAAAGCTTTTGGGGCGTGGAGAATTGATTAGTTCGAGCTCCAACATGTGTAATTTATCTTTCTTTTCGTTTTGTTCACGTCACACAAATTAACTGCTAAGGGTAATGATACCGCGTTGTTTTACGTATCTCATTATTTTTGTTTATATTGATTGTTTTCTTTTATGTCCATTTAGAATTCAAATCGAGATCGCCAACGTTTTCCGAAGATTCTGGAAAACATTCGGGAAACAGTTTACACGAAACTTTACACCAGAATTCGTATTTAGCTACGGTTCAATTGAGAAGGAAACCTGGGGAAAATTTGGGAATTATATTATCATCAGGTACGTATAATTTAGACCGAATTAAATTAAACAAAACTTTCAAACTAACTATACGTCGAACTCAATCTGTTGTGTAAAGTTTATTAACTCGAATTGAAACGATTTGAATTTAAAATTATTTAATAACATGCAGGAAACGAAAAATAAACCGAATAAAAATTGAAATGGAAATATAAAATCAAATAATAGCCAAAAATTCGAATATATTTAAAGGTTATAAAACGTTTTTTATCGAATTTTGTTTGCAAAATACGTTCTTTATAACAAATTGGCATTTATTAGGGGTGATTTACTTTGTCCTCTTTGATCCCAAAAATATTTGTGCAACAACAAATGTTTATACTTGAACACAGTATTGTTTATCAATTCAAATCTCTTCCATTGCTTAATTTGTTTAACATTGTTATGAGTTACTCCCAAAAAGTGTGGATTTGAGAAATGAAGCTATTTGGGATTATAAAAGAATGTTTGAGGTTCTACTGGTACAAAAGGGATATCGACCCATCAAATATAGCACCTCTCATCACAAATCCAACCCATCGAATCTTTAAAATCTCCAGTAAAGGTACTTGTATCTCCAGATTATCGTGATTGATTCCAATATCCAGTGTACGATTCCAGTTGCTCGTGGGTGATATCAGTATCCAGTTGATTACACAGTGACTAGAACAAAAATCTAGTATTTGGTTGGTAACAGTATCTGGTTGATGATTCCAGTATTCTATGAATTATTTCAGTGTCCCAAAGTGATTCAAATATCTAGCTGAGAGACGCAGGTCGCATAGCGATTAGTTCCAGTATCTAGGAATTAGATGCAATTTCCATAATAGCTAAAACCACAATCTAGTAGTTGTTTCCAGTAAGCAATGTAAGATTTCAGTGTGTAATAGATGACTCCAGGATTTGATATGATTTATTCCAATATCCAGAGGTTAAATTTTGTTTTTGTAATTCGCGACGATAATGAAAGCTATAACAGTACTCAAACGGGTGCTGTAATGAGACTCCTTACAGCATCCGATGCTGTAATGAGATTTTAGTAACATCTTATGGAACCAGTTCAAGTTGGTGACATTGGGTCATTAATTTTTCTAGTTGTCAATGTGACAATGTTTGTCTATGGATGTTTAAACGCGTTTTTAGCATCGAATACAAGGTCCACAATGATGAGGACATTGAACTCTGAGCAATTTCTCTTATTTTGAGAGGTATACATGAAACATTTTTGTCAGGTGAATATATTTTGTGTTTTGACAGTTTCTAATTGTCAATTCAAATTTCTATTTTCAAGTGTTACGTTGTTACCAACTGCTACATACCTATTTCCCTACATTCTCAAATTTATTTTATTTTTGAGAAAAAAAAAGGATAAAAACGCGAATTACAAAAAATAGCATAAAAAACACGTTTCATAAGACTTAAAGCACTTGAATTCGTGCATTTCAAACGTGTCTTACGAAACTTGTTTTTTAATATACTATTATATGGTTATAAGTAGTAAAATGTAATATTTGATTCCAACATCCACTTATTGATTGCGGTATCCATACAATATACATAATAATATAATAATTAAATCCAACATTCATTGGTTGATACCAGTATTTAGTAGATGAGTTGTATGAGTAGTATTTGTAGTTGACATTTGAATAGAATGGGTGAAAATAGATTGCCAAAAAAGGATCTGGCGGTGTATCAAACCAGGAAAGCATAGAAGAGGGCGACCCCGAAGAACATGGGCGCAGGGTGTCAAAGAGGCGATGACGAATTATCACAGAGGATACACAGAATAGAAAAAAATTGCGTGTTGGTTGCGAGAAATCTCGCATGCTGTATTGAACCGCTATAATGATGATAGTATTGAGTATGTTTTTGATAAAAATTTAAAATAATATCCCGAATGAAGTTGTAAGAACTCAACTACAAATATAATTCCGTTTACAAGACGAGTTTGAATAATAAATATCAAATCCGCAATATCATCCTCGTTCTTGGATTATACATTCAAAAAGAAACTATTTTCGATATAAAGACTTCTTTTATTCACCGTTTCTGTAGTTTATTTATCTCACTCTATCACACTAAGTTTTGATTTCTTTTAACGCATTTTTTACTAAATTCATGAATGAAAAGAATTGGTTGAAAAGGTTACGATATTTAAGTATTAAGAATTATAATTAAATTAAAAAGGGAAACGTAAACACGAGGACAGGTGCTGATGGTTATTATTGTACGTGCGTGTGTTTGCGGTGTCGAGTTATAAAAGCGATCTATTTATAAATGTAAAGCGAAGAATATCCGGTACGAATTTGTCACTGCTCGTGAAAGGGAGACCCGACACAAACCGAAACTTAAAATTATTTTTAGCTTAATACAATCTTCTTCTAGAAGTTACTCCTCCACAAATGATCAGTGTCCAAAAACGAGCTTAACTTTTCTTTCTTTTTCTTCGTTTGTTTACTTTCACTTTGAGCATCGATTTATTTAAGATTTATTTGAACCAGTTCGGAGAGCATCTGTTCACCTATTTTTTCGTTTGTGTTCGCTTCGGCAACTGTAATAAAACAGGCATCCATAAAACGTTTTTGGAATGCGAACGACCGTAGTTTTACTTGTTTAACTACATTTTATCTGGTAGCATTGTCATAAACTTTAAACTCAAAACACAATATTTCGGATAAAATACCGTTTTTTGAAGCCTTTTAGTACGCGTTTGGGATATCTGTATCTTACGTGACACGAAATCGGGGATGTTTCAGTAGAGAAAACGGGAAATCGTGATTTGCATTTAAATAAATTCACGTTTAGATACTCCATTTGAATCCAATAACGATCTAGTTAAGTGATTATAAGGACTATCCAATAAAATGAAACATAATCGAATCGAAGCCAAAACCTAATTAAACCGAAAAGCCATCGAATAAATTTTAATTATGTACCTATATCGGTTTGGTTTTATTGTAAGCATCTCTACGAGTGTATCTACGTTTGCGCTGAGGATGAGTTTGCGTACGCAACTTGGTGAGTTTAAAAATAAACCTTCTCGGATCGAGCACGAAAGTGTCTACGCGGTGCGGCATCGCGCGTAAGTCGTAAAAGTGGTCCCCTTGGCGCCGAGAGTGAATTTGAAAATCCTCGAGACATCGGCGTCGAAGGGAATATGTTCTCTTCTTTTAAGCTCCCCGCCAGCTTAAGACCGCGTTCGAAGAGTTTATCCTCGACGTCGCAAGTCGGCGGGAAAGGATCGGTAACTTTCATGAGAAATTCCAACGAAAACTTGGCTCTTTGTACCAAATTCAAGAGTAGTTCCATCGCCAGATCACCTAAACAAAGAAAACACAAAAATAGTAAGATTTATGTTTTACGATTTTTAAAAAACTTTAATTATTCAATGGTGAATAACAATATATCAATATAAGTTTATCAAATAACAATAGCTCTTGAATTTATAATTACCAGACAAAACCGAATTTCCAAAACAATTGAACACGTACAATATTATTCATAGTGAGTTATTAGTAGATATTGATTGTATTTGTATCTATCCCTATGAAAACCCTGAGGGTTCAATGCGGTCCATATTATCTGTGAAAGGGAGTTATTTAGAGACTTTATAATGACTGCATAATGATGAATAAATATCAATAATAACACAAACAGGTAATTAAATAATTATCCATAATATTACAATTTTTTATTTATAGAGGAAATAATAATTTGTGCACATCAAATTATAACAACCAATACAATAATGTATTCAATAAAATACCCAAAATCATATAAACACAACTTCTGCAATAAGATAACTGTCAAATTGTTGCGAAGTTGGTAACAATTGGCAAAATTAACAGGGAATTTTGTTATATGTCATCCTGACGTTTGAACTTTCGTTATTTAAAAAGAAATTTTTTTAAATATTTTTTGGTTTTATATGTTTTCACAAATAAATGCAGTGAATTTTACTTAACATGTAATATACTTACTTTGTCCTACATAAAATGCAACATGTCTGAATGTTTTTTTTTATAGTTCTAATGTTAGTTCTAGTGACAGTGGTAGGTAGCGCTAGTGAACATAAGATATCACTATGTTGCATAGTTTTATTGAACTAAAACTTGAACTAAAACTAGATAGGGTTAGATACGGCTAAATCAACGGAAACAAAAAATCAATATAAATTTTAAAGAATCCTAGCTAATACCAACAGAAACCCTAAAAATTTGACATTGACAGATATAGAAAAAATATGAATATGATGCGTCATTAAAACCATGTTAAATGAAGCATATTAATCGTTAGAGGCAATAAATTGCGATAGATTAATGCATTATGCATGGAACGAGTCAATACCAAACACGACGTTGATGTTAACGAAGACGTATCCGGTGGTAAATTAAGTGATCTCGCAATGGTTTAGGTGAATATGACACCGAACATGTTCCCTTACCGAAAAAAAATCGATTTAGAACAGTACAAATACTAAAAAGTCCTGTTGAAATAACCCGGTGATAAATGGGCAGAGACAGTAAATGTCACCGTTTCGAAAACTAACGACAAATAACCTGTCACCTCATCCTTCTTGTTTGTTGTGTATTACAAATGACCCAACTTTTAGTTAGAACAATGCTTTTCTTATAAATACGTTTAATAAGCTTATTGTAGAGAGTTAATAAAGAAATTTAAAAAACTTAAATTTGACGTAGAAATTTTAGTGATTTTCATGATTTAAGTTGGTAAATAATATTTAAAATGTCAAATTCGGAATGAAAACGTCAATATAAAATTTTTCATCATAAGTGATAATATTATGTTTGTTTTGAACGAATATATTATAAACGTTTTGTTATTGCAAGCAAGTAAAAATGATCTTAAAACTGATTTATTAGCACCAAGCGTATCAACACCAGATTGCAAAATTCCAAGATGGGAGATTTCTGAAATGCGTTTGTACAAGAGGTGGGAGTATAAAACAAATAATTGAGTCGAAGAACTTGCTATTAATAATTCTACAAAACGTTAACACGACGTTGACGAAGCGATTAGAAATGGAAGGAACCGCAATTGGCTTCGTAACCAATGTTTGCTTTGAAACACAGACAATTTGGAATATAATCCCCAAGTCCCTAATCTGTGTCAATCCACAAATGAAATTAGCAAATTAATACTGGCAATAATTTTAACTCGTTAATGAATGACAATACTTTATCACTAAAAATATGTTGATTAGATCTTAGATTTTTCAAATGATAGGTAACCAGTACCTGGTACAGTACACCACATCATCGGCAAAAACTCATAGTTCAAACCGCACTGTTGTTCTTTTTACAATCCCATCCATTCTGACAATAAACAGCAGCGAAATCAATACCCCTTGTCTCATTCTACTTTTGGCAACATCTATTATACTCCACTTTTCTTTCACTTAAGAAGGAGTTTCGTCTACACCCTTCTCCAACTTCAAAGCTTGTTAATTCTTACTCTGAAATATCTTGCTCCTCATTTTCTCCTGGCACCGTCTATCTTGTTTTCGATTTTATTTAGATTTAAGAGGTTTTTGACATGTTCTCTCCATCAACAAAGACAATACCCCAATATTTTTCCTTTCTTGTCCCTTATTTGTTTCAAGTACTCTTTTTTTTTCACTTCCAAAACTCTTTGTGGTCTTGGAAAACAGCTTGTCATTTCCTTTTGTATTTCGCCGAACTTTAGCCAGCTATCTCTCTTTGTGTCCAATACCATAGCATCTTGTTCTTCTTTATCTCCCTATAAATTTTGTCATTTCACCAAGCAGTTCGTTTCTATCTTGTATTCATTACTTGCAGACTGCAAAGTTCTAAAGCTAGTTTCCTTAGATTTTCCCATCTTCGTTTTAGATCCTCGTCACATGGCTTACTTGCAGCCAGTGCTTCTTCCAATTTCTTGTCATGTTGCTCTAATGTCTTCAAACCTTCCTATTGCTCCTCAATTCTTTTTCATTATATTGATTATAAGTTAAGTTATGAATAATGCCTGGAAAATGACAGCAGTGCACTAACTACAGCCATTTATACCATTAACTTTTATGACATCCAGTTAACTTAATCGATTATTTTTTACTCAAATTTTTATGGTGTTGTTAGCACAAACTGGCAGTTATATTTGGGATAACAATGACTGTCGGTTTAATTTTTGGTTATCCGGCCTTGATTATTAATTCAATATACATCCGTGAAATAGCGAAACTCGCAATATATGTAAATAATAAATTCAAGACGATTTGATGTTACTGCAACAAACTTTATATTAATAGTGTCAACAAAAATTTAAAAATAAATTAACGACTGTGATTATAGCCCTTGCAAGATTTAATTTTATTTAGAAAATAACCATAATTTTTATCTGGATTAACTCCTCCAATTTCCACGACCCAATTCCTAAATCTAAAAAAACGTTTATTTAGGCGGACTTGTCTCGCTTTTAAAAATACAAGCCATTTTCGAGCTTTTAAAACACTCCAGATACATTAATCGGGGTTAATTGGGACGATTCGGGCCCGCGTTTCTGCTTAATTTGAGTTATTTTCACCTCAAAGAGATCGCGGGCGCAATCTAAAATTAGCGCTCAAATGGCGTTCATTTAAACCGTTCGGTATAAAATGATTTGAATTGATTTTTCTTTTAGGGCACTCCGAAATCGACCAATGTCCGAGCATCGCTTCTTTACGTCCCGGATCGGTGGCTTTAACAAGCGACCAACTTGTACCAGGAGATAAAATACATTCTATTAATGGCATAAATACGTCGAGAATGCGACCGGAAGATGTTACCACACTTTTAGATAACGTTGATGGAAATGCTTTGTTGGAAATTGAGTATTCTTTACCTAATTTTGGTAAATTAGATTTATTAAGTTTTAAAAATATGTTTTATTAATTTATTATTTTGGGGTTAGTCTCGGAAAATTCTCTATGTTTAACTTCGAAAATTGCTGAAATTTCTATTGAGCGTCTTGAGGGGTCTTTAGGAATTACATTAAGAGGCGGTACGGTTTTAGAACAACCCCATTTAAGCAAACCTTTAGTCATTACTCAAGTTAGAACAAATGGGCCAGCTTACAGGTAATAAAACACAAATTATTTACATAGTTATTATTTGTTATACTCCGATTTTTAGGAGTGGTTTAATTAAACCCGGTGATCGTCTTTTAAAAGTCGATAGTCAACCACTTATTAATAAAACATTAATCGAAGCGCAAAAACTGCTTAAAGAGGCATCTCAAAATAACGGCCCATTTACCAATTTAACGATTGAATACGATGTAAATATTATGGAATCGGTTAAATACGCGACCGGGCCGTTACTAGTCGAAATAGACAGGCAAATGAACGAGGATTTAGGATTAATTTTGGGAAATTGTTGTGATTTAAATTCAACTGAAGACATTTTAACCGCAGGTATTTTTATTTCTAATATTATTCCGGCCAGCGTTGCCGACAGGTGTGGTGCTTTAAATGTTGGCGATCAAATATTAGCCATTGATAATATCACAATGGAAGAGTTTAACGGATCAAGCGAAGATGCTGAAAGTTTGCTTAGGGATGCGAGAAAACTTCAAATTTTACCGTACCATACGTTTCAAAGGGTTCCCTCGAGAAATTATCTTTCAGGTGAGTACAAATTGAACTTAAGGTCGATAAAAAGAAATGTTCAAGGTTAAAAAACTTAAAATTTAAATGATTTTTATAGGTCAATATCCAAATAGTCCTAGCATATCCGGATTTAGTACGATTAATTCACGAAGATCGAGAAATAAGGGAAGATTTAGACAGAGTTCGGTCCCAAAATCGTTGGAGATAGATTCAGGTAAGTTCTAGTTTTGATTATGAAAAATTTTTATTTAATTTGAATCAATTAGGTACCAATTTCTTGTCTTATACGCCAAATTTGGCTGTTTATCACACCGAAACTCTAACGATTACGTTAATCGGGGAACGAGGTAAAGGTTACGGCCTTTTCGTTTCAAATACAACGAATAACGATCACGGTGGTGGTGAAAACAGAACGGGAGATATAGTTATAAATCTAATTGCACCTGATACGCCGGCTCACAGGTATTCTTACATAAAATATATTTATAAATCGAAACTTTTCTCTTTCATTTCATTTTATTAGATGTGGATGTCTTCAAACCGGCGATAGAATTGTTTCAGTTAACCACCAATCTAACTTGACCGTTCAAGAAATCAATTCGATTCTTGAAATGGCTTCGGATGGAAGCAAAATTATTCTACAAGTAGGATTTGATGTTGCTGATACTATTGTACCAAGTAGTGGAGTTTTTACTGTTAAATTAGTTAAAAGAGGTGGTGGTTTAGGTATAACAATAACAGGTATGCAACTTTTTGTGTTACATTTATACACTAAAATTCAAATACTGTAAATAACAACTAAAACTACAGCTAGCACTAGAACTAACACTAAATCTAGAACTAGAAACATTCGGGTTTAGCCGTGCGTCTCTTAAGACGGCTAAATCCGAATGTTTCTATTTCTAGGTCTAGCGTTGATTCTACTTTTACTCCAATAAATGTATACAACAATCTAGTACTGAATAACAATTAAAAAAATCTGTTAATTCCATGCTATGTTATAAATAATGATTAATATTTTTAATTTTTAAAGCATCAAAACATCGTCCAGATGAACCATTTATAATTTCTGAAATACGTCGTGGATCAATAGCGCATAGAACCGGAACCTTACACGCAGGCGATCGTCTCTTGGCGGTGGATAATCGCCAATTGGATCGTATGTCAATAGAAACAGCTTTTGATATCTTACAAACGTCCGCCAACGATATCGTAACGTTAAAAGTAGAAAAAACGGAAACGGATAATTCGAATTTGTCCTTGGATAGTGTCGTGTACACCGTGGAATTGGTGAGATACGGAGGCCCTTTGGGGATCACGATCAGCGGCAGCGAAGATTGTTCGGAACCGATAGTCTTGTCACGATTGACGGAAGGTGGCCTAGCCGAAAAGACTGGTGCTTTACACGTCGGCGATCGGATTTTGGCAATAAACGGGGAAAGTTTGGATTTGAGACCGTTGTCCGATGCGATTCGGTTGTTGCAAAGCGCCGGCGATCGGGTTCAATTGAAAATAGCGAGGAATTTAAATCAAAATGGTAAAAAAAACTTTTTAAACCATCTATAAACTACAAAATAAACAAATAAAGTTTAAAATTGTGATATGATTGATCGCGTTTTAAGTTTCTTAAAAGTTAAATATCTTTAGTAGGTGTTTTTGATTGATATCTTTTCCCTTCAGATATATTGACTGATGATTCAAGGTGTACCTATTCGAGTCCAGGATTGATGAGTTTAGATAGTGCCGTACACTCTTGGGATAGCAACCAAGGGGAAATTTTAGATAACGGTAAGTTTTATAAAAATAAAATGATTACTAGTTGATTCCAAAAAGGAATTAATCTTCCTTTGATCTTGTCGTCAGCCTTTGAATCTTCCCGGAAATCCATTTTATCACTGAAAAAAGAGACTTTTTAATAACTCGAGATAGCCTACAGAAAATCAGGTGCAACCCGGAAACGAAATGCACGCTGTGCGTCGACAATCCATTTACCACGACAAAAAGTATTCGACGGGGTTGCAATTAAAAGCTAATCTGTAGAGAATTGAACCTGTTAGAGCTTTTACGAACTCATTCAATAAAATTATTTAAAATTTAATTAATTAATTTTTTATTATTTAATTGCAGATTGTATAAACCCCGTTAAAGACCACGAGAGCGTAATAAGCGAACCGATTTCAACGACGTCCTCAACAACCCATCAACAACACCAAACCGACGAAAACAACCACCACTCATCAAAACCACCATCATTGCACCGTAATAAACACGACTCCCAATTACAATTTTATTCGGACGCTGAAGAGACCACGTTCTGCCCAAGCCCTTTACCTTTACCCAATTATAATTTTACAAACACCCTCAAATATGACACGTCAATTTATCGTTATCACCCCGAACAACAGCGTTTGAAAGGGACGTTTTCAAACGAAAGCATATTAGATAATGAAGTCTATCACGTGACGTTGTACAAAGATTCGGTTTACGACGATTACGGGTTTAGCGTAAGTGATGGTTTGTACGAGAAGGGGGTCTACATCAATAGGATTAGAAAGGGCGGTCCGGCTGATATTGTCGGGTTGTTAAAACCCTTCGATCGAATCGTGCAAGTGAATGAGACCAAGACGGTCGAGTTCGATTGTTGCTTAACCGTACCGTTAATCGCTTCCGCTGGTGATAGAATCGAATTAATCGTCAGTAGGAATCCCTACGTTTGTTGTAGTAGTCCCGAAAGAACCTTTAATGATTGTTTGGTTGGAAATGGGGGGTTTTTAGGTAGTCAGAGTACGATCGTTAAAAGTTTTTAAAAAGCTACAAAAACTATTCGATTACATTTAAAAATATTTTAGATTATTTCTTTATCAAATTCCATATTACTGAAAAAAGGTGTATTTATTTTGTATCTTTTAAGTTTTTTTAAGTTGGTAATTTAATGCCAAAAGTTATTTTAATCAATTTTGATGGATAACTCGTGGTATTTGATTACGTCATTTATAAGTTGAAATAAAGATATTTAAGAGCAAAGCAGAGTTCCTCTTTAATTATCTGAACCCTCATCAATCCGCTGTGCAATATAAAGGCAGCGTCTACTATGACGTCATCATTGCAAGTATGCAACTAATATCACACTATTGGTATTGCAATACGCAAATCACGATAATTAATTAACACACTGCACTAAGTGAGTGGAAACCTAAAGAGAAGAGAAGGTGAGGGAGGCCACAAAGGACATGGAAGATTTATGACGACGCGTTTTGAATGATGAGGGAGGTTACAGAGGAAGATGAGGCGAGATAATAAGGGGGGCCAAAACCCACATAGGATTGTAGAGCCAAAGGAAGATGAATCAACAAGGAATTAGTAGAGTTTCATAAAAAAAAACCACACAAATTCAACGAAAAATAGTTTTTTAATTTTAAAGCCATTGTTGATTTTTTTAAAACGTTTGAGGTTACCTTAATAAAATAATAATACTTTTAACCTCATCTTAATTTCTTTTTTTCCTGACAATAGTTAAAATAAATAATTTTCCTATTTTTTATTTACAGAAAAAGTTATTAGATCATTAATTTACCTAAACAAATAATAAATTACTATTTTTCTCAATTTTAAAACTTTGAGAATCTTTTAAATTCGAGCCATTCGCTAAAAAACCATTGCTTAAAGGTTTATAAAGCAACGTCCCATTACCATGCCAGGCTTTTTGCGTCATTGGCAACAAAGTTTCCTTTTTGGTTTCCTTTCTGGCGTCGTATTTCGCCTAAAAAAAGGTTTATACAATCAATTCACACCCTTTATTTCATCAACACTCACTTTGTTGTAGTAAAATACACCAAAAATCGCCAAAAACATTCCAAAAACATTACTCAAAGTAACTGGGTTTCCCAAAATAAATAATGACAAACCAATTACGAAAATTCTTTTGCTGGCATTAGCAACGGCGTAAGTTAAAGGTGTTACCAAAGATAAAACTGTAAATGCTATGATGTTTTGTAACCAATTCAGCAATCCATCCAAGAATAACAAGCTCAATATTTTGTAATTGTTAAGAATCTAAAAAGGCACAAAAAAAATCAAGAATTCAAACTTTTTTTTTAACTAACCAAATTTGAATGTTGAAATAAACTACTCAAATCAACAAAACACCAAACCGGTAAAAATAAAAACAAGGCCAACCTTCCTAAGACATGTAATAGTCTTAAATGATGAATACCAGTGTCATGAAGCACTTTTTTGGAAAAAATGTGTTGTAAGGAAAATCCCATTGTAGCCATTAAAGCACTTATCAATCCAATCATATCAAAACTTATTTCAGTTACTGTTGCTATTGCTACTCCCGTTATAATTGGGATTAAACTTAAGTAAACTTTGAAGGTTTGCTTCTCCCCCATTATAAGTCTAGATAAAATCACAGTAAAAAGTGGCATCGTTGCTTTTACTAAAATAAAAACATTAATTAATACTAACATTAAAAAAGTTTGACATTTAACATAACCTCAAAAATTTAAATTTTTTATCCCTATATTTAAATTTTTTTTAATGAAGCATAAAATAATAAATAACCACATAAAAAATTCGAATTAAATTAAAAAAACTAAAATAATCACGTAGAAATCGCAAAAAAATTGTACCATATTGACGTTTAACATAACCTCAAAATTGTTATTATGATTTTTTGCCTTACCCGTATGAGCATAAGAAACTGGTACCTTCCAAATGCTAACGTGAGAAAAGACAGACGCGAAAAATTTCCCAAACGCCAGTGGAATAACCAATTTGAAATAATAGCGCCATCCGATGTCCACGTATTTTCTAACTCCATACAGATTGAAAAACGGTCCGCTGTATAACGTTATAGATAACAGCTGGACCATAGTCATCGTCATCGGATACGGAAATTCGTTAAGTAACGTTTTGCCGATGACATTATTACTGGAGCTAACCGCGTACCACAAAACACATAAAAATAAAACGGTTAAAACTTCGCGAGTGTGTTTGCCATTATCGGCCATTATACACAACTGTCAACTTGACAGTTCGTCAAATCAAAAGTTAAAATAAGATGAATGTAGATTTCTGAATTAATGAGCACGACCGACCGTAACAAACATTCATTTCCAACTGATTTAGAAAAAGACCAATTTTTGTTTGTAAGTAATAAAGAATGTAATTTGCGATAAGATTTATTGAAATTCGGCAAAATTAAAGTTATCTCAAGAATGTAACGTGATTAACAGGAAAAACATGTAAAACGATAACTTTATACGAAAGTCGTAAAATGATTTGATTCTTAAAAATAATCAGAAATACTTGTAATTGTTATCAAATTCATACGAAATTTCTATCGCCTTTATTAATTCTCAGGTTGGCAACGATAAAATTAAACGCAACTAAAACGTTTTAGTTGTCAAACAAACAAAAAAGATGGCGGATGCTGCCGCGAGACAGCTTCAATACGAATATAAAGCCGTAAGTAACATTATTTATTAATTGCTTTTATCTAAAATCGATGAATTACTTTATTTTTTTTATTTATTGCAAATAATCAATTAAAAATTTTAACCCTAAACCTTGTAATTGCTAACTTAACTTCAATCGAAACATAACCTAACATTATTTTTATTCGTATTTTTTAGAATTCAAACCTTGTATTACAAGCTGATGTTCGTCTTATCGAACGAAGAAGTAGAGATGAAGCTACCGGTGAGGTTATGTCCCTTGTGGGAAAGCTCGTTGGAACTCGAATGGGAGATCGCGCTCAGAGATCTCGTCCTGGAAAAGCGGAAGAGCGTAAAGTGAAGCGACAAAAACGTGATGAAGCTCAGTATGATTTTGCTCGAATGAAAGGTGCCACTTTATTATCCGAAGGTGTGGATGAAATGGTTGGAATAATATATAGACCAAAAACGCAAGAAACTCGACAAACTTACGAAGTCCTTCTTAGTTTTCTCCAAGAAGCTTTAGGCGATCAACCTAGGGATATTTTATGCGGTGCTGCTGATGAAGTTTTAGCCGTGCTAAAAAATGATCGATTAAAAGAGAAGGAAAAGAAGAAGGAAACAGAGATGTTGATTGGAGGGTTAGCAGAAGAAAGATTTGCGCTTTTGGTTAATTTAGGGAAAAAAATAACAGATTTTGGTGGGGATGAAACAAAAATTAGTAACCCAACAGATGAAAATATGGATGAAACATATGGAATTAACGTACAATTTGAAGAATCAGAGGAAGAAGATGATGAAGACATGTATGGGGAGGTTCGAGAAGAAATGGATGATGAAGAAGGCGAAGAAGCTAAAGAAAGTGGAGCCATTCATGCTGAAAATCTTGGTGGCGTTGAAGAAATGAAAAAAGAAAAAACATTACATCCATTAGATATAGATGCTTATTGGTTGCAAAGAAGATTATCAAAAATTTATGATGATGCCATGGTGTCTCAAGCGAAAGCTGCGGAAGTTTTAAATGTTTTGAGCGCTTCCGGCGATGATAGAGAATGCGAAAATCAATTGGTATTATTATTGGGTTACGAATGCTTTGATTTTATAAGAATTTTAAAACGACAAAGACAAATGATTCTTTACTGCACATTATTGGCCAAATCACAAAGCGATTCAGAAAGGCAAAAAATTCGCGAAAAAATGTCCGGGGATTCACACCTAGTAAAAATTTTGCAGATTTTAGATACCGGAAAAGGTGATGATGATGAAGAAAACGATGAAAACGATTCCTTAAACCACAGTTCTAGGCGAAAAATGAATTTAGACGATCAAATTCAAGCAAATTCATCAACTCAAGTTTCCGGTTCAAGACAAATAATTGATTTGGAAGATCTTGTTTTTAACCAAGGCTCACATTTTATGGCAAATAAACGGTGTCAACTCCCAGATGGATCGTTCAGAAAACAAAGGAAAGGTTACGAAGAGGTTCATGTCCCAGCTCTCAAACCAAAGCCATTCGAAGATAACGAAAAGCTTGAACCAATCGAACAATTACCCAAATATGTGCAACCTGTTTTTGAAGGATTTAGAACATTAAATCGAATACAGAGTCGAATATGTAAAGCTGCTTTAGATTCTGACGAGAATTTATTGGTTTGCGCCCCTACGGGAGCAGGTAAAACAAACGTTGCTCTTCTATGTATGATGCGAGAAATTGGAAAACATATAAACGATGATGGTACAATTAACGCAGATGATTTTAAAATAATTTATGTGGCCCCCATGAGGAGTTTAGTACAAGAAATGGTTGGAAATTTCTCTAAAAGATTGTCAAGTTACAATTTAACCGTTTCAGAATTAACAGGCGATCATCAATTAACACGAGAACAAATTGCTGCAACTCAAATTATTGTTTGTACCCCCGAAAAATGGGATATAATCACGCGAAAAGGTGGTGAAAAAACCTTTACAAGTTTAGTCCGGTTGGTTATAATTGACGAAATCCATTTATTACATGATGAAAGGGGTCCTGTTTTAGAAGCCCTCGTCGCCAGAACAATCAGAATGATCGAATCCACGCAAGAAGATGTACGATTAGTTGGATTATCAGCTACTTTACCCAATTATCAAGATGTTGCAACTTTTTTAAGAGTTAAATCTGATTCAGGATTATTTTATTTCGATAATAGTTTTCGCCCTGTCGCTTTAGAACAACAATACATCGGCGTGACAGAAAAAAAAGCAATTAAGCGCTACCAAGTAATGAATGAGATTGTTTATGAAAAAACGATGGAACATGCAGGAAAAAATCAAGTACTAATTTTCGTTCATTCAAGAAAAGAAACTGGAAAAACCGCAAGGGCCATCCGAGATATGTGCTTAGAAAAGGATACTTTGGGACAATTCTTAAGAGAAGGTTCTGCGTCGATGGAGGTTTTACGAACTGAAGCGGAACAAGTAAAAAATCAAGAGTTGAAGGATTTGTTGCCGTATGGATTTGCGATACATCATGCTGGAATGACTAGAGTTGATAGGACTCTAGTTGAAGATTTATTTGCTGATAGGCATATTCAAGTGTTGGTTTCAACGGCTACTTTAGCTTGGGGGGTTAATTTACCTGCCCACACTGTTATTATTAAGGGTACACAGATTTATAATCCGGAAAAGGGACGTTGGACAGAATTGGGTGCTTTGGATGTTTTGCAAATGTTAGGTAAGTTGCTTGAGTTAATGACTCTTAACATGTTCAGTGCGCATGACGTTTTGGTGCGTCTAATTCAATATGAGATTGCATCTTAGGCATATTATTACCTGCAATGTGATAAATAGGTTCAGTTTTATTAGTCGTTCGCGTAATTACAGAAACCAGCTTTTTTTCACACAGGTGTTGTTTATGTGTTAAAAATGAGTGAAGTTAAGAATGAGTACTGTTCTGGAGTTATAAACCTAAAAATTCAAGTAAAAAGACGCGTTTTAGACAATCGAACTTTTCTGATGAAAGTGAGGACTTGTATAAAGTAACTGAAGACGAACTGAAGAATTTTTGTGGCTATTTCATTGCACATATGTAAAAGCATGTATTACAGAAATGTAGGATTATTACCAGGAAGAAACTGGTGATATTTGGAGTGAAAACTCTACAATGAAAAATGTACCATTCAAGAGAACCTCTGGTTTACTTGATAGTATTGGTGCAGATACGAGTCCATAGGAATATTTTCGCTTATTGGTGGATGATGATTAGTTGGATCTTATTGTAATGGAAACATCACAACAGTCGCGAATAACTCGTTTGAAAGATGTTAGCAAAGCAGAGTTGTTACAATTTATTGCTCTTTTATTCCATACAAGTACAATAAAATACAACGTAGTAAAAGATTATTGGAAAACACATTGGTTTTTCGAGCCGTGATCGTTTCTTTCTAATTTTGCGGTGTCACTTCGTTGAAAACCCTACCGATGAATACATGAATCAATGCTTCTTTGGAGAGGAAGACTCGTTTTTCGTCAATATATTCAAAACAAACGGCACAAGTATGGAATGAAATTGTATATGCTGACAGAACCAGATGGTCTTGTCAAACAGGTGGATTAGGACACACGGGAAAGGTTGTAATGAACCTTATGGGTGATTACCTAAACGTTGGACATTCCTTGTTTATGGACAACTTTTATGATAGTTATAGCTTAGCTAAAAATTTATTGACACAAAATATATACTACACAGGAACATTACGTTCAAACCGAAAGGAATCTCCGCAAAACGTGGTTACAAAAACTTCGCAAAGGAGAAACTAAGGCAGTTTATAGAGATGGTGTTATGAGTGGAATATGAAGGGATAAGAGGGATGTCTTATACAACATCTTCAGAATTTTCCAAGGACATCGTCGAAACTGTAAATAAAAGACGTGAACCCAAAATCAAACCTAAGCCAATTGGTGGAATACAATAAGGACATGAGTGGGATCGAACATATAGATCAAATGATATCCTATTACCCTGTTGTACAAAAAACACTTCGCTGGTATAAAAAACTTGGAATACACATATTTCAACTGTTATTATACAGGCTGTGTCAAATGTCTGGAATATAGCCAATAACTTCGCCATTTGTGGTTTTAAAGAAAAATGTTTTAAATAAAAAATTCTTTATTAATTGTGGCGCATTTTTTTGGCTATATTTGCTTGTTTACATTGTTTTTTCTTTCGTTGTTATGGCAACCAACATTATTATTTTAAATGGGAAGCATAGGTTTTTTTTTGCATATTTTGATAGAGGATAAATCCCTCTACGCAATGAACATATCAAATCATATGGTTGTATAAGAAAAAAATCGAGAAAAAATGCATCTCTGAAAATGTTAAATCAGCAAATTACAATCAAAGTAGGCGCCGAAATAACGCCGTTGACAGCTTTAAATGTCAAAAAATTGCCAGTTTAAACAAATATGGCGCAATTAAGCGAACGACAAAGAATCTAAATATTAATGATGTATGGGTACGGTGATAGAAAACGCACTAAAAGTGAAGTTTGTACACTGTTCAATCAATATTTATCCGGATACACAAATTACACAATCCACAGTATCCGAAATATCAAAAAAAAATTCTTTAACACCGGAAGTGTAAAAAACGTTCCAAAAAGTGGGCTACCAATGACGAAACTACATTATTAATTATCCATAATTGTTGAAACTGTCATTTTTTGACATTTAAAGTTGTCAACGGCATTATTTCGGACCTATTTTGATTATAATTTGCTGATTTAATATTTCTAGAAAACGCGTTTTTTCTCGATTTTTATCTTGTACAACCATATGATTTGATATGTTCGTCGCATAGAGGGATTTATCCTCTATCAAACTGTGCAAAAAAAATATGCATCCCATTTAAAATAACAATGTTGGTTGACATAGCAACGAAACCATAAACAATACAAACAAGCAAATATCGCCAAAAAATGCGCCACGATTAATAAAGAAACTTGTATTTGAAACATTCTTGTTTAAAACCAGAAATGGCGAAGTTATTGGCTATATTCCAGACATTTGACACACCCTGTATAATTCGTTTTTGTTATACAATAAACATTCCATGAAACGCATATTATACCACAATTTTTGTGCGGCGGTTATCGAAGAAATACTTCCTGAAAACCATTTTCCTGAGAAAATTGAAAATACGGGGTCAGAAGGTAGAATAATGAGAAAACGTTGTAAAATATGTTGGCGAAATAAAGTAAGGACGGATTAAGCTTATTATTGTAAAAAATGCCCTAATGAACCAAATCTCTGCGTTGGAAAATGTTTTGAAGTATACCACAAAAATATTTAGAAAGGCATTTTCTCGAATTATTATTTAATTGTATTTTACTTGGGTGTTACTTTTCCGATATAGATCTAATTGTATATTAGTCTTTTTGAGTACAGTTTGTTTATATTTCATAAATATTGTTTTATATGTGCTTCTATTATTAAGAAGTAAGCCTTTTTGTTGCTCAAATTTTATGAAGGCGCGCATGACGTACCGGTGCGTTGTACGGCTAATAAAGCCCCCGTCGTCGCTGAAAAACATTAGGAGTGTTTAATCTGTTTATTAAGAAAAGATATCTCTAGCCTATTACAAGATTTCACCAACTTTGTTCGCACTGAACGTGTTAAGTGCCAAAAATCAAGGCCCCTAAATTTAAAAATCGATATTGTAGTAATAGTTCTAATTTTACAATTAGTTCAACAAAAATATGCAGCAGCCTAACGTTGAATAACAATTAAAACTAGAATCATTTGGGTACAAGTCGTCTTAAGAGACGTACGGCTAAATCCGAATGTTTCTAGGTCTAGTGTTAGTGCTACTTTTATTTCAGTAAAAGTATTGAGAGACGTGCACCTAAACCAAAATGTTTAGCCGAATGTCTTTCAAGGCGGCTAAACCCGAATGTTTCTAGTTCTCTCTTGCTAGTCATCAGATTTTATATAAAAACTTATTTTATTCTTGTAATTTTTCTAGGTCGTGCTGGAAGACCACAATACGATACAAAAGGAGAAGGAATATTAATAACGAATCACAGCGAACTTCAATATTATCTCTCATTATTAAACCAACAGCTTCCGATTGAATCGCAATTAGTTTCAAAATTACCCGATATGTTAAACGCAGAAATTGTTTTAGGATCAATACAAAGCGTTAAAGATGCGGTGACTTGGTTAGGTTACAGTTATCTTTACATAAGAATGTTGCGACAACCCACGTTATACGCAATTTCTCACGATCAATTCAAACAAGATCCGCTTCTAGAACAACATAGAGCCGATATCGTTCATACGGCTGCTTTGCATTTAGATCGATCTGGTTTAATCAAATACGACCGGAAAGTCGGTCAATTTCAAATAACGGAATTGGGAAGAATTGCGTCTCATTATTATTGTACCCATGACACTATGTCTACTTATAATCAATTATTAAAACCGATGTTGAGTGAAATCGAATTGTTTCGGGTGTTTTCGTTATCAGGAGAATTTAAAAATATTACGGTACGCGAAGAGGAAAAATTGGAGCTACAAAAATTGATGGAAAGAGTTCCGATTCCGATTAAAGAAAGTATGGAAGAACCATCCGCGAAAGTAAACGTGTTATTACAAGCGTACATTTCTCAATTGAAATTAGAAGGTTTCGCTTTGATGTCTGATATGGTTTATGTGACCCAATCCGCGGCGAGATTGATGCGAGCTATTTTTGAAATTGTTTTGCATAGAGGTTGGGCTCAATTAACTGATAAAACTTTGTCTTTGTGTAAAATGATCGATAAAAGAATGTGGCAATCGATGTCTCCTCTAAGACAATTTAGAAAAATGCCCGAAGAGATTGTTAAGAAGATCGAAAAAAAGAATTTTCCTTGGGAGAGATTATATGATTTAGGCCCAAATGAAATTGGAGAATTAATCCGTGTTCCTAAATTGGGGAAAACTATTCATAAATACGTCCATCAATTCCCAAAATTAGAACTTTCCACTCATATTCAACCCATAACCAGATCGACCTTAAGAGTTGAATTGACGATAACCCCAGATTTCCAATGGGATGAAAAGTTACATGGAGCTTCCGAAGCGTTTTGGATTTTAGTTGAAGATGTTGATTCGGAGGTTATTTTACATAACGAATATTTCTTGTTGAAAGCGAAATATGCCGCCGATGAACACTTGGTGAAATTTTTTGTACCGATTTTCGAACCACTTCCGCCTCAATATTTCTTACGAATCGTTTCTGATCGTTGGATAGGCGCGGAAACACAACTCCCCGTTTCGTTTAGGCACTTAATTCTGCCCGAAAAAAATTTCCCCCCCACAGAATTACTAGATTTACAACCACTTCCCATAACAGCATTAAGAAACTCAAAATACGAATCGTTGTATTTAGAAAAATTCCCCCAATTTAATCCGATACAAACTCAAGTATTTAACGCTGTTTATAACAGTGATGATAATGTTTTTATTGGGGCACCGACTGGGTCTGGGAAAACTGTAATAGCCGAATTTGCCGTTTTGAGACTTTTTCAACAAAACTCAGACGGGCGATGCGTTTATTTGGTGCCAAAAGATGCTTTGGCTGAGTTGATTTTCGCAGATTGGCACAATAAATTTGGGCAATTATTAGGGAAAAAAGTTGTTTTATTAACGGGGGAAACCGGTACTGATTTAAAATTATTAGCAAAAGGACAAATTATTATAACAACGGCGGAAAAATGGGATGTTCTATCCCGTCGTTGGAAACAAAGAAAAAATGTCCAAAATATCCATTTATTCATCGTTGATGAACTCCATTTAATTGGAGGAGAAGATGGACCGGTAATTGAAATAGTTTGTTCGAGGATGAGATATATTTCATCGCAAATTGAGCGTCAAATAAGAATTTTAGCGCTAAGTGGTTCTTTGACTGATTATCGAGATGTCGCTCAATGGCTTGGTTGTAACTCGAATTGTACGTTTAATTTTCATCCGAGTGTTCGCCCTGTGGGGTTACAACTTCATGTGCATGGTGTTAACATCACTCATAACCTCTCTAGATTAATTGCGATGTCAAAACCGGTTTATAACGCAATTACTAGACATAGTCCTCATAAACCAGTTATAATTTTCGTGCCAACAAGAAAACAAGCACGCCTAACAGCAATCGATTTATTAACTTATACTTCAGCAGAAGGACAACCAAACAAATTTTTCCACGCCGAAGAAGATGACATAAAACCATTTTTAGATCGTATGAGTGATAAAACTTTAAAAGAAACCCTTTCGCAGGGTGTTGCTTATATGCACGAAGGTTTAACAGCGAGTGATTTGCGTTTAGTTGAGCAATTATTTGATTCCGGTGCGGTTCAAATCGCCGTTGTGACTCGCGATTTATGTTGGGCTGTAAATATTTTCGCTTATTTAGTTATTATAATGGACACGCAATTTTATAACGGAAAAATTCACGCTTACGAAGATTATCCCATTACTGATGTGCTTCAAATGGTTGGTAGAGCGAATAGGCCGCTAGAAGACGATGATGCGCGTTGTGTTTTAATGTGCCAAAGTTCGAAAAAAGATTTCTTTAAAAAGTTTTTAAACGATTCTTTACCAGTTGAGAGTCATTTAGATCACCGATTACACGACCACTTCAACGCTGAAATCGTAACTAAAACTATCGAAAACAAACAAGATGCAGTTGATTACTTGACTTGGACGTTTTTGTACCGGCGATTAACTCAAAATCCGAATTATTACAACTTACAAGGGGTTACTCATCGGCATTTATCCGATCATTTATCAGAGTTGGTTGAGAATACATTTTCTGATTTGGAACAATCTAAGTGTATTAGCGTTGAGGACGATATGGATTCTTTGCCGTTAAATTTAGGAATGATTGCCGCTTATTATTACATCAATTACACAACGATAGAACTTTTTAGTTTGTCGTTAAATAGTAAAACGAAAATTCGCGGTCTTTTGGAGATTATTTCATCGGCGGCTGAATATGAAGATGTTTTAGTACGTCATCGGGAAGATCATGTTTTAACTAGTTTGGCTCAAAGACTACCGAATAAATTAACGAGCGCAAATGGTGGTCAACCTAAATACAACGATCCTCATATCAAAACAAATCTGTTGTTACAAGCGCATCTTTGTCGGTTTCAATTAGGGGCTGAACTTCAAGGAGATACTGAAGCGGTTTTGAGCAAAGCGATTAGACTTATTCAAGCATGTGTCGACGTGTTAAGTTCAAACGGATGGTTAAGTCCCGCAGTGGCCGCTATGGAATTAGCCCAAATGGTTACCCAAGCAATGTGGAGTAAGGATTCGTATTTGAAGCAATTACCTCATTTTTCTAATGAAATTATTAAGCGATGTACTGAAAAGGTAATTTGAATTAAAATTATAACCTTCTTTTTGTTAATTATTTTTTTTTTAATAGAATGTAGAAACTGTTTTCGATATAATGGAATTAGAAGATGATGACAGATCGAAACTCCTTCAATTAAGCGACACCCAAATGGCGGATGTCGCAAGATTTTGCAATCGATACCCGAACATTGAAATGACATATGAGGTATTAGACAAAGATAAAATACATTCGGGGTCGTCGGTTCAAGTCGCTGTTCAGTTAGAAAGGGAGGATGAAGTCAGTGGGCCCGTTATTGCACCGTTTTTCCCACAAGTAAGTCATTATAATGTTTAATGATTATTCAAGTAATGTTTTTGTTATAAATTAATAGAAAAGAGAAGAAGGGTGGTGGGTGGTGATTGGAGATCCAAAAACGAACTCGTTACTTTCAATCAAAAGGCTCACTTTGCAACAAAAAGCACGCGTCAAATTGGATTTTGTTGCCCCACGACCTGGACACCACAACTACACCTTGTACTTTATGAGCGACGCTTATTTAGGTTGCGATCAAGAATACAAGTTTTCTATTGATGTTGGTGATTTTGAAAGTAGTGGTAGCGAGTCCGATTAATTTGGAAATATTAATTTAAGTTTAATGTAGTATTAATTAATTTTTTATATACATAAAATATTGAACGTTTATAATTTTAATGTGTGTTTATTGAAATAATAAATACTGAAAGCATAGAACTTTAATCAATCAATAAATATGCCAACAAGAAGCGTTGACCCAACATAACCGGAAATGCCCATACATCAAAATGTTTAATTAGTTCCATAATTGAGTAAGAGATGTCGCTCAAAAATGTTCTATAATTATGTATTCTTTTAGACAATTTGATGTGTATATTTTTACCTAAAAGGTTATTACATTAAACTTATTATTTAAAGCATATAATAATAAGATTAATATCTTATTATCTATAACTCATACAAAAAAGAATATCATTTTAAGCGCCATCTCACGGCTATAAACGGTCTTATCGACATATATAAAGCTGTTACATGTTTGTATTCCCAACAAAATTACCAAGATATTCAAGCTGTCAAGACCTATTTCAACTTAAAAAAAGTTAATGATTAATCGATTTTAGTTTTTTTAACGGTGTATTATCGTGCTCCGATAAATTTCTTCGTAACCGGAGCATAAGGTGATTGACCTATAAAAAAAAATTATGACGCATTGCATGCAATACAACATTTTTTTTTATAGGTTATGTATAGCTCTTCCGGTTTGATTCCGGCCAAATTTTTGATATTAATTGCTCACTTTGCCATCTGCTTAACATTAATATGGAATATCCAAGCGAGCACCAAGCTTTGTTTGTCGGAGAAATACGACTCAATGGCCAGCGATGTGCTTCAAAATCAGTGAGTTTTTTGATGAAAAAATTTTGAATAAAAATTATTTAGAATCGTAAAGAATTATAATTTTTAAATATTCATTTAGTTAAACAAAGGATGTTTCACAATGATTCATTAGGTTTTATCATTCTGATTCATTTAACAAGAAAGTTAAAACAATAGGTTTTAAATAACTTTTTGAATCTTAAAAAAAAAATAATTAAACGAAGGAAAAATAAAATTAATTTCATTCACAAGTTGTTAAATTAAGATGATTTTTTCATCTTCCTTTAATCTATTCTTAAATAATCGCGCAGTTTCTTAGTTTTTGTTAATTACAAAAAAAGACTACATAATAACGCTAGGTAGGTTATTTATCTAATTATTTTCAAAATAGCCGACTCATCACAGTTTTTTGAAACATAAATTTCTAGGTTAACCGCTGGACTTTACGCATCAATAGGAATGATTGCGTTTGAATTGTTGGTATTTCTGACTGGGGTGACTATGTTTAACACCACTACTGCATTCACATGTATCCTTAACATGATTTTATTTAACCCATTAATCACATATTCTTTAGCTTTGTTCCAACAAAGGTTCCAACAAACGATTTGACTGGTCAAATGCAATCGCACAGTTAAATAATGCAATGAAATCCGCTGAAATGAAACGACATTACTTGACATGTGCGAGTTATTGGAACAAAGCTATTATAAATAGTATTTTTTCAATTACTAACCCTTGGAAATCGGAATGAACATGGTATTTTTTGACTTAACCAAATTGTTACAGCGGTTTTATGCCACGCGAATGCTTGCTTGTATTTAAGCTATTTGGTTTTTGATGGTTGGCAATGCGAATGGTTTTGGACGGTTTTTTGCACGTGTTCAGTTGTACCAATATTGTGTGATGTCATTACCATCGTAGATGTTTGCATTAAGAGAAAATATTAGTGAGAAGACTTTTAAATAGTATTTAAATAGTTCTAAATTAAATTATTGATTTATTTTTGTAATAAAAAAAATGACATTTTTTACATTTCCTATGTGTAGTTTAATTCAATAAATTGAAATATATCTATAAAATATCAAAAATTCGCCGATAATGATACATAGTTTTGATAAAAATTGGAAAACACCTGTAAAAACGATAATTATGTCGCATTGGCGAACGAAAAAATGTCATGTGTGAATTTATTGTAACTTATACAGTGAATTTCAATTAAGATGCAATATACAAAAATATACTACCATAGCAACCAGGGTGTACTTTGTCTCACATAAAATGTTTGAATGTATCTAGTTCTAGGTCTAATGTTATTTCTAATGATAGTACTAGTATAAAACTAGAACTAACTCTAGAACTACATTCGGGTTTAGCCGTGCGTCTCTTAAGACAGCCGAAAACTCATAGTTATCATAAGGACTTCACCTTTTTCCAAGCAAAACATTTCTTTTGCAAAACTACCCAATAATGTGCCTGTATTATTAAGCTATGTTGCATTTTATGTGGGACAGTTAGTTTCGTAACTATGGTTATGGCATTCATATATTGCGAGTTCTATGAAATTCCCGGTATAAAATTTTAATGATTTTTATTTATTTAGTAGATATCGGCAAAAAATTACTTTGACTCACGCTAAAAACGTATTTTCATGCAAAGCAAATTTAGTACTTGTTTGCCAAAGTCATGTTTGTATGATTTGTTATGTTACCAATCAGCCTCATATTCCTAATAACGGTGGAGTCATCAGGAAGCAACACTGATTGCGTTAAAGTGAGGTTACAGTAAATTTTATCACTTCCTTAGTGACTCGTTCGTTTCAGGACTATCTGAATATACTCCAACATGCGTCGTTTCTGATTTTTCCTATCCTTTCGAGGCTGATTTGGTTTTTTACAAGGAGCAAATTGCTGGTCTAGCCTTCTTTTTTATCTGGGCCACTTTCGTATTGACCAAAGATTAAGCTTTCAAATAAAATTAGTAGTCAAATAATACGCATCATTCTAAGGATTTATGAACCCTGCATAATAGATTTTATCTACAACTATTGAATTATCTATTCGTTATACAATTGATTTTTGACGGGTAATGACACTCATTACCCATGACAGACAAAGTATTGAATAATGAGGCCATTATTCCACACTTCTGACACTGCCTACTAATCAAAAAATAAAATATTAACAGAAATGACAGCTTTCTTATATTGAGGTTATGTCTGAAATGTCTATCAAGTTTATTTTTTTTCGTTTTTTTGATTTTTTTTTCAAAATTAAATAGTTGTAGATAAAGTATAGTATTCAACTTGCGTATAATGGATGTTACCCACTCAGATTACAACACTCGCTCGCTTCGCTCGCTCGTGTTGCAACTTCTTCTTCGTGGGTAACAGCCGCCATTATACGCTTGTTGAATAATATACTATTATTCATCTTTATAAATTAATTTATATTTTTATGTACACATTGTCAATTTATGGAATTGAATCCTAAAAATAGATCCATTCTTTTCAACGTGCCGAATAAAATGACTCTATTACACCGATTTATTACACTCTAAAAATAGTAGGAGATAAATACAAAATTGTCGTTCTGACGTCAAAGTTGTAAATATCGTCTTTGACACGTGCTTGTCTCTATCATAAAATCTAAATTAATAGTACCTCCTTTTATAATTTGATTGCTTTTAATTTACTTCTACCTTAATCAGTTGGTTAAAGTAAATTGATAGGAAAACGTTATGATTTTTAAAGAGGTAAACATTAAAAAAATGTTAATGGTAATAATAACTTTGTGTTTGTGTCAAATTTAATTGTATTTCAGCGTTGGGAAAATCATATTTTTGCTTTTCAGCTTTTTTTTTTTAATAAAATCGTCATGGAAGAATAGTTTTTCTCATTCGATCTTTGATTTAAGTCTAAAATGTTGTTGAACGGAGGTAATTAGCATGTTGATTTTTAGGACGAGAAAAAATCGATCGAAAAGTGCGGTGGTCGTGGCTGGACGAAATTATTGATATTGGCCGGTTTTTCGACCACGATAGGGTCGTCGTTGCCCGTAGGCTATAATATTGGGGTTGTTAACTCACCTGCCCAAGTAAGTTCGCCGAGAAAGTCATTTCCGTCTTATTATTATCCACTCCCCACTCACAAAAAAAGTTACTTTTCTTCTTCCTCAAAAAAAAAAAAAAAACCGTTTTATTAGTTTTACGTTTCAAGTGAAGTGTGATAGTGAGTTTTCTTATAATCCAAGTAAAGGAAAAATTACAGAAAAGATAAGAACAGTTTTGATTAATGAAGCAAGAAAAAAAAACGTACGTATATTTTTACAATTTAAGAATTATAAAGATCGTACGCCGAAGATCGTTATTTATGGGATAAAAATTAATTAAAAAGTGTAGTGGATAAAAGTGTGATTTATGATTTGTGAAAGTGAATTTGATACTGTTTAATTCGTGAAGTGAAAAGAATCCTTTCCACTCACCCTCTTTTAATAAAAAACATTTTTTGATTGTGTTTTAGATTCTGAAGAGATTTTGTAACGAAAGTATGTTTGAACATTATGGGTTCGAAATGAGCCCAAATCAATTGGAATTGTTATGGTCGGCTGTTGTCTCAATATTTTTAGTTGGAGGAACAGTTGGGTCATTAACTGGTTCTTGGTTAGCAGATAAAATGGGGCGAAAACGGGGCTTAATCGTCGCTAGTTTTCTACTAACTTTTTCCGGGATTTTATTTTTAACTTGTAAAGCTGCGTTATCCGTGGAGATGTTGATTCTTGGCCGATTTATTGTTGGACTTGCAGCAGGTAAAAAGAAATAATCTTTGATTTTTTGCATTTAAATTATCATTTTATAATTGAAGGTTCCATAACTTGTATAATGCCAATGTACCTAACCGAATTAGCACCAATTGATTTAAGAGGCGCGGTGGGAGTTTTATGTCCTTTAGGAGTAACATCTGGAGTTTTATTGGCTCAAGTAATTTCGTTACGAAACGTTTTGGGAACGGAAATAATGTGGCCTGTATTATTATCGTTCTTTCTCGTTATGGTTATTATATCTTCGTTGATTATTCCATTTCTGCCCGAGAGTCCTAAATATTTATTTGTTATTAAAAATAACAGAAATTTAGCTTTAAATAGTAAGTTAATTGGTAAAAATGATTTTTGATTTTAATATAACCATTTTTCTTTTTTTAGGTTTAGAAAAGATAAGAAATAAAAAAATATGTGATTTAGAAGAGGAAGTGACTGAATTAGAGGTTGAACTTGCGGATGTAAAGAAGCAAAAAACCGCCGTTGGTTTTTGTGGCGTTTTATGTGATCGCACTTTATTGTTGCCGTTATTATTGGTGTGTAGTATGCAGGGTGGTCAACAATTCAGCGGAATTAACGCCGTTTTTTATTATTCGAAATCAATATTTCAAAACGCTGGTTTATCCGAATCAAATAGTGAATTTGCGACGGTAGCTGCTGGTGCAGTTAATTTAGGAATGGCCATCGCTTCGATTTATATTATGTCAAACTTTAAACGTCGATCTGTTTTTCAACTTTCCACATCTCTCTCTGCATTATTTTTAATTCTTTTAGGAGTTGCAATCACTTACATGGTAGTAATTTTTTTTTAATTAATTATAAATTTGATTTTGATTGATTTACAGACAACCGTTTCTTGGATGCCTTACATTAGCATCGTAGCTGTATTAGGTTATGTTTTCGCATACGGAATTGGTTTGGGTCCGATTCCTTATTTTATAGGCTCAGAATTATTTGAAGTTGGCCCAAGACCTACTGCTATGGCTTTAGGGAGTATGGCAAATTGGGGTGGAAACTTTATAATTGGAATGACATTTCCGTTGATGCAATCAACAATCGGACCAGCTTCGTTTTACATTTTTGCTGTTACTACATTTTTATTATTTTTATTTACACGGTAAGATTAAAATTTTTTCGTTCGATTTTATATAAAACAATTCTTGTAGACTATATTTGCCAGAAACCAAAGATCGAGATCCAATAGATGTCGCGCAGGCGCTACGTAAAGGTTTTGGTCCGCGACCTCTAGCTTCGCCGGTCGGATCTAGCGCCACGGATGAAACTTTTGCATCGGATGATTTAAAATAATTCTTTTTTTTTTTTAATAAAAATGTCAATATTAGAGTACAAAAAAAATTCTTATGTTAAATAGGGACTTTTAGGTATTTTCTTTTTGTGTCGATAACTCCAAGTTTTCTTTCATGATCTCAATATTATTGTAACCCTAAATTAAACTTTTTAAATTAGTAATGCAATCCAAAATGGCTTCAGAGTTAACTTTATATCTTTAAAAAATTCTTTAATAATAAAAAGGAAACCAATTGCATACTAAGTAATGCCTTTATTTACAAAACTCCTTTTTTTATTTCAACTCGTCCTTAAAACAACTTTGTGTCAGACGTAGATGAAGACAAGGAGCTTTTTTCGCTTTCTCTCAACCAAAGAGATTCTGAAACTTGATCTATTGTAGCTCTTTGGAGCGGATTTGGTTCTAAAAGATATCTAAAGGGAAAGAAAATGCTTTCTTTTATCATGATATTAATTAAGGCAGGAGTTTAGGAACTATGTAGCTCTGAAGATGTGCTTTTAATTAATTAGATAATTATGGCATGTGATATATAATAGGCATGAAAATGATGTTTTAGTATTAAAATAAAAAGTTATTTTACGTACGCTAATAAATGTTTGAGATAATGACAACTTTTCCTCCAATGTCGAAACGTCGCGATGCATAACGAACGATTTAATTGAGTTTTCAACATCTTCTTTATGTTGGTATCGTCGAAAGGCATCGAAGCAGTCAACATGATGTATAAAATACAACCCAACGACCACATATCATACATTTTTGGATCGTAAGCTATTCCCTTTAGAAATAAAAATCAATAAAATAATACTTTTATTTATATATCTAATTTCTTTTTGAAATGATTTTTGCCCAATAAAACTTATTGATAGGACTTAAACGATTTCAAAAAAAAATTAAATTTGTCTTTAAAGAAAACCTGTAGAATTTCAGGGGCTGCATATGCGGCAGATCCACAAAACGTGTCGCTGAACTTGTAGCAACCACAGTCGTCGACGCAACGTCTAGCAAAGCCGAAATCGCCGAGTTTTATGTTATTGTTGATCGTAATGAAGACGTTTTCACATTTTAAATCACGATGAGCGATCTCCAAATCATGAAGATATTTTACAGCGGCCACCATTTGCCTAAAGAAATTATTGTTTTCGTTTAATAGCTATAGTTGTATTAAATATTGCGTCAGAAACTGAAAGAATTCTGTTGGCGTCTATTTTTAAGAAATATTTCGCCACGTGCTCTAAACATTTTTTCTCGCGCAACCTCACGTTTATATTGCAGAAGATATATCCCAAAAAAATGTAAGTATAATTTTAGAATCATTTAAATAACATATTATTGGATGTGCAAAAGTGATTTAAAGTTATAACTAACGATGATTAATATTGTTATCTATATTTATTGAAACATAGATAAATATTCATTTCATTTTACTCAGCAACTCTTTAATTTTTTAAACGAAGGCCTTGTCTTTAAGTATGGCTTTTAATAGAACCTGCCAAGATTTATACAGCTATTTCTTTTATTTATTGCTTGTTGGATTTATTGAAATTTACAACATGATGATAGGCATATTACAATATAATTACTTGTGTTAGCTTGATACAAATTTAATCATTGAGGCTCTACCGCAAGCAACCTCGGCTTAATTAATCAAAGATCTACAACTTCAGGTTGCTAGAATATTAGTCTAGTTTGAGGTTGCTAGAATATTAATCACTAAACCTGGGCCGCAGCGACCTTGGCTTAATTAGTCAAAAGATGTACAACTGCACTGGATAAAGCCGAGGCGTCACAAAGTGATAACTAGCTTCAGATTCATAGAATATCAATCACTGAGCCTCGGCTCAAAAGATCTGCAACTTCATTCTATAAAGCCGAGGTGTTACAATATGATATGTAGATTAAGTTTAATATAATATCAATCACTGAGTCTCGGCCGCAAGCGACCTCGGCTAATTATATATGCTATGAAATGATTGTTGTGTTTGTATGTTGGTTTCTTTGTGAAATGTATAAAAACATCGTAGTCAATGTAGAAGCTGTTCATAAAATTGAAACAATTAATTTAAGAAAATGGTCGATAGATTGAATGCGTTTCGATTTAATTCTATTACGAAATAATGTCATTTCATTGTCAAGCTGAAATAGATAGCCGACCTATTTAAAACGAATTTGGCATCAATTTTAAATTACACTCATCTATTTTTATCAACGTGTCGAAATGATGCGAATAATAATTAATTTACTTACCGGAAATAATGTTTTGCTTTAGACTCTGTTAAAGGCCCGTGACTTTTAATATGCTCCAACATATCGCCGTTTCGACAATAATCCATAAAAATGTAAATTTTTGAGTTGATTTCAATGATATCGTGAACGGTTACGATGTGGGGGTGTTTTATGTATCTGATAATCCTTAATTCTCGTGGTAAAAATCTTTTTATAAAATCGACACCTGCGCACTTTTTACTAATAATTTTACAAGCGACTTTTTGTTCTCCATGATCTGTTTTGACGGTGGTGATGTGCACTCGGCTATAAGTTCCCTCTCCAATTTGTTTTTCAATTTTATAGCCCAATCTTTGGAGGATTTCCACATCGTTTATTTGCTAGAACAAAATTAAAAAAAAATTAATAAAAACATATTTCTAAAAAGTCATGAATCAAACTTCGTTTTTCTGTTTTTTAAAATATTTCACCACGTTCATTTTCTTCGGGACTCTCTTTCAATTTTCGTCCCAACCTTTTTATTTATAAACCCACCGAATCAACTAAAATTTTCGCATTCATCGACTATCTAAGAATAATTATTTCGTTTTAAATGTATCTTTATGACTTGATCATGTCAAACGTCATTTTACATTCATATTTTTTAATATCAATAAAATAATTTTGATTTTTTTCTAAAATATAATAATATAAGTTTAAGTTCAAAGGAGTATGACCTACATGATAAACGTAATTTTAATCTTACAACCAATTGAAAGAGTCGGACCCACAAACATAAATTTAAAACGCCTTAACAGTTTTAAATTGGAACTATAACCGCTAACTTTTAACGGTCATGTTTCTTTTCTTTTTCGAGACCTTAGAAAATAAATCTACCTGCTTTAAATCGAATTTAAGAAAAAGAAGCTAACCTAACCCAATATTTATCAATCTGTAGCCGCATATAAAATGTTTTGAGTTGCTTATCTATTGAATTGATAGATATTTTTGTGTTCAGTGTTAATAATTTATTATTAGCCTAAATAGGTGAGTTCTACCCAAACAACAATGTTAATTTATTCAAACAAAAGTTATAAATCACCATTATCATTTTATAGATAAAAAGTTTCACATTAATTTAGCTTTATTATTATGTTTGCCTACTTAGCCGTTAGTACTTTAGGTTGAAATCGTAACAAATTCGACTCGTTTTAATTAAAAACGTTTCGAACGCCATGGAGTTCGCAGTGGGTGGTTTAGCGGCTGTTGGAGCCGGCTTTTTCACAAACCCTTTAGAAGTAATCAAAATACGAATGCAACTTCAAGGAGAATTAGCTGCCAAGGGCAAGTATACAACACAATACAAAAACTTTGTCCACGCCGCTTACGTCATAGCGAAACACGACGGAATCGTAGCCTTGCAATCCGGGTTAGCGTCAGCTTTATGGTTTCAATTCTTTTTAAACGGAGTTCGATTAGGTAATAAATTAAATATAACGAAAAATCGATTATAATAAATATTTTTTGTTTCCGGTTACAAAAAAGGAACTTACGATGTAATTGCAAAAATGGGTTTCATCCGTAATAAAAACGGCGATTTGGTTTTATATAAAAGTGTTTTAGCGAGCAGTTTCGCTGGGGTGGTTGGTAGTCTTGCGGGAAGCCCATTTTTCTTGGTAAAAACACACATTCAAGCACAATCATCGAAAGAAATCGCGTTTGGACATCAACATAATCATGAATCTACTATTAAAGCATTTGTTAATATCTACAAACAACAAGGAGTAAGTTTTGTTTTCTTTAATTTTGTTGTTTGTGATGTATTTTGTAACAAAATGTTTATTTTTAGATAAAAGGTCTTTTTAGAGGATCAACATCATCAATCCCAAGAGGAATCGTTGGATCTGCAGCACAATTGGTTTCTTTTGATTATGCAAAACAACTCCTAAAGAAAAACGATTATTTCAATAACTATCCGTTATTGCAAATTTTTATGGCCAGTATGATTGGAGGGATTAATCTAACATTGCTTTTCACCCCTTTTGATTTGATAAGCACGCGTTTATACAACCAAGGGGTTGACGCGAACGGAAAAGGGCTCTTGTACAGTGGATATGGAGATTGTGTGAAAAAAATATTCAAATCCGAAGGATTTTTAGGATTTTATAAAGGAATAGGACCCCAATATGTTCGAATTGGACCTCATACAGTGTTGTGTTTGGTGTTTTGGGATGAATTAAAAATGATCCATTCTAAATGGAAATCATGAGTAAACAAGAAATTTTTTCTCTCTGTGTTCGTATACATACAAAAGATTTTCTGGTGTTCTAAATAAATAAATTTTTAAACAATGAGGTTTTATTTTTAAAACCATCACACCACATCTTACCCTCTCTTTAAATCATTTTTTATTTATATCCGAAAACGCACGGATAAACCCGAATGTTTCTAGTTGTAGGTCTAGTGTTAGTTCTAGTTTTACACTAGCACTATTACTATGTAGAATTAACACTATACCTAGAACTAGAATCATTCGGGTTTAGCCGTCTTTAGAGACGTGCGGCTAAACCCAAATGATTCTAGGTCTAGTGTTAGTTCTAGTTTTAATTGTTATGCAGCGCTAGACCAAGAACTAGAATCATTCGGGTTTAGCCGTCTTTAGAGACTTGCGGCTAAACCCAAACGATTCTAGTTCTAGGTCTAGTGTTAGTTTAGTGTTAGTTTTATGTCAATAAAAATATACAACATAGTGATTGCTAACTAGCGCTACTGACCAGCCGTCTTAAAAGAGGTACGGCTAAACGGAATGTTTCTAGTTCTAGGTCTAGTGTTGGTCTAGTTTTATTTGTTATTCAGCGCTAAATTGTTGTATATTTTTGAACTATAACGAACACTGCGTTCCCCGCATTGATCCACTATATTGAGGTTTTACTGTAATGTCAAATTATATTGACATTTTGCATTTTATGTGGGACAAACAAAGTACATATGCCTACTACCTAGTACGCCTGGTTTCTATGGAAATGTATAATATATTGCATCTTAAGTAAAATTCACAGTACATTATATTATAACTTATAACAATTAATTTTTAAATGATCAGACCACATTTTACCCTTTCTTTGAAACGTTGTTATTTATTTACATCCGAATGTTGGCATTGTGCCTAAAACCTCCAACGCGAAGCCAGATGATACACAGAAGGAGTTTCGAATCGTTTTCTGTCGGTACGAAAGTCCATGGGGCTAATTTTAAAACGCCGCTGTCAAGCGACTTTTTGTTTGGGGTCGGCTTTTGCGAATCATCAGTTCGCAGCAAGTTTTCGCCTGAATAGGATCACGCTGCATTTAGGTACGGTTAATTTTCGCGAACGATGCTTCTTATTTATTTTTACAGTGTACCATATCGAGAAGTAATCACCGAATTGAAACATTTTTCGATATCCACGTAAGCGGACGTTTTTTTTACTTAAATTTATTTTTTAATACATATTTTTTAGTCTTTGATAATGGATTTTATAATAGCTGGTTTAGCGGCTGTTGGTGCAGGGATTTTTTCGAACCCCTTAGAAGTGATTAAAATTCGTATGCAACTTCAAGGGGAATTACAAGCACGTGGTGAACATCCCGTACATTATCGGAATGTTTTTCATGCCACTTATACAATTGCGAAACACGACGGGTTACAAGCTTTGCAAGCCGGTCTTGTTCCCGCTTTGTGGTTTCAATTTATTTTAAACACGTGCAGACTTGGTAATAGTGTTATTATGTTAATTGGGTTGCCTATAAACCGTTTGTTATGTTTCAAAAATAGGGGGGTATGATTATGTGATAAAAAAGGGATACACAAAGAACGAAAAGGGGGAAACGATTTTTTATAAAAGCGTTTTAGCTGGGGGATTGGCTGGAAATGTTGGGGCTTTCGTTGCTAGCCCTTTTTTTCTTGTAAAAACACATCTTCAAGGTCAAGCGGCGGAACAAATAGCGTTTGGGTATCAACATCATCATGCGGGGATGTGGTCAGCTTTTAAAAAAATATTTACGGAGCATGGAGTAAATTTATTAATGTGGTTTGATAAAAAAATTAAATTTGTTTTTATTTTATAGATTCAGGGTTTATATAGAGGATCAACATCGGCGATTCCTCGCTCATTTTTAGGCTCAACAGCTCAATTAACAACGTTTACGTACTCAAAAGAAATTTCGCAAAAATATAAACTCCTCACAAATTATCCACTTCTTGAAACATTCATGGCCAGCATGATTTCCGGCTTATTTTTAAGCGTTATGATTACCCCTTTCGATTTAGTTTGTATCCGACTTTACAATCAAGGTAATTTTACAACCAATCATTATTCTGATTTTATGCAATAATTTTCTTTTAGGTGTTGATTCAAAAGGAAAAGGTCTCTTATACAACAATTTCTTAGATTGCTTCTTAAAAGTTTCAAAATCGGAAGGTTTTTGGGGATTTTATAAAGGGATAGGCCCTTGTTATTTGAGATTAGGTCCTCACACCGTGCTAAGTTTGGTGTTTTGGGATATTTTAAAAGACGTTCATAAAAATATCGATCAAAAAATTTCTTTGGTGCACACAAACTAAATCAACATTCAATATTTTTCATTCAAAAACAGTTATTTAACTTTAATAAATCTGTGATAAGTCAATATTTTAAAATAATGTTGGAATGTAAAAATGTATATTTGTTCAAACGAGTTAATATTATTCTGTTTTGTTTAATAAAGATTATCGTGAGTGTTTGTTGCGAGTATGTAGCACGTTTTCAGTTGCTGGCAGTTTAAAATCAAGACGTATAAATAGACTCGTGTGTAAATGTGCACGAGTTAAACGCCTGATAACAACAGAATTCAATTTGAGGTCCTTGGCGGATATTGTGTGATTTGTACTAAATTTAAATTAAATTTTTTTTTAAATAATTATTTGTATTTTTATAACATTTTCTTATTACATAACTTATTTCTTTCCTAGCCGCTTTATTCTTTATTTGTTGAAGACCCGAAACCTTAATAAGTGTTTGTTCACACCGTTCCCGGTTCTGGGTGGTTCTGGTGCACGTGCAGTTCTTCACGTAGACCATCCGTTCACGTTCACGCCTTCATAAATAACCCTGAACGAAAACGGAGGTCCTTTACTATAATATAATAATTCTCATAATCAATCGAAGAGAATTAAAAAACGTGACAAATCCAACGTACTCTCGATTTAAAATTTACGAAAATGATAAAAAATTATCGACATTAAATCAATTCAAAATGAGATTAAAATTTTACAATATCACGTGCGTAAAAGTCGTATAAAAACTTGGGTATTTTTAGGTTTATATCATTCGTGTTTTGAAATAGAAGATAAAACAAATCTTATCGGGCTTCGAGTTCATTTTTCGATTTGTTTTTAGATAGATATTTGGGGTCATAATTTATAAATAAACATCCAGTGAGATTTTGTAAATCGTAAATTAATTTTGAATGTTTATTAATTCAATTAAAGATAAGGATTTTTATGAAACGGTATCCTTAAAATCACTTTTACAAAGAAAAGGTTATAATTGAAGTTATTCGCATTATTTAAGTAGATAAATACTTAATAAGAGCAGTTTTATTTAATCAGTTAAAAGTTGTTTGTTTTGAGTTTATTTGGAAATAATAAAATTGAAATTATGTTGTTTTCGATTTTGAACATGTTTTTTCCCATATCCTATTCATAAACAAGTTTCAAATTTTCAGTTTCAAAAATGTCAATTTGGGTTTAATCTTTATTATGTCTAATAATAGATGATTCACTTTTTAATGATTCATGTTTTGAATCTGTTCTGTCAGGTTTTGAAAAAGAGCAGACTTTCATGCAATCATTTACAAAGAAAAATGTGGACTGTTGCAATTATTATGTTAGGTGCACGTGTATACGGTTTTTAGATTTATTGTGTTAAGTATATTCCAGAACATACAATGTTATTATATATTTATTGTTATTAATAAATCATATTGAAAAATGATTACTGTTAATGATTATACTTGCAATTATTGTGTTAGGTGCACGTGTATGCAGTTTTTACATTTATTATTTTCACTATTTTCCAGAATAGTATTCCAAAAATGATTAAAGAGAAGTTGAAGAAGAAGTTGTACTATCTGTTTTTGATTATATTAGAATCAAAAACATTTCTGGAAAATTGTAACGAAGAATACTGATTTTAGTATAGTCTCCGATTTTTCTGGTGGTTTTTATGACCCTCAGAACCAGTAGCGGCAGTAATTATCACCCCGAAAAAGTACCTGATCGTGATTTATGATAGGCCCTCGTACCAAACTAGGTCCAGGGACGCACTTCTATTTTTATTTTATTATAACAGTTGTCACTTCCCGCACATTCTAAGTTGTCGTCATCAGAAGAATCATCAACACTAATAATAAAACCGCTGTACTTGTGGGGACACGATGAAATATTATTACATTCCTCACCAATTAAATTCACAACTTTGGCACTTATCGTCGGAGTTGAATTGGGGTTTCTTATGTTCCTCTTTAAGTTGCCCCAGATTAATTCTATAGGATTTAAGACGCAATGGTAAGGTGGCAGTCGTAATACTGTTTGCCTTGCAGTTTTTGCCATGTTTTCAATTACACATTCGACCGTATTATTATGTTCATTCACTTTTTCTAATAATTTATCTTTAGTTATTTTTTCTTCTGGCATAGCAATGTTATTTTCTTTCATATAATTTAAAACATACTCTTTCTTGTGCTTTTTTGATGGTTTGGGATTTTTAACGCGGGAGTGATAACTGGCATTATCGAGCACTGCTATCGAATTTGATTTTAAATTCTTCAATAACTGGTTTTGAAACCAGCTTTCAAACTATGCCGCGTCCATATCTTGATGGTAGTCAGCAGAATAATGTCTGATTTTTTTTTGCAGACACTAACAGGGTATTTTTTGTGAAACCATTTTCTCCGCCTGCATGAAGAATAATCACACGCTTCCCTCTTGAACATGGAGTTGCCAGTGCGCATTTCTGACTTCCACCAGATAGAGCTTTTTTTAATACATCGTGAGTGTCATACCAAGTTTCATCCAGATAACTTATGTCCCGCTTCTCTTCGCAATATTCTCTGATTTTTTGTATAAAGTTCCATCTCCATGTACTTAGTCGCGGAGTTTCCATAATATGAACACACTTCTACACAATATTTCTTGCTACGCAAACAAATAGGTAATTCAGTTGAAGTAACTGGTTGATACATTTTCTTTCCTTTCAATAAGTATATCTTCCGAAAAGTAAAAGAATACTGACGAATATTGTTTTCTTAAACCCTGTTTTGTTTTCTTGCAAATATTACAAAGAATTTTTAATTTAAAAAAACTAATTAAAAACCACTCAAACAACAGGGTATTAATTGTTTAGACTCTAAAAATATAAATTTGAAATACATTGAAAAGAATTATGTACGCCTTAAAAAAAAAGAAAAAACACTTAAACAGTATTTAGAGTACTATTTATTGTTTACATTCGAAAAATACAACTTTTAAATAAATTGTTATATTTTCACACAAAGTAATGGTATTTATGCTTTTAATAATATTAGAAAAATCGGAGACTATAACCAGCTCCACTGCCTAGGCAGCATAGCTGCATCTGCTTCTTAATAATGGTGATGTATTAAAAGAAGTTGTGCTACCTGTCTTTTAGTACTTGAACTATTGCTTTGGCAGTACAGATTTGGCCTCTTAATAACGATGATGCATTGAAAGAAATTGTACTATCTGCTTTTTAGTATTAAACTCCAAATAATGCATGTGCATTGCAAACAGTGTTACTTATCTATTTCTTTTTTGAATAATTAGACCACTTATTCGGCAGCATAGCTGCCTCGGCTTCTTAATAATAGTGATGCATTGGACGAAGCTATACTACCTGTTTTTTAATATTTGAACCATTACGTCGGTAACACAGCTGTCTCGGCTTCTAAATAATATATGTGCATTGCAACATGTATGCGTTTGCAAACAGATTGACATTTCAAAAAAAACTAACCTTACCCAATATTCTTTCAAAACTAGGCTATCCCAACATATACCATGATCAATATCAATATATCAATGTAAAATGGGTCAGGTTGATTGCGCCGGGTGATTAGAAATTCAAAAATAATAAATATAGCAACAGAAATGAAATTATTGAACTTAAACTGATTAATTGTTGAACTTGCAAAGATATATTTAGTGATGCAAAAAGGCAAAAATATAATTAGTAACCACAACAAAGTAATAATTTCATTGTAAACATAAAACTATTGATAGATTTTTTAATATGTGCACATAAAATGATTGTTCTCGAATTTTACAACGTATTATAATTTTTAATTGGCACCATTACCAACGAATTTAATTAGTTCAAATAAAAAGTTAGGTTGAACGTCAATATCAAACGTCATTTAAAATATCTAATTAATATTCTGACTAATCAATCATTAACATTTTTAATTCAATTTACTGATGATATTTTGGAATATATTATAATTTGATATTCTTAGATCGAGTATTAGATTGTCGCGTAGTATTTGGAAAAATAATAATTGCACTTTGTACCTTATGCTATAACTATAACATTCATCAAGCAAACATTACCAATTTCACGTAAATTACAAAGTTCATCGATAGTAATTTATTTAGCAAACAACGTTATCAATTACGCGAAAAGTCTCGTCTTTTCCTTTTTGTGACAAAAATTTGCAACTCAATTAAAATAAAACGGTTAATATTAAACAGTATGACCCCGAGGTTCATTGTCATTCAAAAAATCGAGAACCACCATTCGAGAAATGATTATAAGGAGGAGTTAAAAGCGTCCGTTTCACAAAGCACATGTTACTACTACTGTTTATGTTTACATCCTAGTGTAAACAGTACGAAACGATAAGAGGGGCCCTATTTTAACCGGGGAGAACGCATAAATACCACGCGTACGACTCGTTTCGAATCATTCCGAACAAAACCGGCAACAACGACGTTTCAAAGAGAAACTTGCAAGTTTGCTGACTATTGAGTATTAAATTAAAATTTCATTTTATCTTTTTGTTAGTGTTTCTGTGCGCGAGGTGAATACATATATTAATAGGAGAGAAAAAAAGAGAATTTTTTAGTTGTTAAAATGGCATCGTCTAAATTATTCGCAAAGTTTAATATTACGATTAAAAATTTTAATCGAAAAAATGGACCGAAAGTTTTAATCAATATTTCATCTACGCATAATAGAAAATGTAAGTTTAAAAAAAAATTATTAAAACTTTTTTTTATTGAATCCAGTTTGTTAATAATTAAAAAAAAATGAGAATAGTGAGTAAAATTAATTCTTTTTGTATCAAAATCGAATTATTAATTTGTTATTTTTAAAATACACTTTTTTTTCTAAGTTTTTAATTCTTTATTTAACTTTCACTTAAATTTCTTGGGGTTCTTCGTTAAAAAATATTATTTATTGTTGTTTGCTTTCTTCCAATTTGATTTCTTTTTTTAATTTGATTTGAAAAATTCTTGTTGGGTGATGATATGTTACATTTAATTCTTCTTCGGGTTGTGCACATCAAGTCTAGCGGTTCTCTCCTCGACATCCACGCGACCATCGCATGATATAACCAGTTTCACACGGTCGCAAAACTAACGTATCTCTCGCTCTAACATTCTCCATTCTTCGATCAGCGAACAGAGCCGGATACCGAATTTTGCGACTCTAAAAACGTTCTCACTTCGAAGGTCACATACCAAATAAGAAAAAAAAAATAAACTGCGCACTAAAAACATAGTTTCTTGATTTCAAATTACCTTAATAGTTACATGTATCTCTCAAATAATATCAATTTTGCTTTAATTTTCAGATTCAACGCGTTCAAAAATTATTGTTGAAAAACCAGTCGTAGAAATCGGCGGAGATGAAATGGCCAAAGTTCTATTTGACCGTGTAAAAAGAAAATTAATAATCCCCTTTGTAAACTTAGAACGAGATTACTACGATTGCAGTTTAAAAAATCGTAATCGTACTGAAAATGAGATCGTCGATGAAGCGATTCAAGCGATTAAACGACACAAAGTGGCGATTAAATGCCCAACTACAACCCCCAACGAAAAAGCTATACGCGATCAAAAATTAAAACAGATCGTTTTTCCCAGTCCTAATGTAATGATAAGAAACGCTTTGAGTGGAACGCAAATTCGGGAGCCGATTATTTGTAAAGGGGTTACCAAGTTTGTGCCGCGTTGGAGGAATCCCATTGTAATGTGTAGACACACTTTTGGGGATCAATATGGGGGTAAAGATATTGTTTTGAATGAACCGGGGAAAATTTCATTGCAATATACAACAGAATCAGGGGAGAATTACAAATATGAATTTGAAGTACCAGGAAAAGGGGTTGCTTTGCTTACATACAATACGCAAGAAAGTATTGAGGCTTTTGCTGAATCTTGTTTCCAAATTGCTTTGGAAAGGGATTATCCCTTATTCTTTACAAGCAAACACACTCATTTAAAAAAGTATGATCAAATTTTTGTGGATACTTTTAACAAGTTATATAAAAAGTAAGTAATTATTTATAGTATAAACTTACCGTGTTGTCGTTTTTGCTTGAATCACCTATTGTTTTACACTGAAACGAACTTTTAAGGTAATTTTTTGTTGATTTTATGAAAGAGCAAACTGTCAAGCGAAATTTGAAGTTCATTTCTACCAATATTAAAAAAAAAAAATCAATTTATAATTTAATTTTATTTAAAAAAGTTAATTAACTTTAATTATTAATTAATTTACCATTAAACAATAAAAAAATTGACATCTTTAGAAGTTAATAAATATTAATATATTTTAAATACACTTAATTAAATCCAAATACATTTTGACATTTCATAACCTAAAAATTAAAATAATATTTTATTTATTATATATTTTATTATTTATTATTATATTTTATTATTTATTATTAAATTTAAAATTTTTAGGAAATACAAGAAAAGATTTGATGCAAAAAATTTATCATATGAACATAAATTAGTAGACGATATGGCAGCTTATGCAATTCGTTCAAATGGAGGTTTTGTATGGGCCTTAAAAAGTTATGATGGGGATGTTTTGTCCGATATAGTCGGGCAGGGTTTTGGTTCAATGGGAATGATGATGAATAGTCTCCTTTCGCACGATGGACAAATGATTTTAACGGAACCTGCTCATGGGGTTATTTCTAGACATTATAAGTAAGTTTCTGTTATCACTATCAACCTTATTAATCATTCGATTTCTCAATGTTGTTGCGTCAATAAATATTGATAAGGTAAATTTATTTATTAATACGAATTTTAAAGTTATCTAAAGAGGTCATCAAAATTGTAAACATAATGTAATCTAAAATGTGGTATTTAAAGAACTTTATTTTGGTTTAGGAAACATTTAAACGATGAGAAAACATCTACGAATCCGTTATCGACTATTTTTGCTTGGACAAGAGGTCTTCAACATCGAGCGAAAATTGATAGAAATTATGATTTGTTGCATTTTGCGGAATTATTGGAGAAGTGTAGTCGGCAAACGGTTGAAGAGGGCCATTTAACTAGGGATTTGGCTTTGTGCACTTATGGCCATAATTTCCATGACAATGTTTGCATCAGCACCGACGATTTTATTGAGATTATTGCCGAAAAAGTCGAGGGACACTTTGTACAATTGTTTATTGAAGAAGAAGTTGAGGTTAAAAATTAAAGCTTAAAGAAAACAATCTTAATATTTAAGATGTATTTACATATTATATTTTTTTATAAAAAATAATTATTTCTATATAACATATTAAACTTTTTTACTTATCACTTTTATATTGGTTTTTCTTATTTAATTCATTAAAAATGATAAAGCCGGTCGAAAATCTTCTTCTGGTTCTACACTACTTAATAATTCCTCTAACTTTGTATTCACATCAATCATAAATGGACGATGTGGTTTTTCTTTTACGCATAATTCGGAAATTTTAAATAATTCCTCATCAATGTTTATATCATTTAAGGACCACGAATCTACTTTTTTATCTAATATCGATTTAAAACTACCGTTTAAGATCTCTTCACTTACATACGTTAACTAAAAAAATGCAATTAATAAATCAAATTAAATTTATTTGGTAATTTACCAAGTCGAAACTACTTCTTTCAGGATCAAATGGTTCGAGCCCTGTTAATAATTCTAAAAGAATAATACCGAAACTGAATGAATCCAATTTAACCGAAATATCACCCCTAAATAAAAAAAAAATAAAATAAATATATTACGTGGAGTATTATAAATTATAACCTTTATAACTAAGATTATGACAATTTTCGTTTTTTTTAATGTTTAAACTAATTTTTTGCTTATTAAATTCGTTTTTTTTTTTCTGATTACAAAATTATAGGGTTTGCCAGGTCTATTTCTTAGTGTTTTAGAATAAAGCTAAAAACAAACTTTTTTAGTGCAGTAAAAGATATTAAATTTACAGTTTCCTGTAAATTACTAAAAATTAAAAAACCATATTTCTGATATTTGAAACAAATATATTTGTTGAACTATTTAATTTATATTTGTTTTACACAAAAGTTGGAATAGATTGCATTATTTCACATTTTTTATTAATATTTAATATTATTAAATGACTTAATAAATTATTGATAGATGGCGCTGATATATGTTATTATTTTTACGAATTCAAGCGAACATTTGTTATCAAAGCAATATTTGTTTGTGTTCAAAAATTTTGTTCAAAAAAGTGTCACATTAAAAATCCTGTTTTTACAATGAATTATGAAAAGTTTAACATGTTGGACTACATTTCTTTGACGACACTAGATGGCGGCCATGGCGGCGTTTAGAAATTTTATTGAAAAAGTTTATTTTTAGCTTTATTCTAAAACAATGAGAAATAGACCTGTCGAACCCTATACAGGTGGTTCAGCTTTTAATCGGAAAACTTTACTAGGACGTAGTACTTGCCAAAATAACACAAGTTCTTTTATATAAACGTAGGGTTGTTTGTTTTCGAGTTATGAGCTGTCAAAGTTGAGCAAAAAATTTACATTATAGCAAATTAATAACAATTAAAGCTCGAACTAACACTAGAGCTAGGACAAGAACAATTCGGGTTTAGCCACACGTCTGTGAACACGGCTACACCCGAATGATTCTAGTTCTAGGTCTAGTGCAATACTAAAACTAACACTAGTCCAAAAAATTGAAAGATTTGGGTTTAGCCGCATGTCTCTCAAGACAGCTAAACCCGAATGTTTCTAGTTCTAGATCTAGTGTTAGTTCTGGTTTTAATGCAATAAAAATATACACAATAGTGATATCTTATGCTAGCTAGCGCTACCTGCCACTGTCACTAGAACTAACACCAGATCTAGAACTAGAAATATTCGGGTTTAGCCGCACATCTCTCAAGATGGCTAAACTCGAATGATTCTAGTTCTAAGTAGGTCTTGTGTTAGCACTAGTGATAGTGCTGGTGTAACATTAGGCCTAGAACAAGAAATATTCAGAGATGTTGCATTTTATGTGGAAAAGTATGTATACAGGGTGACTGGTACATAAAATTGAATATTGAAATACGTTGTTCTAGAGCTCATTTGTAATTGATTAAGCCAAATATGCCTTATGCAAAGGTGAATAGTTTAGGAGTTATTTCAATTTTTTGTTTTTTGTACAAGTTCAGTACATACTCTTACAAATCTTGAAGTTTAGAGAGTAATAATAGTTTCTTTGGCAATGTATTGACTTCTCTAGATAGATTACACTCTAATACACACTTTAAGTTGAAAAACATTTTAAATATTTCGATGCTTTAAAAATATAGGGTGTGAAATATGTAATATTGTATATAATATTTACCTAATTCCTTCTGGTGACATATATGGATCAATTCGTGATATACTAACAGAATTTGTAGAACTATTTTTGAAAAGTTTTCCAGTACGAATCTAAATTTACAAGAAAATAATCATTTTAAAAAAATTAATTCATTTAAAAATATGGTTTTTATTTACCTTTATAATATTTTTTTGATCTAAATAAACATTAACACTTCGGAGATCACGATGAATATGACTAAAATTATGTAAATAAGCTATAGCCCTGCTGATTTGGACTGCAATTTTCAATCGGTTTGCACAACTTAAATTATTCCGTTCATCACGGAGTTTATTTTGTAAATTATCTGCATCCATGTGTTCATAAATAAAACAATAATACGGATATTCACAGCAATAACCTAACAATTCAACTAGGTTTAGGTGTTTAAATTGGCAAATTTTTTCAATTTCTTCTTTAAAAGAGTATAAATGAAAATCGTGGTAAATTGGAGAGTGCCCATCGATGGTGATTTTTTTAACTACATTCGTTTCTGATCCAAAAAAACCCCTACATAAATATTCTAAACTGTTAAACTCAGATTCCTCTTGAAAAATTAGGTTAGATTCATTAAAGTTATTGGTTGATTTAATGAGAGATTCAAAAGAAATATGAGGTAATATTATTTGCTTATCATTGAGTAAATCTACTAAGATTTCTAATTGATCTTTTACGTTCATCATGAACGGTCGGTCCGCTTTTAAATCTTCAACGCATTTTTTACAGATTTTATATAATTCTAAACCAAAGTTAATGTTTTTATAGGTCCAATCCCCTGCTTTTTTGTCTAAAATTTCTGATACATTTTCGTTGTTATCTTTTAATAATTCGCGAACAAACGTTAACTAAAAATAAAAGAAGAATTAATCGAAAATTTATATTACAACTTTTTCTTACTAAATCATAACTACTTCTACTGTGATCTAAAGGAGGCCAACCTGTTAATAATTCCAAAAGAACCACCCCAAAACTAAACGTATCTAATTTAACAGAAACATCCCCCCTACAAAAAAAAATTAATTATTTTCCACAATTATTCATTTTTTACCTTGTTCCTTCTGGAGACATATAAGGACCAGTACCAATAACATTAACAGTATGAGATGTGGTGTGTTTTGATAAACGAGCAGTTCCAAAATCGCACAACTACAAAAAAAAGTATGATACAAAACCATTATAATATTATAACAATATTACTTTAGGTTTCTTTTGAGCATCAAGTAAAATATTGGCTGTTTTAATATCTCGATGAATAAACGGTTGTTTGGGATTTGCTATATGCAAATAACAAACGGCCTTTGATATCCCAAAAGCGATTTCAATCCTAGTCTTCCACCCAAGTTCATCTACATTGTTTGCATTTAATCGATTATTTAAATTTCCACCAGGTATGTACTCATAAACTAAACAAATACTTGGGCCATCGCAAGAATACCCTAACAATCCCACCAAATTATCATGTTTAAATTTGTATAAATTTTCGACTTCAGTTTTGAACGAATTTAATATGTGATCTTGTAAATTTATCATTTGGCCATCGAGTGTAATCTTTTTAACCGCAGCGGTTGGTTCTTCTTTTAACCCTAAGGCTAAATAAACAGATCCATAACCACCAGAACCCAAAAAACGTCCAATATCGCCGTTTTCTAATTTTACAGTTGAAGGAGTTTTATCAAAATTATTGGTTGCTTCTTTTAAATCATGATAATTAAAATGTCTTAATGGTGTGTTTAAAGATAATGATTTTCCTGGGGCGCTATCAGAACGATCTCGACGTACTCCTGGAAATGGGTCCATTATTGTACCTTCTAGACACAAACTTTTCAAATTAACATATTCTTGATTTGGAATTATCACACTTTCATCTTTAGTGTTAATACGATCAAAATCAGGTAAATACATTTGATCTGTTGAGGTACTATTATTATCCTCAGTTGATGTTGAAACCACGTCAGAACCATTTTGTAAGGTTTGTGGTTCATTATGACTACTAATCCGCATTAAATTTGATAAATCGGGTATATTTACACTTTTATTTTCATAAGGGGTTGCGTTTTCTACTGAAAAGGATGGGTATTGTAAATTTTGAATATCAGAGGTAATTGAGTCACTTTCAATAATTCTTAATTCTTCCGTGTTTAACACAACTGGAGCAGAAGGACCTATTGTAGGTCGCCTAGTTATGTTCTTATTTAACAAAGATGCAATGTATTCTGTTGCTTGACGCATTTCAAGGGTTTGTACCAAATGAAAGAGATGCCCCAAAGTGGGGCGAATCCGTCCTGAACTGCCCCATTCTTCAAATAAGACGTCTGTTGGTGCCCGATTTGAATCTTTACTGGCCTGTTCTATAATTCTAAAATTTTTAAACATTTTTATCATTTTAAATAATTTATAATCTTATTTCTAACCTGATATGATCAGAATTATATCTAGGCAAGTTGTGTTCACCTAAGGAACAATGATAATGATCTTTTCCTAATAATTCTGGAATGTTGGACATCAACATTTTCCAATCGTCTTGATTTTGCAATATGCTAACCAATTTAGACCGATATTTCGGTGAAAGTTTTCGTATTTCTAATGATTCTCTTAATTCCATTTCAAATGCTTTTCAATTTTAAGTTGATTAAAAGCAACAAGTGCTTTCGAAAATTTGACAGGAGAAAATGTGAGGTTAGAAATTTTATTATTAATTCACATTTTTATTATTTTTTTTTATTTTAATGATATATATAACATTTTAATTAACATTGACGCTCATTCAATATTCTAACAATTTTATATTTCACTAATTTTCAGTCACAAAATTTTTAAATTGTCCATCTATCGATAGTAAATTAAATTAATAAAGTGCGGTAATTTCAAAATATCCTAACAAACGTTTTTGAACTATTGTAGTTATATAATTTTATTAAGTTTTAATATCTAATTAGTTTCTTAAATTATCATAACGTTAAATTGACGATAATTAATTACTGTTAGTGCAATATATTTTAACAATCATGTTAATATTTATTAAGTTGGTTAAAAATCTTTACAACAGATGTCGCCATTACATTTATTTATTTTTTAAAGAGATATAAAGACATATTTATTTTTCTTTTTTAATTCAATTTATTTTATTTTTTTCACTGATTTCTTACAAAAACCAAAATCGCCACCAACTATTACAATTAACTCTGATGACTTGGTGGTTTAGACCAATCAACTGTTAAAATAAGATGATCATAACCATGCCCATGTAAAGAACGAATTGCTTTAGCTGCATCATTCCTAAATTTGAAATGAATGTATGCGAATCCTTTGCATTGTCCGGTTTGTTTGTCCTTGGCCAAAAACAGTTTCTGAATAGGTCCAAAGGGCTTCACCAAATCTTCCAGATCCATATCGGTTGTTGATTCACTCAAATTTGAAATTCGAATTGCTGTGGCATCTTCACGACGAGCCATGTTTGAATTATCTGTACGTTTTACCGCTCCTTCACGAAGATTTGGTGGAACGTACTTGGAACCACCAGGTTTATTGCTATCGGCGGTTGTTGTAGTGTTAACTGGTCCTTTTTTCTCATCTGGTTTTCCTCCGGCTAATACTGTATCTTTCCAAGGACATTTTGTAGTCCAATGGTCACCACTACATGTACGACATTTCACAACAGTTTTTTCACCCATTGCTAAAAATTCAAAAAATTAATACCACAATTAAAATGATCCTCAATAACATTTACCTTTTAATTTATCAATCGCGTTTTCTTCGTCCTGCTTATTATCTTCCTCCTTACTAGTAACATACTGCATATAAACCTCTTCAGCAACAATGGTAGTTGCAGGATTTGGCCCTGGTTTGTCATCAACGGATTCCCCGAACTTTTTCCACGTTTTCCGCACAGCAATGCTTTTTGAAACGTTACGTTTTTCGATCTTGTACGTTCTAACGATTTTTACCTTCTTGTCGTCTTCGTTATACTTATACTCGGTGACGATTTTAAAACCGTTTTCGCGAATTTCCGTGGGCGGAGGCAATGAGCCTCCTTCTAATTCGACTTCATCCGCCCAACTTGATTTAACTTCTTCGGCCGACGGCATTTTTTAATTAATTTCAATCCGGCCGTATGGATAACCTTAAAATGACTGATACGTCAAAATGGAAACGTTCAGTAATGCCACTCTTAAAGTAATGTTTTTTTGTGGTTATTTGTTTTATAATTATTAATTATCAATGAAAAGGAGACTTATTTAAAACAAAATGTATTTAAAAAAATACATATATATGTAATTAGACGACTAATATAAAGATCTTTTTTTTTAATTTGTCTTGATTTGACAGATAATTAAGTTGGTCACACAATTGACAATTCACTGATTTTTCAATAAATTTAGTTTATTTATAAATCCATACAAATTTCTAAAAAATTGCTTAATTATCTGACTTTATTATCTTAACCATAAACAGAGTATTATGGGATTTAACGTATTATTGAATTGATAAGAGGCGATTTTCTAACCTGCTGACCAATGAGTAGATCACACTGTTATCGACATATTTTTTTTAATTACGATGTAGTTTACAACAATATTATTTGTATGTAACAATAATACGTAATACGTCTGGCCGGCCCGTCGCATACACAAAACAATAATGGAATACACAGCAGAAAACTTGGAAAAGGCAGTATTATTATTTTATAGAACAGAAGCATGTCAACAAGCAGAGGCTCATCAGTGGTTAACAGAGGCACAACATTCCCCACAAGCTTGGAGTTTTGTTTGGGATTTACTCCACCCTCAAAGAGTAAGATTCTAATCTATTTAATCATTTATTTTCCCTCAAAGATTATTTCAAAGTTCCTAACCTCACTTTTTTGTAGGGCTCTGAAGTACAATTTTTTGGTGCTACAACTTTACACACCAAAATTTTGAAGAATTGGAACGAAGTGCCACAAGATCATTATGAGATTCTCAAGAAAAAAATACTGGATTCAATCATTAGCTTTGCGATGGGTCCTAAAATCGTACTCAATCGATTATGTATAGCTGTAAAATAATTTTTGATATAGCGTTTTTGGTGTTTTTAAGATTTTGTTTTGTAGTTATCCGCTTATATCATTCATACTGTCCCAGCACATTGGCCAAAAGCTTTTGAGGAACTTGTCGCTGGGTTTCAACCTCAGCATTTACCCAATGTTGAACCTGAAAGAGTTATTTGGATATTACTGGAGATTTTAACTGTTATTCCAGAAGAGGTATATTAAATTGTAATTAATGTGATAAGAATCAAATATTTTCGTGGAAATTTTAGTTTCAAAGTACAGCTTTAGCCACCAGCCAAAAAAATAGAGTAAATACAGCTTTATTAAATGTGTCAAAAGACATCTTAAAAGTGGTTGAAATGTGTTTAAAGCCAATTCCGAATGTAAAGTAAGTAACAAAACCTATATTAAAATGCAAATATAAAATTCATTGAGTTTTTAGCTTTGATATTTCAAATTTGACAACATATTTAAATGCAGTGAGATGTGCTTGTGCTTGGATACAAATTGGTGGGATTAATATTGAAAATTGTAGCCATGTGATGGAATTATTAATAGATTTAACTTGTTTTGTTTATTGGTAAGATACTCAATGATTTATTAAATTAAATATTAAAGTTATCTTCAGGCATAGATCTGACCCAGAAGGTATGAGTTCAGAAGAAATGGAACTTGCGGAAGTTGCTTTAGAAACTTTAACAACAATAATACAACACCCACATACACATAAATATAAAAATCATATTATTAAACACACTGCAGATATGATGGAAAAGTTTAGTAAGATTTTAGAAGCTGAAAGAAACGCTTTGGACCCAAATAAAGTAAATTTAACCTCACTTTATTGTAATGTCAAATAAAATTTGGGTTATTTTATTTTAGGATATTTTAGCTACGATTTATTTATTACTAACTGCAATTGCTGAGGGACACTCAAAAATATTTATTAGTTGTTTAAGAAATAGAAATACTCCGGAATGTAAAATAACAGAAGATCTTTTAACTTGTTTATTAAAATGTTCTGATCTCCCTGGATCTTATCCTGTTGATGAAATCAGTAGTTCTATAACTTTTGCTGTTTGGTATACGTTACAAGTAATTGTTAACTTTTACATCTAATCCAATTTGACTATTCTTTTTGTTTAAGGATGATATTTTAGCATTAGGAACAGCTGAATGTGCTGAACTTTTACTTTTAATAAAACCTTATTATCGCGAATTGGTTTGTATAATGCTTCGAAAAGCGATGTTCCCGTCATCCGATGATAACCCATCTTGGTCTGCAGAGGATAGAGAAACCTTTCGTTGTTACCGACAGGATATAGCTGACACATACATGTACTGTTACAATGTTTTAAATATAGAAATGCTCGATATTTTAAATTCTAAATTAGACGAGGCGTTGGTAAAATGTTCTGTATCAAGAGAGTATTGGAATATTGTTGAAAGTTGTCTGCATGCTTTTGGGGCTGTTGCCGAATGTATTGAAATGGAAAATCTCTTCTTGCCAAAATTAATGGGCACTTTAAAAGAAGTTCCTTATTCTGACCTCCATTTCAAAGTGTTATCGAGTTCACTAGAAGTGGTTGGGGCATATTCTGAGTGGTTAACCAATCACCCAGAAATGTTGGGAAATGTAATTCCATTAGTGGTATCAGGATTATCAAACACTGAGGTCTCTTTAAGTGCTACAATGGCTTTAAAAGATTTAACATTGAATTGTCAAAAATATTTACATCCATACGCGGAACACATACTGGGTACATGTCAAACTGTTTTACAAAGTGGTCAATTACGTTTACCCGAACGAACGAGACTGATGTACAGCGTTGGTAGAATATTGAGTATTTTACCAGTAAACAACATTATGCAATATCTCAATGTGATTTTATCACCATCATTTGAAGAGATACAATCGTTGGTTAATAATGAGCCACATTCTTCGACAGCTACGATTTTAGTGACTCGTTTAAAAGTGATTAGTTCGTTATTTGCTACCTTACATGTCGAAACAACTTCAGAGGGTGCAGAACAACCTTTATTATTGGTTGTACAAAACACGATGGGGTTGTATAGTATGATTGGAACTAAATATAGCACAAATACTGAAGTTATTGAGGTAAAAATTATTATTTTTATTAGTGATGAAATTTAAAATTTTTTGTATGTAGGTTTTGTGTGGATTATTAAAACATGTCGTAAGCACTTTATTGGAAGGCTGCAAACCCTTACTGAATGATATATTGCAGTTAATTGTGAATATTTATAGAGAAATTCCTCAAGTTAGTGTTTTAGAATTATCCAAGACTGTAAGTATTTTTATGATTAATATAAATAAATTTATTAATAACTTGAATTCTTTTATTAGGTAATGTTTTTATTTGGTCCTGATAGAAAATATGTTCCATTAATGCAACAACTTTTAAAAGAACTGTGTAATATAACCCTACAAATGTGCGCTCAATTAACCAACAATAATCGATTATCTGAGAAGGTTGATGTGATAGAAGCTTTTTTTCGAATGTTGATGCAAGTATACAAAAAGGTTCCTTTACTGGTCCAGTCTGAAAGTGGTATTGACGTTACCGCTCTTTTTCAATGTGGTTTGTAAGAATCATTTATTCACTTATTGGATTGACTATGTTGTAACTTTTTTTTAGCTGTGATGTGCCTCAGTATGCCCGAACTGAACGCCACAAAAGTATGCTCAGGGTTCCTAGTTCACTTTATAACGCAAAGTCGTGAATCAAATCAAGCGGTTGTTGTGCAAACATACGGCCAGTCACTAGTTTTAGCAATTCTAATCAATATTGGTAAGAAAACATTTTTATTAATTCATTAAGGAATCACATCAGGAGGTAAGGTTTACTAGAGGAGGATGAAGGACTATAGCACGGTCAGAACAGCGTTAGACGACGAGGTTGACGTGGTACAACCACTGATCAGAACTGTTACAAGTACAAAGGAAAAGTACTCCCAGTAACCAGTACAAGTAGCGCTATAAATTATTTTTAGTCCAACTAATAAGTATTTTTTAGAAGTACTTGGAAAATTTCAAGTATCCAAGTATTATTTTAGTTATTTAAAGTAAATAAAGCGTCGACGCTGCGCCGGCCAGTCGCCAATACCTTACAAGATTAAGCACGTTTTTCTGACCGCAACTGTCAAAACTTATTGAAACATCAAAAATACAAACTGCAAATTATTTTGTATAATTTAAATTTTGAAATAGTAAAGAGATGGGATGGGAATCAGGAATTAATCGAACACTATGTAGTAAATGGTTAATGATAAAGTATAAACTATCACTTTTAAGTATATAACTAATATACATATGATGATAAATGTTAGGTATAAGAAAACTTTAAAAAATTGTTATTTTACTTACTATTGAAAGTACTGGAAGTAGATAAACTACTTGGAGTAAACAAATAGTTCTTCAAGTACTACTTATGTCAAACAAGTAACAAGTATTCAGTACATTTTAAGTTAAATACTGAAAATACAAGTATTAAGTACTTACAATTTGGCAGTAAACTACTTAAAGTAAAAAAGTACATTTTTTACATTTTACTGCAAGTAGCTCTGATACTGACAAAGATTAAGAGAAAATGTGGAAGGTTTGCGAGGACTGGGAATTCTAGAGAGAAGTTAGAAGGGTTGCTCTGTGCTCTGAAAAAAGTGGTGCTGTTCTGACCAGAGTCGTTTGTTGTTAACAAATTTTAAATAATCTCTGTTCCAAACCTTTAACCTAAACGAATCTTTTCTAATGAAAATTTTATATTATATTTTTGGTGTCTTATTTTAGGTGGGGCTGCTCCTCGAACTTGTTCGGACGTACTTACCGACCTCATTTTAGTATTGAATAAGAAGTACTGTGATAACCTTGCTCGTTGGTTGCACACGTTATTGCCTCAGGAGGGTTTTCCTTCTCCTCGAGTAACCATGGACCAGAAAGAAGCGTTTATCAAGTCAGTGTTAAGGTATAAAAACAAAAAAAAAACAAATTTCTTTTAAGATTAAAAAAAAATTTATGTTGCATTTTTAGAGAAAAAGCGAATAAACGAAAACTGTGCGAAATTGTAACAGAATTTATGCTCTTATGTAGGGGAATTTTAAAAGTTGGAAATTAAAAAAACGAACAGCTTTATTTTGTAAAGGTAAGGTATTATAATTATAAACTGTCTTGCGCCCCATATTTTTCCATTAATTCTTGTTTCCGTCTCTTAAGTAACGCTTGTTCCACTTCTTGTTGAGTCGGAACTGGAACATGTGCAGTAAAACGTTGTTTTCCATCCCAATCAGAAGTATCCATTTCATCATCAGACTATTAAAAAAAAGTTTAATATTAAACTCCACTTTTATATTAGAATTACATCTTACTTTTGAAACAGCATAAATATCCTCTTCTTCTTCACTAGACTCCTCATCATTTCCTTGTTCCATTCGTTTATCTTTATTTTCTTTCCATTCCGAAACGGTTTTTTGAATAGCTAAAAATAATTATTAAATTTTGTGAAAATTTTAATCATATCAATCATACAAATTTTCTCAGCGTTCATCTCTAAAGGTATTAGAATCCCGTCGTCGTCGTCCATGTAGCCGTAATAGTCAGCGTCGATGTCCTTCATCATTTCGGCACGCGTCTTCCTTGGCGGTGGCGGGGGTTCCTGCTCAAACAGCTCTCGAACACCTAAAACAAGGAACAATTATTTAACTAGATTCACTACATTAAGACTAAAACTAAAATAAACTCAGAATAGATACAATTTAAATAGAATTATTCGATTACATAGAATTGTTCAATTTAAAAAGGAATGTACGATTTTTAAGTGACTCTTTAAAAACTTTTTAAACCTTTATAGCGCTCAAAGTAAATCAAAAATTTCTTTTTATTTCGTATTAATTCGATTATAACTCAGCTTAAATCTTTTTTAATGAGATGTATAAAGATTAATTCTGTTTAAGTTAGTGAAAAAAAATAATGGTATCCCTCCAAAGAATTTAAAAAATATAAAGATGTATAACTTTACAAAAATGCTGTACATTTACATAACAAAATGGATTTGTAGTTGTTGTAACTTATTGTCCTTGTCAATATATTTTACATTCATCTCATAAAATTGTTTTGTTCACCTGGTAATTCCTTAGCCGCTCCAAAATATTTGTACCCACGATTTCCAGGTACTTCTTTTCCTTCGTGATCCAACATTCTCGGGCCTACCCTTTGATAATCAGGACCCCCCAATTCTTTAATTTGCGCCTCCCAGTGTCGTTTTTCCCGCAACAACTTATTAATCTCATCGTTTAAATCGCGAATACGAAATTCGCCTAACCCGGCATTTTGAATTTGAGCCACCTTTTTCGCTATTTCCCTGATTATTTGCATACGCCATTTCTCACAAGCGTATAAACTTTTACATTCAGAAGCTAGATATGGTCTTCGTTTCTTGTGCTTTTCATTTTCACCCAGTTGAGCTGCTCGCCAACGAGCCAAAGTTGTCCTAAAATGGGGTATAGATTAAAAAAAGCTTATTTTTGAGGTTAGAATACTTACATTGCCTTTTCAGCGTTCCTAGCCTAAATTAAAAAAAAAGAATTATCGTCGATATTAATGTTTTTGTGGGTTAATAATATTTATGAGATACTTACCATTGTGAATTAGTTAGCTAATAATTTTCGAATTTGTACTAAACATAACCTGAAACATCGAAAATTTGATGTTTCTTGAAAACATTGAAAGATGGCGCTGTTACATATCTTGGTATTAATGAAATAATAATAGTTAGAAATAAGATTATAATTAACAACATTAATATTGTAAGGGATTATAAATTAATTATGAAAATGTAAAATAAAAAATAAAACAAGTTAATTAATTATAAATAATTTTAAATTTGGCGCCGTTGTGTTGTTATCACCTTTGAATAACAATGGCCGCCGAAAGGTGAGTCTTCCACAATAAATTACTTAATTATTAATTGTGTTTATCAATCAAAATAGGAAATAAAATGTTCCGATTAATTTAATTTATACAGTGCATAAAAAAATGTCCTCAATTTGTCGAAATCAATTTCAATCTTGACGTTAATCGAGTTAAAATGGAAAGACCTCCACCAAGTGGTCCAAGTAATATTTAAAAAGTGTTAAATGTCCTCAGGTTCAATGTAATGTCTCCTACGGATAGTTGATAGCGGATAAGATACTGAAATGGAAAGCGTTATTGATGGATCCGGACGTGAAGCCGTTTCTTTGGCAGTAAATGGTATGTCTTTGGATACATCTTGGAGTTCGCAAGATGCCAACAATCAAAATGTCTTGTATATCGTAAGTTTTACTGTTTATTAATCATACAATTAATGTAAACGTTTTTTTTTACTAATTAGGTTAGTTATGTTAAAGATAACGAATTTAAAGTGGACTCAGAAAGTGAAGTTCAACAAAATTTCACAGAATTTGATCAGCATGTTAGCCCATTGGATCCAAATATGTGTTCTGTGGCGCAATACAGCCCAGTTTATAGCTCGGAAAATTCCATATCTTATAATAACCCAATAGTTTTGGTTACCAACAATGAATCTCAAGAAATTCTTTCTATACCCAATAATGGTCAGATTGTTGAAACTGAATTACTCATAAATGAATCTGTTGATGATCCTGATGCGCAGACTGTAGTGGAAGATGTTGGAAATGAACAAGAAGTTGAGTTATTAATAACAGATCAGAATACAGGGATCCAATACACAGTTACTAAAGAGTATTTAGTAGAAAGATGTTTAGCTGATGATCAACATTTACTAGAAAATTTAGCGCCTGATACTTTATTAGATTCCGAGCTTTTAGCTTTAGATGATAACGTTTTAAAATCACAATTTTCTGAAATTGTAGTTGAACCGACTCAATTATTGAACGGTTTAGTTAAGGTTAATAAAAATGGAAACAAAATAGATGATTCACATGAATTAGATAAAATGAAAAATGACGATGAATGTAGAAGATTCTTAAGAAGAACCGATTGTTGTCCCGATCCAGAACAAGAAATGTTATGTTGCGTGCGTCCAATTTCAGATAAACCAGTTCCAACGCGAGCTTGGGCCACCCTCCCAGAACCATATTTAATCATCCAAAACATTTCTGAAACCGAAGTCGGCGTTTTTGCTAAAAAAACCATTCCTAAATTAACCCAATTTGGTCCTTTAGAGGGGACATACATCGAATCAAACAACATTAGCGATTGCGGAATAGAATTTTTCGTTCAAAATCAACTAAATCAAGTTCTAAAAATTGACGTTTCTGATGAAAACAATTCGAATTGGATGCGGTTTGTTCGACCGGCTGTAACATTTAAAGAACAAAACTTGGTTCTCGTCGAGAACGAATCTTTGTTATATTTCGTTAATTACGATCCAATTTTACCTAAACACGAGTTGAGAGTTGGTTATAGTAAATCGTATGCGCGAAAATACAATTTGAAGGTTTTACCACAAACGGTCGATGAGACGAATTTATGGCCCTGTTATGAGTGTACAGAAAAGTTTACTTCTTCGGAACTTTTACAGAATCATTTAGATGTGCATGATGATAAAGTTGATATTAAAATTAAAAAGAAACGGAAAAAAATTGTTCAGAAGAAAGAAAAAGATGTTTTGGGTTGTAGTGATGGTGTCAAGGTTGATGATAAAGAAAAACATAATATAGTAAGGTAAATATTTTAGTTAGATATTGACATAAATTACAAAAATCTTTTTTTTTTTAATTAACCCATTAATGTGTAATGTCCCTTAAAACTGGACGTCAAAATTATATTTAAAGCTAATGTATTACTAGCGACAGTTAATTTGCATGTGGAAATAGCAAAAAACCACTGGCGCCAATAAATTGGTACCAATAATCATAGCGCCAATAAAGTTGACGCTAAAATGAACAAATCCGGTAATAAACCGTCCAAAAAAAGGACATGAGAACAAACAGTACTATTTCTAGAAACGTCTAAACAATATCCTTGTTTGTGGAATCTGAAAATTCCACAATTTCAGGACCGACTGGCATAAAATGAAGTTGTCAGAAGGATAGTTGAAATTATGAAGAAAATAGTTCCTAATTCTGGCAAACATATATTACAAGGATGTAAAAGAATCCCCAGAGGCCAAAAATATTAAGTTGCTTAAACTTGCTTACAGTTTTTAGTTGTTTTTGTATTTTAGAGGATACTTCCCTCAACAAAAACATGAAACTCTCTTCAATCATTCTTAAATGATTAAAAAATGCTTCCTGATCTTCATGGTATAATTCTCTAATTAAAGGACTAAACGCATCTAGCTTATTTCTACATGCAATCCAAACTCTTTAAACCCTCGCTTTTTTTTTGTTAATAACGTGTGCAGTTCCAAGGAGCACATTTGGACTACCACATTGATGCCAGCGCGAAGCAAGGTGTATATATTAAAGGTTGTCTAAGTTCCTATGGTGCAATACTTTAGTTTGTGGGCACAATCTCAGAGTCATGTTTAGCGAGAGTTGAAGTGTCTTCTCTAGTGTGACATAAATCAATTACTACTTTAGTTTCCCTCAAAAATTAAGTTGAATTGTTTTCCGTTTTGCTACCGCTGTTAATTATATACCACACTAAATACATAAGTATATTAAATTAATTCAATTCCATTATTTTAAAAATTGGAATTATTTCCCGAATTATTATTTGTAGCCAATGACGTAAATGCGCAGTATGGTTGCGTATAAACCTAGACAACCTCTTATATACAAACCTTGAGCTCGAAGTACATCACCAAAACCCATCCGCCAAAAGGCTAAAAAAATCTCAAAATTTAGGCTACCATCAACCCTTTGAAATGCTTCCATTGAGTTCAATTTGCTACCAATTAATACCTTTGGTACACTCATAACGTATACCAAATTTGGTTTTTCTAGCTTAATGTATTACGAAGATATTCAATGTTTTAACAATTTAAGACCCAACTTTGAAGGCTTATAACTCCTCAGGGGTACAACTTAGTGTAGAGATAAGTTGCGTTAAATTATCGTAATTTATTGTCCTCTACATGTCCCTGCTCTGTGTCGGTTCTTATGTGAATCACTCTGTATAGACTACATATTTTATGAACTGCATATACTACAAAACGGTTGATATCTCAAGTAGTGTTATACAGGTGTCCCGTATCTTCCAGCTCAGAGCATTATACGGTGAAATGATACATTATTCTGAAGCGATTTTTCTGATAAAAATGTTTATAATAACCGCACGTGAACTGTTTAAAGTCATAACACGGTGCTTTCTATACCGCCCCTAAAAAGCACTCCATGCGATACGAACTGTTAAGAATTATATACGTATTTCACAGTTTGTGTTTAGATGAGCGCTTATTGTTAGACTACATCGACAAGGATAATGATCATATAAACATATAGATTACGCTACCTGATGACCAGGGAGCCAAAACGGATGTGGATAGTGATAAATCGGATGATGAACATGTAGGTGTTATCGAAAGGCATCCTAAAGCAAAAATATGATGTTGGGTTTCATGGATCTGATGACGATTTTGATGAAGGCTCCCTCTTCAACATCAAAATCATCAAAAGCGGCAAAAGAAGAGCAAATGGCGTGACGATACCACTCCATTGTATTTTTGCAATGTCTCAGTCAGGAAACATTCCAAAGAAGCCGACCAAGCAGAAGATCCATTGGATTATTTTAAATTATTTTTTGATTTTCTATATATAAAAAGTGGTACTAAAAGAAATGAAAATAAGTTTGAACTTAGAGGAAATGTCATTTTAGACCTAATAAATAAAGCTGGAATTGGAGAAAATGGGATCTATTTTGATAATTATTTTACCAGCGTTGGTTTACTTTGTTATCTGCAGGAGAAGAAAATATGTGCAATAGGTACAATACGCCAAAATCGACCAGAAAAATGTTTTTTCACCAATACGATGTTTTGGAATAAATCATGCAGAAATTAAGTATTACTTGTTCAATGAAAAGATAACAGGGTGGGTTAAGATAGAGTGGTAAGCAGAGTGGTTACCATGGTTACCAACTTTCAAGGAAAATCTGTATCCTGTAGGACACGGTGGTGCAAAGAAAGTAGGTTTTATAGACTCATAGAGCAGCCAGAAATGGTAACAAGTTATACATAAAGGAATGGGTGGGGTGGATAAATTAGATGAACATGCTGCAGTATATAGAGCGCGAATGAGGCTTAGAAAGTGGTACTGGCCAATCTTTTCATTTTTGTTGGATAACCTAATAATATAAACTGTTCTTCATTTCGCCAATACATAGCGCTCAGAATCAGCGCTCTAAATACTGTTTTGAACGTTATCATACAAAATAATACTAAAAGTTATATTTATTATTCCTTAACATTTTTTTGTAATTAATTACATGTTTTTAAATTGTTGTATTTCTGTTATAATAAATTTTCATTAACGCAAATATGATTAAGTGTACCCTTTTAAGAAATGTGTTGCAAAAAATATTTTTTTTCCAACAATTCTGTTTTGATATACATATATAAAAAGTTGTTTTTGATCAAAAAAATAACATCATGTGTTAATGGGTAATATTAATTAATTAATTTTGGTATTATTTTTAGATCTTTCAAGTGTCGCCAATGTAAATTAATTTTCGAAACAGAAGATGCATTAAAAACCCATTCCTCCCAACATTTACAAAACAATCATATTTGCGAGGTTTGCGGAATGTCGTTCGGTTCAGTATCCCAACTTGATTACCACTTAAACATGAAACACGCAACATCAAAGAAAAGCGGTAAAAAATCGTTTGATTGCGTGCTTTGTAGCAAAAGTTTTGCCACAATCGAACGGCGTCAAAAACACATGTTGGTTCATGGATCCGAAGAATCGAAACCTTTGCAATGCGATAAATGCAGTCGGCGTTTTATTAATAACAGCGCGTTAGCGTATCATTTAAAAACTCACATTGTTGGTAGAAAACAGTTTGAGTGTCCAATTTGTAAGGAGACGTTTGTTTATGTGTTACAATTAAAGTTGCATGTTAAACAGCATTGTATTGATGGTCAATACACTTGTCCGCATTGTCAAAAATTATTTACTAAATACAGTATTATCAGGAAACATATTAGAGCTTTGCATTGTGAACGAAAGCATGCGTGTCAACAGTGTTCGAAACATTTTCCAACGCTTGATAAATTACGCATGCATCTATTGAAACATTCAGATCATCGAGAATTTGGTTGTGCTGAATGTGGGAAGCATTTTAAACGTAAAGATAAATTAAAAGAACACTGTCAACGGATACACTCGGAGGAGCGGGAAAATGCAGCCCCAAAATTTGTTCCAAAAGTTGAACCAACCGATTATCACCGATTTATTTACAAATGTCACACTTGTATGGTTGGATTTAAGCGACGTGGAATGTTAGTTAATCATTTGGCAAAACGACATCCGGATATTAGTCCAAATTCTGTACCTGAATTAAATCTCCCAATTTTAAGAGCCACAAGAGATTATTTTTGTCAATACTGCGATAAAGTTTATAAAAGTTCGAGTAAAAGGAAAGCTCATATCTTGAAAAATCATCCTGGTGCTGCTTTACCTTTAAGCAATAAAACTCATTCATCTACAGCAGATTTACCAAATCCTACTTTTTCACAAACAGTGGGTAGTGTAACAACTCACCCTCATTCTTGCGAGTTTTGTTATAAACAATATGCTAGTAAGGCAAAGTTGTTGCAACATTTACGAAAGAAACATCTAGATTTAATACAAAATGTAGCACAAAATGAATCGAAAGAGATTCGAAACGATGAAGGGGAAGTCGAGAAAGTTCTTGACGATGAGATTTTAACACATCTTGGTGCTGATTATCAATTAGTGTCAATTGAGGAGTTTCCACAAGGGGAATCGGATTCGAGGTTGTATCGACTATTGACTACTACAAACAGTAAGTTAAATTTAGACCAAAATAAATCTCAATTAATTTATTTGTGGTTTATTTTAGATATGGTACCACCACGTTGAAATATAATTATAAGAAAATATTGTGGTAATTTGTGAAAACCCTTTGTTTTAATTAAAAAAAGGGTTTAAACCCGAACATACGGGTTAAATAACAATAATAATTTCTGACAAATCAAGTTTTTGGTTTTATGTACCGTGGGATGAACCCGGACGGTTTTCTTCTTACGATTTGCTGTTTCAAGTCGTTTCGATCGACAATTTTCTTTGATTACATTTGGATTTGATTGTTAATGTGTATAAAAAAAATTGTTCACATTTAAAACAAAAGTGTTTGTTTTCTACTAACTTATTATAGTTTTTAAGGAAGGAAAAAAGAAAATTATGTACTTTATTATTGGGAATAATTGGATTTAACTTGTTTATAGAAAAGTTAAGTGCCTCTATCAATTGGGTTTTTATTTAAATTAAATTAAAAAATATAATCTCGAATAACTAAAAAGATGAATTAAAAAAATGTGTAATAATTAATAATGTTTAGGAATTTTTATGTAAAGCTTCCTTAGAAGAAAAAGATATGTAGTGATTTGATTTTAAGTAGGGTAAAAAATTGTAGGTTATGTGTAAAGTTAAGAGTGTCAAAATTCAAAACTTAATTTATTAATTTAAATAAAAAATGCGTTTTACAATAAAGATTTTAAGCTTATAAATATTGATTTCTTTTAAAAATCACAAAAGAAAGCGAGCAACCAAAATTTTGAAGAAGAGGTATTTTTTATATGATTAAATAAAGAAAATTATTACATAGAAGAAAATGTTTAATTTTCACATTAAATTATTACAAAACTAATATCACAAATCGTTTTGGTCAAAGTGATACAAATCGAGCTGTTGCGATCAAAAAGCGTCGACTATTGAAGTACGTCCTTCTGTTGTGGTATTTTGTTCTAAGCCCTTGAGCACTGCATTAGCTTCTTCTAAAAGAACGGTGGTAAACATTTTGTTGCCTTTATAACAATACCGACTTCCGTCCAATTTAAATCTTAGTCCCAGTACAATATTTAAAGCGGAAGTATCGTAACTGTGACAACCCGAGTATCTATATTGAGGTTTTTTATCAAATCGACATCCGCCAGATTGCGCTCCAATCGGAATTATGCAATCTTGAGTGATCGCGCATTGTACCCATGGTAACATAACCTGCTTATGATTACTTTCGGTGTTGAAAATGAGGAAAATTTCGCCAGACATCATTGGAACAAAAAGAAAACTCTCCGCGTCTGTGTGGAAGTATTCAAACATTTTTTTATGAGTGACACTTGACACGGGGATCTTTGAGACCATTGGCCAAGCTTGAACTCCATCACCTTTTATTGTTGTTTCAAAGAGTTTTGTAAGTTTTTCAGCAGAAATGTTTTTACGGAAACGTCTGTTACATTCCAAAAAAAATACAGCCCCCGTTCTTTGTAAAGCATCCTGAATAATTAAGGGCCGATACGCGTGAAGACTATCTTCTTGAACATGAGAGGGATAATTATTTAAACTAAAAGTTATTACTTGACATCGAGTGTTATTACAATAATTTAACATCTAAAAATTTAAAAAAATCATTTTTGAGGAAGAAATTATAATAATTTGCTTACAGTTCTTAAACCATAATTTCCTAATCCTAAATTATATACAAGTATGGTGTTGTTCGGTAATATTCTTGTAATGTTATTGATCATTCCAACAGCTTGACTTTCTTGCCCCTCCATAACATAGGTAACGAATACAGGTAAAGAGCTGTTTGGCCATACATTCTGGGGATATAATCGAGCATTTTCTGATAATCCTATAGGGGTGAGATATTTCGAATCAGACACAAATGTTTTCGAGTCTCGATCTCTCAAAGTATCCTTAAAAGAAAACGTTTTTTCAATGAGAATCAAAGTGTTAAAATTTAAAGCTATATCCACCTTTGTAAAGTTTTTAATTTGTTGATGAGTAGTATTGATGATATCCTGTAAAGAGGCCGGTTTTTGTTGTCCAAGGATAATCAACACTAATACGGTGACTACACTACATAAAAATAGAAGAAAACTTTTCGTTCGCATCTTCTACAGCTCTTTTTTTCACATTTTCACTTCATGTAATCATATCATTCCTTTTTCTTATTTATTTAAGTGCGGCGGAATTTTATCCGAAATATTTCGGATAAATTTGGATCACAAACAGATATGACAAGTTCACATAGCAACGAATATAGTCACAGGTCAAGTTCAGTGATTTTACCGATAATAATTTTTAAAAATATTATTTTTATATTGTCTTTTTATAATATTACGTTAATTAGTATAATTTAAAGTTTAATTTCAACAAACTGGTTCTAAACGATTTTTAGTGTAAATAATACACGTATAAGCTATGTTAGAACTGACTAATTTTAACACAATTTTCCTAACTTATCTAATCTTTAAATAAACATTTTTTTCAACTAAAAACAAATAATTTTTTATACATTATGTGTGAATATCATAAACGAGTTTTAGTTTTAAAATAAAACAATAAAAGGATTTTTTTTTAAATTACACCAAATCTTTTAATTCAAATACTCAATAGATGGCACTCCTTTGAAAGTTAATAATTAAAAAAAATTTATTAATTAATTTATTTCTATGATAATTTTAAAACGTGTTCTTAAAAATAATCGAATTCTAATTATTTTAATTAAATCCACTTATTTTAACCTTACTTTCTCATCACACCTAACCTTACTTTAAGGCAAGGCAAAAGTTAACCTAAAAAATTGTGATTTTGAAATGTAACTTATTATAGTTAATTGGAAGCATGTTTTATAAAAAAAATCTAATTTTAATTACTCTACAATACTTAAGAACATCGAACATACGTTATCTATCAACAAGAATCCAACCAAAACAAGAAATTGAAATTAAAAGATTTAACGACTTACTAAAAAAGTATCAAAACTCTTTACTTTATAGTGATTACATAGAAAATCAACAAATTAAATTAGGTTATCATCGTAAATTGGCTTTTATAAGCAAATACAAAACCATTCAACAAAACGATTTTATTAAATCACAACAAATTCAGCCTGTACCTTTAAGTTTAAAATTTATTAATCCTAACAATGAAGAAGCTAATCCAAATGATTTGGATCATCAAAATAATGAATCTGAAAAGGAGCTTTTTCAACTTCCTTATAACAGTTCAGATTTAAATATACAGTTCTCAGATGTAAAATTAAAAGAATCAACAAATGAAAATGATCCTGCTTTGATGGCACAAAAAGAAATTGAAATAAGATATAAAAATTGGATGGTTGATTATGAAAATTACGCAAAAGATGATGCAACTAAAATTGTTACAGAAGAAATTGTAAAAAATGTTGAAATTAATTATGGAACTCCAGATCCTAAATCAAAAATAAGTAAAACTCCTTGTGGTGGATGTGGGGCTTATTTACACTGTAAAGACATAAAAATACCTGGTTATATCCCATCAGAAATTTTTAAAAATTCTAATCGTTTTGATGGGGTTAGTTTAAAAAGCATGATTTGTCAACGATGTTATTTTTTGCGCGAACATAACCTTGCTTTACAAGTTAGAGTTTCACCGAATGATTATCCAAAAATCTTAAGCACCATTCAACAGTATGATAGGGCTTTAATAATTTTAATTGTCGATTTATTAGATTTTCCATGTTCGATTTGGCCAGGAGCAGCAGATTTAATCGGCCGTGGACGCCCCATTTTTGTCGTCGGAAACAAAATCGATTTATTACCTCAAGATGGAAAAAATTTTTTGGAACGAATCGAAACGAATCTTAGAAACAATCTAAAACTACACGGATTTGCCGCCAAAGATATTGCACATATTGCTTTAATCTCGGCGGTGACCGGTTTTGGAGTTGAAAACTTAATTAGTAAATTACAAAGATTTTGGGGATATCGCGGAGACGTTTTTTTAATTGGATGTACTAATGTGGGTAAATCAAGTTTATTCAACGCAATGTTACGCTCGGATTATTGTAAAGTAAACGCGGTTGATTTGGTGCAAAGGGCTACGATCAGTCAGTGGCCTGGAACGACTTTGAATTTATTAAAATTTCCTATAAATCGACCGTCTGGTTATAAAAATTATGTACGAAACCAACGATTAAGACAGGAAAATAAAAATTTGTCGGAAGAGAAGTGGTTACGTATGGAGCAGCTTAAAAAAACTAAAAATCCTAAATATGCCAATTTAATCGGTCATGTTGGACAAACGTTTCTTTATAAACAACCAATGGAAGGTGCTGATATTTTTTCAGTTACTGTAAAAGAAGGTGTTGGTGGAGAAAATATTGGAATTGATGAAAACGATAGAGCTTTTGCTGGTAGTAAATGGTGTTATGATACTCCAGGAGTTATTCAATCAGAACAGGTAACATTTTTTTAATTTTTTTGTTTCTACTGTCATTTTGGTGCAGCTTTTATTCTGTGTAACTTCAAGCGTTACCTTTATAGGCCCCATATACCTGCAAATAATTGCGCAACAATCGCTGTTTTGCGAAAATTGTAGTAAAATTGTAGTGTATGGTGTTGGTTGATGCGCAACCAATTGCATTGTGTGTGGTGTTTGTGCAATAACGACAGTATTCCTTCCCTCAATATTCCTTCTCTCAATATTGTGTCTTGTTTTTGTCCAGGGAATTTCATATAACTCGCAATATACAGGCTGGTCCATTTAACGTGAGACAAGCGATTACCTCGAAAACGGGAAACCATATGACGATAACATTTTTTGACCTTGACCTTATCTTCAAGGTTATATGAAGGTCACGACCAATTTTTTAAATTGCACCCTATATATTTTATTGTAAAATCTGAATCTGTGGATAAAAGTAAAGTAATTAAAAAAAGAAATAAAAAATTTTACTGTGTGGTTTTGCCCAAGGACAGTAGAATCTAACAGGACTGCTACATCCATTGTTGTGACAACCTGCCCGCAAACTACGTCACATCATTTTCCACGCCCAGCTGTTGTTATGGTCTATGCGTTTGCTGTGTTTTTAGAGGTTATATCCTAGACTTATTCATATTATTTTTGAAGTTTTATGTTTTTAGACGTATTAATGTCTATCATATAACCTCTAAAAACACAGACAGTTACCAGGCGTGGCAAATAGTGTGACGTAGAGTGCGGGCAACCAATCCGTAGTGGACTACAAAAATACAATGGATGTAGCAGTCCTGTTAGATTCTACTGTCCTTGGTTTTGCCAGTACAACGGCTAAACATCTTTTGAAAAAAATTGAAACTTCTTCAGAAACAATGAACTAACGTTTATAATCTAGCAAGAACAAATAAGATTTATGAATTTTAAAACATTTTCCTACCCGCTCCGATAAATTTAGTTCTTAATTCTTAGAATACTATTTAAGAATGCTCAACAAAAAAATCCAGAAGAGTGGGTGACCTGGCTCGTCGGAAATACCTTTGGAAAGAGGTCTAAAAGGTTCCGACATTTCTACGCATTTGTCAATTTGATAATAAAATAACGCATAAAAAACAAGAGTTCGTGGAACTGCTTATGTCGGCTAAAAAATATTTTAAATATTAAAAATATTTTCAGAATATCGCTTTCCGAGACTTAATTGGTTGAATTGTTTTAAAATGTAACAGGTAAACTAAATTTGCATAAAAACTGCTTGGCAACAAATTCTGAAACTAAGTCATTAAATCATGGATGCTCTAAGTGTGGCAGAAGAAGTCGAAATGATTTTTATTTATGGAAAAACTGGCAGAAAAGTTGCTGATGGTTTTCTTGATCGAAATACGCCTTCGAGAAGTACCTTTTAGAGAGTTGTTAATGATTTCACTAACACTGGAAATATGGAATCAAGAAAAAGAACTCGACGAGCAAGTGTAACTATGGAAGAAAAGGAAATTGCGGTATTAGCTAGTGTTGAGGTAAATCCTCAAGTTTGCACTCGACGATTTGCAATTGAATCGCCGAAATATCGAATAATTTTATAGACAAATAGAACAAGTCAATAGACATAGATAGGTTGCGTGAAGTAGAACATCAACGACCTTGATCGGTTAATGTTTGGTGTGGCATAATTGGTGATAAATTGATCGGTCCATACTTTATTGATGGTATGCTGAAAGGGGAGAAGTACCGACATTTTTTAGATGACGTCTTACCAACGTTACTTGTAGATTTGAGCAGGGAAGAAAGACAAAATATGTGGCTGCAAAATGATGGGTGTCCAGCACATTTTTCACATATTGCACGTGAAGCTTTAGATCGGGAATATACTGGGCGATGGATTGAAAGGGGAGGTCCAATTTCCTGGCCCGCCAGATCACGTAATTTAACACCTTGATTTTTTTTTTGTGGAGCGTCCTTAAGGATAATGTTTATCGCGAAATACCGACTACGCCAGAAAACGTGAAAGAGCGGATAAGAAATGCATGCAGAAATAGTAGCAAGAAAACCTTTTAAGATGTAAAGAAAGTTTTAGTAGAAGTTAATAAATGTATTGAAGTGGATGGGGAACATTTATTATAAATTTTATACGTGTTGCTGATTAATAATATAGTTTAATCATTTTTTATAAACAAACAATATTCAAAACTATTTGAATAAAAAAATTATTCAGATTTTGTCTACAAAAGATGTTTCGCCGTCGTATTGGCAAAACCACACGGTAATTTTTTTTATAATTATTTTACTTTTATCTATAGATTCAGATTTAGCAATCAAAAACATAGGGTGCCATTTAAAAAATTGGTCGTGACCTTTATATAACCTTGAAAATAAGGTCAAGGTCAAAAATATTATCGTCATATTGCCCCCCTTCGCACAGAACAACTTTTATGTAAAATGAACCGTTTTCGAGATAATCGTAATAATATTTCTGACAAAGGGTTGTTGTCACTATTTGACTCTTCGTCAGTGTCGCTATCACCAATTGTGAAAGTACGTCCTTGATTTGTAATTTTCGCCATAGCTTCCACTTCAAGTTTTCGACCATCCAGTTATTGATGTCGTTGCAGAAGTCTTCATTGCCGCTATCTTCAGCACTTTCAGCACCATCATCTGGAGGAGTGATAAAAACATTAGGGGCCTAAAAATCCTCATCTTCTACTCGCCTACTTGAACGAGTTCTGTAGTTATGAGGGGTCTGAAATTATTAAAAATCTTTATGGACCCGTTTAGTTGTGGGACAATATCGTCAAACAATCAGTCTTACTAATCAACATGTTTACTTGAAATGTATTGCTGCCTTCAAAATTGTTGTGACTAACAACAAAGCGTGGAGGGGTGAAAAACGGGGTTGTTTCATTATTGGCATTTTATTTAAGTTTATCATACATCATTAATCTAACAAACAAAACAAAAAACATATTTTATTTATCAATTAAAGTCCCTCGAACCCTCTTCATATCTTGAAGTTGTCTTCCTTCTTGTTTCCTCTTACTCATTCCTTTCCTCTCAAGTTGTTTTTCAATAATTCTTGCATTATTAGCATAGCTATCTGCAACTTCGCGCGCTTCAATCTCATCTTCTTCCTCATCAATTGTTGAAACTGTCACTGAACTAAATTTACCCATATTTTTGGTATGTTTTGTAACCATAACCTTCTTTGGTTTATTCTCTGTAGTCACTTGATTGTAAATGTCTGTAATAGGTCCTTCATTGGTTGACTTAATCAAAGCTCCTTTGACAATGAAGCTAACATGACTGTTCTGTTGGTGTTTATAATATAATAAAAGAGCGCATTTTTTGCATTTGTATCGGTGTTGAGCTTCAATTCCTTCTGGTCGTTTTATGTAAACCACTTCATCAGTGTCAACAATTATTTTATGGGCGTGAGTGGAACCATCGAGTACACGAGCTCCATCTCGTTTTCTTAATGGTAACTTTTCAATGGAACAGTCTAAAATTAGCGTCATTTGTCCACATAAGCAATAGTAGATGTTTAAAGGTTTTTCATCACATTCTTCTTCATCTCGGGAATCAAGACATGCAATACTTCTTGAAACTACTTTTGGCATTGTATTTTTTTTTTGTAGGTGTTACACTTATTAACAACAGAAGAATTAATTCAAACACTTCCAAAAACACTAATTAGACCAAAAACTTTTTTAATCCAACCTGAAACTACAATCTTTATTGGTGGATTAAGCCGTTTGGATTTCATAAAAGGTGAAAAAGCCACAAAATTCACTGTGTTTTGTTCCTCTCAACTTCCAGTAACCATTTGTCATACAAAGGACGCAGACGAAATCTACCAAGATTTTTTAAACACAGATTTCTTTGGAGTTCCCATAAACGATTTAGATAGATTACAAAAATGGCCTGGTTTAACAAAATCGAAAACGTTCACCTTCCAAGGCGTTGATAGAGAGATTTCTTGTGCTGATATAGTTTTATCAAGCAGTGGATGGATTGCAATCACCCCCGAGGTAGAAAAAGAAGTTGTAGTTCAAGGTTGGGTTCCCCCTGATTGTGGAATACATCTACGAGATCCACTTTTATCAAAATCCGTTAAGCTACGAGGAAAGAAAATTAGAGATAGTGTTAGTTATTTTAATAATAAATTTTATATACCCAATAAAAATAAATAAAATTAAAATAAATTAATTTACCTTTCTTTTTTTTGAGGTTAGACTGTCAAAATATCATAAACAAAACTGTTCGGCATTAAATATCCCTAAATCAAAATCGAACCAACCTTAATAAAACAATATACATTTATAACTAGATGTCGCATTCTTTATTTTAATAATAAAGTATAATTTTAATTAATAATAGTTATTTTATTAACTTTATTTCCTTGAATAAATAAGATACAATACCAACATTTAAATATCAAATTTTCCTATATTGCATTGAAATATCATCTACCAACGTCAATGAACGTCAACGAAATTCATAAAATAGGTTAAGTTTCAAGGACGTCAACCTTTTTTTTATCGTATTCTTATCAAAAAGTCAAGTGTCATCGAAACCATGATATGCACTTTAACACGGTGCTTGTGACGAGATCAAACGTGTGAAATGGCTCTACGAAAGTTAACGGACGCGGAATGCGGGGGCCCTAACGCCCTCGTCCATCTAACCTCACATTTTACCAGGGATAGAGCATTCGCAGAAACTCATGGTCATGCCTTCCCGGCGAGTTCCGATCAACTGGTGGAACAGTTCTTGGCGGAAACGAGGGCTGCGCCCCAAACGTTTCGAATGGATGGTAAGAATTTTATGAAATTTTATTTCTGGTTTTTTTAATGTTAATTATTTATGTAGATTTGATGCGGGAAATGCATGAGATTGAGTCCCAAAGAGCTGCAATACCTCCAATTCCAGCTTCCGCGGTAAAAGAGCATTTAAATGATGATGCATGGGCCTTACAATATCTCGAAGATAGCAGACAATTTAATGTAAGTATTTCTAATTTGTTAGTTATTCTAAGGTAATAATTTTAACTTAATTTTTAGCAACATCCCGACCACGAAAGAATTTGGAATGAAGTGGCACAAGAAGAACCTCAAATCTTTGAAATGACCCCTAATTGGACGGAAGAATATTTTCAAGAACATTTGGAAAACGTTGAAACACAACAAAACGCGTCTGAGTTAGCAGAGAAAATGGGAAACGACCCCCGGTTTGAATATTCCAAGGTACAATGATAATTTTTAGTGAAAGTGGAGTTTTTACATTGAACAATTTGTGCAGTTCTTGAAATTTATGAAGCAGGTGGGTAATGGTGAAATGAACTTGCAGGAACCACAACTACAGGACGAGGCAGCTGCTTGGAGTCAAGAATTTCTAGGACAGAGTGCTAAAGAGGATCCTGATGGTTTGGCACAATCTTGGGCGGAAGAACATACCAAAACTAATGGTAAGTAAAAGAAAACCATTTTTATTATAACTTAAAGGTACTTACCAATGTTAAGCAAATCAGATCAATCAATTCAGTTCCATTTTAAGTTCAATAATAACTAATTCATAAATAAATTCGAATTTTTGAGGTTATGTATACACCATGAATATAGTCACAAACGAAATCGCTGTATTGCCGACTTTTTAGTTTATATTATTTCGACTAGATGGAGCACTTTTTTTAAATAAAGCTATTTTTTTTAGAAGATGCGTTTAATAATAAATTTTGGAATAATTTACAAGAAGAATGGAAAAAATTGGCTGATACAGAAACGGAACATACTTGGGCGAACGAATTTAACGATGAATATTATGACCCATACAAAGAATACAAATTTTCGGATGAAAATCCATTAGCAGATATAGAAAATCCTTTGGAAAGAGGCAAAGAAATGCTTGAAAAAGGCGACTTGCCTAGTGCCGTTCTATGTTTTGAAGCAGCTGTTAAAAAGGAACCTGAAAACGGCGAAGCTTGGCTTTTATTAGGAACTACACAAGCTGAAAATGAGCAAGTAAGAACTCAACCATAATAAATTTATTTATAAAAATGCATTTAATTGTTTTGTTTAGGATCCTAAAGCAATAGCAGCGTTAAAGCAATGTTTAGCAGTGGATCCGACGAATTTACCTGCTTTAATGTCGTTAGCGGTGAGTTACACAAATGAAAGTTACTATAACCAGGCCTGCCAATCGTTGGTTACATGGCTGAAAGAGAACCCGAAGTATCGCGATTTAGTCGCGCCGGACTTTTCGATATCTGGGCAAGTTACAAGCTTGTTGAATCCGTAAGTTAGTGGCTTTGGTGGGGCGCTTCGCTTCCTTTTTCTTTCAACATAAACTTCATCTACACTTGTTTTCTTCTTCATCACTTTATGTTCAATAAAATAATTCAATTTACACAATACAGAACACTTAATAACTTTTATTGAACATACTTTATAATCATTTGTGACTCTTATTAAATATTTTCCAATTTAGCTTTCGGAAACTCACCGTTCTCACCAAAGGGCTTTTCTTGCAATTTTCTTTGTTAGTTTATAGAAGACTTTAACACACGCTAACACCTTTCTATCGATTAATAAAAAGAAAAAATGGAAAATAATATTTTTAACCTATCTTTTAATAGGAATCATCACAAGATTGTACAAGATCTTTATATAAAGGCGGCACAAAGAAACCCCACCAACGTTGATTATGAGGTTCAATGTGGTTTGGGAGTTTTATTTAATTTATCTGGTGAATATGAAAAAGCTGCAGATTGTTTTAAAGCTGCTTTAAACGTAAAACCGGATGTAAGTGATCACTTAACTTTAACAAGATAATTAATAACTAATTACTCATGTAGGATGCTAGATTATGGAATAGATTAGGTGCAACTTTAGCTAATGGAAGTATGCCAGAACAAGCTGTTGACGCATATCATAGGGCTTTAGCGTTAGTTCCCGGATTTATTAGGGCGAGATATAACGTTGGAATTACTTGCATTAATTTAAGTGCTTATAAGTAAGTAATTAATAAAAATCTAACCATATCTATATAATTTATTTGTTGTAAAGGGAAGCAGCTGAACATTTTTTGATAGCGCTAAATCAACAAGCCAGAGGGAAAGATGTAACTAATTCAGGTGAAAAAACCCAAATGTCCGAAACGATATGGTCGACGCTGAGAATGTGTGTTGCGTTGATGAACAGGCTCGATTTAAAACCGCTCGTGGACCAACGCAACTTGAAAGCGCTAAGTGATATCCTTGAGATACATGACTGAGGAACAAGAATATAACAGAAAAAAGATGAAAAGAAAAATACCATAAAATAAATTGAAGAAGATGTAGATAATTAGTTTTCTTTGTATGTATATAGGCACCAAAATATAAAATTGGGATTTGTTTACATTAATGATATTAGATTTTTCTTTAAATCAAAATAAAAAGGTTAATTTGAAAGCGACATCTGTTAATCAATAGTGGAAGAACGAAATATTAACAAATAAGTTTTTTATGCAAAAAAAACTACGTTTATACGCAATAATTTTATTTATAACTTCAATAATAACTGTTGTAAACGTATAACATAAAAAATATATTTATAAAAGTGCAATTATATAAATACTATACACTATTTCATTCTTTTTTGTTGGTAGTAACAGGTGTTCAAAAAATATTGTCCAAACTCTTTTTTTTTTTGCTGTAAACTTAAAAAGTAACATTTTCTTTCACTATTCACAGTCGGTAATAATTTTTGAACATTCGTTACAAAAGGAATGCAAGAACTGTTGAAATTAAAATGTCTAATATGATTAAGAAATAGTAAGAAGGCAAAAAAATTATGTCTAGAAAAAATCTTATTTTTGTATACAGCTGCTAAATATAAATACTTTTTAATTTGCATATAATACTATTAATAACGTGTATTATTTTTATACGTTAATATTACTATATTTTTTAATAAGAATGATTAAGAGAAATAGGAATAGTAGTAAAAAGTACAATTAATTGATAGCGTTTTATAATAATAGCCCTGTTTAGCACCCTATGTATTCCTTTGGCATAAAGCTACATTTTCCTTTAAAAAGTGATGGAGGAAGAAATGTGTACTATTCAATTTCATTTTTATTGTTCAAAACTATTTTATAGAATTCAGAGAAGAAATGCTGGACAATTTCGTTTTTTATCAACTCTTAGGCACTCGTTTTTTTATTTAAAAAATTTCAGTCCACTTTTTCCTCATTGTTTTCTTTCTGCACTATCAAAAAATAGTTGAAAAAGCAAACATTATTATTATTATTTTATTAAAGGCACCTATTATAAATCCACGAAAAAGATATATTGACTACGTTCCATTTTGGTTTTGATTATTTCAAGTAATTAACTTTTTGTGGCCGGTTGATTTACGTTGTTAGTTTTTTTTTTCGGTATAAACAATTAATATACCACCGCTTTTTCGATATTTTACAACATTTTTCTTAATATTAGTGTAGTAATAATAATAATAACAGAGACATAAAATAATATTTGTCCATGATTATTACAAAATGCACTCATTGTTTATGATTTGATTGAAAATGAGTAGATTTTACATTATTCGTGGAAAAAGCGTTGAATAATATGGTTTCTTGGGGTTATTTTTCATAAATATATTTTTTTTCAGTCTAAATTAAAAGATTTTTTTATAGGAACAAAATAAATTGTTGAGAGTATTAAAAAATTCTCTAAAGCTGCCATATTAATAATTATTCCCTCCTTGTAATTAGAAGAGAGTATAAATAATTATTTTATTAATTAATACAATTTACAGAAAAATAATAAATTAAGATGTAGGCATTAAAGTGATGCTTTTTCGATATCGTTATTTAAAACGATTAGTAAGAACATTACAATTTAGTGCCTATGTGAGGTGTTTTCTAGGTTCACTTTGTTACTTTAAATAATGTTCATAAACATTCCTAAAGTTCAAAATCAGGGATCAAACGAATCTCTCTAAATATACAATTTGATCATTATCAAAAGATCAATGTGATTTGTGTGCAGAAGTAGACCTGAAAACTAAGGAGATTAATTTTAATAAAGACAAGAGAGATACTACAAAAAATCCTAAACGAGATGTTAAAAATTTGTTCTGCAATTTGATTCACGAAAGAGGTAAGGATATTGCCAGTGCAGTATATGAAATTTTAAGTAGAGAAACTACAAAGAAATAAAAGCCTAAAAAGAAATTTTTGGCTGTTTAATTGCTGCTTTACAGAGGACATTAAAGGTTTCAAATTGCTTTCTTTCGCGCAATGAACATATTGAACACACTTTAAAGTAACAAAATGAACTTAAAAAACACCTATATATTGTTGCATCATATAAATACCAATACAATCAATTATTTATATCAAAGAAAAAAAAATTAACAGTTTTAAAAGTAAATAACAACGTCAACAACAAAATCAAAAAAAAAAATAATTAAATTAAATAAAAAAGAAGTAAACATTAAAAAATAAACAGGTTTAAATACTGTTTTTCTTTTGTGTGTGACTAATTAATAATTAGTAAACTAAAAAATTTACATAGATACTTACATTTTAATCACCCCATAAATTTATTTTCATTCCTATTCGAGTTACTCCTACAATTTACTATTTTCTTCGTTGAATTTTATTTTATTCAGTAATAATTTTATAGGAAGATTTAAAAATATTCGCCGTACCTCAAGAAAAAGCTTTCGGCCTCCTCTTCAAGCTGGCGTACTTTTGTCTTTCATCGACGGCACTTCTCACAACTTCAAACGGCATCACCGAATTTTGATTAATTTCTTCCGTTTCGTCCGAAGGAAAATCTTCAAAACTCATGTTACTAAAACCCGCTTGGTGATGACTTTTCGAGGACGACTTATTATTAATCTTTTTCACCTTAACCCCCTTTTTGGACGCTTTCAATTTTTGATGCGAATCATCCGAAGGGGGAGTACCCTCATCAATCAAACAGTACTTAGTTTTCTTTGAAAAATCTTTTTCTTTTTTACGCAAATCTTTTTTATATTTATAATAAATTTGATTATCGGATTTCTCTTCTTCGATTGAAACATTTCGTTGTTCTTGAAACATGACGCGAGGTTTAAATTCGAAATTATTTATTTCAAAGTCATTTTCGAAGCGGCTTATTTGAGGTAATTTAACGTTTTCGTAAATTATTTCTTGTTTTTGATTTTCGGGGAAATAAACAAATTGTTCTATTTTCCCGGGGGTTATTGGGGTCGATGGGAAACTGTTTGAGTGGAGATTATTTACGTTTTGATTTGAATTGACTGTGACTGTTCCGAATTTTGAGGTGCTTTGTACCACTGAGTTATTAAAATCGTTTAGGAATGGATTTAAGTTCTTTTTGGTGGTTGTTGTTGTTGTTTCTTCGAAACAATTTGATTTATTTGGGGTACTTTGAAACATTGGAGTTTCTAATCTTGGAGTTTCATCGTTGATTTCATTAAGCTTGATTTTAATTGATTTTTTATTACTGTTAAAAGGCGCCATTGCGAAAACATCATTCTTTTCGTCAAAAGAATTTGGGGGATTTATCCATAAATTAGTTGGTCTTACAATAACGTTTTTCTTTTCGATTTGGGACCATTTTATTTCGCAATCTGAGTCCAATTCGTCGTCTAAAAGTAGTGGTTTTTCTCCGTATTGGTGTCCAACGAATAACATGTCTTCTTCATCTTGGATTTTAATTTTTTCTTCCTCTTTTAATTTCACCCTCACAATTCGACTTGTTGCATCTTCTTCGTGCGTTGCCATGCTTTCGCATTCAGCGTGATACGCCGAGGAGCCGCAAGTTCTAATACTTTCGCTTATTGTTTCGCTAATCGCGTCGTTTTTTAATACTTTTACTTCCGCCTCTTCACCATCTTCGGTTGCCCTTAAATCGCTTGCCGATCCAATTGAATCATCCGAGTCAATAACATCAACTGAAGAGGACCGCTTTTTTTCCTCCAATTTCTTTTTATTTTTTTCTTTTAAACTTTTTAACTCGATGTTTTTATAAATATTTTTTATTTTGCGCTTCTTTTTTAATTTATCCGATTTATTTCCGCTTTCTTCATTCGAACTGTCACCGGATGTGATGCAATAACCACTCTGTGTTAATTTCTCGTATTTAGATCGATCCTCCAACGGTGCTTTAATAAACGGGGGTGACGTCGCAAGCTCCACGTCCGGGTTTTCTTCCGGATCTGTGCTATTTATTAAGGGGTCTTCACCTTCCGAGGAAAAATTTTCGAGTTCTTTTGGGTGTATTTGAACTGGTGAGGACTCAAATAATGTTAATTTGCTTGATTGAGACGCTGAAATTTAATTTTAACAGTTGGTATTTTTTAATTTAATCAACAAACACATCACAACCACCAAAAATTAAAATTGCTAGTAAATTGTTAGTATAAAAATAATAAAAAACAACAAATAAAGCTTCTAAAAATAAGGCTGTAATATACAGAAAGTGGGCTAAAAACTAAAAGCGGCCTAAGAGTGCTGGAACAAAAAATCTAATTAAAAAGAGGATTAATTAATTAAAACAAGAAAAGTGTTTTAAGAAAAAAAATTACCCACCACCTGTATATATGGAACAGCCATTTTTAGAAGATATAGTTGAGGAAACAGGAGAGAGAAAAATAAAGAATTTTTATAAACTGAAAGCAACGCTTTATTGCTTACAATAAATTTCACACAAGTAGAGTCACATTTTCTTTTTAAATAATGTTTCCATGTTTACATCATTATTTATAGAATAATTGATTTATCTCAAATTGAAACAAAAATAATTAGAGGAAAAGAAAAATAATATCTTTGAATTAATTAAATGAAAAGGAAAAAATATCACAATTAATCATTAATAAATTATTGAGAGTTAAAAAAAACGGTTAATGTTGTCTTTTTGGATTTGAAAGAAAAGAAATTCTAAAAATGCTGTTCCACAAGAATTAAAATAAACAAACAATCTAGAAATAAAATTTTAAAAGGATTATAAAAACAAATTAGAAGAAATATAGGAGAGCGGAAAACAAGAAGAAATTAATTGGAATTATGAAGTGATGAGCATCTTTTTTTGGGGGAAATAAACGTTTTATCACAGCCATTTAATTTTAATCAATATAAATAAATCAAATAACGTCTTATCTTTTCTTCAAACGTTACAAGAAAGTTAATTAATATACTTTTACAGTGCGTTCTATTTTGTTAATAAAATTTGCAGCTAAAACTAACACTAGGTCTAGTGTTAGTTCTAGTGACAGTGCTAGGTAGTGCCATATTGTATATTTTTATTGAACTAAAAGTAGTAAATAAGTAAATAATATCTAGAATAAGAATCATTCGGGTTTAGTCGTGCGACTACTAAACCAGAATATCTAGTTCTGTATCATTTCAAGTTCAAATTGGCACTAATCAAACTCAAAATGGCAATAAACAAAACCAATTCGGCGAGTGTCATAATCAAATTAGCATTAATCAATTACATATTGTCACTGTTAATAAACTGTATACAAAATACCTTATAGAGAGTGTTTTTTTAAGCCAAATAGAACTTACGAAAGGGTTAACTGTCATACTGCGCTCAGTTTTTGACATTTATGATCAGTATAGTCTGGAAAATCATCATGAATAATATAAGAATCTTTAATATAGGAAACAACCTTACGAAATAGCAAAAATCGACGAATCACTTATTACCAATGTGATATCTGTAATGATGTTTGTGGTCAATGGATAAACTGATAAAAGGTGACCAAATAGCTCCTCAAATTACAACAATGTAATAAAGGATGTTGAAGAATTTTTCGAAGCAAAGACTAGACATACATTAGATAACGTGTTTATAAATTACAAATAGTTATGAAATCAATTATAGATTGTGATGGAACAATAGATAAAGTGCTTATAAATAAGGTAACATTTGAAGAAAAATAATGTTAATTGTTAAACATTTTTATAATAAATTAATAAACAAACAAACATTAATAAAAGATTATTGGAAAATAAAGGAAAGTAAAAAGTGATAAGAAAACCTCAAAAAAACTGATTGAAAATGAAAAAATATCCTTTTTGATAAAGAAACATTCAGGAAACAAAAAAGCTCATCACTTCATATTAAAATAGAGCAAAAAAAAATTATTTCAATATCAATACAATTACATATTAAATTAAATATACTTAAATTTAACGTTAAATTGAATATTTTTTTAATAACAATATCGCTATAGGTATTAATATTTGGGGAAATTATGTTTTCAATCTCATTGAGTTTGAATAATTCAAAAAATGTTCTAAATAATAATTCTTATTTTAATTATTTTTTTTTAGTAACTAATGGTGCTTTCCAATTATCACACTCTCTTTTTCTTTTATTGTATCACTACTTACTAATGCAAAAAAGTCATTACTACGAATTAATTTCAATCTTAAACGAAATAAAAGAATATATTTTTATATTGATGTCATCATAATTTTAAATGATTTAAATTAAAATGGAAGACAATCAAAAAGGAAGAAAAATATTTCTTGAATAATCATTAAAACTTGGACCATGTGAAAATTTAATAAAAAATTAACAGAAAAAAATTACGTATGTTGTTGACTAGCATAAAAAAATGGTCCTGTTTTTTTTAATATTTACGGAATGATCAAATTGTTTAATTTTATCCTTCATTTAGCCATCCTGAATAAAAATCGATATTAAGTACCCATCTTTTTTTTTACTTTTTCGCTTGACAAAATATATCCTCGCTTTATCTACCCTATTCTATTTTTTCCCTGGTCTACTCTCTTACATTTCCAAAAAGGCTATATACATCTAAAAAGCAAATCTCTAAAGCCTCAAGAGAAATCCATAAATCTGTAAGCTTTTTCTAACTTTTCAAATTTTATTTTATTCTTGTTTTAGCTCAGGATAAAATATATATTGTCAATGGTTATAATTTTAATTTTTGAATAAGTAGCAATAATAATAATACCATTTAATTTTTTAATAATCTACAATGATTATCGGAGAATTTACTTATTTCTTTTGGTTACTTAATTGTTATGTTTTAAATTGTAATGTTGAAACGTTTGGATATTATTCATAGGTTTATTCGTAAGAATAAATAGACGAACTATTGTTTTGGACGAATAAGTCCCTCCCAAAACGTTTTAATTTTTATTTCTATTACGGATTATTATTACCTGAGGACTGTTGTAGACCCGTTGTTTTCGGACGCGATCTTATCGGAAGACTAAATGGCGCTCCGCTAAATGGATCTTCTGAAACGGACATCACTAAACTCTCACGAGATTTAACACCTTGTATACCTATATCAAAAATGATAAACACAAAAACACATTAAGAAAATATAACATACAATAACGTATATATATAATGTTAATATTCTAATTAAAACTTACTACTTTGACTTCCACGTCGAATCTTATCAAATTCTTGTCCGAAAAGATGATCTTCGGTCAGTTGACTGAATGGCGGTTCTTCAAATGGATTCCAATCGGCGACGTCGGCCGATAAGGATCGGCTATCTGCTACACCGATGTTATGAGAAACATCAGTGGTAGAAGCGGAAACTCCTAATGGGACCATGGGCATTTTCGTTAGGTTATCTCCCGTTGGTGAAGTGACGTCATCGTCTTGTTTTGGTTTTTTTGATGATTCAAAAGGTGCCAAGAATTGTGTTGTTTCCGATGCGTAAACTCTATTAATAATGTATAAAAAACAATTTATAACTTATTTTTAGAAGATTTAAGAAATGTCTATGTAACTTAGGCCCACATTTTTATAACCCATTGATAAATTTATCCGATAGGTAAATCCAGTTCTATGTTCTAGTTAGGCTATCTAAGGGATTATTACCACGGTTACGGCTATTTTACGCGCTCTGATTGGCTAGTAGATGGGTTTGACAAATAATAGATCTGTAAGATAAATTTAACAAAAAGATGGTGGTAATGGACCTTAGCCAATCAGAGGGTTTAAACCGCCGTAACCATGGCAACTATCCTGTAGATAGTTTATCAGGAGGATGGTAAAAGTGGGCCTTAGGGCCGGTTTATCAATGTCGAGTTAAATCTGTCAGGTAGGCAACTGATGGATCAACTCCTAACAGTTAACCTCAGTGAAGCGTTTATTCATCAAGTTTCTATCCAACAGGCAGTAAACTACAAGATAGAAAATAGATGGTACCCCTGAGTGCTAGCTTTAGAATCGGAAATGAAACGTCAATTCATTCCCGTGTGCTTTCGGTATTGTGCGTTGTTTTCGAAAACCTCTTTTATAATGGAATTCCTACATGAATATTTATTAGACAACGATGAAGATGAGGATATTGTGCAACTCTTAAATTATACACGATGACCATTTATTACAAAAGACAGACAAAAACACCTTTGGTTAGTTGGACGACCACGATTTTTTTGTTAGATTTCGGTTAAAAAACGACACAGATTTGTCAATCTTGGTTAAAATTGAGACCAGATCAGAACACCAAATATAAGAAATGTTTTAATTAGGTATCACCACAATTGGACTGCGTTATACATCACTTGAATAAGCGACAAATAAATAATGTTGAGGAAAACAAGATTTTCGTTTTCATCTCTCTAAAAATATAAGACTTCTCAAAATAGACAGGCTCAAACTATTAAAAATTGTTTAGTGCCTGTCCATTTTTATCACAGAACACTAATGACAGCTATCACAAGCACAGAGGGCATACAGGGTGTTTCTGTAAGTCGTGGCATAAATTTAATCACTAAAACTAGAGACAAAATGATGACGATTCGTGTAAAAATTTTTGAAGAAAATAATCTAGAGTTTGATTTTGTACTTTTGAACTGGTTTTTATTTTATATAGAATTTAAGTCTAACCAGTTTCGGCCATTGGCCATCTTCAGAGACTCTTCTTAAGGAGTATCTTAATATTTTTTTTGGTTTTGTTATATGATAACTACCTTCAGGTTTAAAATGTCAACCTCAATTTTGACATATTTGTAATCTTCATTAAAAATCCTTTAAAATGAGTACAAACACGACATATTTATCTTCAATATTAATGAAGTTATGGTCAACTTCCGGTTTGAAATGTCAATGTCATTTTCACATTCTTAATTTTTATAAAATGTCTTAATATCTGTCACAAAAACAAAAATATAATAAAAAAAAAATAAAAAATTAAGGTTGGTATTAAAATTTAATAATTAAATTGCTATCTTCATTGTTGCTAACTTCGGGTTTAATGTTTTTTATTCTAACTTTTTTGTTTTTTGAGATAAGTGCATCATCTTTGGACTCATTTTAAAGGTTTCTTAATGAAGATGACAAATATGTCAAAATTGACGTTAACATTCTTAACCGGAAGTTGACCATAACTTCATTAATAACATCATCAATTTTATTATATTAGATATTGATAAACCAGCCCTGAGGCTCGTTACTACCATGGTTACGGCTATTTTACGCGCTCTGCTTGACTAGTAGATGGGTTTATCTATAAGGTAAATTACCCAAAAGATGATAGTAATGGACCTTAGTGGACCAATTTTTCCAGTCCCATTATAGCAATAAAATAATGAAAAATAAATGTATCAAAGCTATCAAGATAATTTATTTTGAACAGTAGTATTGATTAATTTCTTTTCCATTTAACGAGCCATTCGATTTTTTATAAAAATCAACAATTCTTACTTGTTAAAAGCTGTAGTATCACTCATATTGCGTCTATGGCCCTTAGAAATAGCATGAGACGGCGAACTTGGAGGTGTATCTGATGAACTAACAATACACTGGCTAGAAGATTCGATCAAACTATGCTTCTGATGCTGTTGTTGCCCCCTAACGTGAGCCATCAAATTACGATCGGGCGATATCGGAGATGACATCACCTGTCCTTGTCCTTCCACCTCAAATTCAACTGGATTCTTAACCGGAACGGATGGCGATGTGTTGGAATCATCTCGAAAGGGGTCTGGATAAATGGAAGACTGGAATAGGTTCTCAAAGTTGTTTCGATCTTGGGGGCGATCCTCTTGGTTTGGTGATGGGAAGAATTGTGGTGGGACAGGAAAAGCGGAAATCGCTGATGATTGTTGCTGTTGTTGTTGGGGAAAACTTATGTAATTAGATGTCGAGGAGGAATTGGGGTTGAAGTTTTGTATTGGGGTTAATTTGGAATGAGTAACAGGGCTTTGGGATTTTTTAACAGTCGTTGGACTTGGACTAAGTGTTAATGGGATGTTGTTTAAAGTTAATGGTTGAGTGGAGTTACCCTTTGGACGTTGACGTGGCATCACACTTGTTCCTTCTACAATCGGGGTACCACCAGCGTTTGGTTTCATTGGGAGTTTTATTTGCGTTTTCTTTGCTTCTGATTCAAATAATGGAAATGGTAATTCATCTAACGACGGTGTAGGAACGTTCTTAAAATGAATTTAAAAATTAAAAAGTGAGGTTAGATTAAAAAAAAATTGTTTACCAATAAATTTACTACGCAATTTTCTTTTCCTAAAAGTGGAAAAGCAATGCTTGATACTTGATAAATATCTGGTCTACGATCAGGATCTGGTTCTAACATGTATCCTACAAAAATTTAAATAAATACAATTTAATTAGTAAAAATTTGATTTAATTTACGAATTAATTGATGTAAGCCTCTTGAATAACGAGAATTATCTGGAATGTAAAAGACGCCACTTTGAATGGCCAAACTGCTTTCAGCAAAAGGTAATGTGAAAAAACATAGTTTGTAAAGTAAGCAACCGAGAGCCTAAAAAAAAATTATGTTTTACTAAAAATTAAGATAAAGAAAGAAGCAAAAACAGTACCCATATATCAGATTTTGTCGTGATTGGTTTTCCTGAATACATATCAACCATCTCCGGGGCTCTATAACTAAGGGTTGTGTATCTTTTAATTTCTTCCTCAACCGCTGTAGCTCCTTGCACCGCCGGATTTAAAATACGTCCCGTGGCCGAACCAAAATCACATATCACATAATTACCATTATCACCAATCAAAATATTTTCTACCTAAAATACATTTTTAAATTAAAAAAGGAAAATTCATCAAATCATGGTAACCATGGCAACCATTGATTCAAAATTTTAGGTTATGTCAATTAACTTAAATTCAATTAAAATCATTTTTAGACTAATTTACCTTTAGATCTCGATGAATGATTGGAGTTTGGCAGTGGTGTAACCTACAAACAGCTTCGCAAGTGTCACAAAAAATAGTTAAAACCTCTTGTTCGGTAAAATTGGCTTTTCCCCTTGATTTCATCAAACCCAGCACACTATTTTGACAGTAAGGCATTAACAAAAGCACTTCATATACCCCACCCCCGGTTGCTGTTAAACTACCATCTATATAACCAATAATATTTTTATGACCACTTAAATTACTCTAAAAAAAAAAAAAAGTCTATAACCCAAAAAATAACTTAAAATAACCGTTTAACTTACAGCTATTTGAATTTCACGTTTGGCAACATTAAGGTCTTGTTCATTGTTGACATACATTCGTTTCAAGGCATATTTACTGCCATTGTTTCCCTTTACAAGAAAAACTATGGCAAATCCACCTGAACGACACACAAAAACGGATAAGAAAGAAATTTTTTTATGTAATTGAAAAATGAGGTTACCTTCCGCAAGAACTTCTTCAACTGTCACCGTATGTCTTCCTACCGTAAACACTTTTCCGACGAAATTATTGACCTCTTTGCCCGTCGTTTCTATTTTAGTTTCAATTTTGGAGAACAACTTTTTCATTTTGAGTGGGTAACAGATAACGAACTGGTCATTAGAATAAATTGAAGAAAATTAATTTATGCGCGTATCACTTCGTGTTTTTTCGTTATCTTATTATTATTACTTTTACGGGCGGAAATCGAGGCGATGAGTTACATAATTTTATGGGATACCGACCGTTTTTCTTAACGTTTATATCGAACTATTAAGAATCTTTTTGCATGTAGGTGAGCGATGTTAGTATCGATAATGACATTTCTGAGGTGGAATTGGAAAGTGACATTTGACATTTATCAGTATGAAGTTGGCCACAAAGGATTTTATAAATTAAAAAAAAATCTTTAATTTATTGTTATTTATTTATATTATTAGGTCTTAATAATTATTCAAAGAAAGTGTATTACATTGTTAATAAATAATTTGAAATATACTTTATTAAATTAATGTTTTATTAATTTTAGAACGTACCCTAATAAATAGGTTATGATTCCGTTCTTGGATTTTACTTTTTTTTTATTTAAATTGTTGGACTAATTTAGTTAGGGAATTTGCAGCTTCTTTGATGTTATTGTTTGAAATGTGCATATTTTCACGATATTTATTTGATGATAAATAAAATTTTTTTTGTAGTGTGGAAACTATAACAGGCATTTGCTTATAATGAATTTTCTCGTCTTTTAGATAAGTTTGGTATATTGAAACACATTTTGTGGTTCTTTGGAGCAAACTGATGATATCTTCTCTTCTCCCATACATTAGGAAATTTTTACAGAGTTCGCTAATTAACCAAGTTCCATCAATGAAATCTCTAATACTTACGTTTCCTGTAATAATTATTTTAAATAATTCGATAAGAAAAAAGTAAATAAGTTACCCTCAACAGTTGAGTAATAAATAATTGTATCTGATGGTAAATTATAGATAGGAAATATCAATTCATTCGTTTCATGTTGTATCATGTTAGTCTTTATATCATCTACCGTTCCTTTGCAAGCTTGAAAAATGAACATCTTTGGTTTATTTTTAAATGGAACTGAAAGAGGCTGAATTACATCCATTACTTCAATGTGCCCATCCCTAGTGTATAAAACGTTATTTTTATCACCATGCGACATAAATATAACAATTAGGGAGTTTGAATGTTCTGTTTCGTAATTTTCTGCATACACTAAGAGAATGGAAGAAACAAAGTATGTGTGGTTAATACAGCGGAATTTGCATTTATTAACTTACTTTTACAAACATCTTGAATTTGTCGACGTCCAAAGTCTCGATGGATTGTTTGCATCTTGACATTAAAACCCAACTTTAAGAAAGTCTCTCTCAAATTTGCTTCATCTTTGGATGTTCCCGCACGTTTAGGAAGGTCAATATCAAAAAATTCTTGATTAAAAATAATGACCAACCCTTGATCTCCGCCTGGTCTAGAGTATTCATGAAAATCACAGTGATCACTTCCATTGTCTTGAAAGTTCTCATGGGTTATTTCATATCCTTATCAATAAAACATGAGATGTTGTTTAATTTACCTTTATACATAAATTTATTATATCTTACGTTGTCTTAGGTCTCTCTCAAGAGGTGTTGCTAATTCTAATGTTAAAGGTGACCTCGGTGGTAGGTGATGGTCTAAAAAAAGTATATTGTTAACAAGAATGTTAATGTTTAATTATTTCTGTTTTACCTGGTTCTTCACTAAAACTTGATTTTGGTATTGATAAACGTGAATCTGTTGTTAAACGTTCTTGTTCCATTATTTTAAGTTAAATAATGTTAATAAGCTGATTATATAGAAAAAAGTAAATGATTAATTTTGAAATTTATCTTATCATTTGTATCTCTAACAGCGCTTTTAATTTTTTTTACAATGTAATAAGTACTATTATTGTTAAAATAGTTTTATAAAACGAAAAGAAATGTTGAACTATCTACAATAAAAGAAAGTAGTAATTATACTGATAATAAAACGCAAGAATATTATTAAATATTAAAGATTTTAAAGCATAAGAAATGCTTACCTAAAACACACACTAACAGAATGATATCGTAATGTAATCTTATCTGTTACTTTATTTATGTGTTCTCTATAGAAATCTTTTTTTAGGGTGTGTCCACACATTGGGCGGCAAGGTTCGCAGTCCACAATTCTGCCGCGCGCCAATTTGGACTAAAGAATGTTTGCGCGGCATATGTGTGGACATCCTTAAAAGAAAAACCTTGGGTTGTATAATAATACCAAAATTGTTCAGATATTTTTTAATAAATACTTTATTTAAATCTAAAAAAAATTTTTTAATTTTGACTATTTTATATTCTGAATTTTATTACTTAGTTATAACTTGTTGGACTACATCGTTGAGTGATTTAGCCACTTCTTCGATTCTTTTATTTGTATTATGTATATTTTCACGGTATTTATTTGATGACAAATAAAATTTCTTTTGAAGTGTGGAAACTATAACAGGCATTTGCTTGTAATTTTCAATAAAAGTGCAATCTTCTTTTATGTCACCTTTGAGCATTGAAACGCACTTCGTGGTTCTCTGAAGCAAACTGATAATGTCTTCTCTTCTACCGTACATTAACACATTTTTACAAAGCTCGCTTATAAGCCAAGATCCACTATATGAATCTCTAACGGATACGCTTCCTGTAAAAATCATTTTATTAAAATCAATGTGAAGAAGAAAACTATTATATTACCCTCAACGGTTGAGTAATAAATAATTACATCCGACGGTAAATTATAAATCGGAAATATTAATTGGGGTACTTCGTTTTGTAACGATTCCGCTACAGTTGCTTTACAAGCTTGAAAAATGAACAGTTTTGGTTTATTTTTAAATGGATTTGAGATTGCTTCAATTAATTCCATTACGGTAATTTGTCCGTCCTCAGTGTACAATATATTATTTTTATCACCATGTGACATAAATATTACAATTAAAGAGTTTGACTGTATTATTTCGTTATTTTCTTCAAAGTCTAAAAAACAATACCGCTATATCTCTCATTAATTGCATATTTTCCAGGCGTACCTTTACAAATTTTTTGAATATCTTTTCGTCCTTTGTTAATGTAAGGTGTTTTTACATTAAAACCCAACTTCGAAAATGTCTCCTGTAAATTTTGCACATCGTTTTTACTTCCAGGTCTGAATTTTTCTTGATTGAAAATAATTACTAACCCCTGATCATCACCCTCTCTAGGATATTCATCAGAATCGGAGTAATTGGATCCGTTATCGCGAAATTCACTACCACTGATTTCGTACTCTAACAAACAATACATATAATAAAGTGTGTTTATAAAATATCTAATAATGGAATGAAAAAAGCTGTTAAAACATCTTTGTACTTACGATGTATTAGCACTTTTTTATCGGATGTTGCTATTTTTAAGGTAAGTGGTAGTGTATTTTTTGCTAAAAAAAAAGAAATTTTATTTGTTTACTATTTTTGGTATTATTTTTTATGTACGTGGTTGGACAGTAACATTTGGGGGTTGATATGTGCGTGAATCCGTTGCTAACTCCATTTTTATTTAGAATTTTGATCGACTAAAAGGTTTTCTCGATTAGATGTACCGTTCGACAGAGAAACAACTAAGGCCCAATTTTACAATCCTCCAAGTTGAATTAATCTATCAGATAAATTTATCAAGTAAAGGTAAAAGTGGGCCTAAGTAAACTACATTGCAATATGATGTGGCTTAATCTAATCTTTTAAATTTCCTTTATCGAATAAAAGTTTTTAATGTACCGGATGTTTATAAATTAATGAAACAGAATGAAGTGAATTGAAAGTACAGTCATGTTTCCATATTTATAAGGATAATAATAGATCGGTAACATAATAATAGTAATATATATTATATAATAATATAATATAGTAATATAGGTATAGTAATTGGTCAATTATCGGAGTTTAAACTACGACTTTTCAGTCATCCCCATTTTATTTAACCAAAGGAAACAAACAAAAAAGCGTTGTATGAAAAGGCTCTTTTATAAAAAGATGTTGTGATGTATTTGCATCTAAAGTAGCGACAAAATTGGAAAGCACTGTTGCACAACTGTTTGTTTACAGTAACATCCAATATGCGCCGATATTGGTAAATGAAGCAACTAATTAGTAACTAAAATATTTTAAAAAAATGACGATTATGTATGTATGTAGTTTCATGTGGGGTTGAATTCCTTCCCAGCACTTAGGCCCCAGTGGGCCCTTTGTACATCCACACAATTTACAGTTCATTCAGGGTTCAGAAAACCAGCCGAAGCTTTTAATGAACGTTAATATAGAACAGAACAGTATGTTCTTTATGTACCAAATTTGGGGGCATGGTACGCCAAAAATGGATCCATTTCACACCCTCTACAAAGGTGTGCGTTCGCCAGCTTCATGTAATCTTTAGTGTCCGGTCATGAAGTGGGTGAAGAGCTTTTGATTTTCCCAGGAACTGAGTTCTTCCGGTTTGAGTGAAGCAATATCTTTGAAAAGACATCTACTGCAGTCTAATCCCATCTATCGCAAAAAGCTCGATTGGAGATGAAGTTGATCAGCTTTGATGCTGTATTAAAAGTTAGCGATACAAACGGTTCAGGGTAAAACCGGTGACTTCTTATCCATCCGTTTCGCCATCCTGTCCCTTATTTCTGGTATATCCTTTTCGATACTTTATCCTGACGTTATTATAAACATTAGCCTCCTCAAGTGATTGCAGACAGGACTTCACTAAAAAATGATGTAGTTCGATGCCTACTAAGCGCCAGCATAGCCTGTCTGCTATCAGTGCAAATTACAACTTTTTTGGAGTCGACGACGACATTAGCTGTTATATTTGTCGTAGATATTTCGGCCTGAGCAAAATAGAAAGGTGCAGCTCGAAATCGTACGAGAAGAATCACGCTCCAGAGCTTCCAGCCTCCTTTGATCCATCAGTGTAGATGTTTAGCGTTTTAACTATGCTAAAGTTGCTCTGTGGTATCGTCTCGATGCCAAGGTGTGGTCTGCTTAAGAGAATAGGTGTGATGTAGTCTGTTTAAGCTTCAAGGAGGGGTTGTTTACGAAGCCTCACTCCAGAGTTCGCTCCAGACTACGACGGATTAATATACTCACAGAAGCCAGACTATTTTTACGAAACATTCAAACGATGTGTTCGTAACAGTTCAAAATTGTATAATCTTTTCAAATTCCATTGAGATGGTTCCATATATGCAGGTTTAATCATGTTCAAACAAGTTCAAGCAACGTCCTTCACAAATTTTATTATTTAGACTATTTTATTATTTATTATAATAAGGATAACAGGTTAATAAGGATTATATTATTAAAAAATCACTAATAAATTGCGAACATTTCTGACCATAGTATCTAAAAATATGACCTACAGGAACGATTTTTAACATTTTCAAAAATATGTCTATTACAACTTAACTAAGAGACATGAATTTTTTTTATTTTTACCAGGACAGGTGTGGGTTGGCCTCTCGCGCGGTACCCGCTTCGCGGTTAGTTTCGGGACATTTCAGGACCTGTATATACAATTTGTTAAGTACCAATAATTGGATACTTTAAACACAGATTTTCATCTCCAAACATCACATTAAGATTTGCTTCTGCACAATTATGTGGCCCTATCCAAAAGTACCGAGTTCTTTCAAGAACTAAAATGAACCCTACAATAATCATAATTAATATAGCAGAAGAATTTGCTTAAAGTTAATGTTGACAACCAAAACATAACCTAAAAATTAAAATTTAATTCAATAACTTTTTAAGGTATATTTCAGTAATTAAATGAAATAATAATACTTAAATAGAGATACTTTAATTAGTGCACACTAAGTATGTATTTAATTGTTAAATATGGAATTCTGATTTGTATTTTGGATCGAAAATAACATTCAAAATTTAACGCGCAGTTTTTAACGCGCATGCTCATCAATAACTTCTATTTATAAATTCCACCAAGATTAAAGATAAAATCAGTTGCAACAAAATCAAAAAATCATCCCTTTCCCAAACATTTATAAACTAAATAATAAAAAATATTTATTTCTCATAAAATCGATTAAAAAAACGCAACTTATTTTCATTTTAAAACTTTAATCTTGCTTTTAAAAACTGTGGTGGAATGAGTGCTTGTCCCAAATCGTAATACGCAAAGAGGGTGGGGATAACATAATATAAACCGGCTGTTCAGAACCGACTTTGTTTATAACGTTTAAAACACAGTGACATCTCGTTTCGCGTGAATATGGCTTAATCAAAGCCTACTTTAAACTTAATAATAACTAGTTTTTCTTAAATCACAATTTAATTTTAGTCGACTCAATCTCAGGGTAGATTAGTCGGTCTAAAATCTAAAAAAACTTTTATTACTTAACCAGTGCATCAAACCAAAGAACCAATCACCATCAAAACTTCATTACTTCGAGACTAATTCATTCTTAAGGTTTTAATCGTCTTTACGCAATGTCAGTGTGCGCCAGTCCTTACGATTGCGAATTTGGTCCAAACAATTCGACGTTCGGTTGTTTTTACCAGGAGATGATCACCGATTTGTTACCTGGATGGATTTATGGAACAGAGGAAAGATTACCATGGATTGGGGCCACTTTTGGTTCTCTTCTGGTGGGACTTAGCGGAGTTTTACCGTTGTTGGTTATACCAATAGATCAATCGGACAATCTTAAACAAGGAGGTTAGAAAAATTGTGATTAAAAATTAAATAGAACAAAAAAAATTACAGGAAACTGTAATAAAAAAAATTTGTAATTAACCTTGAAATAATTATTGTTTATTTTGATGAGGTTTTTAAATTTGATTAAGTTTTTATGATTATAAAATTTTATTTTTGAAGTAAATCAATTAAAAAGTATTTATGTGGAGGGAAAAATTATTCGGGGAAGATAACAAAGAAAACTGTAATCAATTGTGGAACATAACCTTGAAATTTATTTGTCACTGTCAAATTGAGGAAATTACTTTCTGATTTGTTTATAATTTGTTTTTTTGCAGTTATTATCTCCTTTCGGACTGTTTTTAATGCTAAAAAAGATGTTTACGAAAATATTTACACTTTATATTATTTATTTAAAATCTAAGATAACCTATTGAGTTAGTATGTCATGAAAAGTGTAAAGTTTGCATGCATAAGTTTAATCTGTCGCTAAATTTGAATGATTTTACGGTCGATTTCAATACTTTCTATTAAATTATCGAACTATACGGACGAATGAGTCTAAATTTAAGAATTACAAAATCAATGCTTTGTCTCCAATTTTTTTTTAACGAATTATTGAAGATTAACGAACAAAAATAACCAAACAAAGCAGTGCGTTTTCAGATAAGGGAAATTTGTTGTTAATTTCACAATTTTAGCTATAGTTTACTTATTTATTTTCGTCACAAACTTACCGCGTTATCATTCAAACGATTAAGTTTTTTGCTTGCTAGAAAAGAGTCATTGTAAATTTATAGACATTGTTATCTTCTCTAAACTGAGCTCCATAAAACACAATGCGCTCAAAGTTCATTTGCCTCTTTGGCACAATAGTTAAACCACAACGTCGACATTTGCTCGTGTATTCAGAATTTATTTTTATCTAATGACTATGTTTTCTTGCAATATATTAACTAAAAGGAAATTTACAGTCAATTAAAACATTAAATTTTAACACGCTTTTTATTTACATATAAAAAGAATTAAAAAATCTGGTATAAATAGATAAAGAAATTTAAGATTTTGATAAAATGAATAGCTGTACGCAAATGTTATTGTTATTGAAACTGTAAATGTAATTGCGTATCAACGCAAGCATCCAAAGTGCAACAACAGTTGAGGCGATATCCTGCTGTTAGCAGCAAAACTATTTGTCGAGTGTCCTTGAACGACGTCAGAACTTGGTTTCTAACTGCAGGATAAATAGAGATTATTGAAACCAAAATATAGTTATATATTGATAAGAAATGTTGTAAGAATAATTCACGAAATTGGGTATATTTAAACTGAAAAGTTTTAAGACAACAACATGCCAAATTATTTTTACAATATTTAAAAATATATTTTCTTTATTTTAACTTTAAACTTATTTTGGCAACTCTTTTTCAGATCGTGCAAATTTATTAAAAACCCTTTTAAGTTTCGCTGTTGGGGGACTTTTAGGGGATGTTTTCCTACATTCCCTCCCGGAAATATGGGCTTATGACGTCAATGCAAACGGTAAGTTACTAAAAAAAACAAATCTACTTCAAGTCCCATCGAAATTTTTAAGATCTTTTTGTTAATTCGATAACCTTTCGAGATTATCCCCAGATTTTTTCTTTTGTTAATCCATTTCTATCTCTTCAAGTACGTACGTGATTGCGATGATTATATTTTACTAATCGCCCTTTAATTATCGATTAATAATTTTTTTTTTTACGATTATCAAATTTTAATCTGTCTTTACCTGTCTCGTTTACCATGACAAATCGATCGTATTCGTGACTTAGATAATGATTTGAGAATAAATAGGAGTGTAATATTGCAAAAATAAAATTATAAAAAAAAATTGAACAAAAGAATTATTATTATTGTTAGAAATGAATTGATTGAAATCTATACGTGACTATCACTAAATAAAGAGATTACGAATTAGGATTTTTTTAAAATTTTATTTGGAAACAATGATTTCTTAATAACTTCAAATCGGGACTGTTTTTTTAATTGGAATACCAAGTATTTGTGTCTGCGTGATAAAATATCGCATTACTAAGAGCTAACGTCATCGAAAAACAGCATTTGGTTGATACAGTGATTATGATTGAAGTCTAAAAAGACCCGGTTTGAACGAGTTTTTGATTACGTTAGAGAAAATCGATAACTTTATGCATAAATTCATGCAAATTAATAATAGTAAACTTTTTTTTAGTTTTATAATTTTAATTATGACATTTTGTTTGACATTTAACCTAACCACGAGCGCGAACTGTCAAGCAATTTAAATTTCATACTAGTAAATGATAAATAACAATTTTAATGAAAATTAATAATTGTTCAGCAAATAGCCGAGCTTATGATGCAAATGGGTTAAGTTATATGGATTTAATACAAAAAAGTAAATAATAAAATTCGGATGATAAATTTTACATCTAACTAACGCCATCTTTTGACTGACGCGTAAAAAGATTAAAAAAACTGAAACTATTCAAACATCAAATTTGACAAAATCAATATTCAAAATTATTATTTAAAGCGTTTAATTTGATTTATTAACATCAAAATTTATATTTAAAATTTAATAAATGACGTTTAAATCTAAAATAAATCAGATGACATAACCTCGAAAATTATGACAACTAACCTTAAATTTTGACAACTAACTTTCAAAACTGACATTTGTAAACTAAATTTAGATTATTAAAGCAATTTAATTTATTAATAGGAGGTCACCCAACCATTGGAACAGGACTATTAATATTAAGCGGTCTCATAATATTCGTCGTAGCTGAAAAACTGTTTTCAGTTATAACAAAATTGGAGGAAAATCGTCAAGAACAATATGAAATCGACGAACAGAACAACGAAAAACGCACCAAAACCAAACCTTACGACCTGCAAAAGACTGACGATGACGGCGAAAATAAAAAACACGTAAGTTGAACCATCTCATACAAACAACGTTTAATTAATTAATTTTTTTTTTGATTTTAGATCACAGGTTATTTAAATCTTTTCGCCAACGCCATCGACAACTTTACCCACGGCCTTTCTTTAGGAGGCGCGTTTCTCGTTTCATTTCGATTGGGCTGTTTGACAACGTTTGCGATTTTAATGCACGAGGTGCCCCATGAAGTAGGGGATTTCGCCATTTTGCTCAAATCTGGTTTCTCAAGGTGGGACGCTGCTAAATTTCAACTTATCACTGCTGGTGGGGGACTCGTCGGATCGATGGCTTCTTTAATTTTTAGTGGAGCAAGTAACTCATTAGGTAATTCATCAAAACTATTTATCATTTATTATCAATTGAAACTACGCCGTTGAGTCATAACTGTTTTTTCCAACATTCATTTATAAATAGATTATGTTAAAATATTGTTTGATTGAAACATGCTGATTTCGCCTTGAATTATTAATTATCAAAGTTCAATTCGTAAACAATGCTTTTATAAACATGTTGTTTAAATTTTTGCAGAAGCTAGAACGTCTTGGATTTTGCCATTTTCTGCAGGAACTTTCCTCCATATTGGTTTAGTGACCGTTTTACCGGATTTATTGAAGGAAGAAGATCCGAAGGAATCGTTAAAACAACTTTCATCGTTATTGTTGGGTATTCTTGTCATGGCTGTTGTCACAGTCGGTTTTGAGTAATGTGGATTTGTTATTTTTTGCTCCATTTATATTATAGATTATTATAGAAGTTTTTTTTTATTATTACAAGCCAGTTGCCATATATCTAGCTCAGTTGTTATCTTTATTACAATTTTGTTTCCTTTTTTTTCTTTATTATTTTGTCAAGAATCATCACAAGATTTTTTTACAGTATTTATACTACATTAAGAGAGCTTTGTTTTGTGTATTATGAGACAATAGCAAACGCTAGATTAGAATTCTGTTTATATGTAAGAAACCATGAATTGAATTTTTTTTTTTTGAAAATATTAAAAATAAAAATAAACATATTTTTGTATGGAGAAAAGGAAGTGAGAAATTTATTTTTTAATTATTAAAGTTGAAACTAAACTGTAAACTACTTTTTCTATTAAAAAAAGTTGTGATATTCTATTTATAGTTGCCCCTTTAATGTTATATATATAAAAAATAGTTAAAAAATAATAGGATAATAGATACTCTTTCGTTTTTGTAATAAATACAGTACTTAAAAAGTGCTATTATACGGTTTTTACAAGATTGGCTGGTTATCACCGGAAAAATCTATGCCCAAAATGTATATAAATGATCTATGAAAGAAAACAATTATAAAATTTATTATTCTTTAAAATTTGACGTTTTTTTTAACCCATTTTATTTATATCACATCACAGTACCTAGAAGTGTTAAGAAACAAAATTACTTTGACATTTTTAAACCATCAGAGATAATCATGTACAAACACGAAAAATGTATAACTTTAGTCACCACTGCTTCTTCATTTAATCAAAATTTAGCTTTATTAAATGTTGACGAGGAATTATCCGCCGAAGCTTTAGCTGTAGTTCATGAAAGTTTTATTAATGTTATTCCCGTTCTTTATCCCCATAGAAGAAGCAAGTATGTTCCTCTTTGTGATGGTGAAGAACGAGGAAAAGGTTTAATAAAACAGGTAAAAATAATAAATTTTCAAATCCCAAAGATTTCCTATGAAGACTCAACAAGTTATTCTTAAACTTCCCCGATTTGTTTAAGGTTAAATGGGTCAAACTTAATGGAGAAACATATTTCATTGTGTTATCAAACATCGGATTACAAGTTTACGATGCCGAATTGATCGAGCTAAAATATTTCCATGCTTGCAATGAAATTGGAGATGATAAAAGTAATCCACTCACTCTTTAAGTAATTTCTTTTAAAAATTTTATTAATAACTTAGATTATACAATTGGAATATGTGTAATTAAAGACGAAATACTTTGCGTTGGTACACATCTCGGTACCGTTTGGATGTTTCGCCCTAACGAAAACAACAATTCCAAATTTAACGTTATCAGTCGTTTTTACGCCCACGACGAGGCCGTATTGTTAATGGACGGTTACGAAGATTACATGGTGACCTCGTCAGATATGATGACCTATATGTGGGTGCATAAAACGAAAGGATTTGATATTATAAGAAAATTACACGTTCCAGGGTAAAATAATTAATAATTGCGGACAAAAAAATAAAAAGATTTATATTGCAGTTTATTTTCTAAACCTTCATCATTAAAAGTAACAAATTGTTTAACATTTATGGGTTACGACAGCGGCGAATTTTGCATTTTCGATTTTTTCGACGAAGATTATTTATCTCGCACTATTGGGCATAAATTAAAAATAACCGCGATTGATTTTTCTGCTTTAACTGGTTACATTTTGACTGGTTCTCAAGATTGTTACGTTAAGGTGTGGAAATTTAAACAAAGTTTACCTGAAGTAACAAATATGCTAACTTAAATATCAATTTAATTGTAAATAAAAAAATTATTTCAGGCTCAATTATTATTTTCAGTACTTAATGAAGATGGCCCGATTTGTGGCGCTGCTTTTTTAAATCATACTTGCACCCAATTTTGCGCTGTGGCAGTTGACGCAATTAATATTAATGTTTATTGTAAATTGGAGAAAGAAAATGATACAAATGTTGTGGATGTTGAAGAAAATGAGATTGAAAAAATTGATGATTTTCCTATTATTGTTTAAAATAACTTATTTTTGTTAACTTTATAAACAATATAACGTTTTTATTGTTCACAAATTTTTTATTAATAATTGCAAGATTATAACTTAATTTTCTTCTTTTTCGATTTTGCAGCTAATGGTCCTGGTATTTTAAATACAGTACTAAAAAAGAATAAATTATATAATAAATTAAATAAAATTTAATTAAATTTAATACTCACTGACAAGTTGTGCATATTGGGCTGAATTTACAAAATACTGAAAAGAATTTTAATTAATAAAGCATTAAAAAAATCAATTTTATTAAATACTTGATAAGCAAACAGAACAAACATATCCAACGTCGATGAGTTCACGATGGCAAAAACATGCTGCTCGATAATCAACTTTAACTGGAGGGGGAAGAACTAATTTTTGTCTTATTGGAGGCTCTGGTAAAAACACCCACTTCAAAACAAAATTATTAATAATAAATCAAACATAAAAGATTTTTATACCAATAAATATTGTAATAATCCCTGTATTTGTGGCACCTTCAAATACAACCCATTAGTTATATCGCAACCTTGCTGTAACAAACTTAACTGTTGATCTAATGTGCACACATCAATTACAACCCCTTGTTTTTGAGCAGTAAAAAAAACATTCATGTAATTCATATATTGTGAAGCAGAGTTTCCACTTCCTGTTATAACCAGAATTCTACTGTTCACTTTACACCCTGGTGGTTTAATTCGTTGTATCCTTGCAATATAACACAAAGCCATTGCAACAGCTCCTGACAATAAACTTTCCGAGTAAATTGTAGAACTCTCTGAAGTTAATACTTTAGCTAAATTTTGCTTAACAGTTTTCTCTACAAGCGTAAAAACTTCGTATTGACCATCCACTTGACGTATATCTAAAGGTTTTCCAGGTACCGGATAAATAAATTCACTACAATTTCAGTCATTAAATTTCTTTCAATGAAAAAAAAAATAAAGCGTTACCTAACTCGTGAATGACATGCCATCACTGCTAATTTATTGTGAGCTTTTTGCATTAAATGTGCGTTAGCAAACGCTATCACCGAATCGGTGTATTGAGTCAAAAAGTGAGGATTTTCTCTTAAAACCCTTTGCCCTGGATTTGTATCCAATATAATCACCAAAAGACTCGTTTCGTCCAATTGTGATAATTCCGAGCTTGTATCCTTATTATTCGGGTCCAAATTCATGATTAAATCTAATTCTTTGTTAAATTAAGGCGAAAAGAAATTCAAACAGGATTGTTTTTAACTTTTTTATAGGTTATGTTATTGCCAAATTTGACATTTATGAGGTTATGTTTTATGAATGTGTTTGCGAACAAAAAGGAAATTTTAAATCTTATTGTATTGTTATCGTTTTTAAAAACAGTTTTATAGGATATTGTTTGAATAATAATTGCGTTTTATATGAGTTGAGTAACATTTAGCTCTCTCAGTTAGGCAACCAGTTGTACATGCTTAACTTATTTAAACAGTTTTATGCAGTTGGTAATGTCAAATTGTAATTTTTTATGCTTTTATGTGCGTTTATAGTTGTTCTTTTACGTAAATTTTCGTTTAATAATTATTTCTAAATATTTTAATTAGTGAATCAAATTTAATATTTATGACTAACTTCAGGTTGAGTTAAATGGTGAAGTTGTAAACTGTCATGTTAGAGTTAGACATTTCCGTTTTTATCAATCTTTAACCGTAATGTTGATGTAACAAATAGTTTTATCAAAATAATTGCATAAAAAATGGATGTACTGACAGGTAAGCCTATTAATCTAATATATATTTCAATTTGTAATCGGCACCAATCGTTAAATTTAACGCGTTAACCTCACATTTTTTTTATAGAAGTCTCCAAAACTTCAAAGCCCTTATCGCCGAGTGGGGATACCCCAAAACAAAGTGATGATGTAGGAAAAAGATCTAGATCAAACACTCCTGATAAATCTATTAATTTATCGAGAGAAAGATCAAAAAGTCGCTCAAGATCTAGATCTAGAAAATCTGATCGTTCAAAATCACGTAGTAGATCACCAGGCGGGTCAAGATCTAGGTCTGGAAGTTTAAGGAGAGGTTCAAGGTCAAGAAGTCGTTCCGGCTCTGTGCAATCTGTAAGAAGTAGGTCGAAATCTGCTGGATCAAGACAGTCGAGATCAAGATCAAGATCTGGATCAAGAAAATCGCGTTCAAGGTCGGGTTCGAGGCATTCCAGACAAAGTTCTGGATCTAGAAAGTCAAGATCAGGCTCAAGGAGGTCTCGCAGTAGATCTGGCTCTAGAAATTCGCGACCTGAATCGAGAAAATCACGCTCAGGATCTAGAAAATCAAGGTCAAAGTCTAGATCGAGATCAAGATCAGGTATAAAAAAATATTTTTTGATTAGATTAGATTAATTTATCTAATTTTTTTTGTTTAGGTTCAAGAAAATTTCGATCAAGATCAGGTTCAGCAAGATCACGTTCAAATTCCCCAAAATCCCGTTCAAGATCAGGATCTAGAAGATCACATTCCGGATCGCGATCAAAATCTCGGTCTAAATCGCGATCGAAATCTCGTTCTAAATCGCGCTCAAAATCCCGTTCTAAATCGCGATCAAAATCCCGTTCTAAATCGCGATCAAAATCCCGTTCTAAATCGCGATCAAAATCCCGATCGAGATCGCGATCAAAATCTCGTTCGAAATCGCGGTCAAGATCTAGATCAGTTAGGTCTCGGTCAGGTTCGCGATCACGTTCAAGATCAGTACGATCAAAATCACGTTCAAGATCAAAATCACGTTCGAGATCGAAATCACGTTCAATATCGAAGTCACGGTCAAGATCGAAATCGCGTTCAAGGTCGAAATCGCGTTCAAGATCGAAATCGCGTTCAAGATCAAAATCTCGTTCAAGGTCGAGATCTGGATCGGCAAGATCTAGATCGGGTTCGAGAGCGTCTAGATCAAAATCGCGTTCACATTCCAGATCGCGCTCAAGATCTGGATCGCGAAAAAACCGATCAAGATCGCGATCAGGTTCGGCGAAGTCTCGATCTGTATCGAGATCAAGAAGTCGATCCAGATCGACTTCAAAAAGGGGTTCAAAATCGAGAAGTCGTTCTAGGTCTGGATCAAGAAGATCGCGATCTGGGTCTGTTAGGTCAAAATCTAGGTCGAGATCAAGATCCGAAGATGAAGGTGGTAATTTTAAGTTGTGGATATTTAAGATTAAGAAGTAATATTTTTTAGGTGTAACTGCTCGAAAACGTCGTTTAATTGATAGCGATGAAGAAGAAGGCGCTGGACCAAGTAAAGTATCTAAACCAATTGAAAGTGATGATGAAGCAGCTGGTCCCTCTGAAGAGCGACCCGAAACTCAAGAAGGGCCTCAAGAACCAACAAAGGCATCATTGACAGACTCAGATGATGGAATTGATGATAACCGTGGAGGGTAAGGTTTCTTGTTATGAAAAGCTAAAGTAAATATAAACTCCATTGTTTGATGTTGTTTATAAAAACATTTTTTTAATGGTTTATATGGTAGAGGAAGTTGATAAGGAAAATTTAATAGTGTACGTGCTGTATAGGTTTTCATTTTTCCATTCGCGTTTAAGCGTTTGATTAGCTTTGGTTGATTCATTAATTGTTTATGAAATTCCATTTGAAATGAACTTTATATTGTGAGTATTGAGATAAAGATATTTACAACTTTGAACTTTTTGAATGATTTTTTAATTTGGAATTTTGTGTGAATTTGATACAAAGTTAGAAACTTTTCTTTATCAATGCATGGTGTATAATTGCATACTAATCATGATTTATTCTTGATATGTGTTTCATTATAACTATGTACCAGGTGCCCCTATAACAATACTATTGTTTTATATTATGAACCTTATTAAGTACAAAACTAACAACATTACAAAACAGAAATAAAACATTAAACATTTTCTAATTCAAAGTGTGAAATGGTTGTTGCCTACTCATAACTAACACTAGATTTAGAACTAGAAACATTTGGGATATAGCAGTCCTCTTAGATTCTACCTTATCAGGACACCCCACTTGATTATAAAGTGACTATAAGTCACCTAAGTACAAGTTTTACAATTTCAAACAATGTAGAAATATTTATTTTAATTTTTAAATGATAAACCTTCTTGGATTGAAAATAAAATTAAAAAATTAAATACTCCAAATCTAAAACTATTTTTTTGTGCTAACAAAGAGATGTGTATCCCTACATGTAAGTAACAATAGTTTTTACCATTTCCTCCTAAAATAATAAATAAAATAATTTGGGTTTAATTAAAAAAAAAAAAAATTTTATCATTACAGGAATTTGGATGGACTATCAGATTTCGACATTATGTTACAACGAAAAAAAGAGGAAAAATCGGGCCGTAGAAAACGCAAAGATATCGATATAATTAACGACAATGATGACATAATAGCCCAATTATTAGCCGATATGAAGAATGCGGCAGAAGACGATAGAAGACTGAATCAGAGTAGCCAGCCGGCAACGAAAAAGATTGGGATGTTACCGAAAGTAATGTCTCAATTAAAAAAGCACGATCTCCAATTGGCGTTTATTGAACACAATGTTTTGAGCGTTTTAACCGATTGGTTGGCGCCAATGCCTGATAGATCTATGCCGTCTTTACAAGTTAGGCAGGCAATTTTGCAGCTATTATGGGAGGTATGTATTTAATTGCTGCACTACAATTTTCCTAAATAATAAAGGTATTGTAGTTTCCAAGAATTGATCAACAAACGTTAAAACATTCTGGAATTGGCAAAGCTGTTATGTATTTGTATAAACACCCAAAAGAAGTTAAAGAGAATAAAGAGAGAGCTGGGAGATTGATTAGCGAATGGGCTAGACCAATTTTTAATTTATCAGCTGATTTTAAAGGTAAAAAAAAGTTCTAATTCGACCGCGTTATGCATCACTTTACTAAGCGACAAATGAACAATGTTGAGACAAACTTATATTAAAAAATATGACTTCTCAAAATAGACAAGCTCAAACTATTGAAAATGGTGCTTACAACTGGTTTCTATTTTGTATAGAATTTAAGTCTAACTAGTTTCGGCCCTTGGCCATCTTCACAAACTCTACAAATAGATTAACATCCCTCATCCTATCCATTTTACAAACAAGTTTCTTAATATTTCTTTTTCTTTTGTTAAAAAAGATCACATCAAAGATACTAATTTACAAAATTAAAGTTTAAAAAGTTGTAAAATGAAATTAAGGAGTTACAAGTTTATAGGTTAAAATTTAAGAACGTTCTTTTTTAACAAAAGAAATATTAAGAAACTTGGGAAAAATGCAGAATCATCATGTGGCTTGAAAATCGAACGAAGAAACTGCTGAAAAGTGACTAACACTAGATTAACTTCAGTTATAAAACTTCTATTATATGATAACTAACTTCAGGTTTTCCTCAATTTTGACATATTTGTAGTCTTCATTAAAATTGCTTTAAAATGAGTACAAGCACGACATATTTATCTTCAATATTAATAAAGTTAGATCAACTTCCGGTTTGAAATGTCAATGTCATTTTGACATTCTTAATTTTTATAAAATGTTTTAATATGTCATAAAAACAAAAATATAATAAAAAAAAATAAAAAATTAAGGTTGGTATTAAAATTTAATAATTAAATTGCTATCTTCATTGTTGCTAACTTCGGGTTTAATGTTTTTTATTCTAACTTTTTCGTTTTTTGAGATAAGTGCGTCATCTTTGCACTCATTTTAAAGATTTCTTAATGAAGATGACAAATATGTCAAAATAGACGTGGACGATTCAAACCGGAAGTTGCTTATATCTCGAGTAATATTGGAATTAAACGTATCATGTTTGGACTCAAGGACAGTAGAATCTAACAGGACTGCTACATCTATTGTATTTTTGTAGTCCACTACGGGTTGGTTGCCCGCAGTTTTTAGGTCTTTCGGTATTCTGCATTTTTTCTAAGATAAGTTACACCTTTACCTACTAGACAGCATGAAAATCTAAACGATAAAATGTCGCTTAGTCAAGTGATGTATAACGCGGTCCAATTATACTCTATTTTTTAATTCTGAGGAGTAAAATGAAAAGTCACGTTTACACAGTGTAATTTTTCAAAGCTATTTTTTGGCGTGAGTTGATGAAAGGGTAATCATTTTTCAATAATAGCGGTGAATAATCATTATTCATGGATAATCAACTTCACAGAGTAATAATAATTATTTGAAACGTCAAAATTTCAAAATATGTCAAATTAATTTAATTTTTTAGGACATTCTAAAGGTTTGACATTAAAAAACCGTAAACAAATTCCGTTTTTCATATGATTTAGCATAAATTAATTAATTTTCGTAAAAAAAACATGACGTTTCATAAAATTAACATTTAATTTTGACAAATCGTTGTGAAGTTGGTTACAGTTGGTAACATGACCAATAGCAACTCTTCTTTTTGGAGCTTCAATTTGAAAACACTCCTCCGAATTAAAAAAATTAAAAAATAGAGTATAGCATCAAACCATTTTTTAAGCCATGAGTCGTGAAGAGCGCATGCAAAGAGACATTGAGCAAATGCCAAAAAGAAGACGTGAAAGTGATACATCATCTTATTCGGAAAAGAAAGATATAAGTAAAGCGTTTAATGAAGAGGGAAAGTACGTTTAAAATCAATTTAAATTAAACTAATCAGTTTATTAATAAAAAAAATAATTTTTAAGGCCACTTAGACCAGGTGATAAAGGATGGATTGGAAGAGCCAGAGTTCCTGTCCCATCAAATAAAGATTACGTTGTACGACCAAAATGGCACACAGAAGTCGATATAAGTAGGGTATGTATTTATGATTTTTTAAGATTTTTAGAAATCGATATAAACAAATAAATTAATGTTCTAGTCGAGTAAGAAGCAAATGAACCGGTTTGAGAAGCATTACAAGAATTTCATTGACAATAAAAGGAATAAATCATCGAGGCGAGCCGTTGAAATTTCTATTGAAGGAAGAAACATGGCGTTGTAAATGTGCTGTTGTAATATTTATAGGTTATGAAGTTTTAATTTGTATTTTGACGTTCTTCGTGTTGGATTTACGAAAGTTATCGTAGGATTCATTTTTTTGTTCTTTAATTATGATAAAGAAATTTAATTTTTTTCTGTAGGATTGTTCCTTTGTATAACGATACGAAAATGAAGTATTATCACAAATGTTTTTTGATGAATTATTTGAAATATTTTGTCACTGCTATAATAATAAATAATAAATACAAGAATTAATTTTATTTTAATAAAATTACAAATGTCCCAAATGTCACTTTTGACAGTTAGTTGTCAAAATTTAAGGTTAGTTGTCATAATATGATCTTTTTTATTTGAGGTTAAATCATTTATTTATTAAATTTTAAATATAAATTTGTCAAAAGCTTTAAATAATAATTTTGGGTGTTGATTTTGTTGATTGCATCTTTTTGTACCAATTCTAAACCTTTTCTTATCATCCGTTAGACAAAAAAATGTTGTAAATTTTATTTTTTGACGTATAAAACTCTTTATTCGCTTAATAAAAGCCGCGAAATCAGTTTTCGTTAACAACTCGGCCAATATTACGCCACTTTACCAAGATCCTTTGTACTCGATAATGAAATTGTTTGTTACATGGTCTAAATTGAAGGGGCGCCTGAATGTATTCATTGAAATTCGATTAAATTTTACGTGCTGTAACTAATTTCGCCAGGACAACCAGCTCTGAAATGGGGCGGATTTAATTCAGTTTATGGGGCCGTTCAATTTTGCTGTGTAATTAGACTTAATTGTGGTTCACCTCGGATATTTTCAGTATCAAAATATATTTTATTTTTAACAGTGTTCCAAAAAACTTTAATGATCAGTAAAGGTTTTACATTAAAATGAAATGACCTTGACCGGATATACTGAGCATTTATGAGGGTGTGTAAAACCCAAGGAGTTAATTACGTTACCCAAAAACCAATAACTGCTTAAAAGAGGATTAGAAGCTGTTTATAACTTCTATGTCATGATAGTATACCATTAATCTGTATCAAATTTGCTGTCAATAATGCATTATCGAAATTAATTCGAAAATTTTACCAAACAAAAGCAAAATTGTTAAGTTTAGGATTATTTCGTTATAAAGGTGTGTTTCTCGGATATATTCGTCATTATTGAGTCATTTCCTGAATCAAATTGCTACTTTTCTGAATAACATTTTATGAAAGAAATTACAAGAACATTATGTAGCTACGATTCTCAGGAAGAAAAGTACTATTGTTGAATATCAGTATGAATATGAATGAAGGTGTCGTTTATTAATGTGGGTATTTAAGGATATATTGGAGAAAGTTGGTCGAGTACAAAGACCGTCGTATCGTCCAGTGAGAAGATGGTGAACTTAATAAATCTTTCCTACCTATCACCTGCCCGTTCAAACGGAAGGGAGAGTTCACTGCCCTCTGCCATGCAGTGAAGCATCTTTGCATATGCTAATTTACTTTTAACCGACCACAGAACCATTCATTTTACAGATTTTTTTCCCTTTTTATTAACTCGCCACTTGAATCTCGTGCACAATGCAAATATTTTAATAACCAGAATTGTTTTTAATTATCAATTAAATACACGTTTTGTAAAGTGAGTGTTTTAATTATTCAGATTTATTCAGAGGAGGTGTTTCTTGCAAATATTTCCAGTTTCTTTTAAAACCAAATTAGTTACTCTTAATAAGCCGAGTAATAAAAGAAAATATAATTATTTTATAAATCAAAAATAATGTTATTTAAAAAAAGTTATGGCACAACTTAATTCACTTAGAATCTTTTTGTGTTTAGCTTTCAGAGTTTTATCGTGTTCCGAAAGCGGAAAATATATTTCTGGCACAAAGCTTGCCGAGACCCATTGCATTACTTATTAGGCAACAAAACGCGACCTGTATCGACCAGGCACTTTATAAACGCAAATGTTGTTTTGCAGTATTTTTTTACATTGTTATTCGCAATTTGGTCAAGAACAAATTTAGTCATTCGGTATGCTAATATGATTACACCTAAGCTGTAGTTTTAATGCTGTAATTTAATGTTTTTTCTCTATAATAGTAATCATTGTTATGTTTAATTTACAATACAAGCACATGAAACAAGAACCATAATCTCACTAACAATAAAATAAATGTTATTGGCAACGAAGCCAAAATATGTGTAGAAAAAATTGACCAAAATAGAATTAATCTACAGAAGTAACGCAACGAGTCTCTATCCAGAGAAGCTTGGGAAGCACGGAAAGAAAAGTTCGCGATGGAACTGATCGCGAAATTATCAGCATATCATTCATTTTACCAGTGAAATGTAAATGATAACTAATTTTTTATACTTCCACTTTCTTTTTTGGCTAGTTTCGACCTAAAGCCATCTTCAGAAACATACGTTAATTCTATTTATGGTTTATTCCTCGACTTGTCTATGATTTTTCTAGTTCAAGAAAGACTTATCACGAAGCTGATAAAACCATAGAAGTCTATGAGCATAAGCTGTAAGTTACACCATGTTTCCGAAATTAATAATAATAATCATAGGTCTATTAATTCTGTTTGATGCATTTTTTGTAAATGATTTTCTTTTTTGTTCTCCAAATTTTCATAAGATATAATAATAAAATAAGAAATATGTCGTAGTAAAGTTCATCAATATAAATTATAAATAGTATTCGTGCAAATGCCTTTTTATTTTTGGTTAATACTAGGTTCGTTTACCAGTTGCTTAAAAGTATTAGCAAATTTGCAGGTACAGCACGTGTGTAGTAACGTAAGTACGTCCACAGTATGTAAGTACGGCAAATGGGGGTGGTACATATACCTTATAACCAATGTAAGGGGACCAGTAACGGTTCGCGTGCATAGCATGGGTAGGTGTCGGAATAAGAAGTAGGCCGCAGAACACCAGTTCGGACCAACCTTACGCTCGACCGCGAGGTGGCGCTCACGTCGCGCCTGAAAAACCTCGAATTTTCATTTCGCACAAACCTGAAAAGCTCGTTCGGTTCTTGTTGCTGCTGTTGTTGTTGGTGTTGATGTTTCGGGTGGGAATGACGATTGTTATCGTTTCGTTTACCACGAAAGATGACTTTGAAGTTACCGATAAATTTTTGATTTTTGGTGTTGTGACGGTGAGCGAATCACACCGGTTTTCGGCGCTTCATCGCCCATCATCAAAAGAGGTAATTTTACGTTCGATAGATAGGAATTTTTTCGTTGGATTTTTTTGCATTTATGCGGCAATAAGAAAAATGCTCTGTGACGTTCTTTTGTGTTGTGCCCTGTGATAATTTAAAACAGCTTATAAATATTAATGTATCGACCCACTGATAAAGATTTTAGAATGAACAGAATTTACCAAGAGGGTCGTATTCTTAAGCGTTTGCTGATTACAAAACTTTAAAGTTAATTCCAATAAAAACCTACTGTCTTATCTACAAAACATAGCTGTTAACGTGTTAAGTAGAAAACAGAAAATAAACAATTTATTGTGTATCTGTGCAAAGAATCACTATAGTTTAAGTATTAGATAAGGATTACACTTGGTGTGTGGATGCAGGATTAAATTTGCTGTAAAATCATTTTTATTTCATCAACTTTTTGAGATATCATTTTTTTAATTTAATCTTTTTTCATCACACATTTAAGTCAGGAGGAGGTCCAATTCAACACCGTACTTTAGACCGATTGTAAGTTACGGTAGTGAATCATGGACGATGACTCAGAAATCGGCAGAAATTGTAAATATTTTTGTAAGAAAGATATTAAGGAGAATGATAGGGCCAGTACAAGAAAATAATATATGAAGATCAAGATACAACCATGAATTGTATCGTGTTTATAAGGAGCACGCCATTATCGGAGTTCATCAGACTCCAGTGTTTACGATGGGCTGGTCATGTGATTAGAATGGGTACTAATTGGTAGAAAAAGGGCGACTGAGGAAGAGATGAGAAGATGCAGTCGATCTGGACACTATCGGGGGAAGAAGCTGGTGGAGAGAAAATTGGAGGCAAACGTTCGATTTTAGCTGTAGAGCTGTTCAATTAATTTTCGCCATTCCGCCCTCTCCCAACATCTCCCTCCAACCAAATCGTTGTTGGTCTCCTAAGATTGGTTTCCTGTCAAGTACCTTTTTTGGGGTTCGGTTATCACTCATACCCATGATATGCCCTAGCCACTCTATTCTACGAATTTTTATGAATCTGACGATATTAGCTTAGCCTTTCTGAGTGATGCTTCTATCCTATGTTCTGTTTATCAATAAAGCGAACTACAGGGTTTTCCAATAAGAGGTGTTATTTTGATATTCAAAGAAAAATGCCATTTTTTAGTATAAATGATCGGATGTTTATTTCATTATAAAGAAGAAGATATGCCGTTAATAGTGGAAAATAACATTAGGCAAATGACCACCACGACCACGCTTACAGGACAATATCCTTTCCATGAAATTTTCCATAACCAAATTGCAAAGTGGCTGCCCTATGTCCTCAATAGCCTCACGAATTCCATCTTTGAGGTCTTGAATCGACGCTGGGCTGTTGGCGTACACCTTTCACGTGGCCCCAAAGGAAGAAGTCGCAAGGTGTTAAATCACAAGATCTCGGTGGCCAATTGTGATCACCTCTTCGAGAGATAACACGGTCCGGAAACTTTTCCCGTAAAAGATCAATGGTTTCGTTGCTTGTGTGGCACGTGTAGCACCGTCTTGTTGAAAGTAAACGTTGTCCACATCAATACCATCCAATTCCGGCCATAAAAAATCATTAATCATCTCTCGATAGCGCAATCCATTCACCGTAACTGTTGCTCCAGCCTCATTTTCGAAAAAGTAAGGTCCAATGACTCCGCCGGACCATAAACCGCACCAAACAGTCACACGTTGAGGATAGAGAGGCTTTTCAACAATAACTCTTGGGTTTTCCGAGCCCCAGATGCGACAATTTTGCTTGTTGACGAAGCCACCGAGGTGGAAATGGGCCTCATCACTCAAGATGATTTTTCGATGGAATTCCGGATCATTTTCATGCATTTCAACGACCCAATCAGCAAAGACACGACGTTGTTGATGATCGGACGGCTTGAGTTCTTGTGTTAACTGAAGTTTATAAGCCTTAAGACCCAAATCTTTATGCAAAGGTGTAATGACGTTTGTGGAATGCCTAATTCCAAAGAACGACGAGGAATGGACAAACCTGGGTTTTCTTCAACACTTTCGGCTACAGCAGCAATATTCTCGGCTGTTCTTGAGCGACGTGCACGGGTTTTATTCTTCACATCACTAACTTGTCCCAACAGCTCGAATTTTTCCACCAATTTCTGTATTGCGGTCCGACAAGGTGCTTCACGACGACCCAAAAATGTTCTAGTTTTACGAACCGTCTCTGCCAAAATTTCACCATTTTTATAGTGAATTTTAACAATTTCAATGCGTTGTTGAAGCGTGTATCGTTCCATTTTTATTAATGGCGTACTTTCTACTTGTCAAATGTCAAAAAATGACAGCTTCAAAAGTGACATCTACCGAAATAACGGGCTATTCAAAATAACACATCTTATTGGAAAACCCTTTACCAGCGTTCATATAACACATCAACAACTATTATATTATATTTACTTTATTAACTAACAGTGTACACAACTATTATAATTTTGATACAAGTACAAGCAAGTATAAGCGAAATGCGAGTCTCTCTTCTTGTTGTCTTGGCGGGAACGTGCCAACAACATCAAATTGTTCCGATACCAACATAAATAATCATAATGTTACTAATTTATATAACACTTCTAGTACCAGGTCGAATAGTATGGCAGATAACGCATCTGCTTGTTTGACACCAGTGTTGATATGGTGAGCTACTGTATGTTACTGTCTCTACTGCCTTAGATCCAGCCATGGTCATGTTAATGAGTTCCACTAATTTCTTGAAGATTTCGTGTAACTAGGAGATCGCTTTGCAGTTTATTTCTATTTGTTGAGCGATTTGGGCGAAACCCACGTTGAATATAGGCCATGTAATAGTTCTCTTTGCACTTCAGGATTAGTTGAATTGATAAAACATAAACATGTCCAAGTTAAAATAATGGCTTCTTTTTATGCAAGTTTTACTCGAGTTAAACACGGAAGGTAATTGCAAAAGGGTTTCATTAATACATTAATTAATTCTTTTAAAAGAATTTGCTTAACCTATATTTGCTAATATGAAATTAAAAAAATCAATTTTTTAAGTTTATTTTAAGTGCAAGATTCGCCTTGAAAAAGACGAATAAATATGGGTGAAACGGTCGACGGATACTCTCTCTGAATGAACCGGAATACAGCTCGCATATATTAAGCTAGAAAATCGATTCTCTACTTTGCTAATAGCGAGTAATTGAGTAGGTATTAGCAATGCGAAAGACCTCACATTTTACTCTGGTACCTATTATTCCATAGTCATTAATCAACGTGGTAACTAAACGAAAATTATTCGAAATAAACTTAAAATCAAGTCGAATCGATCAAATTAAGTTAATTAAGAAATACAGGGTGATTCACATAAGAACCGACACAGAGCAGGGACATGTAGAGGACAATTAATTAAGATGATTTAACGCAACTTATCTCTATACCAAGTTGTACCCCTGAGGAGTTATAGGCCTTCAAAGTTGGGTCTTAAATTTTTAAAACAATGAATATCTTCGTAATACATTAAGCTATAAAAACCAAATTTGGTATACGTTATGAGTGTACCGAGGGCATTAATTGGTAGCAAGTTGAGACCAACTGAGGCATTTCAAAGGGTTGATTAAGGGTGATGGTTCCCTAAATTTTGGCAGATTTTGTTAACCTTTTTGTGGATTTAATACATTATTTCCTCATTTCATATGGAATTTAATTCTAAAACTTTTTTTACTCTTACTATTTTTTAAAAAACATTGTCGTTTTCATAAAAAAATCAAAAAACTAAAGACGCGTATCTTGTTAATGCTACTTAAAATCATCGAAAATTCAGTAGTCGGCTGTGAAATTGTACGTAATTTGAGAAATAAACTGTTTATTATGAGCTAAAAAGACATCATCCATAANACGGATACTCTCTCTGAATGAACCGGAATACAGCTCGCATATATTAAGCTAGAAAATCGATTCTCTACTTTGCTAATAGCGAGTAATTGAGTAGGTATTAGCATTGCGAAAGACCTCACATTTTACTCTGGTACCTATTATTCCATAGTCATTAATCAACGTGGTAACTAAACGAAAATTATTCGAAATAAACTTAAAATCAAGTCGAATCGATCAAATTAAGTTAATTAAGAAATATAAAGAAAATTAATTTAATTTTTTTTATATTTAAAAGTAATCTAAGAAAAACATCCGGTGTTAATACCAAAAGACATCCTTAATTAAAGTAACCAAACTGAAATACTGGTGACACACAGTGCAGTATTTTTGTACCGTGACGAAAATCTGTACAAGCACGCAGGTTTTAAATGGGTCAATAACCCAATCTTGCTTAAAAGCATCTCGAAAATACATCTATGCATTTTTAAGCTGCACCAAGATTTTATTACTTCCTTTTTATAGTGATGGAGAAACTTTAACAATAATTTTAACACTACATAAATATCTCAAAATAATTACTGCTATTAACATTAACTGTATCTTTTTAATATATCTTAATTGCAGGTTTAAAACAAAATCCATAACCGTGTAAGATATTAATATTAATAATTAAAATGTATACACAATGCGCATATAATACCAATAAATTGAAATAAAACGGTGAAAGCTTTTTAGTGTATGCTTTATAGTTTTTCATGTCACATCGATCAAGTTGTTAACGAGTTAAGTGTTGTTTCGTTGGGAAAATCGTGTGAAAATATCATTCAGAGCAAATTGAATTTGAAAGTTTTGTAGTTATTCCAAATTGATAGGCTTCGTTTTTAATTTTAAACATAATGTCTCAGTTACATTTCGTGTAAAAATGATCATGAAATTTCTTGCAAAAATTTTTTAATTCTGTTGGTTTTAATAAATTATTAGAGAAAATTCGATTTCTATTCTGATGACTTAAAGATGAGCTTAGATGAGCTTATGATTGCTTTATAAAATAAGCAAAAGCAAAATAGTTTATAACATCCTCATGATAATGTGATTTGAAAGTTTTGCTGCGAATACCATCCGGATATGTAACGCGTTATTATTTTCTGTTACTTTTTGTTTAACTAATACGTTTGTAAACGCTCGAGGAAAACAGATTTCTCTTTTAATGTGTTAAAGATAACCTTGTGAAATATAGATTAGAAATGCAGAATATTCAGAAAGTGCAAAAAAAGAAAGTGATTATTGCTTAAATCTAAGATTTTGAAATTATTAATTAACGAAAAAACTACATGACTATATGTAATTGTTAGGAAAATGTAAGTGCATTTAGAAATGAGGTAGTTTCACGATCTAGTTGCAACATTGGTAAGGTGTATTAATAATCGGCATCGGCCGCGAATTGTATAGTATGGAGTGGTTCGTAGACGTTTCCCCCGCAATGTTTACGTGTGTGGCCAACGATTGTGACTAATTATTGGGGTATTATTACGTTTCCCGAGATGTGCACTAAGTAATTGCGGTTTCTAATTCTGGAACGGTACGTTCGCTCCGTGTCGCGATCCAGTTCTTTCGGGAAAAGTTTAAGAGACGGTCGCCAACGGAGCGACTTCACCAATTTGTAGAACTTATCAAAAACATCTTACATTTAACGTGTTTTTATCATCAAAAATAATAACTTAAGATTTACATTAAAATTAAAGGAATATAATCTGTAAGTATTCTTTAAATATTTAATTAATCATTTTTAATTTGTTTATAAGTAATAAATAAAATCTAAAAATAATTTTTAGTGTTAAATAATACTTTATTGATTGAGAATTATAATTATAAGAAAAAGTATTAATAAATAATTAATTAATTCGATTACTTTCTTTTTACAACATGTAAAACCATGCTAACTAACTAACAGTTAAGCAATCACCCAAAGATTAATTATACAATATTGTTGAGAAATGTAGATAATAGATCTTACTTAGAGTTCTTCATTACAGGTTACGAATTGCATAACAGTACGCACTATACAGTACGTGCATATTTTTAATTACTCTCGTTTCACTCCAGTAACGTTTAATTAATACTATTTTATTATACAATTAGTAACACTATTAGGGTAATTTATTCTAAAAGGAATTGCTTTTTGTTAGTAAATTATTTCGAAGACATTTACGAAAGCTCTCCGCGTTTTTTGATTTACAAATAGGGGACAAATTTCAAGTAAAGTTTTCACAAGAACAACAATTAATGACTTATTAAATTTTCCATTCTATAAAGAAAACTCATTTTGCAAACACTTTTGTGTCATATTGTCTTTCGATGGCTACATAACAGTTTCGTTTATCACATGATAACAAAATGCTAAACATTACTTTGAATGCCAATTGAATACCAAAAAAACCTTTAAGTACTAGAGGCAAAAGATAAAGGAAGTCAACACTTAATTTGGGCTGTAGCACCATTGAAGAGTGAGAGGGGAAGTCCCTACTGAAACACCAACTATTTTATCCAAGTTCTACTTGATTTCTTCAATTCAAATACATTGTATGTAGACTTTTGTCTTGTTAATTTTGGTGTTGTATGATGAATTTTTGTTATTTAGTTATTGAAGCCATCTGGGTTTTTTTGGTGCATGAGGCAAGTCACAACAAGTTTTGCCTCCGAAAACATGTAAAGTGTTTGATTGAGGACATTTCATTGTATCAGAAAAGCAAAGTAGTTCTAAATCTTTACAAGTAGTTAATCATTAATGATGAACACTCAAAAGTACAAAAGCCTGATATTGTGATAAAATTGTTGAAGAAAGTTGATTGGTTCCAAATTGATGATAATGGCTCAAGATAACATAATTCATAAGCAATACCACCATAGTTATCTCAAATTGTTATGCACAAGCCAGGAAATCCCACAATATCAAAATTGACAATCATCTGCGTTAAATCCTGTTATAACTAGAAAAATAAAGGTGATAGAGAAAAACGTTTCCCATAAAAATTAATGATAATGAATCAAGATAACATAATCCATAGTCAATGCCACCATAGATATCACCATTTCTTAGGTTCAAGCAAGGAATTCTCAAAATATCAAAATTGACAATCATCTGCGTTAAATCCTGTTATAACTAGAAAAATAAAGGTGATAGAGAAAAACGTTTCCCATAAAAATTAATGATAATGAATCAAGATAACATAATCCATAGTCAATGCCACCATAGATATCACCATTTCTTAGGTTCAAGCAAGGAATTCTCAAAATATTAAAATTGACAATCATCTAAGTTAAATTCTGTTGTAAGTAGAAAATTAAAGGTGATAGAGAAAAACGTTTCCCATAAAAATTAATGATAATGAATCAAGATAATTTAATCCATAGTCAATGCCACGATAGATATCACCATTTCTTAGGTTCAAGCAAGGATTTCTCAAAATATCAAAATTGACAATCATCTGAGTTAAATTCTGTTATAAGTAGAAAATTAAAGGTGATAGAGAAAAACGTTTCCCATAAAAATTAATGATAATGAGTCAAGATAACATAATCTATAGTCAATGCTACCGTAGATATCACCATTTCTTAGGTTCAAGCCAGGAATTCTCAAAATATCAAAATTGACAATCATCTGCGTTAAATTCTGTTATAAGTAGAAAATTAAAGGTGATAGAGAAAAACGTTTCCCATAAAAATTAATGATAATGAATCAAGATAACATAATCCATAGTCAATGCCACCATAGATATCACCATTTCTTAGGTTCAAGCCAGGAATTCTCAAAATATCAAAATTGACAATCATCTGCGTTAAATTCTGTTATAAGTAGAAAATTAAAGGTGATAGAGAAAAACGTTTCCCATAAAAATTAATGATAATGAATCAAGATAACTTAATCCATAGTCAATGCCACGATAGATATCACCATTTCTTAGGTTCAAGCAAGGAATTCTCAAAATATCAAAATTGACAATCATCTGCGTTAAATACTGTTATAAGTAGAGAATTAAAGGTGATAGAGAAAAACGTTTCCCATAAAAATTAATGATAATGAATCAAGATAACATAATTCATAGTCAATACCACCATAGATATCACCATTTCTTAGGTTCAAGCCAGGAATTCTTAAAATATCAAAATTGACAATCATCTACGTTAAATCCTGTTATAAGTAGAAAATTAAAGGTGATAGAGAAAAACGTTTCCCATAAAAATTAATGATAATGAGTCAAGATAATATAATCTATAGTCAATGCTACCGTAGATATCACCATTTCTTAGTTTCAAGCCAGGATTTCTCAAAATATCAAAATTGACAATCATCTGAGTTAAATTCTGTTATAAGTAGAAAATTAAAGGTGATAGAGAAAAACGTTTCCCATAAAAATTAATGATAATGAATCAAGATAACGTAATCTATAGTCAATGCCACCGTAGATATCACCATTTCTTAGGTTCAAGCAAGGAATTCTCAAAATATCAAAATTGACAATCATCTGCGTTAAATACTGTTATAAGTAGAAAATTAAAGCTGATAGAGAAAAACGTTTCTCATAAAAATTAATGATAATGAATCAAGATAACATAATCCATAGTCAATACCACCATAGATATCACCATTTCTTAGGTTCAAGCAAGGAACTCTCAAAACATCAAAATTGACAATCATCTGCGTTAAATTCTGTTATAACTAGAAAAATAAAGGTGATAGAGAAAAACGTTTCCCATAAAAATTAATGATAATGAATCAAGATAACTTAATCCATAGTCAATGCCACCATAGATATCACCATTTCTTAGGTTCAAGCAAGGAATTCTCAAAATATCAAAATTGACAATCATCTGAGTTAAATTCTGTTATAAGTAGAAAATTAAAGGTGATAGAGAAAAACGTTTCCCATAAAAATTAATGATAATGAATCAAGATAACATAATCTATAGTCAATGCTACCGTAGATATCATCATTTCTTAGGTTCAAGCCAAGATTTCTCAAAACATCAAAATTGACAATCATCTATGTTAATTCTGTTATAAGCAGAAAATTAAAGGTGATGGGGAAAAACGTTTGCATAAAAATTAATGATAATGAATCAAGATATTACAATTCTTAACCAATGCTTCCATAGATATCAGCATTTCTTAGTTTCAAGTCAACAATTCTCAAAATATCAAAATCGCCAGAAACTATGAATGAATTAATAGATTGTGTTAAAAGTGCCTTCGACGCATTAACTAAAGAAAAGTTAGATAACATATCCTCGACACTACAAAAGTGCATGGAGTCAACCATGATGGCCTCAGCAGGCAACAACTAGCAGATAATTGCAGTCAATACTCAAAACTGCATTGTATAAGTCGGACAGGTTAAAAATAATATGAAATTGAATAAGAATGCTTTATTCAAGCAGATAGAAGTGAGATAGGATTACTTCGAAGAGGCTTATGAATTAACATTAATACTAATAATGATACCACGACAGCTGTCACTTCAGACGATGATAATATGATATAGAATGACAGATTCAATTACTGATTTAAGACGATTAACATGAATAAATATTAAAAAAGTTAGCAAAAATCACCTACGATATTATTAATGCATACTTTCTTAAAATATATAATTATTTTTTTAATCAGAAGATTAATTAATTTCTAAAAATAATTAGAGTGTTAGAAAGCGATAATTTGTTTTGGTAATTTCACTTAATTTATATCTTTAGTAGACGAATCATTACATTAGTAACCATGCGCAATGTTATTTTATAGGAGTAAATTATCTCAATTTAACGGTCTCATTCATTTTACTTTCCTTTCATAAATATGAAGAATATTTTGTCCAAAATTAATTCTCCTTTTGCCCCTTTCCTTTCATTTATTTTCCGGATTGTATTTATAAATGTCTCAGGAAAAGAGCATCTGTGACTTAGTCTTATACGAGAGAGCGAGTATCTATTTTGAGGAGACGTTATTATTGTCCCTATGAGATAATACGAGGAGTCAGGTCTCTTCCGCCCACGGTGAACGTTAATTTTGTTACAGGGATGTTGTCTAATGAGATGGGAAGGAGGTGATCGATGAGGGCATCAAAAGATGTGAGGCTCTCAGTTGAAACCGATTGGTCACGATGAGATCGCCTGAACATAAAAACGAACCGCGAACAGGAAGAAGGTATGAAGAGGAACTTTCTGTGAAGTACCTTTCTCCGGGTGCTTTTACCATCCTTTCGCCACAAGATTATGGTGTTAATCCTGATCCACCGTCTGCTCCGGCACAATACAGGTAAATTTTATTTTCCTTTTTAAATTTTTATTTTAATAAGTTAATTTTTAGATTAACACCAAATAGTAGTCGTCGAAAAATCCAAGCGTTTTCGATAATAGCTGAGGCTTCCAGTAATCCCGGATCAAGAAGTCCTTCGCCGTCAGGAAGACTTAGTCCTTTCAGAGGTAGAGGGTTTAATCCAGCGGGGTCACGTCATGCATCTCCAAATCCATCGCCGCCTCCAGATGATTCAAGACAATCATCAGCAAGTAGAACCAGCCTTGATTCGGTTCGATCACCGAGAAGATCGCAAATTCCTCAACTCAAAACAAGAGGAAGCACTGGAAACATTTTTGGTGAAAAGGTGACACAAGATGCAAGTACACCCCGTAACAAAAATCGATCGAAACTTAGTCCTCAATTAAGTCAAAGTTTAACTAACATAAACAGTAGGTACGCTCTTAGCAGATCCATGAAACGAAAACCTGCCTTCGAGCAACTTTCACCAATAGCTGGGAGTTCGCCGGAAACTGGTTCTATTAACAAATCGCAGTCTTCCCCATCAAAAATTCCACTTTCGTATCGAAGTCAACCTTCAAGCAGGAGATCATCTCCTTCTGGAAGCAGATTGCCTCATAACCATCAAGTTTCGAGGCAAAATTCTTCAAGAAACATTTCTAGAAATAACAGCAGAGATGCAAGTCCCTCAAAAGCATATAGTAGAATTCCGATTGCTGGAACTTCATCGTATAAAGAAGTTCCGCCTAAAGTTAATACGTTCAATAAATCAAAGCCAAAAGTGCCTCCTAAACCAGAAGAACTTAAAAGTACTACAGGTTCTAGAAGTAAATTAGTTAAAAAATCTAGCGAAACAAAATTGAAGAATGCAGTTAATGGAAAAGAAACAAAGTCATCCGGAAGTACTCAAAATAGCAATGGTAAAAAAGGAGATTCGAGAAATAATAGCGGTAAAACTAATTCAAATCAGGGTAACAATAATAATAGTACAAAAAATAAAAATAATGGTAACGCAAAACTAAAGAAGGGAGATGAAATAATGGTTATGGAAGACGTTAAAACAGAAAAAATTGAAATGTCAACGAAACCCGAATTAAAAACTCGGGAAAGTAGTACAAAACTTGTTGATATTCCAACCGCAACCGTAGTTTCATCAACAACAACCACGGCAGTTCAACCCTTACAAATCGAAGAGGACTTAGAAAATATGTTAAAAGAAGAATTAAGTAAAGTGAGCGGTTACACGAACGATTCTAGAACTTTAAGTGCGACAAGTGTTTCTAGTGCGATGAATAAAATGAACGATACCGTGTTAAACTCTCAAACGTTACTTAGGGATCATAATTTTCCAAAATTGTCGCCGGCGGCAAGTGCTATTATATCACTTTCGAACGATAACAAAGCGTTAGATACTAAAAGTGCTACAAACGCCCTGCCAACCATCGAGTCTATTCATAAGAAAATCGACGGCGTCGGCCAAAACATAAATAACACGTTCGCGGACTCAAATAAAGTGTACATGGAATCAATCGAAAATAGTGTTAAAAATAATATGAGCAAAGCGATTACTCCGGATCATGTGAATACTTTTGTACAAAAAGGTGCACATGAGAAATTGTTGGATGGAAGAACTTTAGTTGCGCCAGATGTAAAACCAATTAAAATTTTGGTTAAGGAGAAACCATCCGATATTGAAGTACAGAGTGGAAATATTCGATTACCTTCTAGTGCCACTAACGGTCTTAATTCTTCACCGAGGTAAATAAAATTATCCATTAATTATTTTTAATTTAATTTAAATACAGAAAAATTTTCTTCGATATAACGGATTTCAAATCTAAGGGATAAAATATTCTATCTTAATAGATAAATTCGGGGTATTCCTAAAAAAAAAACGATTTTGTTTTAAAAGTTGTTTATAAAAACGTTTTAAGTGCTTAAAACTGAAAATATGAGAAAACGTCAAAAATTCAAACATTTAAGTTTATAAAAATTCATAACTTATTTAATAATCGGTGTGAAATCATGAAATTTTCAGGAATTATACTAAAAAGTATGCAGATTCGATTAAAAGAATCGAATTTGTTCCCAAAATTGAGATTAAAATGTTTTGGGTGATTAAATCCAAAAGTATCGAAAATCCACGTTTCTTGTTAAAAAAGATTATAACTTTTTTAAATATCGAATTGGAATCTTCATATTTTTAAGGAAAGCTCTAAAATGGACGTAGATTTAAATAAAAAATATAATTCTGTTCCAAACGTTGTTTATAAACATTTTAGGTGCTTCAAGTTGAAAGTGTAAGAAAACGTCTAAATTTAAACATTTAATGTTGTAAAAATTCATAACTTATTTAATAATCGGTGTGAAATCATGATATTTTCAGGAATTATACTAAAAAGTATGCAAATTCGATTAAAAGAAGCGAATTTGTTCCCAAAATTGAGATTAAAATGTTTTGGGTGATTAAATCCAAAAGTATTGAAAATCCACGTTTCTTGTTAAAAAAGATTATAACTTTTTTAAATATCTAATTGGAATCTTCATATTTTTAAGGAAAGCTCTAAAATAGACGTAGATTTAAATAAAAAATATAATTCTGTTCCAAACGTTGTTTATAAACATTTTAGGTGCTTCAAGTTGAAAGTGTAAGAAAACGTCTAAATTTAAACATTTAATGTTGTAAAAATTCATAACTTATTTAATAATCGGCTTGCAGGAATTATACTAAAATGTGTGCAGATTCTATTAAAAGAAGCGAAACTGCTCCAAAAATTGTAATTAAAATGTTCTGGGTAATTAAATCAAAAAGTATCGAAAACGAAGGTTTTTCTGTTATAAAGTGTAATAACTTTGTTAAACATCGAATTGGAATCTTCAAATTTTTAAGGGAAACTCAAAAAAGGGTTTCGTAATTTTAATTGTTATTCAGCGCTAGATTGTTGCATATTTTTGTTAAGCAAAAACTCGAACTAACACTAGACCTAGAACTAGAAACATTTGGGTTTAGCCGTCTTGAGAGACGTGCGGCTAAACCCGAAACATTCTAGTTATAGGTCTAGTGTTAGTTCTAGTTATACATTAGCACGATCACTAGAACTAGAACACAAGACCTACAACTAGAAACATTTAATCATCTTAAGAGACACGTCCTAATTCAAAGTGTAAAATAATAGTTGTTTACACATATGTGACGTCACGAACGGGCCTACGAGCTATGCACTTGTTCGGCATGTAGCAGTCTTCTTAGCTTTTACATTATCGGGACACCCAGTATTGTTCATTTGATTATAACGTGACTATAAGACTAGAAAGTCACCTAAGTAGAAGTTTTACAATTTCAAACAATGCAAAAATGATTATTTTAATTTTTAAACGATAAGCTTTCTTGGATTGAAGCTCTTTTAGTTATAACGAGGACACCCTTTTCCGTATTAGTCCGTTATATCGAGGTTTTACTGTATGTGGGAATTGTTTGAAACTTCTCCAGATTACACCAAATAACTATGTGCTAAATCAGAGTTAGTTAGAGTTTGTGTTAAGTACAACTACAAATTACATTATGTAATTAATGTCGCATATTCTACATTGTTGGGAAAATACACATCATCTGCATATTAGTTGAATTTCACTTTGCAAGATTTAAAATAAGAAATAATTTATCAAAATCCTTGGATAATAAATAAAAATCTTAATCCAATACGTTCTCCTCGTGCTACTTATGGAAATTTTTATGTCTCGTATTTCACGCCGACAAAAAAAAGTAAGCCAGAGCAAAAAGGAAATGGTAAGCAGCGGCCGCTATCCTTTAGGAAATCCATTCGCGCCGAGCTTTATTTCTGGAAACAATTATGCGGATTCTTTTATCGCCATCGGTTAACCTAAATTCGGCACAAAAAAAGAGACGATTGGCCTTCATGTGAAAACGGAATTCGATGTCTGGGAATGACTCAATTCATTATAGAATACTATTTAGCTTCAATCCGTACATTTGCGTTTGTTTTTATTATTTCTTTTTAATGTCAAGTCGTTACACGAGAAATAGTTATCATCATTCCTATCTTTAACGTAAGTGTTGGAGTTCAAAACCTTAACTTAAACTTTACGAAGGTCATATGACTTGGTGGTCAGTGATTATTATGATACTGTGAAGGGTCACGCAACCAACAAACTCAGTGCTGTACAAATGTGTTAGTTTTGTTGTTTTACATTATTTAAGGAATAATATAAAGATTTAATTTTTTTAAACGTGAGGAGTGTTTGAAATAAAATTTTTGAATGGTAAAAAAAGTTTGTCAAAGGTTTATTTTTAGATATAAACTATTTATCGTGTAAGCTAAACACAATCCAATCTTATCTTTGGTCAATATTTTTGCACGAACCGACATGGAAAGTGTCCCGAGTAAAGCTGTATACAATGGATATAAGTCTACACGCGCTCGGCATGAACTCTTGGCCAACAACTGTGAAATCTGGGTATCGATTAGAAACTTGCTTCCTTACTTCTAAAATTCCACGAATTGATTTTTTAATTACACCCGAGATACAAAGAAAACAAGAAAATGCCATGGAAAACTGTTACTTGCATGCAAATGGTAGATTTAGTAATTATTATAATTTTTGTTTAAAAATACTTTTTCCATCAGATATCCATAAAGCTTACAATTAGATATAATTCAACAGTTGTCTTTTATAAGTTCCAATATCGTCTTAAAATACATACATTATGAAGTAGACTCATTATCATAACTATTAAGTGGGTTCATTATATTCATATCAACTCCTAAACACCACACTCAATTATAGGTTATATTCACCATCCATCATTATTTCCAATTATACTCATCAAGCAGAAATACTACTTTTCATTTCAACTCCAAACGACGTCGTTCGTTTGGGTAATAACTGATTTTTTGCTCATCTGCAACTGCCAATAACCATCTATTTTTAGGCGAAGGTAATTTTCTAAACACCCACCTCTCGACCTCCACTCCTTGAAATAGGGTATCATTCCAAAGTCGTTATGATTGAACGTAAATGAAAGTGCCTACGCTTCGGGTCTATTATTGGGGCCGCTTGCAATTTCGATAATTTCAAATTATTGGGTTTTGCGATGTTTCGTTTTAACGAATCTCGTCGACCTCAACCCTGACATAAATGGGTGGGATGAGGTCGCCGCCATAGAAGAGGCAATAAGGGAAAGCGAGGTTGGCGCATAAGAATATTATAGGCTTGAACGGGTCCGTGAAAATGAGGTTTATTAAGTAGGCAGGGGTGGATTAGGTTGCATTAAGTTTTGTTTTCATCATTTCCAAAAATATTTAGGGATTTCTAACAACCTTAAGTATTTGGAGGCATTTTCAAGTATTTGCAGTTATTTTTCGAGGATTTTAATGCAATTTGTTAGAACTTCCAAGAGTATCTAAGGATTTTTAAAAATATCAAGGAACTTCTAAGAATGTTCACAAATGTTACAAAGGTATTCAATGATGTTTAGGAATTTTTGATGATTCTTAGGTTTGATAACGATATTCCGGCTTGAATCACGGACCTCTTCTGCTGTGGCTGGTGGTGGGATTAAGCCTGTATGTACTTATTAGTATGCGTCTTCTTTCGATACACTCCCAGTTCCATGCCCCCATTTGTCATCCTAGTGACCAACACATTCAGGAATAATAACTGTTTGGTAGTTTCTGTTTCTATGAATTGAGGTGGTCTAGAAATTCCTGGAGTTGCTCTTTTCCATGTTGCCAGATCACGAAAGTGTCATCGACGTAATGGAGCCATTGCTTCGGTTTCCACGGATTCTTCTTTAGCGCTTCCTCTTCACACATATCCATGTAAAAATTGGCGATCACAGGTGACAGAGGTGATCCTATGGCTGCCCCTTCGCATTGCTCGTAGAACTCTCCCTTTCAGCTAAAATATGTCGACGAACCCTCCAGGATGAGTTTCTGGCGAAGACCGACCACGGCATCTTTGACTGGTACTCTGGTGAATAGAGATTCCACGTCGAAACTTACCAGGATATCCTGAGGATCTAGCTTCATACTCCTGATTGGTTCTACAAAATGTGTGGAATCTCTGACATGACTCTGTTTTACCTGTAAAAGGAGACAGAATCTTGGCAAGGTGTTTTACTAGCTGATAGGCGGGAGAATTTATGGCACTGATACTAGGGTGTAGTGGGACCTCTAGTTAATGGATTTTAGGTACTGGGGCCTGTACGAATAAGCTTTTCTGTTGTGTTCTGCTGGGATTCCTGTGGATTTTACCAGTTCTTTCATCCTCCTTACTATCTTCTCAATTGGGTCCTTTTTTATCTTGTTATAGGTGGCTAGGTCCAAAAGGCGTTTGATTTTGTCGTCGTATTCATTTCTGTCCATTCCCCTTATCCACTGGTAGGACGATAATGTCTGTTTTTTCCCTTATCGTTCGTAGTGCTCTTCTTTCGTTCACTGTTATGTTTGATTTTGGTGGCTTTGCTGTTTTTAGCACTCTAGCTATGTCTTTACGAATTTCTTCTGCTTTCACTTCACGCCTCCACTTCACATATAATTTCATCTTTGAGAACCCTCTTTGGAGCGATTGCATAATTTAAGCCTTTGGCGAGTACTTTAGTTTCGTCCTCTGTTAATGGAACGCTTGATCGGTTGTTCTTCTTCTTGTGGGTGCGGCAGTCAACGATTCGAATTTCTCAATCTGCTTATCCCGATTTCTTTGGAATTTCTCGCTCAGCCTTCGCCATGGTTATCCTGTCTATTTTGTCCTAGTCTTCTCTTGCCTTAGAATTGGAAAGTGAGAGGTGGAGTCGTAGTAACCTCTCACTTATGCGCTGCAAATCTTTGCAGCCTATTCTATCTTAATTAAGATCTTACGTGCTGCAGTGGTGTCGATATGGTGCTTCACTCTGAGTGTTAGGGATTTCCAAAAAATTTCAAGAGTATCTGGGATTTGAATATGCATCTAGGAATTGTCAAAGACTTCTAGAGGTGTTTGTATTGATTTCCAAAGATATCTAAAGATACCTAACGATTGCCAGAAATGTTAAGGTATTCCTAGGAATTTCTAAGACTTTCTAGAACGTAATTCCAAAGGATTTTCAATAATATTAGGGCTTTCCAAAGATTTACAGGGATTTGAAGAACCATTTTTAAACAGAACATATTCTTCGAATTTTCGAACAGTATCTGGTGTTTCAATATGCATCTAAGAACGTATAAAGATTTCCAAAGGTTTTGTATGGATTTCCAAAAGTATCTAGGAAAACCTAATGATTGCCAGAAATCTTTGAGTATTTCTAGGAATTTAGCAAATGAAAGGAGATAATTCTGTACTAAAATGTAATAATCTTCATTAAGCATTTGTGTTTATGAAGTTATAATATGATTAATTTTTGTAATAATTCAAAAATAAAAGTGAATGAAGTAAAATGTTGATAGTACGGCACTGTTTCCAGCTAAACTGGTAAAAGGGGTGTTTCGCGTGATTTATCGTAAGAACTGGTCAGCAAAAATGGCGTGCCCACACGCGTCACAGACCTATACCGGACAAAGTCGATACAGCGTATGCAAAATAGGACCTAAACAACCCCCGTTTTCAGTCTTTTCCGAGCCTGCCGCAACGGTTGCAACTCGCGAAGACCCGTTTTTCATTTCCCACGTTTCGCGAGCTTTCAACGCATTCAACGAAAGTATCGGTTTTTTTTTCACAGTCGTCTTCAAGGACAATCGCATAAACGACGCCAAAGAATTTTTATCTTGATATGAACAGACCAATCGTGTATTTCTCGTGTAACCGCATTGTGTGGTTCTTTGGCGGAATAACGAAGAATATGTTGGTTATAACTTTCAGGTGGTTGTAGATCATTAACGAAGAATTCGTGTAGAAATGTTTACGTATTTGCTATTGGAGAAAGATTATTTGGCTGTTATGTACTGGTTGGGTTTGAGTTGTATTACTGTAATTTCTTAGTGATATTTTCTAGGATGACGTACATCTATGTTATGCCGTTACACGAAACTTATAATGGTTATGGATTAGTGGAGAATGGAGGGTAATGAGTTTTCTAGATGTTATCTCAATATTTATTGTTCAAGTTCTCAGAACTTACCTATTTATTATAATTAAGCATTTTACAGCATTTGATTGATTCAAAACAAATTTATTTTGGATTATTAGTACAACCTATTTTATGATGCGGCCACTTATTAATTTAAACCAATATCATCAATACTTATTGGGATCCTATTTTGACCACCAACGTTTAATTCAATTTCATGTAAAGTTTTGTTACGATCAACAATTATTTTATGAATACCACTGTACTTTAACACATCTTTTTCATCCATTTTCATTTTAACATTCATATTTTCCTTATCTTTTTCGGAATTTCTCCTTTTATCCATTACACTATCAATTTTTCCAATTATTTCCAGCAATCAAAATGAGTAAAATGACAAATGTCATTTAATCTTCTGACTAGATTCTACATTTAAATTTTTTTTAGTTTGCCACCATCTCAACCAGAAACCCACGAATCTGACCATGAGGAGGAAGAAAGAACTTCAGCCAAAAAGAACTGTTGCCTTCGATTATTTTCAAGATGCAAATGTAAAAAACCGACCTGCAAAAAATGGAAGAAAAAGAAATCCGATTCAACGACGCCAATAAAAAAAGCGAAATCATCGATAAGCTGTTTTAGTTGTAGAAAAAAGAAATCGGAGCAGGATAAGGGATCAACGAGCACGGCCGCTGTCGGCGAGGAAAATAACGAAAAATGTGGTTGTTGGGACAGACTGAAATGTTGTAAATCGAAGAAAGTTGCTGATACTGCGTGGTGTTCGAGGGAAAAGAAAAAGGATAATTGGGTAGAGAAACGCGAAAGTGTCACCACGCAAGAAAATGTACAAAGGTAAATTTAGTGTGAAGTCGTGTTTAAAAGTAATATCGTTAATATTCAGAATGATTCTTATAATTACGGTTTCATGTGTTAACTTTAAAAATTATTTTAAATTTTTTCAGTAATATTAGCTGTAAGAAGAAATGTAAAAACGCATTTAAATCGATTTTTTGCTGTGGGTTGTGTTGTAACAAAAAGAAATTTGATGATGATCAGGCATTTAGAAGAGAATCGATGATAAGTAAGAAGAAAAGTTTAACACCACAAGCTCTTCCTCCACCGGTATAACAAATTTTAATTAATTACGTTAGATTTGTTACTAATTTTGTTGTTTTAGGATACTCGACCAAAAATTGATATTAGCCTGGTAGAACATACATCTCTTATGAGAGGTGCTATACCAATTCTACCTGTACCTATCGCTTGGATCTGCCTTATTTGTAACATATTTTTACCGGGTATTGGTAAGATAAAAATTTTAATTTATAAATAACTTATTGATACTAAATAATATGTATATGTTTCTTCCTTAGGTACTTTACTGAGTGGTTTATTTTGTTTGTGCCTTGGAAAACCTCGATTTTCCCAAAACGATGGTCCCAAACCTCGAATCGGTGCCTTCATTATTGATTTGATTATTGGCTGTGGACAACTTTTTACGGTCCTATTCTGTCTAGTTGGATGGGGTTGGTCTATATGGTGGGGTGTAATAATGTTAAAAGTTGCACGTAAACTCATCCAATACTTTCCCATGCGCCAATAATTTTAATATTCGCTAATAATTTTTAGGGAAACATAAACGAATACGATTGGTGGAGGAACGAGCTCAAGCACCACCACCCGCTCTTAATCATAATTCACGGGATTTGGAACGAGGGTCTTGAGAAATCACACAGGAAGATCATTTTCGTTTTATATCTGTAGTTGTAAATGATTATTCCTAAGACATAATTTGTATACAACTCTAAACAACGACCATGTTTTTATATTGTTGATAAGAATTTTGGTAAAAAAACGAACTATTGGTAATTTAAGAAAAAATTAAAAACAAAGTTACTTTGTGTATGTATTAAGAGAACATATAAGAAATGCTACATGTAAAATAAATGCTTCCACATTTTAAAAACATAAATAATACTATTTTTGATAGAAAAGAAGAAGAGTAATACTCGATTGTTACTTACCTCGGTGTAGATAAAGGGCGTTTATCTTCTTCGGCGTAGATCACTCAGTTAGCCAACGCTATTAGACTATACAAATTTAAACTAATTAGCGTTTGTAATGTCATTTTTGCGGGACAAAAATGATTTTCTGCATTTTTGCACTTTTTGTAATATCAACTCTAGAATGTAAGTTATTTGTATAACATTTATATAAAATAATACTTAATACTTTTATTATATTTTATTCATAAATAACATATTCGCTTTAAATGAACAAAAAATTATAATTTTTATCTACAATTGTTTGTATAACGTCTGGTTGTTTAATTCAAAATTTTAATAAGAATACAATATCGAAATCATTATCTTTAACATGTAGTGGAAAAGATTATTTTGTGTTTTGCCTTAGGACTCGTCATTACTTTTTACTTTTTTACATTTTAAAGTTTATTTTTCTTTCTACGATACCTGTCAAGGTTAAATTTTTAATCAATTCAAATTTTTGTGTTGGTACTCCTAGGGTCGCTATGAAATTAATGTCTTTCTGATTTTAATTTACTTCTGTAAAAATTTGCTACATATTAATAAAAGTAAACAATTATTTACCAAATTTCAATTATTTAAGTATAATTATAAAATTAAAAAATGAATCTTTTTGAATATAAAAAGTTCAAACGTCAATGTGACATAACTTGATTTTAAAATATATACAGGTGTCCCACCTAAGTTGCCTCGATCCATAGCCGAATTATGATTAAGTTTTTCAAAAAATGTTTCAGATAAAAGTTGAATCGAATCATATTGTACATATTTTAAAATTAGTTTCAGTAATGGCGGACTTTCCCTTCTACCGGAAATGGATATCAACCTTGTTATTTTAAATGAAAAAATAATCATGTTCAATAAATCATGTTCGGATTCTTTACTTTAATACTAAATAAAATAATTTGTTTCATTTAAAGCGAATTTGTTTTTAAGATTGATTATTAATCATTTTTTATTTAAAACATAATTATTTTTATTATTAATAATTTATTTAAATCAAAAATCAAAAGAAAATTATGAAGAAAAACACTAAAATTGTGTTTTGAATTAATTCTGTTTGTAATGTGGTTCGCGTAAAGTGAAACGTATATCTTGTATTTTGGCGAAATATGTATGTATTTCAGAAAAATGAATTACAATAAATTATACTATTATCTAATAAATTTTGTCGAAAAACTTTGTTTAAAAAAAAAAAAAATAAATAAATAATAACACCCACGACAATTAACTAATGAAATAAAAAGATGTCATCAGGTACTTAAAAGAAAGTCTTTAAAACAAACAATCCTTTTGTCATAGATTGAGATTAAAATAATAAAATAAAGTAAATCAAATGATATGAAATACTTAACATAAAACTTTGATGTTAAAATAATTGATATTAATTTAAAACAATAATTACCTAGAATAATAAATTAATGTCTTTTTTCTTACGTGTTTGGGAACTCAATGAACATGTCGTGTGTTTTGAGTGTGATATGTGTAGGTGGGAGAGTGTATATAAAGTGCCTTTTGTCTCTAAGAAGTGCCCGTGTAATCTGGAAAAAAAAACGAAACGAAATCAAAATAAACTAAATCATCTTTTCAATTTAGCACAACAATTAAGCACACAAAAATTTTACCGTTTAATTTGTTGTAAAAGTTACTTAATTTTTTGGATTTGGGATGTTACAGTTCAAAAACACATATCTTATTTTATTTATGTATAATTACTCAGCTCAATGAATTATAACTTATTTACATTATTCAAAAAACGAATTGACTTTTTGTTTTTTTTTTTTGTTGTTTTTAGTTAATAATACTTTTCCCGGGAATTTTGCACTTGTAACCAATTTGTTTTAAAACGAATCTCGGCGAGGCTCGAAAAACGGGAGAAAAGAAACGAGAGATCAACCGGATTTATTTTTTAATATTAATATGCCTAGGAAACGAGTGCAGAATCCCGGCTATATTTGGCATACAATTACGCGTTTATTATATAATCTCTTTTTTTTCATTTTTTTAATAATTTAAGTATATACACATAGCTCAGAAAATACATACATTTATATTATTTTTTTTAAATTAATTAATTTATTTAATGTTGGTTGTGTCTCATGTCATTTGGTATATTATGTATGTATTCATGTTATATGTATTTTTGAACGTGTAAGCATTTGTAGGTGTATTGTTTTCCTCCGTCTTCGCAACATCAATTAATTATAATTAATTAATTAATTAATGAGTAAAACAAAAAAAAACTGAAGAAAGATGTCTTTTATAATTAATATAATTTCGCAGCAACGCTTGTTATTTTACTTTTTACTAAAAAATATTTTTTGCCATCAAAAAATATTTACTCAATTAAATCGATTTCGCAAACTACATCGTTATAGCTAAATATTAAATTTTTACATCACTTTATTTTATTTTAAGCTTAAGTTAAAGCGATTTGCAAAACTTTCCGGCAGCTCTCTATAATCTTAAAAGAGTGTTAATTTCTAGGTGGTGTTATAATAATGTTATAGGGTGTTTATATATTTTTTTTTATAGACAACTTTCAAAGCAGTTGCTTGGTCCCTTCTGTCATAATACTTCAGTTCTTTCTCGTGCGAAATACATATATGTAATAAGTTAAAGCAAAAAGAATCAGATAAATTGGTTTTCCTTTAGTTTATATTAGTAATGTTGCGAAAACGAATGGAATGAGAGACTTTTTGGAGTGAAGGTGTGATAGACACAGAAAGACTACCACTGGCTAGAGGCACAGATAATTGACTCAACTAAGTTTTCTTTCTTACAACAATTATATTAATTATATGTATATATAGTTTTTTTTATATATACGATGCAGAACCTGCAAACACTACAAATAAGATAACACACAGGAACATTTGACATATAGCTGTGTATATTACTCGTTGATTGTTGGTTTTATTTTGGATACTCAACCTTTGTCATCATGGTAATTACGAGTATAAAACGATCGATGAAAAAATAAAACACGTAATATATCTTAAGTAGTAAAAAGAAAACGACTAGAATTAGAACGAGCTAAGAATAACAAAGAAAGATGATATGATAATCACACACGTACAATTTGGAGATTGAGTATACAATTTTTTTCTTTTATTTCTCTTTTGGCCCTACGGAATATAACAGTTTCATGTCATCTTGTAATATTTGAGCCGATGATTCACGAAAGTATAATTTAAACGTTAATGAAATAACTAGGGTGAAATCGAGAGGAATAGTTTTCTTTAATATGATAAAACTTAACAAAAAGATACACATTAATAAATTTTTAATATAATATAAATAAGAAGACAAGATATTGTGTTCATAATAATTTTTACGAAACATTTCTATTTTTATTGAAAACCTTTTTGTGATACTAATTGGTTAACAAAGGCCATATTATTTTAATTATTACGATTTGAGTTGCATCATTAGAATCAATAAATCAATTGAATCATGTAGTCACCAAAGATGATTTTTCTAGAGTGCGTTGAAATATTTATGAGTTGTTGAGCACGTGAAGTATGTGAGGAAAAAGATGCCTTGATGTTGAGGAGAATGGCAGTTGTAGTTGGTAAGGAATGGGGTGTAATTGGAAGAATGTTTTTGAGAGAAATAATGCCTGGATTGATGCATGAGCGGAAGTTTGAGGTGAAAGTTTAAGGTGGAGGAACATCTATGGAAGTACTTCTCATTTGGTATTCCCCCAACGTAATATAAACCCTCAGCGATATGTGGATGAGATGGAAGAACCCCATATTCCCACATTTCATGTTATTCCTTGGTTTTTTATTATGGTCAACCCAGTCTCCAGATTTCTCGCCCATCAAATATGTTGAGACATTGTAGGGAGGAAATTGAAGAACTTACTACATCCTTGCAAGTTTTGCAGCATGAATTACATGGAAGTTCTGGATGATAAGATAAAGATGGTTGGCAGTTTCGTGCACTTGAGTCCCTGTTGTATAACAAAAATTTGGTCAGAAAATAAATAAAGAAGATAGTGTATGGGATTAGATACATCTTTAAGTTACCAAGAAAAGTAAAATTAGTCCTATACAAGACCTTAATACGACCAAAATGGGTCAACAACATCAGTGTAGAAAGACAAAGATTCAAGGGGAAATAAAACAATATTTGTTGCTGTTCAAAGAAAGAATTAAAGTGCAACGGTTGAGATGGATTAGCCAGAATGGACATAAAAAGTACCATAAGAATTATATTTGACCGTTGTGGATCTATGGGTACAAGATTAGTTGGGAGGCTGAAGAGACGATTTGTGACGGATATAGAAGAGGACCTAAAAAGGATGAAAGTCAGAATTTGGAGACAAAACTTTTAAGATAGACAAGTTTAATCCTTTATCGGCCAGCCTTTAAATAAATAACATACAATATAATGGTATAGTTACTAAATTACTCACTAAATTCAAATGCATGAATTTTAAAGTTCTATAATAATCAGACAGAATAATCAGTGTGGTGTTGGAGGTGAGTTATAATTTATAATAGCTTTGTCGAAATCTGTGCATGATCTACCGCTTTTTCTTTAAAAACTTCTACAAAACATGGAAGGGGTCATTTGGATTACAAAGTTGATGAGGAAAAGGACTAATCACTGTTAAATAGTACTGTGAGGTTCCTAAAAATGCTAAAGCCTAAATGTTGAAAGACCTGATTCCGCTTCTAGATTTGATAGCTATGGTCATTGGCCAGTACATACTACTAGGTGTAGATGGAAGCACTGTGTCAAAGGTACTAATCGTCTAATGGGTGAGAAGTGAACAACAAATAAACATTATAATGTATTTTTTTATACTTATAAATAATATGTGAAGTTGTAAGTAGAGCGTTTTAATAGATTTTGTAACCAAATGGTTATAACCTGTATTTCAATAATTGAAATAGTAGTTATATACAGGGTGTCACACAAAAAACGCAACAAGCTGTAACTATGTCATTTACATTCCGATTTTCATGAGCGGGTTATGAAATGAAATGGTTTCATGAATACTATGATTCATGCTACAAATAAATTTTTTCCAAGGCCGTCTTCAATTTTAAGCGATTATTAACTTTTGCTTTTCAAATTGCTCTATATATTTTTCTTTACGTCATTGGATAGAGATTGTTTTTCTGAATCCACTGATGTACAATACATCCATTTTGAATATAATTTTAGTAGAGAAAAGACACCTGTATATACAGGTTGCCACACAAGAACGCCGCTAGCTGTATCTCTGTCATTTACCTTCCAATTTTCATGACCTAGCTATCAAATGAAATGGTTTGATGAATACTATGATTCATGCTACAAATAAACTTTTTCCAACGCCATCTTCAATTTCTAGCGATTATCAACATTTGATTTTCAAATTGCTCGGTATGTTTTTCTTCACGCTATTGGATAGAGTTTTTTTTTCTGAATCCATTAATGTACAATACATCAACATTAATTGTAATTGTAGCATAGAAAAACATTAAAATAGTTTCTGAACATTCTCTTAAAGTCACTTGTGTTATACTGTAGTGTGCCATGGGATAAATGAAAAACCAACTTATAAGTATCATTTACAACTGCTTGGGCATTGAAATAGCATTTAATGACTGTTATCAGTTTTGCGTGTTATTTTTTTCCATGGCACACTGCAGTATTACAGAAGTGACTAAGACAATGTTCGGAAAATGTTTTAATTGTTTTTCTCTGCTAAAATTACAATTAATGTTAATGTATTGTACATCAATGGGCTCAGAAAACAATTTCTATCCCATAACGTGAAGAAAAACATACCGAGCAATTTGAAAATCAAAAGTTGATAATCGCTTGAAATCGAAGATGGCGTTGGAAAAAGTTTATTTGTAGCATGAATCATAGCATTCATCAAACCATTTCATTTGATACCTCGTTCATAAAAATCGGAAGTTAAATGACAGAGTTACAGCTTACGGCGTTCTTGTGCGACAACCTGTATATACAGGTATCTTTTTTCTGCTAAAATTAAATTCAAAATGGATGTATGCACATCAATGGATTCAGAAAAACAATCTCTATCTAATGACGTGAAGAAAAATATATGGAGCAATTTGAAAAACAATAGTTAATAATCGCTTAAAATTGAAGATGGCCTTGAAAAAAATTTATTTGTAGCATGAACCATAGTATTCATCAAACCATTTCACTTAATGCCTCGCTCATGAAAATCGGAATATAAATGACAGAGTTACAGCTTGGGGCATTTTTTGTGTGACACCCTGTATAATAGTAATTATTACTAATGTGATTATAAACAAAACAATCGTGTTAAATAATCAATAGTGATTCTAAAATAGCCACAAGTTTAGTACACCCCTTTAAAAGTTTGCCCATTAAAGGAGTACAAAAATCATCGTAACCAATGAAAGGTTAAAAGGAACTGCTAAGGTAGGCCAAGATTCAATCAATGAGCTAGATCCACACATGATGATGGCAAATGTGACTTTGTAATACTCAAAGTAATTGAGTCATTAATATTTAGTAATAAAGACTATTTATTTAGCCTCTACCGATTTCATCATTATGGCATCTTCAAGAGTATTTTTTTAAATACTTATTTCAAAATCGTTTAAATATAACGATAAAATGAACATAATATTAAAATCAAATATTTTACAGTAAAATTTTTCAAAGATCACAGATTACTTTCTTATTGTTAGTTTTAAAATAAAATCGTTTTTGTTCGTTTTCTGTATCCTTTCTTCTTAATCACATTAATACATTCAGGTACAATATTTAAATAACAATTTCCTCTCGATTTCGTTCGAAAAAAGTTAATTTTAATTTTTTTAAAACTTTTCTAATTATATTAATAAATCATCTGCTCAAATTGTTAAACATTATAATAAAAACATCACATTTCTATTTAAGTATTTTTCACTCGAAATAGCCCTAAAAAGTGTCTAAAAACCTACAAATTATTTGTATACGATAACCTGGCACCGTGGTTATTTGTAAATTCGTTTTGAAAAAATTTTTTTTTAGTTTGGTCCACACTTTAAAATACGGAATTAGAAAAATAACAGTCAAAAGACTCTGTGTTTTCCGTGTCCGTGTGTTCCGACGAATATAATAAGTAAAAGGTGAGCCAGGTTAACGTACTTTTTGTTTTTTCTTTTTTAGAATAGTCGAAAGAAAAATAAGTAATCCTTAAATATAATAAGACTACGGTACAAATATTCTGTAATACTATATGATATGATATACCTATGTCTTTTATGAATCAAGTTCAGCAACGGGAATTGCTATTATACATACTTAATAAGTACAAAATAAAACGGAAGAAAAAATAAAAACACAACAAGAATAGAACGAAAAGATTTACGTTTTTTTTTAAAGCGTTATTGATGCACAAAAAACATCGACTGTTCACAACATTTATGTACTTTGAAACGCTTATTAAAAATTAACATTTTTTTCTATTTAATTTTTTTTTTAGTTCTTGTTATGCAACCTCTGGTTTATTGCACATCGTTTTTTCACGTTATATACCTACTCTTTACAGCACACTGTTTTTTTTTTCATTTAAATTTAATTCTATAGTTACAGTTTGGAAGGTGTTTATTAAAATAAAAATTTTAAAAATCACCTTCTCAAATTATTATTATTGACATCGACAAGTAGACGATACTTGCATCTCAATCTAAGAATATAACCATAATATTTATCATAATAACATCATCTCTTATTTTCTATTATATTCGAAACGTTATCATCTTGTACTTTTCGCGCGTTTGGTTATTACAATTAAATTGAGACGCAACTAGCCCGGAAGACGAGTAACGAAAGCAATAATTTCTTTAAAAATGGACGACACAATTTGTGTTTGTGTTTCGTTGGTACCGAACGAATGTAAGCCTTTTTTTCATTTCGTTCGTTTGTTTAAAAAACTTGCACCGTTTTTACTTCTCTTTATAATGTTAAAATAAAACTTTATGGAAAGGGTTTCGTTTAATTTCATTAGACCGCGTATTTAAAAAATTATTTATGTAGTGTAAGTAATAAGTATATTATGTACACATTTAAGAAAAATCGTTTTGATATGTGTATCAATATGTACTGAATTATTTTTATTTAGTCATAATTGCTTTCTTGTCAGTGTTTTAAACGAATTCGTTTTCTTTTAAGAATTAAAAACAAAATTTTCATTGTATTTTGTTTCGATTATATACATTTTTTAACTTTAAATGATATGTAGAATGATTTTTGATTCATTTTTGATCAAATTAAATCGATTCAATATACAGGATGATTTAAAAGTAGATGTGAAAACTTAAATCTCATGATGAATACTTAATTTCTCTTAATTAATGATGAAGCCATAAATAAGTATTTTTAGGTAATAAGGAGCTAATTTTAAATTTAAAGCTCATGTGGTGTTATTATCACAACTAATAACTGAAAGCAATTGAAGTCGAAGATGATACTTGAGTTTGACCACATACTAAAAACTTATGAAGTACTGCAAAATCGTGCAGGATGTTATAAGCTGCAAAAATTCCTCTAGAATGAAGTGCAAATTTTGGTCCAAGACATCTTAGAGACTTTTTGGATGCATTTTAAGACAAATATTGGAAAATTCCTGGAATACAAGATAGATGTATACATATCAGCTATTCATAGACTTCAGGACTGTATGATGATAACATAAATAGAAGCAAACTAATAAAAGCTATGATCAGTTTTTTAATCCCTGGTTAGCTGACAAAATTGATAGCGGTGAGAGCTTGGTAGATACAAGAAAATGCTTCACACACTTCCGAAATAAACCACGGGTTGCCACAAGAAGACCAGTTGACTTATCAAATAACTTCCGGAACAAAATGTATCAAATCAGTCCAAATTCTGGGATACGCAGATGATATTGGCATAATAGGCAGAATCTTTGGAATGATGAAGGAAACTTTCGGGCGTATAGAGGGGAAGGCAGCAGATATGGGTATCACAATAAATGAAACAAAAACAAAATGGCGGCAGTAGGTAGTAAGGATTGTGAATTGTACAAAATATATAGCGAAGTGGAAGTAGTGAAAAGGATAAAAATTGCAAGACTAAGGGAAGAACATGTGATGAGGCGCAAAGAAGCAGATCCCACGAAGTGTATCCTCCAGCAAAAGCCAGAGACCGAGAAACAGATGAGCCGATTTGGAAAGCAATGGTCTTGAACCGAGACAGTTGGATGAGACAACCCAGAACGGATTGTAGAGCCAATGATGTAGATGAAGCAACAGTTTCTTCTACGCTGCAATATTGAGTTAAATGAGTTGAATGTTTCAGAAGTTACGAAAGAATGCAACGCGTAGAGTGGAAGAAAATACGAAGTGATATTTCTTTGATGCAGATATCAAAACCTAGAAGATTTGAATTTAGAAGCAATATGAATCAAAATTTTATCAACAATATGGTTCCAATATATCTACAAACTGTTGATGCTGACAGAATAGGACTAAAAAAAGAAGGAGAAACTGAAACCGGCAGAATTAATAAATAGATATCATTATTACAAATTAATATTGACTCATACATGTCATGAAAAGACATTCAGTTATTGATTTGGTGGCTATGAAGGCTGGCTCCAACCCTATTTGATTCATTCATAAAACATCACATTATGCAAGTATTATGTCAATTGGATATGGTCATCATTATTCAAACCATTATACCTCCACACTATTAAAGATCATAAACCATGAATGTAATTGAGGTTCAGCAACAAAATATGTTCTGTATCTTTAATTTAAAATAAATCTTTCCATATGAGACTTCAATTTTGTAATCTACTTTAATCATCCTGCAACATTTACCATAGACTCAAAATATTAATTATTTTTAAAAATTTAATTTAAAATTTCGTTTTTAGATATGTAGATACTCCAAAAGGTTTTATTCAAAAATCATTGCAGTTTTAATGAGTATTGATTTTGTTGCAATAATAATAAAGAAACGACAATTACAAAAAAAAAAAACGTACACTATTAAAAGCTCAAAATGAAATAAGTAATGGCAACGAAATGAAAATATTAGAGCTTAATAGAAACATTGAAATGAATAAATATCAAAATAAATTAATGAATAAAAAAAATAATTAAGCATCTACAATTAGAAAAAGAATAAATAATAGGATATGAAACTAACCTGCCAATGTGTGTGTGTTTATGATGATTTTGTTTCAGGAAACACATGCAGAGACGGACATCGCTAAACTCTCCCTAAAAAAATCTAAACAAAGTATAAACTAGAGCTTAAAACTTAGCGCTACTCGTTGCTATAATAAAACGTCTTAAAATTGCACTATTATAATTTATACTGAAGAAAATAATGTCTTACGCATCGTTTCTTTTTCTTTTTAATTCTTGTGTAAGATTTTTTACGTTATACTTGGTGATATGTACCTAGTAAGTTAATTTTTAAAAAGATGTACATGTAATTTGTGTACGTTAAATATGGAGAGAGAAATTAGAAATTCTTACGTTAAAATTTATATTATAAAAATACCTAATCAATTTGAATCGCATCGTGCTCCTCTTTGTCTACGCTAATGTTCCAACGAAACTGACGATTTTTAAATTTTATTTAAACAATTTTTTTTCGATTTTATTTTTGGAGAAATTCGTTTATAGACAATCATCTTTGCGGAAGTCGTTTTCCCTTTCATTTCTTTTTTTTATCAAACAAATAATATAACAAACACTGGAAAAATTCGATCTTTTTCAAAAATGTACAAAAACTCTGGTCGCGGAAGGGCGGGTAATAACTTAAGTAATAATAACTAAAATATCTTAACACTAACAAAACGAAAACAATCACGGGTCAATTAGTTAATCGATATCATTATCGGGGGCATATACAAGTATGATACGTCCACTTGCAAAACTTTTCCTTTTTTTTTTCTTTCAAGGTAATAATAAATATAGGTGTGGATAGTGGGATATGTATGGGGAATTTTGGGATTATGTTTAATGTTACTGGAGAGACGATTTGTTTTAATTTTTTTACTGATCTTGTTCCATACGCCTCTCTCCCGTACCATTACTGTTGTTGTCTCCGTTGCGTATCGTCATATTACGCGACGAGGAGAAGCACAGTTTCATTATAAAGGGAAATTTTGTACCTAAAGAAAAATGAATAAATAAATAATTACATTAAGATAATTCAATGAATATAAAATTACTGTTCGTCAGAAAACTATAAAAATTCCGTATCAAATTCCAGATAATGATGAACGAATAGGAGCGCTATTGTTAAAACTCTTACCGGGACTCTCGATCGCCGCGTGATTGCAGGCCATCACAGCTGCGACTGCTTCCGTGGTATTCTCAAATTCTAATAGACCGGAACTCGATCGTTCCGATTTCATAGGAAACAATTTTACAGCCTTCGGTGGAACGACGTCGTAATCTTTGAACACTCGGATCAGTTCCTCTTCTGTTACCTGTGGTGGTGTATTGAAGAAGTGCAAAATCTGCAAAATATAATTTTATTGATTACATCTTGATCACTAATAATACCAAATAAAAAATAGTGATTGAATTTGGTTAATATTGGATATGTTTGATTTTGTATAATGCTGCGATGTATAGACATGCAAAATGGATCAATTTCCCAGAGGAGAAGCACGAGGATGAAATCACAAAGGGAATATCAATCCGTACAACTAAATTAGTGAAATTAAATTTCGACCATCCGTTCATTGGGGAACAAACTAAATAAGTTATAATGCTGGATCTCATTTTGACGTTTGTGTTAATTGCCTTATAAAACCTGTCTATCGAAAAATCTTTTTGTTTAAGGTTTATAAAAGAAAATATATACTAAAAAATACAGTTCTATTCTACAAATCTGCCCGTCATGAAACCACTCCGAGCTCGTCGTTGGATTTATTTGTCTTCGTGAAAACGTCAATTTCAGAAACGCAACAATATAAATTGCCCTTAACGGTATTGTGAGACACCGACGTAAAATCTACGAGGTATTTCATAAATAAAAAGGATAAAGTAGTTTCTTTCTAAGAAAATTTTAATTAATTTATGATTTTCTTGCAAATAAGTCACTAAAATGACTCATAAATAAAGCTAGGTTAATTTTTATTAACTATATACTCCTTGTTAATCAATAAACGAGATGTAAATAAACGAAGGTGGGCTTGAAACACAGCCATTCGTAGGAGAACTACAACTACCAAAACTGCTCTAATGCAAGATGAAGAATGATTAGTCGTGCAAATGATGCGCCAGGTAACAGATAGAATGGATGAGTTGTCATATAAATTTGGGCGCATTGAAAAACATGGCAGAAACGATCTGAGAATTAAAGAATTAAATGGATATCTTTACAAAATTAACATCTTCCTAACATTAGAGAAATTTGGAAAAAAGGATGAATTAGATTTTAATTTATAATATGGTAATAATACCTTGCTGGGCGGTTGAATACGATTTTTGCTGGCCATCGCAGGATTCATGAACCTGTTGTTCTTGTTCGTGATGTACTCTTTGTACGAGGGCGACTTATCCGGAAGTGGGTACGGATTGGTAACTTCGCTCAAAAATGGCTGCTTACTGAATGCGAGTTGCAGTTTATGTTCGGTGATGTCGTTCGTGTTGGAATTGGAGTTGTGTGTCAGTGGTGCGGCTCCCGTTAGGCCAACGTTCACGTTATTCAAATTTTGTACACACCTTTCCACAGCCACTCCATCACCCATCTGGACCATCGCTGTTCCTTCTTTCGATTTCAGAAATTTTATCTACAAAAAAAAACATATTTTAAAGATTTTTAAATCAAACACAAAAGCATAGATTTATTCTATTTAAGTTCAAACACAACTAAAACAAAAATATGATTTATGTGATGTAATCATTCTAGTACAAATTTCTTGTTTACTTCAGTGGTTTATTTCTTGTAGCGTACCCTCGAAATAATTTTAATAGTTCGCCGCACACCAACACATCTTCCGCTCTAAACATTTAAGATCATGATATGTAGCCGCAACTCAGAAAATTTATCGTTTTGAAGTGAGGCCAAGCTTTATACTCAAGAAACACATTAAATTTAATATGCAACTTTTTTTAATAAAGATTATTTACTTGATTGAATTTTAAAAACAACAACGCAAATATTTTGATTACGTAATAATTTCGTTGGTATTGCAAGCGGAGATATACCTAAATTTAGCTTATAAATGGAGGTGGCGTCACGTCAAAATAAAAGCCCGTTTAGTGGAACGAACGTCTAGGAGCTTGACGCGGTATAGCGTCGACATAAATTACGCTGTCACTTCAAAGATCAGATGGAAAGTATAAAACTTTCAAATCCGCTTTTTAAAGTTTAAATGACAAATAAGATTATGGATTATTGCAACTGGGACATCCATCAATGGGAGGATTTGCTAAAAATCTTTTTGTTTAATAAACATTCGTCTAAAACGTTCATAAATTTGTTATACAGTAAATTTTATTTAAAATGCAATATACAAAAATATATTTCCATAGAAACCAGGGCGTACCTACTTACTTTGTTCCACATAAAATGTAACATGTCTGTATGTTTCTGGTTGTAATTCTAATGTCAGTTTTAGTGATAGTGGTAGGTAGCGGCAGTTAACATAAAATATGTCAACTATGTTCCATATTTTTATTGAACTAAAACTAGAACTAGAATTATTCGGGTTTAGCAGTCTTGAGAGACGTTCGGCTAAATTCGAATGTTTCTAGTTCTCAGTCTAGTGTTAGTTCTAGTATTGCACTAGCACTATCACTAGAACTAACACAGGACCTAGAACTAGAATCATTCGGGTTTAGACGTCTTGAGACGTGCGACTAAACCCAAAAGTTTCTAGTTCTAGCTCTAATGTTAGTTCTAGTGACAGTAGTAGTTAGCGCTAGTTAGCATAAGATATCACTACGTTGCACATATTTAATGCACCAAAACTAGAACTAACACTAGACATTGAACTAGAAATATTCGGGTTTAGCCGTGCATCTGAGGTCCAGTCTGAGATACATTCTAGTTCTAGGTCTAGTGTTAGTTCTAGTTTTACACTAGCACTATCACTAGAACTAACACAAGACCTAGAATCATTCAGATTTAGCCGTCTTGAGACGTGCGGCTAAATCCGAATGTTTCTAGTTCTCGGTCTAGTGTTAGTTCTAGTTTTGCACTAGAACTAACACAAGACCTGGAACTAGAATCATTCGGGTTTAGCCGTCTTGAGAGACGTGCGGCTAAACCCGAATGTTTCTAGTTCTAGGTCTAGTGGTAGTCCTAATTTTAATTGTTATTTAGCGTTAAATTGTGGTATATTTTTATTGAACGAAAACTAGAACTACCACTAAACCTAGAACCAGAAACTTTAGGATTTAGCCGCGCGTCTCTTAAGACGGCCGAAAACTCAGAGTTATCATACGGACCTCACCTTTTTCCAAGCAAAACTTTTACTTTGTAAAACTTTGCAATGCCTGTATTATTAAACTATGTTGCATTTTATGTGGGACAGTGCAAGTGCATAGTAGTTTCGTTAGTTATATCAAATTCCCGGTAATAGTTTATAATTACGAGGAAAAAATAGTGTTATGATTTTATATTCGGAATGATTGTTATTGCTCATAAAGTATTTTTAATTGCTTTACATATCACATTCGCAAAAAAAGAAAAAACGTGGAGGTATTTTTTCTGAATAGAAAAAAATTATCGGCCTATAAATTTCAGAAGGGATTTAGCGTTATCTTTTTACAAATAAAACACGAACAAATCGCACTAACTCATTTACTTATCGGACAGAACTCGAAACGTAAACGCTTAATGCGTACATTTTCAACATGTATCCAAAAAAACATCTTTAATAATATTAGAACGTAAAATAAAACGAAAAAAATGTGTGTAGGATTCGTTTACATCCGCGAAAGAGATGAGTATATTATTACAGCTGACTTTTGGATCATTACCGTTGTATTTCCCTGTTGGAGCGTTGAAAATTCCCGCATTCAATATAACCCCCTTTGTCCATAAAAAATTCTCCAACAGCGTACATACACGGTTGGGGGCCATTCGAGACGCAAATTGTATATAACTTATTTACGATACAGAATAGAATAGTAAGGGTAGTATTGACGTTCTCCCTTAAACCCGGGATGATCCTCCAAAAATGAAACGAATTGACTGAAAGTTTCCTTGGTAATGATATACTACAATATCATTCGAAAATACGTTCGATTAGATAAGGAATTTAAAAGTAACATCAAATCATCCATTTAAATCGAAACGTTTACTGTAATATTCTCAAACGTTATGTTACACTCACGAAAACGCCTTAAAATTCCCGAAAAGTTTGCTCTGTCAGCAGACGTAGCTACTAAAGGCGAAGGAATCAAGTAGGATCGATTCCCTCAAGGGAATAGATAAAAAGAGTCTTTCGATGTGCGAAATCTGGATGGACGTAGCGCGATGTCTTTGTTCGTCCCCTTTACCTCCATGGAACGTTTGGTTTGACTTACCCGGGCCACGTTTCCGTAGAGACACATCAGATTGAAGAGTTTGTCAGCGTTTGTACGCAACGGGTCCAAACCGTAGACCATGAGAACGGCTCCAGGTTGCTGAAACGGTGTGCTTCGCTGGTCTCGGTATTCCGTCGTCACCGGAGGCGCCCCTTTTCGGTAGCCATCCGCTCCAAATGGCTCCCCATAGCCCGGTCCCGGAATTATTTCTTCGTAACGTTGCTCACCCGAATACGGATCTAAAATGAAATGAAAAAAAAAAGAATAAATGTAATTGAATCGTAAAGAACTTTATAAGGATTGAAATTGGTGTTTGAATGGAGCTATTTTCATATCAATATAAAGACTTCTGATGAAGTATTATTTGATTAATTAATAAAAGTGGTTGTAAATATAATAACAAATAATAATTTAATAAACAGAATTTGAAAATTGATAATTAATCTTTGGGATTAATTAAAAACGTCAGGTGTATTTAATTAAAAGTGTTTCGATTTACTGTTATAACAGCAGGCGTATTTCTATATAAATTTAAAATATCTTACGAGAGAGGGAGAAACCTCTCTTTGAGATGTTTTATTGCTTTAAGCCAAGTAATAAAGGTAAAAAAGGGGAAAGAAGTTGGCCAAGTTCATCTCTGAAGGAGAGAAATCAGCGACTCATTGTTAAAGTAAAAGTTGATTTCTTTTCGAAATCAGTATCAATCCGGTTGATTAAAGTCGTTAAATTATTTTTATTTTTTACAAATTTTTAATATATTATTAAATTTGTTATTTGAAACAGTTTTGATTTACTTTAAACATTTAATCTTTTGCGTATTTCAACTAGTAAGTAATTAAAATGCTTTCGTTTCTAATGCACGGACGAATACTTCTTGGGCTTTTAAACTCTTTAATTACTCGGCTTAAGATGCACTTTTTTCAACTTTTAATTGCTCCAACTTCGTTTTGAAAGCAATACTACAGATAATTACTAAAAGTGTCGAATTTTCGTTTATTACATCCATTTAATATTGCGCTTATGTATTTAATAATGAAAAAAATATTTATTTCGTATACAATTTGTTGCAAAATAGGTAATAAATCATTTATTTCAAAGTGTACAATCGATGACATTAAACTACAATGCTCATTAATCGATGGTTTGACATCCTCTTGTCTTTGACACCAGTTCTTGTAGCGATAAGCCATCCCGCAGAAATTACACGTAGAGAGAAGCTATAAGAGGGTTGGGCGGCCTCATATAGACACTTGACTGATTACTGTGAACCGTACACAGAACGCGTTGAGCCATGAATACGAATACCTCATTAGTGCCGCACGATGTAAATTACGACGCCATCATGACGTCGCGTCTCCGACGCAGATCAGAAGCGCGGCTGCTGATGCCGTCTGATGGCGTCTGTTTGAGGTCGACCGACGAAGGCGTAATCACGACAACAACGACATCCTAAAAAGCTTCCTCCGCGAATTTAGCGTTTAGAGAGATAGTTAAGTCAGGGAGGGTCCTTGAGGTTATGGGGGAAAGTAGAGAAACGAAAAGATAAAGCCTTCACGCGATACCTCGCCCCAAACGAGAACATTTCCGTAGTGGAGCGTCATCAGTTTAAGTGGGAATGTGGTAGTTTTGTGAGATTGAAGTTTGTAATTCAATTAAGTAAAATAAATAAGAAAATTATTTGATCCGGCTCCTCCACCATTTTTTAAAATGTATTTTTAATCAATTTTCATGACAAATTTCCTAGCAATAATTCAGTCGGAATTAATAATAAAGTCTTATCGTCGAGAACGTTTCGAATCGCTAAAGAGAAGAAGATATTGAAAAAGAAGTGTCATCGTCCTCCAAGTACGATGCATCAGGTGTGACCTTATTAATTTCCGGGACAACGCCTCGCAATGGAATTAGGGGCCGGCATAATATCGCCATTTGCGCCGGATAGATATTATAAATCGTCTTAGGGGTGCACGTGGCAGACGTGATTAACGTCACGAGTTTCGCTCGAAATTATTTCATACGTTGCCGAACGCAAACCGGGAGGCGCAATTATATGTCACGTTCGTTTATACGTGATGCGACGTGAAATGTGTTCAAATTAGGAGACCACCTAAACGAGATTCCTATTTGTGTGAGGTGTCGGCGGCCGCAAAATGTAATGGGCCAATCGTGTACAAAATTAAGATAATTATTGGTTGGAAAATACATGTTATCGAATTTCAGATTATAATCATAGTGTTCAATTCTTCACCCCTTTGTAAACGTACAGTAATTTGCAGGAACTATACACCACCAAGAACGTAATTGCATTAAATAATATTACTCGCATAATAATGATGTATCTACAACCACCAATATTGATTTCTATAATTGCAGACAAGATAGAATCAAATTACTTGCACAATTGAGGTTGTTATCAATCTAATAATTATAATTACAATAACATTTGTTTATTTATTTATTTGTTTAGGATACATACAGGGGTGTACTCTTAATCTAATTAACGTGTATTACTACGAAATTGAATCTTACTATACAGATAGGATCGCTGCTTAAACTCATTAACTTTTCGGCAGAAAAAAGTGATGATGCCCACACAAAGTACTGGTTACTGCATAGGTTTATAACGTCACGTTAAGTTTCAACAGTCACATATTCTTTGTAACTCTGCCTTTGGTGAGAACTGGGTGGATTGAGTAGCTCAGTGAACATAGATACTGGTCTTAAGCTTGGCGAAAGGAGGAGGATTGAAGGGTAAGGCTGCGGAAAAACCAGAAAATGCTTATAGAACTGTCACAACAGCGGACGGATTAAATATGATGAGAAAAACGGAGAGACGTTAGAAAAGGAGCACACTCAGAATTGGGATCTCGAACGCAACATTATGGAACAGTAAAGATCAGGAAATCATCCTAGAAATAGAAAACCACATTTGCTAATACGAGACGATCTGACTATTTGATCACTTATAGAGCTGTAGAACCCAGCACGCATACTGACTTCGGCAAATGCGAGAACACAACATGGTGTGGAATCAACATGGAATCTCCTGAAAGATGACTAAAGGTAAAAATGTCAATCAACATTGCATAAATGAAACAAAGAAACACAGAAATTGCATGGAATAAAAAGAAATTATCATTAACTTAATCAACCTCAACGAATTTTTAATTTTTAACACAAAAATTTGAATTCAAAAGAAGTACCTTAAAAAAACTGAAAGTAACTGTTGAAATAGTTAACCGTAACGTATCGATTCGACACTTCACCAAACAATAGCCTCTTTAATCTGGTGGTTAAAACGATCTCAACAACTTAAAGCGAGGTAACGTTGTAATATCTTTAATCTTGTACTCCCCAAACAACGGAATACAATACAATGATTCAAAGCCGATTATGTCTCAACTGCCTGAGGGAAGGAATTATCGAATTCCCTTTAATCCCAAATCGTTCGGCGGTACAGGTTCATTTAACTTTTTTTCGTTGAACTTAAAAAATGATTGACGTAAAATTTTTCATTATATCAAGATTAATTTTGCAGGTGAAGTTAACGCATTTCGAACTCCAATAACTAAATTATTATCAACTTTAAACCTACATCTCATTAGCTTTTATTACGAGTTTTAGGGGTATAAATAAAGTTATTAGTGCGAAATGATTGAGAAAAGAGACGTGAAAATCTCAACGAGGTCAATTAGGGAGCTTTTTTCGCCTTTAATTAGGGTCCGTTTACGTGGAGAGTACAGAAAGTGCGTGGTCGCCATATGGAAACCACGTTTTCCCAGTCAAGCGCAAATTTGACGGGAGTACTGTACGGCTGTGGTTCAGTGAATTATAAACGTTCCATTGTGTTAGGCAGTTCCGCCTATTTTGTTGCGAGGTGCGCGATCTCGTCACTTCACCATTTTATCATTGCTGTCTAAACCGACGAGAGAAACTGATATATTGAAACATCGTCCAGCTATTATCTGTAATCTGAGTGGTACATGAACCAATTACGCTGCGAACAGTAAATCCATTTAACATGTTTTTAAATCCAACAGGCGGTATCCCGTATTTAACGCCCATAAAAGTTAGTAATTCTATTAAAAGTACCATGAAATTTGGTTATAAATCAGGTAAATTGTAAATGAAGATATTAAATTTTTAATACCACGTTAGGTTAATTAGTCTTATGCAAGTGTTTTGTACTCTTAATTACTACTAACGTAAGCGTGTAACATTGATATGCAAACAGATTCATGAATAATGTCTCTCATTGGTTGATTGCGTTTCAATGTTTCAATGTGCATCACTCCAGATGGGCAAACGCGTAATGGATGTTTCAGCAAGTAATGGCAAGTTGTACGATGCGGAAATAGCAATATTACGCAACCGGACCTACATGTGTAATTAAATGACCAGTATGCGCAATTACATACGCCACTAGATATAAACGCGCAAGAGGTTCCTCTAAATGTCACCTCTAACATTTTAAATAGAAAACTATTTTCGGAGCTTTCACCCGTTTCTCCAACACCTCATCGCGTTAATTACTACAATTATTGGGCCTTTATTATACGTTAAAAGACCAAAACTTTCTCGATTAATTATGAAAGAACAAACTTTCAATGTGCCAGTTTAATTTTGGAACTTTATCAAAGAGCTACCTTCGAATATAGGTTACTATGAAAAAATAGATAATACGTTAACTACTCCTGCGTTATTAATTAAAATCGATATTGTAGACCGCCTGAATTCTTGAATTAATAATTATAGAGGAGGAGTAGTGTTATTCAATGTGGTTCTTTCAAGTTACATTAGCAAAATTATTCGAACAAGATAAATTTAAAACCAATAACGAGAATTGTGAGAAATTTCATAGCAAATCGTCGTTCTTTGATAAATACGTCTTATAGATAACTTTTATTTCCTCTTTGATACCAACGGTTGTTGCTTAGATGCACTTCGCTCAAAACGAGAAGCACTCGAAGTACTGGTTCAAACTTGCGCTCATTATAACTTTTACAATAAACATGCGGACCGCAACTGTTGATATTTATTCAGAATATAACATTTCCTTCACTTTGAACACCAATTACGAAAGAACGTCAACGTTGAAGTAAGATTTTTCATTGTTAAAAGTCATTTAATTAAAATGTTATTATGTTATAAATGGTTTTAGTATTTTTAGTGGTAACAATTCAAATAAAAATTGCAATACAGCAATTTAAAAAAAAATTGGTATGCGTAATCATAAAAATATTGTTTAAAAAAAATGTATTGAGTGTTCTTTTATGTGACGTTAACATGCGATGGTTACGAAAAACTATTAAATCATCTGCTTCGTATCACGTTTTCTATTTAGCCACACGAAACCACCAATGTATGCGATTCACGGCAAGAAAAAAGAAACGATAAAAGAAAATAGCGTCACATAACAACCACATAAAATAGAAATTGATACAACAAACAGAAATACCCACGTAAAATCCGAATACGATATGAGAGGGAACGTTCCGACGTCCTACGAGGACCGTATGGTGTCTATGCATGAAAGCTGAATCCCACAGCAAACAAAGCACAAAATTATTTCACCCGGCCTCAATAAAACTCGAATGTCCCTTTTTTACTTGAAACAATTTATAAACAGCGTCTCTAGTTTATGTAGATTATAAAAGATGTTTATTCGAAAAACAGTTGTTTTAGAAAAAAAAAATTTTAGATGGAATTTTTAACATGATCCTTATTTTTTTCAAAGATACATGGGTAAGAGATACAATTCGGAATAAGAATCAGAGATGATAAAAACTGATTGGCTACATCCAATGATTTTTAATGATCTCATTTTGAGATATATAGGAATTCACCAGTTTCTGGTTATTCAAATTTAGTACAAAAACCTTATGATGTAGATGTTGGCGTAGGACCACAAAAATGAATCAAAGCGAAAATATTTATACTATTGGCAAGCTTTAAAACTTCGACGTCAGATGAGTGACGGAACTGCAAAAGTTACAGAAGTGAAACCGCATTTTCATATTCTCTTACATTCGATCTACTAGGAACCACATTCTAATTTTGTCGCCAGCAGTAGTGGCACAGTTTCCTTTAAAACGATTTTCTTTAAGTTCCTTCTACTAAATGGAACGTGTTTGCGTAACGTTTCAGGTTGAAAAGTGAACCATTTGTGCGACATAAAAGTATACTATGCAGGAAATTACCTATGAATAAGCTATGTGGGAGCTTTTATTCTAGCCGGCGGCGCACATTTGTAAAGCTCTCATTCACCGGATAAAGTTTCTATCCACATGCAGATATGGGTAGTGGTCATTTTAATCTTCTATACAAGCACGATATAAGAATAATCACTGGGCGATATTAATCCCAGAATATCATCAACAACATGATTATCGTTACAAACCACTTCTTAGCATTACAACATATTTATCTCATCATTTATTTTGAAAACTAAAAAGCATACTGATAACAAGTGTTGTATACTATATATTTAATTGGAAAACTGTTAACTGTCCGATAAACGACAAGTTTCAATTTACAGTAGATAAAATTGGTTTACTAAAGCAAATTCGTGTAAACACATTGATCAACAAATTGATATAATGTAAATAGTATACGAAAATCGCATACGCGAATTCGAGGTTTGTTGAGTGATACAATAACCGACCAACTATGAGTCATAATCTGGCGAGGACGTCGCGTATTTACCGTCACAATATATATTAAGCCATATATTATAAAGCAAATATGCAAGCAGTGGCACTTCCACATCGCATAGACACAAAAATATTTGCCAAGTGTTTCATCTGATGGGATTGCACCGTTTATCTCGCTATTTAATGAGATGACTTTGGCGTGGAATTAGCAGTTAATAGCGTTTCGCGGTTGCCAGTTAATTTTTACGATATCACGTCGACGATGGAAACTAGTGAGAAGTTGGTTAATAATAATAATCTCAACGATTTCTGAAATGGTTGATGGACCGTAAAGCTTGATGAGCACTATTAGTTGTTGATAAACTTCGGACTGTTTTCATAGCATTTAAAAAGTGTTATTATCGTAAATAAAGGTATAAGTTAATTTTAATAGAGTTATGAAAAGTAAGTCTGTTTAACGTTAGAACTTCAAATCCAAAACAAACACAGCATATGAGTAATATAAAACCTTCTGGTTTAAGTGATTAATGTGCTTTGGAATATTTTGAGTTGAAATTTTAATGTGGGAAGGTTTTGTTGAGTGTGCATCAAAAAACAAAAAGTACTCACACATTTGATCGGCTATCTTTTCTTTATTCGTTTTCAATTCTAATGAAAACAGTCCTAAAACAAAAAATATATGAAAAATATGGAAATTACTTATTATTATTGAATATCTTATATCCTGTTTAAAGAGATGTTAGCCGTTCGCATTGATTAAAGGTTTAATGCCGGTTCCATTCTGTGTTTACATAATCCATACGATGCCAATATCGCGCTGAAGTCAACGACAATTTGCATACCGGAACCGGCTTCGGGATGTGTGGTAAAGCTCATTCTCGATAAAGTAGAATTTATGATACGTCAATTTAAATTGTGTTGAACAACCAGACCGACAATATAATAAAAATTTATGATGAAAGAAATGAAGAAGTTTGTTTGCTCTCCATAAAATTCGCACCTCCCTTTACAATACATAAAGTATCGTCGAAGAGAAATTCTTATCTTTCCCCGGTTACTTATTCCTGGCAGTGTCCCTTATATTTATGTCAGAATTAAACTGGTTTTGGCGGCGACACGCGGAAATTGATTAACATTTTCTTGGCGATTCATCACTCAAATTGACAATGATGAATTTCGAGTTCCTCTTATGTAGGGCACCAAACAGACGTGTCTTCTTAAATAAGTAAAGTGGGTCATTTTGGAAAAGGTTGATATTTCAACGGGAACGACTTTTTCCTTCAAGATAACTTCGTTATGGACCAAACAATTACTCTCCAAAAGGACTAAAAGTTTTTATGCCAAGATAAAATTAATTGGGTTAAAACCTTGTTGATACATTAATCTTATGTACCTCAAAAAGTAATTAAAATTAATGAAACTAACATGCAAATCATTAAACAAAATAAATATTAACCACAAAAAATTACATCCAAAAAATCAAGGTTAAAACCTTGTGCGTGTCGAATATCGTGTGTATATCATAAATAAATACCTGTCAGTTATGACACGATTATTTCCATAACCAAGCTGCGTGCTTAGCATAAAATCACTGTCAAGATACGTGTTAGTGTAACCAATCGTCAAAAATGATTTTTCAATCGAAACAAATTTGAATCTTTAATCGAAAATAAATTGCATAAATACATAGTAATTTAATTATTCTATATTAAATTCTATCGATTCCAACAATTTTGAAAAAAAACAACTCAACACTTATCCTGTGCGGATGAGTAAAAACATGATTGTTAAAAGCGCGAAGCGGTTATGCAAACAACAGGTTGATGCATCGTCCATATGAAGCGTCAAAACTCACGAAAAACTGCTAATTAATGACGTTAAAATCATTTCAAAATCAGATTGTAGTAAATATTCTACGCAGATATTAAAAATGTTGAAGTTTATTGCCAATACTGTATTATTCACTTTGTGATTAATTTTGTATAAAGCGCAATCAGTCCAACAGTATTAAATTATTTTGGACTCCAAAAACCTTGGATTCAAGAAATGGAAACAACCTAAACTTAACTAAATATGACTACTAGATTTATCATATAATTGTTTTAATATCTGGTACTACAAATACCTCCGAAGAAAGACATCCTGCAGATTCAAATCTGGCAACCTCAATGATGAGAACTCGATGTTGAGATGATGCAAACTTTATATGGAGTTATCTTGATGAAAAAATTGATGCATGATTAGTCAGAACTGTATAGATATTTTATGCAATATTAAATAAGCCTTGAAGCACATCTAGATCCTATCATAATACAGCCTTGATGGAGACTTGATTTCATACAAACTTGACTTGCTAAATCCAAGATGACAACTTGATGTGGAGGTGTCATGGACTCAGACGGTTATCTCGTCTCGATTCAGACTTGATAGATACTTTATACAGAGTACGCTTTTTATTCATGCTTATATGATGATTTAATAACGGCTTGATTTACGTATTTATCTTGTGCTGAATTTTCTTTTATACACTAAATCTTGTCGATATTTATTAATAACAGTACTAAAATCCTAGACATCTTATTCTCCAAACTAAACTTATTTTGTAAGAACTGACGAAGAAAATGGACCAGAATAAAGAAACTTCCACTAAGGCTAGAGAATCGTACAGGATCAGAAAACGATTTAAATAAAAACACAATACCAGTATAAATTGAACGGCGAAAAAACCAGTAAAGTTCTTCGTATTCTCTACTTGGTATTTGCGGGAAAACTTAACGTAAAATCTTTTTTGTCTTTTCCCAGCTTCACATAACTTAACAATAAAACTTTTCCTAAATGATAATAATTGTATAAAAAATTGTATAGCATATAAAATAAAATTTGTCTATTTTGTATAAATAATTGAATAAATCATTCAGGGCGACACGGTGTAAAAATATATATTCGATAAATATTTTAAACCGACATGGTTCCAAAATTTTTTTAAAATCATTACGTAGAAATTCACGTGTTCGCCGATGGCCCATTCCGAGTTATTTAATGTCACTGGACGCAAAATTGGTGGAGACAAAAGATAAAATAGCTCGAGCACTAATTTTATTTCATAAAATGATATATCAGCTTGTCAATTTGCACACAAGTTTGCTATGCACGTAATTGGTGTAATAAAATAAAGTTGATTGGCTTAACGTTATTATTAATCGAGAATAACGTGTTTTGATTGTGCTTGTGGTCATGATGTATCGAATTTTCACATTAATTAATCGCAGTTTGCCGACACACATTGTTTATACTACTAATTTTAAATTGTTATAATATCGCAAAGCTTAAATCAAGCTTTAAACTCATTGTTATAAGCAGTGATAAGTAATCTTTATCTTCTACTATTTGACTTTCTTTACTATCCAAACAATTTCAAATGTACTTATCTTAAAACAAACAATCGTTATATGTGGAGTAACAGTATAAAACCCCGAAAGTGATCTCTTTGGAGAGATAAAAGGGATAGTCCCGAAGTTAAAACGGAAATGATAAGAAATAATATAGAATTTTGCGGGAACTGCGAAGCCAGTAAATGCGAGAGTTACATAAACAACGCCGTAGGATCCAATTATTTTTCCTCTGAGTTTCATTTAACGTCATTTTACATTTTACATAAACCTGATTAGGCGGGGTTCTTTGTTACCCTTTCTCTCGTTTTCTCGTTGTGATTGATGTGTCAGCGGACGTATAAGATAAGGCGAGAACGTCGAGAAAAACGGATTTCCCTTTTTATGAGGCCGATTTGATCGTAACTTAGGAAAGTGTGAAAACTCCAACATTGTTCCGATTTATCGGTAAAGCTTTTAGGTCGATACGAGGGCCGTAAAACGAACTGAAATCGAGGTATAAATCTAAATCATCGCAAATGAGATATAGATAACGTTTTCGTAACGTTAGATAATTTATATAAAACCTCAAACTGTTATAGTTATAGTAATTCTTAGGTAGTTAATTCCATAAAACCAAGCCGTCAGTAGCATGTTGATGTATTGGCTGCAAGGAGCTTGTAGTACGCAGTCATAAGCAGTGAATTATAAGTCAAATAGCCGTAACGAAACGATCTCGGTTACTGGTTTCGCATCTGAAAGACAGTTGGCAACGACTTCGAATATAAATTTAGTCGTAATTGTTCTTTAATATAGTAAAACGCCCCGGTGGTACTTTACTTAGGTATGAGAATCTTGGTTGATGTTTTACCACTCATGTTAGTCATGAACGAGTTATGGCGTTCTTACCAAAGCGTAACGATATGAATTATTACCCGACGCGACGTAACATAGATTTCAAAATGGAACGACGGCAACAGACGGATTCGGCCACTAATGGAATCGCGTTTCCCGCAATTATTGCAGATCGATTAACGCAATTCATGCAGTTCGGAACGCGTATGCCATTGTGAATTCAGTACTACGAGTTTGCCATGTTATGAACTTTTTCGGTATCCATTGTCGACAGATTTATCGTCCGCTTTAATTAAAATTTTATTACCCTATTATTCGTATTCTATTAATTTGTTAATAATAAAAAATTAATCTTAACAGTACTTACTGTAGGGTTGTGGTCTGGATCCGTAATGTGGTTCTTGCAGGAGTGGTTGAGGTCGACCGTTGTTGGTGTTCTCTTTGACTGAAAAAGTAAACGCGTTAGTAAATTTCTTATAAATTTCAAATAGGGCGAAAACTAAGATGCCTCAGAAGGAGAGCGAGCGCAGCTCCGCGATGTTTAATTATTCAACAACCGTATTAGGTCAAAGGGCGTTCTCCAATTTGAGATCGCGTAACTGCTTTGTACCTTCATAATTTACATTTATGAAGGGCGAACGTAAATTAAATTAGAAAAGAAATTAATGTTGATGCGGAGTTGTATCGCGAAATTTTAGCAAACTCGAATGGTCATTTTATGTGGTACCTTTGAGACGCATATAAAACTCGAGGATTGTAATATTCGTGAATGATATAAAGTGAAGTGCTGAAACTTAGCGTTAACTAGGACGGTTACCAGTATTAAACGTGATCATAAACGGAACTATTGAAGTAATCAAACTATTTTGGAACGTACTCTAACATAATAAACTTCACGTAATGAGTTATAATTTTATTTGAAATAAAGGATTATACAGGGAATTTCACTTAAAATGCAATTTACAAAAATATATTTCCATAGGAACCAGGGCGTACGAACTTACTTTGTTCCATCCATATAAAATGCAATATGTCTAAATGTTTCTGGTTTTAGGTCTAGTGTTATCATTTTCAGGACGTCATCTTTTTCCAAGAATTTTTCCTTTTTGCAATACTACCCAATGCCTGTACTATTAGGCTATGTTGCATTTTATGTGGAATAGTGCAAGTGCATAGTAGTTTCGTAACTATGGTTACTGTATTTATATATTGCGAGTTATATGAAATTCCTGTCATAAGCAATCTTTTATTCCAATAATTTTTGGCAAACGTATCAAATAGAAAAATAAACCTTTAAAGCTGTACGATTTTCCCTTAAAAATTTGTTAAAACCGAAAGTATACGCAGAAATGAAAAGAAACGATTAAAAATGCAAAATAACGCGCCGGCACAAAACGTTCCGAAAGCACACTAATGAATGACTGAACAAAAAACCTTAATTTAAAATGCAAATAAATGGCGTACATCTCTCTTTGTGCTAGGTATTTTACGAGTTAAACCACATTCCACTTTTTACGCTTACTGAGCAACGTCTAATGAACGTTGATTTGCATTAGATTTACAAAAGCGTCATGGTGCAAATTACTCCAACCAGATATGTTTTTAAAAAAATTTCTGAGATAAAATACTATTGTTTTAAAGTGAATAAATTGAAACAAAGGCTTATTGGAAAATACCGACGTAGTTCGCCTATACATTCATACGTTAACCTTCAAAGTTATAAGTCCGAGTTGCAAACTGTCCAATGCCATCCGATGGCTAAGAGTTGGTTTCACTTTAGATATATCTTCCGCGCGGGAATATTGGAAACGATGGAAAAGTAAAAAGCCACCGCCCAGTTCATTCTGATCCATAAATCCGGTGAGTTTCAAGTTTGGAACTTTAATCAATCCCGATAAAGTTCTAGAGAAACGACGGCGGTAAGCAAACGTAGCTGTAACGACGTTCCATGCAGAATAAGGCCCCCCGGATCCGGAAACTGTGTCAGCACGGCTAGCTGGTTGCATTTTATGCTACTGTGCGCATAATAAATCCAACGATGCCGCTCTTGGATGCAAACGTGATCCTTTTATAACTGTCCATATGTTTAAGAGAACTGACGTAAAGAAGATGGTATCACGTTCAGCTAATTTAAAGGGATTAAATGCAAACATAGTAGCTGGTTTAACTAGTCTTATTTCATCAAATTTAATATTAAACCGAAGTAACTTTATGCAGTAAGCGGATATTAGATTTTTTTTCCATCTTCTAACGCTAAAACCGTTTAACGTGCGGGTTTCTAAAAGGCATGAAACTACAAAAAGAACCAAAGAGAAAACCTTGAGTCTAGAAACTGTAATTACCTAGCAATATTTATCTGGAAATGCTGTCAACTAAAACGACGTACATATTTAACTTAGCTATTGTAAACAATATATCATTCCAATTTTAGTAATAATTACATTGCATGCTCGTTATTATTCTTGATTACAACGTACTATTGCATGTTTTGATTATATAGATTAATTAGAAATTGTTCAATTCAAATAACATTCATAATAATCAAATAAATAATTCCTATACTATTATTATACAATGCATTGAAAATTAAAATGTTATGAGTATCGTAAATAATGATTAATATAGACAAAAATAAATCGTCACGTATGTATTATGCAAATAAAAGCTTATAGCAGACCTCGGCCAGTGCCAAATCGATACTTCCACATTTGATACCCAACTATATGTTTGTAATACCCTGCGGCCCGCATTGCAAATTTAAAGCATCCAAGTTTATTTCTCGTAATAGTATAAATCGCTCTTCATTGCAGTAAACGCTGTTTAATTGCATTAAACGCTTGAGTTAATCGACAAAGTGACACGTTAGTCTGACGGCAATTTATTGTGCACCCACATTGACGCTGAATAGTCAACCGCCGCTAGTCTAAACGGCGACGTTACATCAACAAACACACGTTAATGTTTAAGTAAAGTTAAATTTCGGTTACATAACCGATTCAATCTGTTACCTACCTATCGCCTAATCGATTCGAGTTGGTTACAAACGAAGAAAGGAAATGCATTGTAACGAATGAACGTTTTGAGTTCGCGTGATCTTGGAAATTGATTATTGACTAGTGACAATTCAGGGTCGGTAATTGCACGGGTACCAGGAACAAACACAATTAAGTATTGTACTGGTGTTGACAGATCGAAATTACGTAGAAATTGTTACGATAAAAATCAAAGTAACGAAGTTGGTGATACTGTAACACAAAGTAGGACTTATGTACTTGAATGAGAACAGCGTTTACAGCTTACGAGCTGTAAAGAACAGTAAGTCTTAAAAGTTTTAAGCACCATCTTATGATTTATGAAATCTTGCGAATGCAGCAGTGTACTTATTACTAAATTGTAAAAATAATTTCAAATTAGGGTCCACAGTTTTCTTTTTCAAAAAGAAAATTTATGAAATTTTGCTTTAATTAATTAAAGCCTATTTAACTGGGTGGGTGGCGGTTATTAAGACAGCAATATTAAGCAGAACTTAATACTGAAAGTATTATGACTTCCTGAAACATAATATTGCGTATTCTAACGAGGCTATAAATGTATACTAAGATGCACAAATAAACTACATCACTCGGCTTGAAAATCAGTTTGTTTTCAAACTTGTGGTTTATTTTTTTTTTTTTTCGGCATTAGGAAAGAACTTTAATACGAGCCGGGGGAAAAAGCCAATCTATATTCTATGCAAATGCGCGGAGGCAGGTGGATGCTACGTTTAACGTTAATGTAGGTATAAGAGGGCTTAGAAAAATAGATCCCGGCACGATCGTGGAGTTCATTTGTGCAGCTTGAATGCTGGAGTTTATATTCATGGTGTGTACGTGACACTATCCTCCAGCGAGCACCGATTGTGCACCACTTTTGCAAAAGACGCGACCTTACTTATTCAAATATTCCACGTTCCTCTCCAAAGGTACACATATTGTTCGTATAAGTTCCATCACCATGGATCTTATATGTGATGGAATACAAAATAGCCATGTCATTTGTTAATTGTGTGAGAAGATTTCAAAAATCGCCTCCTAATTTTCATGCGTGTTTTAGTATTCTATTTCTAAAAGGGGTTATGAAATTAAATTTCATTTGGTACTACTAATTTCTTAGCATTACGAATCACAACACAATTTTCCTAAGCGAACAGTTTAAGCAACTTAATTGTATTCAAGCTGGAGGGTAATCCGATAACTAACTAGGATGAGCTGAAATATTCCATAACGCTCACATCTAAATTAGATTTTCTTGCAAGTTAATTCTTAATAATCATCCTTAAAAATTTACAAACAAATGTATGAGTATAAAAATACTAACTAAAAAAATTAAGAAGGCTTGCTTGTAAATTTCATCAATAATTACTGGTTTCTTGATATAATTCACTCAGTTTAACAAAAATGTCAGTTGTTATTCAAAACACGTTCACAAAACAAGCAATTTAAAGTCAACAGTAAAAAGTTGGAAACGATCCAATTAGTACAAAATGAACGAAGTACGATTTATAAAACTCGTCGGAATCGACAAAATTATGGCTGTTTTGACAAGATAAAGTATGGTCGGCCACAGGATATTTCTTACAAGCTGGGTCAAAATTCGAATTTACCAAAATTACTCACAAACAAACGACTGATAAACATGGGCGGATAATTTAAACTGTACCCTATTTTTAATGTGTCGTTGCATGCGTATTTTGTATGATAATAATACTTTGTCAACAGTTATAAAAATAGGTATGCTGATATGTTTAATGGTTTTATTTAACATTCCTGCGATTGTTTCTTTTTTGTATAAACAAATATTGCTAAAGTACAACGTTTACAACTAATTGGAGCAGTAATTAGAACGCATATGTGAGCTATGTTGCGAATTGACATGAGTAATAGCTTATCATAAACATCTGTATCGATTTCTAACCACATGTCCTTTAGGTGTTGTAGTGATATAATATGACACATACATTAGCACATTTGTAATTATTATAGCGCGTTGATGAATGATGTGCTAATTACGAAATTATACAATTTTTCCTATGTTGATATAAAAGTCTTTTTATTAATCTAGAGTCCTATTAAATTCTTATACGTTAGCTAAGAAAATAAAGCTGCTTTTATGGAATCCTTTCAACGTTCAATGACGTTTTATTGGTCAGTTTATTGGTCTCTTGTGAAATAAACGCACGAGGGCGTCCTTCGGACATCAATATAGAAAGGACCACAACAGAACACTCTCCATCCGCGTTCAAAATTAAATTGGCTCCGCCTGTGAGAGAACGTAATCGAGCATTGCGGTCAGTGTTGCATGTCAATTTGGGATCATAGGGTAGCAGGGCATCTATGCAGGTTTGCCAGCAACACGGGAAACCGAAGCCAATGAAAAATCATGCGGGTTCGATTTGTGATCATCATT